CGTAATAACGAATTAAATAATCCGTTATAACGAATTAGTAATCCGTAATAACGAATTAAATAATCCGTAATAACGAATTAGTAATCCGTAATAACGAATTAATAATCCGTAATAACGAATTAGTAATCCGTAATAACGAATTAATAATCCGTAATAACGAATTAAATAATCCGTTATAACGAATTAGTAATCCGTAATAACGAATTAAATAATCCGTAATAACGAATTAATAATCCGTTATAACGAATTAGTAATCCGTAATAACGAATTAATAATCCGTAATAACGAATTAAATAATCCGTTATAACGAATTAGTAATCCGTAATAACGAATTAAATAATCCGTAATAACGAATTAATAATCCGTTATAACGAATTAGTAATCCGTAATAACGAATTAATAATCCGTAATAACGAATTAAATAATCCGCAACATATATACTTGCAGTGGCGCTAATGGGCTTTCGTATATAGCTGTCCATGGAATGATAAATGTTTTGAAGCTGTTCAGTCGAGTGAGAACCAGAGATTACACACTGCCATTTAATTAAAAATCAGATTTGAATACTTTGAATCAAGACTGAATCATTATTTTTACTGTCAGATTTTGTGCTTTGTGTTTGAGGAACAAATCATGTCTTTTTCCTCCCTAGATTGTGTTGGTAATTTGTGTCTGTCTTTGTAAGTTTTCGTTCTTTCATGGAGGTAGGGAAAAAACATGGTTCATTATATTATGTGCGTATCGGTAAATATCAGTGGTGAACAGCTGAATTTTGTGGTATTTCCATAAAACAATAAAGATAACTTGTGATTACAGTCTACAAATTACGTGAACTTTTACGTGTTACTAGTCAAGGACATGCTAGGCCTACTGCTTTTATTAAAAAGAGTGAGCCACATCTTTGTTTTCTATAGTTTTTCTAGCTCGTCACTTTTTTACTCACTACACATAAGATAATTGCTCTAACCTTTAGGTATGTGCATTTCTTTCTGGCGCTGTACGTAATGGCTAATCCAAAAATTAAATTAGTATCGAGAGATTTCAATTTGGAGTTTGACCGTGACTGAGTCGCGAACGTCAATTGAGCTTATGCAACACATGGTTTTTCTTTCCCTTTTTTTCTTCTGTTTTTATGTTGTTGTTTTTCTGGTCAATATTATATGGCATTGGGCCTAATGACATTCTGCTCTAACTTAATGAAATAATCGTGGTAGGCCATGCTGGTATTCGGACGCTAACGTCAGCGAATGATGGTGTCAGCATTTTGTGCCGTAATCGTTGCTATTGGGCACGGAATAATGGAGATTTTAAAACCATACTGTTTTATGGTTTGTTTGTCTTTTATTATGGGCATTATACAATTAGGCTGCTCTGAGCTAACGAAAAAGTCATGCTTTGCGGCTGCAGTACACGAAATATTACTTCTCTGTAAACAATCACTCAAAGCATTCAATACTAATATTCTAGTCCATTTTCTTATTTTTCCTCACCATAACTGATTTCCTTAATATATTAAGAAAATCAGTTTATTGCGAGGAAAAATCAGAGAGTGGACTAGAATATTTGTAATAAATGCTTTGTGTGATCTATTTAAAAAATAGCCTTCTGAGGTGATCCAATGAAGAATTTCAATTGGGAAAATCGAACGCTCCTTTGATCACACCTTTACATGACCCAGTGTCAAAGCACAGATTCTGCTTATTTTCCGAGATATGTCTGATTAATTAAAACAAAATATGCAAATATCTCAATTATTAAATCATTTTATCATCTGATCAAATCATTCTTCATTTTGCACATGGGTTATGATTGAAACAAATCGGTCATTTTTGGACTAACATCACTTTCAACTCGATACATGAAATCATGGCGTCACCCAGTTGTATGCACATACATTCAGGATACACAACAACAATGGCTAACTTGTGCGTAAGGCCATAGATGAGTCGATCGGCTGTAGATCACAGTCATGATCGTCTAGCCAGCAAAACTACACTGGGAGCGAAAGTACAATATTTCCCGCTAGGTTATCATAATTACACAAGGTGAGTTAAAAATAAATAAAAAACGAAACCCAAATGTCGGGACCATTGTTTTAGTCAAGCTCTGCGTGTAGCACTTTCAAAATCAAGGCTATGAAAGCCCAAAGATTTCTTTTAGTACAAGAATCATTCAAATCACTAATGTACTTTTCAAGTTACGGAATTTTAGACACAACCACCGTTTCACAAGAAGGTAAGTGTTCTTTCAGCAAAACGAAAACAAATCACATAGGGATGTCTGTAAATTGTTTTCATTTTGCTGAAAGAACGCACACCTTTTATTTGTGATCTGTGGACAGAACTTTAAAACGGTAGTTGTGTTTAAAATTCCGTAACTTGAAAAGTACAAAAGTGATTTAAATGATTTTTGAACTAAAAGAAAGCTTATGAATTGGGCTTTTTATCCTAGATTTTGAAAGTGCTACATGCAGAACTTCACTAAAACAATAGTCCCGACAGTTGGATTTCGCTTTTTTTTTCTCCCCCTGTACAACAACAAGTGTTCAACGTGTTGTCAAAATTGGTCGCACGTGAATTATGAAGAAACTCATTTGTACATGTATGTGATTGTGATCACGTAGGAATAGCAAACAGTGCTTGCAACTCAATGTCTTCAACGATATATCCTCGTTTCCATAGCACCGCATCATTTGAGAGAGATCGAGCCGGCGTTTAAAGGACCAAAGTGCGTAAATTGATGGACATCACGCTCCTGGATAAGAGTCTGTCGGTTGTCATCGTCTTTATCGCAAATAAAGGCTCATTTTTATAAAGGAAATCCGGAAATGTTCATACTGCAGGGCTTTTCCCGCAAGTAGAATCAAGGAAATACAAATTACTACGCGGAGAGATTGTTGACATAGAGGTACAATGATTTATCGCAGTTCACGTTTTATCGCAGATCGTGCATCGGCAAGGATGGCCTTTTATCATCATGATGGATCGAATGTCATGCACTTTATACGCGCGCAGCAAGAATATGTTTTATAAATGCAAATAATTTATTGTGGTAAAATTTGATATTTGAAAAAAAAAAATTAAGGTCCCATTTCTTTGCGGAAACAGAATTCTTGCTGAAATAGTGGTAATGTTGATTTGAAGTTTTAACAAAAAATAGTCGGCACCTGTGCCCATGTACTACGGCATGGACATTGCTGAAAGTGGAGGGGCGGGGCAAGGGGCAAGGGTGGGGGCAAGCTGTTCATTGCAGATATTATTCCATGTTACATTTTTGTTTACAAATTGGATATTGTGCTCACGTGGTGCCAACTTTCCTCAAATAGTTCTCTTCTGCACTGCGACTGTAACTCTTGAAATGTGATTGGCGTAAATTAAAGTGGCAACATGAAACTATCAATGTGCCATATAACATGCAACACCCTTATTAATAAATGAAATTTGTTGACTGTCGGTTGTCCGTTTAATTGATAGTCACATAACATGTGATATATAATATCATTACATTTAACAATTGTTGACTGCTGTGATGTGGGATATGACGTCTTTAACATCCGAGTGGCCAATAGCGCCCGAGGCGAAGCCGCGAGGGTGCGTCCAAAGGGTGTTCAAAACGCCATTTCCCACATCACAGCAGTCAACAATTATTTTTATTACACCTCTGTCTTGGAATCTTTGGATTTTGATGTAAAAATCACGAAAACAAACAGCAGTAAACACAGCAAGCATGGCAATCGAACGTCAGCTCATATGCATGTCGCGTGCTCGAAACAGCTGATCGTCTGCTAGTTCGCTGCTCCCACTCATGTGTGAAGGCATGGTGAAAATAGCGTGGGTACCAACGATACAAACGTTTCACACCGTATGCGTACCGTGCGTACAGAGCCTGTGGGATATGGGCCTGTGGGATCCCACGTGTGCTATGACTTTTTATAAACTGAACACGTGATCGTTCTGGGCCAATTAATGTTATTCAAGACAGAGGTATAACAATATAGGCCTAGTAGGTATATCATTTTTATACGTGGTGAGTCAAAAATAAAATGACATAATCAGAAAAATATATGTGGCTTGCTCCATGTTAGAAAAATAACATATGGATAAAGCACATTTTATTGACTACAGTAACTGTGACAAATCTACGTTATTTGCCTACTGTGTATGTTCACTTTATGTCTATTTTAAATTTTAATGCAATCATCACAAAATTCCGCTGTCCGCCAATGATCGTGTACTATTAAAATACAACGAAACAAGGGCGTGTTCATGCCATAACGAATGAACGAAAATGTGCACAGGAAAACAGACCGAAATTCAGAACAAACATTCCTCGTGATTATTCAAAACACAAAATCTGGCAGTAAAAATAATATTTCAGTCCTGACAAACGTTACTAAAAAATCTCAGCATGTATCTGAATGCATATGTGTGATCTCTGGTTCTTACTCAGCTCAATAGCTTCGAATAGTGCTCCACTGACAGTAGTAACAAACAAATTAATTTTTAGTAAAATGTGCTTGAATTTTTATTATTAGGCCTAATGGTATATTTCACATCAATTTAAAAACAAAATGGCAGCCGGGGCTGAACTGCGTTTCCGTTTACCATTCAATAAAAAAAAAATACAATTTATATCATTAAATTGATTCAGTGCATGGATCAATTTCAGTAATTATTTTCCCCTTTTTCAAATGAGTGTAAGAACATACTCGTTATATGCTTCGTTGGTGTGTCAAATTTAATTGCTTTTTAAGGGAAAAAAAACAAAAATCGTTAATCCAGGTTACTTTTATTTTATCTCAGCCTGTATGATCATACCACCACGCGCAATGTAGACATCTTCCTATGTTTCCGTACCGTGTTATTTTTAATGTAGGTCTGAAGGTGTGGGGAAAAATTTAGTGTCAGTATTTAAAAAAAAAACACGGGGTGGAGTATAGGGGCTGGCAAATGATCCCCGTTTAGTTTGATTCAGCCGTTTATGACTACAACTCTTCTAGCTCAGGGGGCAGTTGTAGAGGCAATTGTGTTCACGCGAATGCCGTTGGTGTCAGTCGTGTCCTCTGGCTGTATTAGTTGCGTCTTTACGCAGGGACAGAGCGTGGTCTTCATGGCTCGACGGAACTTCTTCATCTTGATGGCGTAAATCATGGGATTCACCACCGAGTTCATGACGGTCAGGGTCCGGAAGACCTCCCAGAACCCCAAGCGCGCGTCCACGGGCACATCGAAGAACAACAAGACGTTGCCCAGCTCTGAAGGGAGCAGGAAGAGGATAAAGAGCGTGGTGATGATGAGGAGGCATTGGACAACTCGCCGGCTCGCCACGCGCAGCTCAGCCCTCATCTCCCCCTGGCGCTCCGGGTTTGCCGCCCCCTGACGGATGGTCTTGAGGATCTTGTAGTAAGCCCAGACCAGGAATATCAGGGGAGCCACAAAGCTGACGACGAAGGACTTCAGGAACATCAACTTGGCGAACCAGACCGGACCAAGACCTGGGAAGTCGCACTCTCCGGAGTCGTTCACGAAGAACCTGATCGGGAACTCAATCTCTAGGAGAAATCCAAGGGACCAGGCCGAGACGGCCAGCATCAGGCCCCGTTTCTCGGTGAAGGATCGAGCATAGGTCATTGGGTGCACGATGGCGAAATACCTCTCGAAAGTCACCACCACTAAATTGAATGCAGATGCGAAAAACGAGGACCAGAACAGATGCAGACTCCAGAACAACCTGCAGAAAATCTCGCCGAAGAAGCTCTGCGGGATGTCCACTTGAATCGGGCGGCCCTCGATAACGAATAAGATGCTGAAAATGAAGAACAAGCAGCAGAGGAAATCAGACATGGCCAAACTCACGATCAGATAGTGGGTGATGTCGTGGAAAGATCTTGTCTTGCGCACTGTCAGCACGACGATGGTGTTACCCATCAGACCGATGATGCCGAGGATCAAGTTGGCCACGACCGAGAACGTGTGGACGGCATTGGGAGTTTGTTGATCGACAGCAGAAGTGGTTGACGATGCAGTTGATGCAATGACGTCCACTGAAGCTGATGTGTTGTCCATGATTTTCAGTAGACAGTAGTATTTGAATTCCGATGAGATATACAGAGCAATCAGTTTCTGGAAAGCAACAAGAAGGATTTGACAAAGTGCAATTACTTCCTTATAGTAAAGCACAAATCCAGAGAACGATTTGAAATTCAAAACGGCAATAGCTTTTTTTAGGTCAAATGCAACCACAAAATAGCCAGTAGACAGTAAAATTAAACGCGAGGTAGAGACGGGAAAAGGGGGTGGCAGTTTTGAGGAGATCTGATGAACGAGGCAAAGTAGATTCTTTCAAGCCACTATTATACAGGATGACCCCTAAAAAATCAACCCTGAAACATTTGCCTTTATTTTTAAAAACGCGATGGGTGAAGTTTTATGTTTTGAATATCAGATTGAAGCTGAGAGCTTTGTCTTTCAAATACTGAAAAATATAATGAAAACAGTGCATTGGGTTGCTGAGAAACTGCCAATTATGTATTAAAAAAAAAATTAAAAAAAAGAAGGATTTTTCATCCTTTCCAAAGGTGTTTCAAACGGTGAAACATGACATATTTATGATGCAGAAAACGTTTAAAATGTAACTAAAAGGGATTAAGATACCTGTTCAGGTGGAAAGCTAAAAGGTATATCCATCAAATTCACTTGTACTCTTGTCATATTATGTGCCGTGTTGTTTGTAAGTATTATACAATGCGCTACATGTATTTCATGCACAAAATAGATCCCTTAACAGTGGTAATGCCATTGGAATGGACCAAAAAGGAGTTGAACATAATTGACATTTTCTCAGCAACCCAATGTCCTGTGTTCATGATGTTTTCATTATTTGAAAAGAGACAACTCTCAGCTTTAATCTGATATCCAAAACATAACAATTCACAAGTTCTTGGTTCTTGGTTGGTTCTTCTCCTAAATACTCAACGTGGGAGTTTATACAGGAGGCCAGAAACAAGTCATGTTTTTGAAGAAAAAAAAAGAGCAAATGTTCCAGGGTTACATTTTTGGGTCACCCTGTACCGGACTAGGCCTACCGGTACTCCCTGACTATTAGTACCAACCTTATTTAAGAATTAATTCTTTGCGCACTTGTAAGAGTTGGAAATAAAAATTTTCGTCATTCTCCCATCCTTTCTTAACAACGTCACAACAAATATAGGTTTTCTTACCGAACTTCTTCTTTGGATTATCCAAAGCACGCACTCCAGACGAAATCCTCCACTCAGACGCGTAATTTTTTTTCACCGTCCCGATTTTGCTTCTATCAGCGTCTTGAATTTCCAGTTAAAAATCTCTACGGCCGGCCTAGTTCCAATCTTCCACTCTGCACCCCCTGGTTATGCTACTGCCTCCGATCATCAACTCTGCTTTCTCAGCTGTATGTGCGGGTTTCGGTAAAACATCTCCTTTTATACAGAGAAGAAGCTCGCATCTCTCATTGGAAGATTTCGATCCATCGACAATACCTAGACTTTACTTTCACTGATGTTATTGGGTGCGTTCGAGTAGCTCACCCGGATCGACTCGGGTGAAAGGCGCAGACGGGTTAGCCACGACAGCCGCGCTAATCGAACGAACAACCACGGACCGGCAATAACGATCCTCATGTGATGTCCGTAGCCGCGGCCGTAGCCACTGACAAAATGCCCGTTTCGGACTGGGTCTTGGTTTGAGATTTACTGCTTTTCTAACTCACAAAATTTGAGTTAGAATTATAGCCTCTGAAGTCGCAATGAACTCAATAAGTGTACCTTTAGACTTCAAATAAAAGTGAGTTCACTTGAGATTTCCGCTCTCCGACCGCCACATATTTTGTGTGTTTCTTGAATGAACAACGCATGCGTGTCAGTGTGTGACGTATTTCCACCACTGACTCTCTGCTCCACGAGCAGGGTCAGTGGTGCTGACCCGGGTGAACCCCGAGAATGACATCAGAGCCAATCGAACGACACGAGGCTAACCCAAGTCGATCCGGGTGAGCTATACTCGAACGCACACAACGTTTACGCTATGTCTGTCGATAGAGCGCCCTCTGGCTTCATTCCTTGTCTGCTGTATGGTGTTACGTTTGGCCTTTCAATGTGTTCACCGGTTTGTATGATTTGTAGGGGTGAAATTTAGGAGGCACCCCCCTCCCCCCCCCCCCCCCCCCAGCTTGAGGATTGTTCCCCATGTACCCCGACTCAAAATTTGGAGAAAACAATCCAACAAAGAGATATCCCTCCTGAAAACGAGAGTATTGAACGTCACTTCAATTCGTCGCTGTTTTATCTAATGGGCGGAAGTCTCAGATAAACATCAACCCGAATGTAAGAAGAGCTTAGCTTTTGAAGCCAAGGTCCGCAAATTGATTAAATGTACTTTCAAAACACTGGACCGAACTGATCAGCCGAAGTGGATGACCACTAGAAGTGAGTAATGGATTTCTGTTGATTCAAGTATAAAGCATGTGAGGCCATGCAAACAATCATTAAGCGCAAGCAATATGAAGGATGATGAATGAAACTAGTGATTAATGAGAAAAAATTGTGTAGTGGGGCTTTAACCAAAATGTCGCTGCAATTAGAAGAAAAGGAGGGGGAGGGGAAAACTAGAAGAGAATTTAAAGAAAAGATCAAATCTGCAAGAGGGATTCAAAGTTCTTGACGAAAATTAATCGCCACGAAACGAAGATGATTGGGTTAAAAATGGAAGTAATGAGAATGGTGAAGAAAAGAAAAACAAAATTGATTTGAAAAGAAAAGAAAAGATAAAACGGTGATCATTATTCTGAAGGAATAAAATGGCAGGGGCACGGAATTAGTGCGCTTTAATCAAATTCAGGCTTTCAGGGTACATAATTTCAATGTCACAATTTAATGTTCACAATCTCTGTCATGCTCTCAAATTGGGACGAATATAGAAATGCCATTTCGAGTTAAGTTTGATGGAATTTAAAGTTAATAACGTTGATGGACATGCAAGACGAAGTTTTATCAGAGACATTCGAGGAACAAGTAGGCTTACAATGTGGGACATTGGTTTGTAAGGCATAACAACTTGATATCGAAAATCAAATTTTTGTGAGATGAAATCGGGGCAATTCATTGTGCGTGATGGTATTACGAGTAACTTTGTTGTAATTTGCAATACATGTGGAACTGTATTCCACCATTCATTGGTCTTGTAATTGCATTTTGGCTGTAATGAAAAATGGTACGTCATTCTTCCCATAAAGCACCCCGTGTCACATGGTTGTCTCCATGGTTACCACGTTTCTTTTCTAAAGCATTGTATGAAACGATGCAATTCACTTGCTCGGTCGATAAGTTTTAATTTGCGATAACCTGTTAGTATATGGTCTTATTCCGAATGTAATCATAAAGAAAGGTTGCATTCGCGGCCGGACGGGCGCGCTACCCCATTAGGCCTAACTGAGACACAACATAGAGGCATTGCGTAGTATATCTCGCCCTTACACAATTTGCCTCATAATACTTCACTTGGGAACAATAAATTCTGCTCCATCTCCCCATTATTATTTTATTTGTGTACATAAAAAGTACAGCACAATCTGAAATCCCATCCCAAGTTCAAGGACAGCACAACTATACTCACGCATGCCAAAATGCGCTATAATGAATCATGTTAGTCTAGGCCCAATAATTATGTGATATTTCAGAAAAATTCACATGAAGAGGCACTTTTTCAGTAGAAGTTGGCAACATGGCTATTTTGCCTAACTTGGGGTCGCTGCATCAGAAAATGAGGGATACCAAGCTGAATTCCGAAATGTAAAGGGCGTTGCCTCGAAAAAAGATTACTTTTTAACTGTACATTTTCAAACTCTTCATATACATGTAGCTTTTTCAAGGAGCTGAAAAATAGCTAAATAATTAGGTCCTACCCCAAAATGTTGTTTTTTTTTAAATTGAACATTATGTTCGGTTTTATTGTGATGGTACACGTACACACCTACATCTTTAAGTGCACTATCACAGAGGACATGTTTTGGAATATGACTCTGTGAACCAGAGTGAAAGACAGTAACAAACCAATGCTACTGAAGTTAGGGCAGTTAAATAGGAAGATGCAGCCTGTCTCGTCTAAAAATCCGATTTCACGAATCGTCATCACAATAAATGTCTTCAAACAATCCCATCAGCGATAAAACCTGTTTAAAAGTTAAACATTTTCAACAAAGTCCTTTTGAAGGCCCATCTTAAAAAAAAATTGGATTCTATAATTGGATTCTATAATGTTTGCCTTACCTGGGTTGTTAAAAGAGATATTGTTGAAACAAGTATTCTGTGTCATTTTCTTTGTTGTTCCAAACAGTCAGAATACATACTAAACTGCTTTTTTGGGCGAAACAGCCTTATTGTACCCCACTTTCAGGCAAGTGGCACGCGCGCCCCACGCGCTCTTAACCAGTGGCGTTACAACTCTCCTGAAGCTGAACGCGCGTCTAGACGAAAGAATGCGCGCGCTTTAATTGCGTGACGCGCAGTAACACCTGTAATAATGTAGTCACCGGATACGATAGAGCATGCTTAGCGCTTATACACAAAAGAACATAAGACTTGTCAACCAATGTTTTTATTCAATTTACAAACATTGTAATGAAACCAGAAGTAAAAGACAGTAACAAACCAATGCTACTGAACTTAGTGCAGTTCACGAATCGTCATCACAATTGTCTTCAAACATCAGCGATAAAACCTCAGTTTAAAAGTTAAACACTTTCAACAAAGTCCTTTTGAAGGCCCGTCTTTAAAAAAAAATTGGATTCTATAATGTTTGCCTTACCTGGAGATATTGTTGAAACAAGTATTCCGTGTCATTTTCTTTGTTGTTCCAAACAGTCAGAATACACCTGCTTTTTTGGGCGAAACAGGTACCCCGAAACAGGCACGCGCGCCCCACGCGTTCTATCTTAACCAATGGCGTTACTCTCCTAAAGCTGAACGCGCGTCTAGAAGAAAGAACGCGCGCGCTTTAATTGCGTGACGCGCAGTAACACCTGTAATAATGTAGTCACCGGATAGAGCATGCTTAGCACTTATACACAAAAGAACATACGACTTGTCAACCAATGTCTTTATTCAATTTACAAACACTGTGAAGAAACCAAAAGGCACGTCGATAGTTTTAAAAGTAACAAATCAACTATACTATAGTGTACATTTTCTAATTACAAATCAAGTCAACAAGTAATACAACTAATTTAAAACTATTTTCTCTTTAGTTGAGGGTAATTATTACAATACCATTAATGCGTTTATAAATACAGTAGTTTTCTGTCTCACGACAGTTCTGAAATCAAACGTATTGAAAGGAATAGAGCCGGACGGAGAAAATTACCATTATTTACAAAAAAATATGAATAAACTCGACCGGACATCACCGGCCCAGCAAAACTTTGCATTACGGACGGAGAATTTTGAAGTATCTGTAATTGTTTTATAGCGGTGGGTTGCTAGCGGAAAAAATATAGTAACTTGGAAGATTTTAAATTATTTTAAGTAGTGTACTGAAAAAATGTACAACTGTGAAAAACGTGAAATTGTACGGAAACGCATACTCTTAAAAGAAAAGAAAAGCGTCACAGTGGTGATTGAATTAAACCTGGGGGTACCACTCTATTTCAAGGATAAATTGACTATATATACACCAGCACTGCTACAAGAACAGAAATAAAATGAACTGGAACTAAAAGGCAGGGACTTTTAACGGAACAGAGGGACAAGTGCAATTTGCAAATGGCAGACCAAGTAATTTTTTGAAGCAGTCAATTAATTTACAGCACAGGACAGCATGCACGTTTTTTTTTTTAAAAGAAAGTGTTCAGCAGGACAGATAATTCAGAAAGGCGGACGTGATACAGTCATGGATGAATTGAAAATGAAATGATGATGAAAAACGGTTTACAATTTGTGGTTACGAAACAGTCGAGACTGGCACTGCCTTATTATATTCACAATGGGGAAATTTCAGTGCGTGCCAATTAACGGGTCCACAAATCAATTCCTCCTGCAGAATTTGGTGGTAGAACTAGCGCCAATGTTGAGAAAAAAAATAACCAATCCAAAACAATCATCACTGCCGGATTTAATCACGGGGGGCAATTTCCGGGGCCTGTCAATCACAGTCGTCCAAAATTGATTTCTTTCAGCAAAACTGGTCCTTGAACCAGCCCAAACGGGAAAATCAAAAAATCAAAATAAATTATAATAATAAATTATATTTTGGACGAGTGTAAAACCTGTTTTTGTAAACATGTGGTATTTTTTTGCATTAGTACAGTAGCAGAAAATGAGACGCTGAAAATAGTGTCATCAGATGCAACTGTGAAAAAATTTTGGACGGACGTTGGCTCCAATCAAATGTGCATTGAAGGTCTTGGAAGCTACTATAAATATGGTAAAAAAAGCAATTCAAGCGATTCACATTGCAGTGCGCCACCAAGAGTTTGCCACAGAGAGTCAATTTCTCAAGTTTACGGTCGACAAAACATGGCCCAGTTGAACGAGTGTCAGTAGACAACTTGAGCTTATTTGTTATAGATTGGGGCATAGTGTTCTGCCGCCTTACAAAAAACACCAGATTGATCAAAAGACAAAAAAAAGGCAAACAGATGCTCGAATCATACGCGTATGAAACTACTGACCGAAAAAACTAACAATTTCAATTATCCCGCGCTGCGAATTTGTCGACCATCTCCCACAATGCACTGGGAAAAATGAACTCTCCGTGACAAACTCTTGGTGGCGCACTGCAAGATGCACGCACTTTACTCAAAAAATCATCCAGGAAACTTTGCACTGAATGCCCTACACTGTATATTTTTTTTTCAGAAACTGTTTTGATAATAGAGTTAGAGGAGACATATCAATACAGTGGAACGCCGCTATAACGAACATCGCGGGATCCACAGAAATTGTTCGTAATAGCGATCGTTCGGTATAGCAATTTTAAGCTGCCAGTGCTCCGGTACTCACTTTTCAATAAATAGCGCCCTTCAGAACGTCACCCTGCACGCCGTGGTAGTTACTGAAAGACGACTTTGAACACGTGTCGACTATTGAATTATGTAATTACACAGTTTTTGAGCTTACTACCTACAGCAATGGGTGGCTTTCCCCTTCTATTCCTTGGGGAAATAATGGCCACTTTTCGCTCTTCTGTTGACATTTTTCAACAGCAATGTTCGGTTGGTTTTGTACACAAAAATCGGGAGCAAAGAACGATGTTCGGTATAGCCGAATGTTTGGTATAGCGGTGCTCGGCATAGCAACGTTCCACAGTACAAGAATGCTTTTATTATAAACAATTATTTAAAAGTATAAAATTTACAAACAATTTTTTAATTGATGCAAAATATTCAAATCTGGACGGATCTGATTTAATTGCTTTAATTAACACCTCAGTTTGGCTGGAATACGGAGGAATGGCAGACTTCGGTTCTCATCAAAAGCGAAAGAGGTAGGCACTGAGAAAACTTGGACGGTGTCTGTGGTAACTCAAGGTTGCTGACGTCGTCATGGTAACCGCATCTGACTACTTCTTAGGAGCAATGATGCCCTCCAGTTGCGTCTGCGCGAAAAAGACAAGACGGGTTAATGTACTTTTATTCCCATCAACAGAACTACAGCTACAAATATCTCGCAAAAAATGATTATTACTAAAAAATTTATATCTCATACTATAGTTGGTCCACTCTGCTGCAACCTTATGTATTGCTCTGAGCAAGTTATATCCAGTTAGAGCTGCCCTGAACCGGTTGTAGCCAGTTTGCAACTCTCAGCTGCTGATTGGTTATATCTAGTCAAAACTGCCTCAAACCAGTTCTGGCCAGTTTGCAGCTGACTGGACATAATATAGTAATAACTGCCCTGGCTCTAGCCAGTTGGAATACTACTAATTGGTCATATCTAGTAATAACTGCCCAGAACCGGTTCAAGCCGGTTTGCCTACCTTCAGCTGCTGATTGGTGCGTTTCAGGAACTGGATCTCTTCAGTGTGTTTCTTCTCCTCCACTTGGCGACGTTCTGCCTCCCGTTTCTCGATGGCGTCGCACTTGGCCTTCAGTTCGTTGACCTGTCGCTCAAGCTCTCGCTTGTCTTGCTCCAACTCCACAATCTGAATTGTAAAAAAATAACAAAAGATTAATCCATCAATCTATCAAGTATCATCTAACAAATAATCTTATAAAAAAAACCAACCAACAAATCATTCAAGGAGTACCACAAAGAAACAAAAAGTCAAACAAACAAACAAACAAACTGATCGTAAAATAAATTTGAAGACGTACCTTTTTCTCCATGTCCGACTTGCCCTGTTCGGCCTGCAGTGCCTTGCGCATACCGAACGCCACGCTGCTCTCATACAAGGTCTGGTAGGCAGCGATGGTCATGCGAATCTCGTCACGAACACGCAGCAGGAGAAGGCCTCGCTCGGCACACTCGATGGTCACCTGACGGATTAACTCATCTGTGATTGGTTGAAAAAATAATTAATGACTGAGCGTTCACATATTGGATACTGAAAGTAGACGACTTGGGAAACGAATGAAAGGTCACAGTACAGCAAGGTTGAGCCGCCAAAATCAGAGCCCGATTAAGTGTGCCCTTGGCCCTAGGCACCAAGTGTTCCGCAGGCCTTATCCATGCCCTACAATCCCGGCCAAAATGGTTGGGACACTTCCTGAGCCTGCCACGGTCACCCACTCCCCCACTCCCCTGTTCCCCCAGTCAATGTTGTTCTCTCCAGCTGATGGAGCACACACCGCGCAATGAGAGACAACATTGAACGGGAGCCGGGGGGTTGGGGGCCCAGTGAGATTTGGCCAGGATTGTAGTTTAGTCTAGGGGCTAGACATTGTTATGGTTTGTTACGTGATAAACCGTCGATCGATAACACGCCGCCAGGAGAGGGTACTATCACGACCAACCAATATCACCCACGAACTTGTTGGAACAACGTCTAGGCCAATTCGTACTGGTTGTGTAATGACCGCACACCTGTTTGGCCTAATATATGCAGCGCTCATTCAAAACAATTCATAGTACTTCTGAAGCAAACTCTCAAATTTCTTCCAGAAATGTGAAAGATGCAGCAAGACGTTTGTGCAACTTCACTGGTCAGCTCTTCTGGTGTGTGTAGTATGTGTGGGACTGAAAATGAACAGCAATTGCCTGCAGAAGTCGCGCATGTGCACTAGTTTCCCATTTTTTGGTGGGAGATTTAAGGAGTGGGCCTAGACCTTGTTCCGACGATGGACCCAATTTCACGGCGCTGGTAAGCACACGGTTTTCTGCTAACAGAGCCTCCGTCTATTTCACGGAGACCGTAAGCATAAGCACAGCAAAAGGCATGCTTACCTCAGAGGAAAAATGTGCTTAACTTAGTGACGTAACAATAGAAATCTCCATGCACGCGCGACCGTTAGCACACACACGCCGTGAAATAGTGCTTAAGGTTAGCAAATTTTTCTGCTATGCTAAACACAACTTTTCTGCTAACTGTTTCAATAAGCAGCGCCGTGAAATTGGGCCCTTGTTCCGATGAGTTCGAGGGGGTTGGGCCAATATTGGTCCCAACCCTTGACGAGCAACTGTCATAAGCTGTTAAAAAATTTTTCTACAAGTACGTTTTTTTCTTGTGGTGTGTCCGCTGGTACTGTGGCCCCCTAATCTCCCGGATCTGGCAATGGTGGTGATCACTAGAACTTTTAATACAACAAAAGTTCTAGTGACGTTATTAGAACGTTTTAACGTAGTTTGCTCAGTGAGTTCAGCTTCAGAGCCTTGTACAAGTTGACCTACCAAAGCATTGTGAGTACAGCTCCCGGCGTACAGGGCAGATGCCGGTCTCTCTGGCCTGCCTCTGCTGTAGTCTGGTATCCAGCTGCTCCTGTAGGTTCACTACATCCAGTCTGGTAGCTGGGGTACTAGACACCTGCTGGACCCAGAGCTGGCCATTGTCTGTCCACTCTCTGAAAAAGGAAAACAATGTTGAAATAAAATAATAGGAACGACAACATTTAGCAGTTCTAATAAAGTGCATATCACTTATGCAGGGTGAGTAAAAAAAACCAACGAAACCCAAATGTCGGGACCATTGTTTTAGTGAAGTTCTGCATATAGCACTTTCAAAATCTAGGATATGAAAGCCCAATTCATAAGCTGTCTTTTATTACAAGAATCATTCAAATCACTCATGTACTTTTGAAGTTACGGAGTTTTAAACACAACCACCGTCTTAAAGTTCTGTCTACGGATCACAAAAAAGGTGTGCGTTCTTTCAGCAAAACAAAAACAATTCACACACATCCTTATGTGATTTTGTTTTCGTTTTGCTGAAAAAAAACCCACTGAACTTTTTTGTGATCTGTGGACAGAACCTTAAAATGGCGGTTGTGTTTAAAACTCTGTAACTTGAAAAGTACATGAGTGATTTGAATGATTCTTGTTCCAAAAAAGCTTATGAATTGGGCTTTCATATCCTAGATTTTGAAAGTGCTACATGCAGAACTTCACTAAAACAATGGTCCCGACATTTGGGTTTCGTTTTTTTTACTCATTCTGTACATGTAGGTCCTACGAAAAACATGCTCAATAGCAATTACTTGGAGTCAGGTTTAAAATGATGATTAATGTGGATTACGAACTGTTTACAAAAAAACATTAAAAAATGTGTATGCAGGAAAAGTGAAAACTCCTTCGTGATGCACAATTTTTTGAGGTCAGCGTTCAGGGGGAAGCAGTGGCAAATGTGAGGGTACCTTGGAGGCAAGATGGAGTTTAAGATCTCGTCAGTCTGTTGGGCTTTCTGCGCTTCCACAGGAGGTAGTTTGCTGCCCCCTTTGGGCGGTGGGTTGGGTACAGGGCCGGCATTGGTTGGTGGCTGAGGGCTGGTCCTCAAAGCTCTTGCCTGTAAAAAAAGAAGAAGAAATGGTCAAGAAATAACGAGAATCACAATTTCTTTTTATAAATTGTTTTTACATATCTGAATGACAGTACTTTTAACAGCCAGACAGTAAATTCTACAACTGATCCGCAATTCTCATATCTAAATTTCACTGAGTGTTTACTGAGCTGCATCACTGGTGAAACTTTCCCACACATTTTTTATTCTACAAATACAATAAATGTGACATACTTTCTTTTTTTTACAAAAAAGCCACGATATCTTTTTAATAGGCTTTTAATATGCCTAATTGAAGAATGTAATTTTTTTGTCAAGTTTTAAATTTTTAGTTGTAAGCCTTAGCTTAGGTTTCTCATAAATTTAATATTTTAACATGTTTTAACCTTTTCTATTGTTTAAAAGTAGGCTACTTTCAAATTTTGTCTGCATTTAATTTGAACTAGGCCCTAAAATAAAAGTTTTATCAGCACATTTCCCCCCCCCCAAAAAAAATTTGCAACATTTAAAAACAACAGAGTTTTAGTCTTGAAAGAATTCCATATACGGACGTCACTTTGTACAAACCTAGTATGACAATGAGACTGGTCTGAAATTAACTTCTAACTCTAAGTCAAGTGTTTTCTCATTATGCATCAATATTTTCCCTGCTAAATTTCACATTTTTAAGACATTGTTACCCCTTTCTGATGGCTGATAAGTCATTGCAGGGAAAAACTAGTGGCATTCATGAAATTCTTTCCTTTGCTTTAGTCTCACTAGCAGTCACAGCCACGGGACACTTCGTAAACTTGCACGCAATAAACCAAATTCACACCTACAGAAGTACACATACAACTAGCCCAGGTTGGACGAAGTCTTCATTGCAATACGACTAACGTCCAGGACAAGACTTTTATACATGAAACCATACAACATTTTTACCAGAGTTTTGTTATGTTTTACCTCGTTATAGAATCTAATATTTCACGCCTACATACTCTATGTGTCCTTATCTGTTAGCACGCTGGCTTCAGGAATTCCATATGCGATGCTGACTGACGTTAATCAGGAAAATAAACTCCAAAGCAACGTTAAACTTGTACGTGTTTGTAGTCGCTTTTCATCAGTTTATTCCCAGAGTCGTACGTCATGTACAATGTACATGATATGTACAAATGTACGTGCGTACAATCCGAAAGCGCGCACGCACGCTAAGCGCCCTCATTTGTTTAGTTTTGGTTGGAACCGTGATGTCACTCCAGCCAACCGATGTCAGGAAAACGCTCAACCAATGACCAAAGCCGAAACGTGTTTCTGGTAACTGGCGCGAAAACACGCTCGGTCATTGGATTAGCGACCTCACCTTCAAGTAAGTGCGCGTGCGTATGAGGGTGGTTACTAAGCAAATCGCGCGTGCGCACTGCATATTCATGCAGCATAGTCTGTCCCCCGGACCAGATGTGATAATGAGCGTCGAAAATAATTGTCCGGTCTAGGGAACCAGACTACACGCTGCACCGTACAGACGTATAGTCGGACTCCCTATTATCGCGGCATCCCTATTATCGCGGCATGGGAAATTTCTCTTTTTACAGTGTCAAAACTCCTTCAAGTGGCGATTTTTATCCAGTTCACCAGTCATCAAGGATTTTCTACCGAGTTGTATAAAAAGGACGATTAAAAAATGTTGTGTCTTTCGGGACTTTTAACGATTTTAATAAATATTAACGTTTTCCAAAACTTGCAAAATTTTCCCTCACCGTGTCTGCTAAAAGGTACCGTTTATATTTTAACATAAATCTTTAATTGCGCTCTGACCATGAAAGTTCCATTGTCTGGTTCCCATTCTTCAGCTGCAAATGTAAAATGAAGTCGAACGACGATATTGGCAGCGCGAAATCGTAACAACTTTTACGGGATCAAAATAAGGCGCGCGTTAGCGAAAATAAAACGGCACACCGTGTAAAGTGAATGGCGCCCTCAATCGCCGATCAGTAGACTTGCCTCAGGGATTTGTGTTCTCCTTTCGGGGGAAGGGCAGGGTCTTAAGAAATCATCCTGCAGAAAATTGGTCTTTAATCAACTTGAACGTTACAGGGAAAATATCAAACTTTATTCAGGGGGTGTTTCGGTCAAAGATAAACTATGAACAAAAAAGTTTGGATCATTATAAAAACCACTTCCCGCATACCGCGATAATAGGGAGTCCACCTCCGTTCGCACACGCCGCACATGTCTATTTTCACAGGCATCGTACACGGAATAAACCACACCACCGTCGGATTTTTTTATATTAATTTAAAAAGGAAGAGTTATACTACACATAAGACAGGACAATTCTGGAAGGTTAGTGGGCAATCTCTATTCCGAACGAGAAACGTGATAAGTACCGCGATAAAACGGCGTTCCATCCTACATGATGTACGACTAGAATAGACTCGGCGGTGAGAAACTGATGAAAAGAGACTAAACACGTACAAGTTTAACGATGCTTTCGAGTTTATTTTCCTGATTGACGTCAGTCAGCATCGCATATGGAATTCCTGAACCCAGCGTACTAACAGATAAGGACACATAGAATACTACGACGTAAAAATTAGCTTCTCCAACAAGGTAAAAATATTGAAATTATTGGTCAGAAATGTTTTCGTTCGGTTGTGAGCACATGTGTACTCAGGACTCCCTCCGTAACGTCATGAACGTAGGGAGGAAAGGGAGTCCACCAGGGCTAACATACAACATGCGTTGAACAATGACAGTTTCTCAACTCACCCTCGGTGTTTTCTTGTCTGTATTTCGACTAACCAGGACAGGAGTGTCGTATCTTACAAGCGAGGCGTTTGGAGGAATCATTATTGCATTCGAATTTGCACTTTCAACACAGAATCAAGATTTTAATTTCGTAGAAAATATCCACTCAAAACCTCCACTGAATGTTCGTAAAAATAAAGTTGTTGTATGACAGATTCCATGGAAACTTGCTAACACGCATGCGCAAGTTCTCCATGCGGGAGAATTTTCCCAGCATTCATTGCTGCTCCTGGTCAAGATGGCGGCCGCCATTTCGTGGGAAGGTAATAAAGTGATGCGTGTTTTCCCAATAAAACAGGTCTTAACGTTTACTTATCAATTTCAAACTGTGACCGGAAATTATTCAATAATAGATTTCTTTAAAAAGTAGATGGTAGCTATGAACATTTGTGTTTAAGTGGCCAAAAATACACCTTAAAGTTTACCGATATTGTTTGCGTTCACCATTTTCACGCACGATTTATGCGAGTCATGCTACGCACAATCAATGTACGCATGGGTTTAATACGCACGGCGAGTAAACTGCACGGCCGGCGGCCGGCCGGCGAATTTTTTTTCCATACCACATTATTCGCTATGGGCGTATATCGAAGCACGTTGAGTTGCAAGTCAGGTTCTACTTTATTTTCCCTTGAAAAAAAAATTCCTCCAATCAGTGAGCCCAAAGGCAAAGCCACATTAGCAAAAGAAAAATGTTCCAAATGACTAAAAAAAATTAGTAAGGCCAAAAAAAAAATAAGTCGGTCTCTGGTCAGCGCGTCGATCTTTTTTTTTTCCGAAATGTTCCGCGGTAGCTCCAACAGCGCCCTCTATTTCCGCACCTCCTCAATTTTTTTTCTACAGAGCACCAAGGAATGGGAAATTGCACCAAGGCAAATGATCGAAAGCACCAAGGCAAATTATGGAGGACACCAATGTACACGAGGACACCAAAAAAGCAAAATAGTACCCACCTTGTATGTACAATTCAAGCTTGAAGGAAAAAAAAAAAAGCCAAAAAAAAAAAAAAAGCCGCGTGGCCGCGTCAATTCCAGAACTTTGGTCTGACCAGAGACCAAATATTTTTTTTTTTTGGCCTAAAAATCAGTTTTTTAGAGAAAAAAAAAAAAAAAAAAAAAACGGTAAAAAAAATAAAGGAAAATCTTTTGCAACCTGACGCCACTTCCCGGATTGTGTACAAAGTCTATGGAGAGTCAAGAAAATGTTAAATTGAAGCATTTCCTTACAAAATTGGAAATGTTTCTCAGTCCCAGATTCATGTCTTATCATTTTTGCAATGAATGACCTTCATTGAGATAATATATGATGAAAAAAAGTGGCGTTGGGATGTAATATTCTTTCCAAATCATGTTTTTCGAGTTAATTCTTTCGTATTCATTAAATCACAGATGCAAGGGATCAGTTGAAGAAGTGGAGAGAGGAGAGTGCAAGGCGGAGTGCTGAGACGTTGGAGTTGGGGGAGTTTGTTTTAACAAATCACAGAGGGCTTGGTGATGAAGGTAATAGACCCGTCCTGTCTCTCAATTTAATAGTGGGTACGGACCAGACTGGGACCTGGAGTACTCTGAAACGTGCACAACTAAATCAGGCCAACATTACTCACTCTTTAGCCAGCAAATTTCTCAAAAAATTCCATTGGGCAAAGACAAGGTCCTCGGTATTGTACCAACCAAGTTTGCAGACTCAATTCAATGTATAATTATCCCTAACTCCCTAGGCCTTTTTGCTAGGATGTAGCCTCAATCCTGCAAAATCCTCCAATTGGCCTTATGGAAAAATAGCATATAGCCTCAATCCTGCAAATTCCTCCGTTATTTCTTGAATATGGTCCATGGAGGGGTGACCACTGCCTGAATCCTGCAAAATCCTCCGGCTATGACTGTCAATAGGCTGAGGCAGAGGCAGTGACATCCTGGAGCAGTACGGAGGTTGTCAAGTATAATCAAGGACTAAATTTATGCACGGATGAGCATAAACAACACAAGGTCCGGCCCAAGATCTTGACACAGTGCGTACTCCGAAATCAGCAACGCACTTTTGCCATGTAACCTCAATCCTGCAAATTCCTCCAATTTGCAAAAAGGATTTTGGAGGATTCAGGGCGGTTAGGTTTAAAGGAGACATTTCTTCAAAATTTCACACTGTTGAATTTGTTCCGCTAAGTTACATTACCGGTATTTTTTTTTCACTTTAGTTTGGGCTGTCCACGAGCAGGTCTGCATAGCTGCCCTTGACGTGGGCGACATAGCGGAGGCATCATCTGCCATCGATGCATTGAAGGCGCAATTCCCACAGAGCAAGAGAGTCAAGAGATTACAAGGCATGAAATTGGAAGCACAAGGAAGGTCGGTGGAAAAAGTTTTGGTAACATCAGAAGGGCAATTCCACGATTATTAACGTTACATTTTTGATGTACTTTTGAGTTTCCTTGGGCTGTAATTACCTTACTGAAAAGGTTTAATAACTGTTATCCCCATGGTAGATAGAGTAGACCTAGACCTACCTAAGCACCAAAGATGACATCCAGAAAAATGTGTTATGTATGATAAACAAGACGCACAAAATCGGTTCTACTCGCGTTACGAAAATGTAACGTGAGTAACTGACAAACAAATAACGAATTAGTGAAACTGATGAAACGGATTTGAAATGGAGGTGGCAGAGTTTAAATCAAAGCCTCAATCTTCCCAAATCATCCGTCATTTCTTGAATGTGGTCCTTGGAGGGGTGACCGCTGCCTCAATTCTGCTAAATCCTCCAGCAATCACTGTCAATATGTGGAGGCAGAGCCGTTGACATCTTGGAGCAGTGCGGAGTATTTTAAGTGTAATATGAGCCTAGATTTATGCACGGCTGAGCATAAACAACACAAGGTCTGGCCCAAGACCTTGACATAGTGCATCCTGCAAACTTGCCATATTGCCTCAATCCTGCAAAATTTCGATTTTGCAAAGAGCATTTTGCAGGATTTGGGAAGTTTAGGGATAATAATACGATTAACAAAAAAAAAACACTTACATAGTTGGATAACCACAAATTCTTTTTTTAACAGGTTTGATGATGCCAAACTAGTCTATGAAGAGTTGTTAAAAGAAGATTCTTCAAATGCAGTAAGTGCTCACCCATAGTCTTTAATTTAAGTCGCCAAGTAAGAGTAAATTGTAGAGGTAGACCTTTGAATTAACATTCCATAAGAGACAAACAGTTACTCAATTCATCCGATTAAAACCCTTACCCTGCTAAATGCAACACAAAGCAACAAAAGGTCAAAAGTTGTTGCATACTGTTGCATTTAGCAGCCAACTCTAGTCCCTGTGCTTTGTTGCATCTTGTTGCATTTAGCAGGGTAACTGCTCATAGTGCCAAGGCAATACAACAGAATCCACTGTTGCATTTAGCAGGGTTACTGCTTTGTTGCCAAGGCTGGTAGGCACTGGGTTCACTGCACAATGCAACAGAATACACTATTGCAATTTGTTGCATTCAGCATGGTTCTTATTTTAGCCAAGTTGCATCTTGTTGCATTTATCAGGGTAACTGCTCATAGTGCTAAGGCAGTACAACAGAATCCACTGTTGCAATTAGCAGGGTAACTGCTTGGTGGTATGCATGGGATTCACTGCGCAATGCAACAGAATCCACTGTTGCAAATTGTTGCATTCAGCATGGTTCTTATTTCAGCCAAGTTGCATCTTGTTGCATTTAGCAGGGTAACTGCTCATAGTGCCAAGGCAATACAACAGAATCCACTGTTGCATTTGGTTGCATTTAGCAGGGTAACTGCTCGGTACCAAGGCTGGTAGGCACTGGGTTCACTGCACAATGCAACAGAATCCACTGTTGCAATTTGTTGTATTCAGCATGGGTCACATTTCAGCCAAGTTGAATCTTGTTGCATTTGGCAGGGTGCCTAGAGAAAAAAACCTGTTAATATAAATTCTTGGTTTTGTGGATTTGTGTGTTCTTTTAGATGATTAGGAAAAGGTTAGTCGCCATCTTCAAAGCACAAGACAGAATACCAGACGCTATAAAAGAACTCATGAAGTATTTAGAGAGGTGAGTGCATTCTTAACGATTCAATCTTGTGTCTCACTTTGACTATTTTAATTAACAGGGCGACACCAAAAACGTTGTGCAAGCAGACATCTTTAAATTTCTCAAAAAGTATCCAACATCAGCATGTTTTGTTGGAGTATAATTGTTTGTACTCTGGTGTATAATCACAGTGAAGAGTTGATGAAAATCCATTCATGCAAGCTAGAGATACAACAGATTACAAACGGCAACATGTTTTTTCAACCGTTCCAATGTGATTTGCACAGTTAATAAAAAGACCCATTGCGGAGTACCGGTTGAGCGATTTCCAATGCAATGTGTAATTCCCAAAAACACATATCCATTTATAATCTGTTACAGCTCTGGTTAGCATGAATGGGATTCCATAACGTTTTCACAGATTATACACAAGAGTATAACTAATATGCTCCGTCAAGATGAAATACTCATGTCAGGTACTTTTTGAGAAATTTTACGATATCGCTTGCACAGGGTTTTTTGGTCACCCTGTATTCCCCATATCAGACTTAATTTTCCCATGTTTCAAATACTGAAGTATTTAAAACTGATCAATTTTTTTTCCTTTGATAGTTTTATGGCGGACCACGAGGCATGGTTAGAGTTGTCCGAGTTGTATATACAGGAACAACAGTAAGTGAAGATGTTCTTATAAAATACAATTGTAAAAATATGTTTCAAGAAATAAATCCTGTTCTGATGTGAATATTCTAAATGTTTGTTTACTTTTCTTGCCTTTTGTGAATGAAAAGGAACACTCGGTCATTCATCAATTGCTTACTTCAACCCAAACGTACATGAATTCATCAAAATCCATACCCCTGTTTTGCCGGAGGATTTTGTTGGATTCAGGATACATCCATATTGAAAAAATTGGGGGATTTTGATGGATTTAGGACAGTAAACCTAGCAGTACTGCAGGATTTTGATGGATTCAGGATACCTCCATATTGAACAAGTTGGGGGATTTTTATGGATTTAGGATAGTAAGCCTAGCGGTACTGCAGGATTTTGATGGATTCAGGATACCTCCGTATTGAGCAGTTGGGGGACTTTGATGGATTCAGGATCTCAACAGTTTAACTCCTTGGCTATATGTTTGGTGTGTACGAGATAAACATGTGTATTTTACACTGGTGGATTCTGATGGACTCACTGGTAGATTCTGATGGACTCAGGACACCAACATTTTTTTGCATGACAAAAGTGGTGGATTTTGGCGGATGCAGGATACTTTCCAGTACAAGTGCTCGAGAGGTTAAGGGTTAAATAAAATCGGAAACATTTTTAAGAAAATCAAATTTGTATGTGAGGGTTCAATTCATTCCAATTATCTTCATCAATCTCGTATTTTTCTCTTGCCACAGTTATAGTAAAGCGGCATTTTGTTTGGAGGAACTTATTATGTCCAATCCACACAATCATCTCTTTCACCAGAAGTACGCAGAGGTAAACAAAAAACTGTTTGTCAACTTAAAGTAATTGGGCTAATTTTATTTTATCTTCAAGCAAAATTCAATATTAGGTTTTGCCCTTCACTGACGTATAAACACTGTATACTCAGTGTGTTACTCCCCGAGGGAAAGTGAGTCCAGTGCATCTGCACTAGAAAGCAGGAGGTTGTGGGTTCGAGTCCCACCCGAGTGATTTTTTCCAGCTTTCACTCGGGAGGTAACACACTGAGTATACAATGTTTATACGTCGGTGAAGGGCAAAACCTCATTTGATTTACATCACCCCGACGCAAATTCCATCTGAATCCTTGATTCTGTTTGGTCGATCCATGGCAACAATAGTGTGATATAGCTAATCGCACGGTCCGTATCGCACCCTGCGTATTGCAGTATTCCAAGATGCGCGCTCCTCTTCTGCGCGCACTTGTAAAAGAATAACTGCTGAAAAGCTTGTGTATCGCTACCTGTTCCATCTTTACTGTGGGTCAAGTTTGCTTGCAGACAGATTCGTTATCCCACTCGCGCTCGTTGAACACGGAAAATGTAGTGTGTCTTGCTTCCCACGTGCCTCGTGGTGTGTGGGACACAGAGGCACTACATTATTCCGTGTTCCACCCACGCTCGTGGGATAACTAATATAGTCGGTTTTGTAGTTTGAATTTATGTCAACAAAGGGCAAAACGGAATTCTAAATTCCCTGATGCAGAGTTTCATACTACAAAATCGAGTTTTAAAAGTTATTAATTTCACAGGCATGCAACTTTTCCTCGGATCAGCTTATTTTGTCGTTTTTCACTTCACACTTATGCCATTATAAATTGAAAAAGACTGTAGGCCTACAAAGTCTTGTAAAAAACATTGGAGTTTCCTCTCTTTTTATCCCCCTGGCTTTCAAGGTAGACAGGGGGATATTGCGATCGCGTATTCCTTCTGTGTATCTGTCTGTGCGTTTGTGTGTGTGTGTTCCATTTAACTGTAAAGTTCAATCATCAATCTCAACTTGAAAGGTGGTCTGTGGCCGATGTCAAAAAATCCTTTCCAATATGGATATTTATGAGGTCTCTGGAGAGATACTCCCCATTCAACTGAGAACTGGTACCTGCCAGGTGGACAATCAAGGCCGTCACTGAAAATAGTCCTTACTAACTGCCTGTACATGTACATGTATACAAACTGGCAGCATGCCAGGGGGTACGCGCAAGTTTTACTTTCAGTATTTTTTGTTTTTTCCAAGTTGCATGCCTGATTTCAGTAATCTTTATCCAGTTTTGAAATGTACATTTCATGGTTGACACCTAAAACAGCATTGAGAAGTCAAGTTATCACTTCTTGATTTTTCCGTCATCTCTCAAGATTCGCTACACTCAGGGAGGCACGGAATCCATGGAAATTGCCAGGAAATACTTTGCTCAGGCCGTCAAGCTGAACAGTAATAACATCAGAGCGCTGTATGGATTATTCCTGGTGAGTTTTTTGGGTCGCGGACCTATGATTTATAGAGTCTTTTAAGCTTTATCCACTGCATTTTTGCAAGGCAGCTTCCTAGATCCTTCACTGTACAGGATACTACCAGCCTAGGGCAAGTTCGCGCAAGAACTATTCTTGACCATTGGTTAACCATAGTTCGACTAAAGTTAGCCCGAACTCTGTCTAGTCGACGGTGGTTGACTACGCTAGTCGACTATGTGGAACCAGCGTACTGGGCCTGGTTGCATCACTGGTAACCAAGAGCCGCGCGCATTCATAATGCACAGCAGGGAGCCAGGATCCAGAAGTTTGGCGATGACATTTGACCATCGTTTGACTAGAGGCGTTTGCACGTCGCTATAATTCGCAGGCCTAAGTTACATCACAATTCAACCACTAGTCGACTAATGGTCCTTGCCCGAACTTGCTCTTGGTATCTGTGTTTCAACTCTTAAGAGGCATCGAGCCCCGTGCCAAGTAAAACTGGCTGACCTGTAAAACCTTCAATTTTGCAACATCCTCCAAAACCTGGTGCGTTCTGAAAGATTTGGGATCACATAGGATTAATGAAAGTTCACCATCTTGAAAACTAATCCTGTCTTATGTGCTTCTTTTCAGGCTGCAACACACCTGGCTTCTTCACAGAAAGGCACCGCCAAGAGTAAAAAAGATAACATCAGATATGCTGCCTGGGCATCACAACAACTGCAGCACAGATACAGGGTAAGAACTTATACAAATATTTGTCCAGAGCTTTGTCAATTCAAATAAACGAATATTCGAGTATTGAACTTCCAAGTGATCGAATAGTCAAATATTTGAATATTTGGAACAGCATTAGCTTCATTTATCCAAACCTTTGACCAATCAGACTATGACTTGTGGTCAGGTGACCACTTGTGGTCAGGTGACCACAAAAGAGCACAATCTCAGCATAATTGATGTGAAAACTGCATGCTGATACCATCTTTAGTTCAAAACTTATGGAAAGTCGGAACACCAAGAGATGTGATGAGGTGCTGTGATGAAGTGGCCCTATTTTGGCCTGAATCTCCAAATAAAGTTCCGGACAAACAACTCATTTAGCTTGATCGCATCACATTTGTTTTGTTTTTGTTTTTTTCAGCTCGCCGAGAGAAAAGAATCTGAACCTCAAGTCCAGCACCTGGAAAAGATGATAGATTCTTTACAGATCACTGCCTCATAACTTTCACAAATTCAGTAGATAGGTTGTAATATAATTGATATCATTGTTGCAATTCATGTAAAGGTTGATTTTTTTTTAAAATTTGTTTTTTTTTGTCCGGGAGTATCACTTCTGAAACTTAAAAAAGAAAAAAACTTGTCTCAGAACTTTGGCTTGTATTATATTTGATTGCCCGTCACTGAAAATGAACCTATATGAATTTTTGAGCTTGTAGCCAGGGGCCTCATTAAATGGTTAAGAATCTTAATACCAAAGCTTTTGAGAAAGCCAAAGGCGTTAAAATTCCAAAATAAAACTTGGTGTATTATTCTAACCGACGACGGGTAAGAACTTCTTGAGTTTGGGTACTTCCCCCCCCCCCCCCTCCCCGACTTCCCCAGAGGTGACCGTGTTAAAAACATCCTCTGTCAGTCTGAGAGATATAATTTTTACACTATAGTATTAGTAGTGTCTATAACTAAATTAAGTTCCTTCTTTACACTCGTTTCTTGTCTTTGAGGATATAATCGAAAATATTTATTAAAATTTTACAAGTCAAGCACGGCTTAGATACAGGGCGACCCAAAAAAATGCAACCCTAAAACATTGCCTTTAAAAAAAAAGGATTGGTGGATTTTTATGTTTTGGATATCAGATTGAAGCTGAGAGCATTTTCTTTCAAATACTGAAGAAAAAAAAATCATGAAAATAGCACTTTGGGTTGCTGAGAAAATGCCAATTATGTAAAAGTAGTCATTTTTCATCCTGTACAGAAACAATTATCACAGTATGGGATTTTCACTGTACCTATCTGTGTATGTCCTAATCCTTACAAACAACACAGCACATAATATGACGAGTACAAATGAAATTGATAGAAATACCTTTTATTTTCCACCTGAACAGGTATCTCAGCTTTTTTAGTCGTATTTGAAACCTTTTCAGCATTATAAATATGTCTAAAATATTAAAGAAATTGCACAAAATGAAGGATAATTGCACAGTAGGCTTACAGTAAAATGTTTCACAGTTTGAAGTACTTGTGTAGCCTACAGGATGAAAAATGACTACTTTTACATAATTGGCATTTTCTCAGCAACCCAAAGTGCTATTTTCATGATTTTTTTTAAGTATTTGAAAGAAAAAGCTCTCAGCGTTAATCTGATACCCAAAACATAAAAATCCACCGATCCTTTTTTTTTAAAAGGCAAATGTTTTAGGGTTGTATTTTTTGGGTCACCCTGTACATAGTCAGGACAGCATTTCGTAACTTTTGTAGCGCTGTAAACTTTGTCTCAATTTACTCAACTGTTCAAAACCTCCTATGTTTTTTAATTTCTTATCGATAGAAGTCTTCACAATTTATCCCAAATTGGTTTACATTTTATCACACAGTAATTCTTCCACTTATATTATATTTGTATGCATCCGTAGATCTGTGTTTCATTCAATCTGAATTTAATTATACGCCTAAGCTGATTTCAACCAATTTTTGGGGGGACTCGGTAATAAAGAGCACATACAATGTAACACAAATCTTTTTTTGAAATTATTTGATTTTTCTTTTATTCAGAGAGAAGATCACAATAGTAATACGCACAATACTGTCAAACATATTGGAAATCCAGTACATCGAGTGTAGGGTAGTAACGTTAGAAAATATTTTTATGGACATGTATTGTGCACAGGTTGCATATATGTATCAAAGGTTGAGGATTAAATGACTTTTGGTATTATCAATGGACAAAAGAATCGGATTGTTATTTTGTTTAAAATTGGGGGAGGGAGCGTAAAATAGCAAATATGTTCTTTTTGCCATAATTCACTCAGATCTGAAAAGTGACATTTTGAAAATCATACATGTCAACATTTTGATGATGTGGTACATCGCTTAAAAATGACAAAGGCAGGAATCGATTCAATTGAACAAAAGCCCACTCAAAAACTGAGATCTGCTTTCTGTTATTAACACCCATGCAGCTGTATGCAAGCCACTGGTACCCTACATCCTTGATTTCTGATTGGTCACCTAGGCTCTGATTTATTCATGAGTTTCATCTTTTGCTCCCTGACGTGTTTCCCGAACACTTTTTCCCGGATGGCGTTGTGTTCTTGGTAAAAGCTGTCCCGAATTTCAGCCTCTGCCGCATCATCCATAAGATCCTAAAAAAAAGAGCAAAATATTGCTAAAACAGGTTCCCAATACAAGATATACATTTGTACTTGGCAAATTTAATGTCCCCTCCCAATCTTCTGTTCCCCTCTATTGAAAAATGGAAGCTGCCTACCTCTATATGCCGCGTCTTCTCCATGGTAATGAGTCGTCTGCCTATGGTGGTGCTCAGTGGTTGCTCACTGTTAGCCACTAGAGATAGGCAAGGGTGACGGGGTACCTGATCTTCAGTGTATCTAAGGGTGCGATTGAAACATTCCATTTTGGTTAACAGGGGTGTTTCAGACAACATGGATTAATTGAATCCGTGATAGTGAAAGAAATTGTATGCGACAGGCAGGACAATACACGTGTACTTCTTAGGTTCTCAAACAAGCTTGAAACCTGAAGCATATGTGATGCAATCAAGCTACATGAGTCGTTTGTCGACCCTGGACAATTTTTTTTTATTACAGATTTGAAAAGAGCACAACCTCAGCATTACTGCTGTCAAACCGCATGCTGATACCATCCTTAGTTAAAAAATTATGAGAGTTGGAACACCAAGAGATGCAATGAAGTGATGTGATGAAGTGGCCCTATTTTGGCCTGTGTCTCCAAATAAGAATTCCTGACAAACGACTCATTTAGCTTGATCGCATCACATATATTTTACACTTAAACTTTTAAGGATTTACACAAAGTTTGGACCTTTTTGCCTTCTGGACTTACTCTGGTCGACAGACAGGAAGCCAGTAGACAAGTCTGCCGTGAAGTCGCAGAAACCGCGCCGAGAAATTGAGCAAATCTGTGAAGATATCCGAGAGATGATAGTTCGTCTTGGATGGAATGTGCTGAGCTGCCCTAAAACAAAAAGTACCAAAAGAATTTTCTGTTACTTTAAAGCTGCTCTTCAATACACAGGGTGGATAAAAATAAACGAAACCGAGATATTATTGCTAATTGGAACAGAAGTAGGGCACATGTGAATCAAAGGGAGATATCCTCTGTTAGGGTTGAATCTCCTCTTTAAAATGACATTCTGGTCATGTCATTACATTCACGGTTGACTGAGCAGTGACCAATTTTATGAAAGGGTCTATTTAGAGAATTGCGCCACTTTTCATGGTGAAATCTCTTTTTTTTCCCCACCTGCCTTGATTGGCAAACATAGCCTTTCACTCTGTGACACAAATGACACCACAAAATCAACAATTGAAAAGTGGCTATACAAATAGACAAAATGACAATAAAATATAGATATTTTAAAAAGAATGCTTTCTGTCAGAAAGCAATATTTTGTTTAATGAAGTTGAATGCAGAAATTGACTTCAGCGGGTTTGAACCTGTGACCTTCGGATTACCTTTCCGGTGCTCTACCAACTGAGCTATCCAGCTGCATGTTGGCAGTTCCACATTTTTGTCAATGTTTTTATTCAAAAGGCACTAGTAAGCTTCTCTTTGTGGCTTATTTGAAAAGTTAGAATCAATATTTGATTTCACTCACTGATCCTCATTTACTGTTGGTTCCTTGGTGCTTCCGATCTTTCTGGTCGACTCTCGAATTCCATATGGTGCTGGCAAAAATTATGAAAACAAATTCCAAGTACATTGAAATACAGACTCATCATCCTAGACAATGCATTTGTAACATGTACTCTTTTATTAATTGGAATCTAGAATAGCATGCATTTCAATTTCAGAGCGGACAAAATTGACAACTCCAAATAATTCCAGAAAAAAACCCAACAATTTGCATTGGAGACGGGATAGAAAATGGCAAAAACTAGAGGTAAGTTTGATTAAGATCTTAAGTTTCAGAAGTGACAAAAGTGACCGGCAGAAAACTTGGGTACAAACTCTATGGGATTTGGTATAGAAAACAAAGGAGGAATGAGAAGAAAGAAAAAAATCAGAACAAAAATGAAGGCTTTTCCGCAGGTTGCGGATAGCAAGATGAGACAGAAAATGGCAAAAACTAGAGGTAAGTTTGATTAAGATCTAAAGTTTTACAAGTGACAAAAGTGACCAGCAGAAAACTTGGGTACAAACTCTATGGGATTTGGTATAGAAAACAAAGGAGGAATGAGAAGAAAGAAAAAAAATCAGAACAAAAACGAAGGCTTTTCCGCAGGTTGCAGAAAAGTAAAAAGAAGAAAGTATGAAAACCTACGATCAGTGATGATGGCATCGAAGACCGGCTGCTCCCTCCAGACTTGGCAAGAGAAGTCAGAGACAAGGACGTCAAGGTAAAGATGCTCCAAGCCGTACTGTCTCAAGTTGGCTCGAATATTCTCATCCTTCCCTGTACAACAATAATAATAATATTAATAATAATAATACTAATTTTTTAGTGCTTTATACCACTGAAGGTCTCAAAGCCCTTCACAATTATTACCCCTGTTCATCAGGCCAGTTTTCTGCAGCAGCTCGAGATCAGAGCAATCTGGGCCCATATTACATGGCTCTGCTTACTGTTAGCGAAAAATTCCTGCTTACTGTAGCAGAAACTTCCATGCTTATGGTAAGCGCATTTCACAGGTTAGCGAGGAATTTTGACTTCTGTGCATCCCGTTACTAAGGATTCTGTACTTACAGGTTTAGCACAGAATACAGGTTCAACACGGAAATTGGGCCCAGGGCCCAATTTCATGGAACCCGTAACGGTTAGCGAGAAATCGCCGCTAACTATAGCGGAAAATTCCGCGCTATCGGTTAGCGTATTTCACGGGTTAGCAAGGAATTTTGGCTTGTGCGCATGCGTACTTCCCGTAACTAAGGATTCTATGCTTACAAGGTTAGCGCAGAATTTTTGTGCTAGCTCAGTTAGCACAAAATTGCGGGCCGTTAGCACAAAATTCAGCGTTACGGATTCCATGAAATTGGGCCCTGGTCTCTACCGTCACAGGTACACATGTACCCATTTATTCTCCTGGGTGGAGAAAGGCAGTTGTAGTAAAGTGTCTTGCCCAAGAACACAAGCACCATGTTCACCGTCATTGGACCATGGCACTTTCCCTGAAAGTAACACACAAATTTGTCAGCACAGAAGTTAGCACAAAATGGTGATGGTAAGCACGGAATTCTGTGTTTAGCAGAGCCATGAAATTAAGCCCTGGTCTCTACCATCACAGGTACCAATTTATACTCCTGGGTGGAGAGAGGCAGTTGTAGTAAAGTGTCTTGCCCAAGAACACAAGCACCATTTTCACAGCATTGGACCATCGCATTTTTCCTAAAAGTAACACAAACATGTGTCTGGATCATGTATGTTGACTAGAGTTGGACAATTTCCCACACTGGCCCAATGAATGAACTCAACTCAACCCACTCTGTACATGTATACCATTACCTCTGTATTGTGCGGCTCCTTTTCGACTGGTCTTTCCCCGCCCATGGATGATGTTAATATTGATGTCCCCACCCATCACATAGCTACCAAAGTGGGCGGAGCCCACCAGGAGACTCCCCGTGCCCACAAAGGGGTCGAAGGTCACCAGGCCCGGCCGGAGCTGAGCCTGATTGGCCATGAGGAGGGAGAGCGTCGCGTCCATGCTGGTGTTGCCGATGAAGTGCCGCTTCTTGACTGAGTAGAGCTGTTCTAATTGTCGCTGGCCCTCGGCAATCTATAAACATCGATATATTATTGGCAATATTACACAACAATCAAACCAGTAAAAACATTTCCAACATATAAAAACAGAACACGATTTTACAGTTGATGTGTTTTTTTCCTAACAGCCAAGTTTTCTTTAGTAACTATGACTATTCACCAAGTAGCAAATGTTGATTAAATATCAATATATTGTTGATTACTGTCAGCCGAAGTTGGCCGACAAACAGTCGTCGGGTGTGCACTTCAGCGCCAGTTGGCAAGTTTGACTGGTGCGCCCCGCGCGCTGTGCATGGTAATCGACCATGCATTGCCATTCTTTTGTACACAAATTTTATTTGCACACAAACCAATGACCACTCTGGCTAGCGATCAGAGCTTGATCGGCTGTCAGTGATGCCTCCTTTTCACTGCAATTGTAGGGTGAATCTTCATGGTGGATCGTTATTTTCTTCAAGGACCTGTGTAGTGGTTATGCCTGACAAGATTTGGGTGAGTCCCAGGGGGAATAAGTGTGTCACGGGGACAAAATGGCACTTTTTTGAATTCAATTTTTAGAGATGCTAGTCCTAGTTGAAAGCTTCCTCCAGCCCTAGTACAACAACCCAATGATAAAATATAGGGCTGAGGTAACTCCAGCTATAGCCCCAAAGTAGCTTTGATGAATACTCACCAAACGGCCAAAATAGACTTTGTATGGCTGCTCTGGTATTTTATTGGGCGTCAGTCCATAGTCTGCATAGATATGGAACACCTGTTCCGGGTTCTTCAGATCCACTTTCCCTTTGAAGTCCAAAAACTCGGCCAAGTCCTCAATGATGGCCAACTTTTCCACCATTCCTAGTTTCTTCCCGAGCGTCCGCATCCTGAAACAGAAGCTCATATCCGCATTGACGTTGTATGGTGCCTTTTTATCCTCGGGGTACAGTTTGAGTGACTGGCGGAGATCCGTCCAAGAGTTTCCCTGGCCCCACACCTCAATCATGAACCGACCCAGCATTGTTCGTGCCATGATCTTGTCTGCGCAAGAATCCGACGGCAACCGAAGAAGCAGAAACGGATTCTGAAGAGGAAAAATTAGATGTCCACTTGTAAGTTCATTAATGAGGCATGTCATTATTGGACAAAGTATAAATTATAAGGAAAGAATGCAGTATCCAGCAACCTCAGCGATTGTGTATACAGTCTATGAGAGAGTCAAGAAAATTTTCAAAGTATTTCCTAACAGAATAATTGGAAATGTTTCTCAGCAGATTCATGTCTTTTCAACATTTTTGCAACAACTAATTACCTTCAAATGAGATGATATATGAAGGAAAAAAGATATTAATGGTAATTCTATAAGCAATACTCTTGCGATATTCTTAGAAATTCTTACCGACTGATCATATTCAGGGTCATTTAGTTCCGCTTTGATACCAAATATGGAAGTAATGGCTCGCAGTTCCTTGCAAGGAAGAAACACACATTAGTTTAAAACAGAATTAATACAATGATTATTGATTAGTTTTCAACTGAATGCACTAAATAATACATACTTCCCTATCCCGTCCTCCCCCTGCCCCAGCCTCCAACCCCCCCCCCCCCCGTGGCTCCCAGCCCCCCCCAACACATGCACCACCCGCAAACATCGCGCTTCGCTAGCCGCCATCGGCATGATCGGCATCGCCCGAACTTCACATGAGTCTATCATGGAACAAATCGGATAAAGAATCACTCGGAAACAAATACACAGGGCCTGTCAGTAAAACACTTCAAATTAATCAAAACCTCCTCCTACTCGATCACTTACTGCCAATCTAAACTCCACATGTTCGTGAGCAAAACACAACAAATATTGTCGCATGGAGGCTGCCATCTTGAAACCGAAATGCATTCTGGGAGTTTTAGTAATCGATGGTATCCGGCAGAAGCTGTTTTATTGGAGGTGAATCGTCATTCGGTTACCAGTTTAAATGCCCTGCTTATTTTGACGTGTAGGAAAGTCAAGTGAATTAGCAAAAAAGACACAGTTTTGGTTACAGCTGGTACAAAAAATCCCCCCAAAAATGGAAGAAAAGGAACCTGCAGTGGTCAGAAGAAAGACAAAGGGATCTGACAGTGTGGAGAACAACCCTGCCGACGGACAGACAGAGACAGTCCCCAACAAAGAAGAAAATCACAAAACAAGTTCGAAGGAGTACACCGAATCTGTCTCGCAGTGGTTGATGCAGTACCGCACGCACCAATGGATGCACTACTGTTCGCAACATGCCCTCATGATGGCGCCCTACTTCTTTGGTTCCCCGTTTCCACCAGTAAACACACCCAATGGATCTCCCTCAAGTCCGTTTGGAGTGCCGCCCCCAGCAAGTGGGCCTGCTGACCACGCCCCCTTTTTCCAGCAGCAGCAAAACGGACAGCAGCAGCCGCAGGTGCAAGTTCCGGGACAGTTTCCATTTACGTTTCCGCAACCGCCGATGATTGATACTCCAGTACAGCCACCGCAACAGCAAACAGCACAGCCACACATCCCGCAACTCACAGGTGGTGCACACAAACACAATCATTTCAATGTGCAATGCGGGATTCGAACCTTCTAGTTCTACTGCTATAAATAATAGGAACTTAGGAAGTGTATATTTAGCCGGCTAGATTTAGCCGCCTTTCTTTGAGTAATTGTAAACAATTAATCCGACTAGATTGGGAGAAAATGTTGCAACCTGACACCACTTCAGCGGTTGTGTGCAAAGTCTTGGTTGCAACATGTTTTCCCTAGATTGTACAGCGCCCTCTTTGACACGTAAATGAGTAGGCCTACATTATAAAAAAAAATTAAATTACCACCATCGTTTGTGCAGCACCTATGGCCGAGTGGATAGCGTGTAACTCATGAGTGAGAGATCCCTGGTTGAACTCCCAGCTAGCGACATTTTCAATTTTTTTTTCATTCAACAAATTTAGAATATCCTTCTTTTATTATTTTAAATTGACAGCAAGATTTCATTACAAAGTATTACATTTTCTTCCTCTGATTCGTGGCTCTGGAGGATTTTTTTTATTAAAGGGAAATAGAGTCCGAAATTGTAAAAATGGTCTTATTCTGATCTCATGAATACGAGGTCACAATGACAATGTTGGAGAGGAACCAGACTAAGATTTGTCAGGGTAAAAATTTCCAAGTCCCAAAAAATTGTCAGGCAAAATGTCATTTTCTAAAAGAAAGCCGGCGCCCACTAAATATCCACTGCCTAAATAGTAGGCCTACTATTCCGGTGCTCTACCATGGAAATGAATAATACATAACATTGATCCTAAACTATCGTGTACATGTATTTACTGACTTACATTTTACCAAAGTATTATTGTATGGAAAGAATGTAGTTTCCAGACGCCACTCCTAATATGGAGGGTCAAGAAAATTTCGAAGTATTTCCTTACAAAATTGAATACATGTTTCTCAGTCCCAGATTCATGTCTTTTCAAAATATTGCAATGACTGATGTTTTGAGATGATATATGAAAAAAAAGTGGCGTCAGGTTGCAACATTCTTTCCTATTGTATTAATAAATTGTAAAGGTATGAAATTAGGTCAATTTCCAATTTTCAAAACTTTGACCAAAATGTGAACTTTATTGTTGGTATTTTTTCGTTGCAGTGAGTGAATTCACCCTGCCATCTCTCTACCGACGCATATTTGCCGAAATCATCGATTTCATCTTGCTGTTTGTCATGAAATTTGGCGTCACTCTCTTCGTCATAGAATACATGGGGATTGTGTAAGTAAACAAAGACTTGTGATGAAGAGGTGGGACCAACAGAGGACAAAAAGTGTGGGGGGATTGACGAACAATGACGAACAATCTGAATATTGAATAACAATTTCATAATGATGACGCAAGTCTTTGGTTATTTTGTATGTGCTTTTACATGTTTATTAACCCTAACCATCCCAAATCCTCTAAAATCCTATTTGCAAAAATGGAGGATTTGGCAGCATTGAGGCTATACGTGTCAGCGGCCCGACCACGTTGTAGCCGCGTCCTTCGCAATTCAGCATACCAGCTGCGAGTAAGGATGATTAGCCTCCCAAATTATTATATTATTATTATATGGCAAAAATGTGTGGGTGATTTTGGAGGATGCACTGTGTCAAGGTCTTGGGCCGGACCTTGTGTTGTTAATGCTCAGCCGTGCATAAATTTAGGCCTAGGTTATAATTGAAATTCTCCACACTGCTCCAGGATGTCACTGGCTCTGCCTCAACATATTGACAGTGATTGCTAGAGGATTTTGCAAGACTGAGGCAGTGGCCACACCTCTAAGGACCACATTCAAGAAATAACGGATGATTTTGCAGGATTGAGGCTGTTATATGTGCAATTTTTACATTGAGGCAGTTGGAGGATTTTGCAGGATTGAAGTTGCATCCTAGCAAAAATGCCCAGGGAGTTAGGGTTACAGTATAAAGATCTTATTTACATTTTACTATAGTATAATAAACAATCTTTGTTTTCCTTTTTTTCCAGCGATCCCAGTAGCTTCATGATGCGGTTTCTTATTGAGGAGATTGATGAAGATTCCACGTTTGAAGACCTCCAGCAAATGCTGCTTTTTGCCTTGATATACCGAGTGGTCGTCTGTACATATGAGGCAAGTATAAGTCTCATTCCTCAACCCTAGATCTTTCAAAATCCAACAGATTTTGGAGGGTTTTGTAGGATTTCGGAGGGTAGAGCCCAGTGCCATTACTTTTTGTGAGGCTTGATAACACTTGAGTGGTCATCTGTACATATGAGGCAAGTATAAGTCTCATTCCTCAATCTTACACCTTCCAGACCTTTCGAAATCAACACATTTTGGAGGGTTTTGTAGGATTGAGGAGGGTAGAGCTCAGTGCCATTACTTTACGTGAGGCTTGATGCCACTTGAGTGGTTGTTGTACATATGAGGCAAGTATAAGTCTCATTCCTCAACCCTACACCTTCTAGACCTTTCAAAATCCAACAGATTTTGGAGGGTTTTGTAGGATTGAGGAGGGTAGAGCCCAGTCCCATTACTTTACATGAGGCTTGATGCCACTTGAAACTTGGTAGGTACAAAGAACTGCACAAAATTGTATTTAAATGATTCAGAATGGTTACTCACTGGAAGTCTTTTCATGCATCTGGTCTACACAATGGGACAGATTTAGCCCATTTATTGGTGTTACGGGGTAATCCTATATAACAGCACTGCCCAGCTCACAAGTGGTAGTCAGTCAGTCAGTCAGTCAAGTCAGTAAAATAGGTGCAAAGAAGACACGAGTGTGGCCTTCTGGGACCAGAAAAAAAAGTTGTTTTATTATCGTCGTCTTTTCTCCATTGCACCTTCAGACGTTTTTCCTGCGTCACGGCCTGGGCACGAGGGTGGGTGGGGCCACCCCTGGCAAGTACTGCATGGGTCTGCGCGTGGTGTCATGTGACCGAGTCCAGACCCTCGGCGGCAACAGAGTCCTCGTGACGAGTCCGGAGGACCTGACCTATTTACAGTAAGTGGCTGATGTGAGGGGAAGGGGAGGAGCATAGGAAGTGGGGGGGGGGGTCTACAACATTGAAAATTTGACGTCCAATTACTAGCTGAAAATACATTTTTATCCCATTGGCTTTCAAGCCAGGCAGGGGGATATCGGGATCGCATATTCCTTCTGTGTGTCCGTGTGATAAGCATTACATTCACTGTGGGGGCTTCTGAACAAAAGAGGTCCACATAAACCAGGTAGCTGCGACGTTGTGTGGACTTGCCTACGTCCATACAATGTTTGCCCCTCTCTGGCAAACAGGTTTAGAGGCATTTTTTGGTCAGGTTTATCAGTGGCAAAATGAAGAGAAACACTAGTCCCAGTGTGAGTAAAAGGAGGTTTGTTCACAGGTTTTTTCTAACTACATGAAAACAAGGAATGACCACACTATGTACAGTGTGTATGTAATGTAAATGTGTATGCCTGTGTGTGCGTGTTCCAGTTCACTGTACGATCAATCATCAATCTCAACCAAACTTGAAAGGTGGTCTGTGGAGAGAAGGCCAATGTCAAAAAATCCTTTCCAATATGGATATTTACGAGGTCTCTGGAGAGCTCAGCTCAGTATTACTAATGACTTCGAGGCCTCTGGAGAGCTCAGCTCAGTATTACTGATGACAGTTAAACATATGTTAATCAGGTGTCACCCATACTCTCCATTCAAGCCCAAACTCCCAATTCAACTGAGAACTGGTACCTGCCGAGTGGACAATCAAGGCCGTCACTGATAATTGTCCTTACTAACTGCCTGTACATGTATACAAACTGCCTGTACATGTACATGTATACAAACTGCCAGGATGCCAGGGGGATCGCGCAAGTTTTACTTGCAGTAATTTTTGTCTTGTTTAACCAGGCTTTTCTGTTGGCTTGTTATCAGTACACTTTTAACTTCATTGCAAGAATATACTTTAATTTTTCTTTCAAATATTCACTGTTCATTTTTTTTTCTCTTGTAGAGCATTCCTGCGAGCCGTCATCAAGAACTTCTCCATGGCCTTTTTCTTCCCAGCATGCATCACTGTATTCTTCAACCCTCACTTCCGTGCCGCGTACGACATTCTCACGCGGAGCGTGGTCGTCTCCGTTCCTAATTGGGCAGAGAGGCTCCGTCCGCAGAATAGGTAGTGGAACTGGACAGGGCGGCCCATTTAAGAATACATGTACTAAATTGTTATATTATAGTTGTCCTCTGTGAGGATTTATGGAAATTTATCTCGCACATTGTGTCTAGTTACTAAATTGTGTTGGAACCCGGGTTCAAATCCCCCCGGGCACATTGTGAATTTGGTTGATTGAGTTGTTAATATCTATACATGTACTTGTGTTGGTTTTCTCAAAATTAAATAAAATTCTCATTTCCTTCAATGTCTTGTTTGACAGTAAATTTTATAGTTCTCTTGAAAATAAGCACATTTAAATTTCAAGAATAAGTCAAACTTTTGTTGGGGGGATCGTATTCAAATGTGTGATCTGTTCAATCAAGCGTAATGTTCTTTACATTGTAAATACAAAATGAAGAATTGGTTTATTAAGAATATTTTATTTCTAACAGAACATTTGACGCCTTTCTGAATTCTGTCTTTGATTGTTGAACTTGTACTTGTTGTACCAGATGTCTTATCGCAAAGATGTCTTATTAACCCTAACCTTCGCAAATCCTTCAAATTCCTCTTTGGAAAATGGAGGATTTTGTAGGATTGAGGCTGTATGGAAGAAATATGCGGCTGTTTTGGAGGATGCACCACGTCAAGGTCTTAGGCCAGACCTTGTGTTGTTTATGCTCAGCTGTGCATAACTTTAGGCCTACCGGTAGATTATACTTAAAATCCTCCGCACTGCTCCAGGATGTCACTGGCTCTGCCCTCAAATTATCGACAGTGATTGCTGGAGGATTTTGCAGGATTGAGGCAGTAGTCACCCATCCAAGGACTGCATTCAAGAAATACCGGAGGATTTTGCAGGATTGAGGCTGTATGCAATTTGTACATGGAGGCAGTTGGAAGATTTTGTAGGATTGAGGTTGCATCCTAGCAAAAATGCTTAGGGAATTAGGGTCTATAAAGTGAAAAGAAAACTAAATTTACTGCCAAATTTGATTTCTGTATAAATAATACAAAATATCTCAGTCTTTAAAAACAACGAATGAATCTTATTTTGGAACAAAAAATATCAATTTATTGAAACCGTCATTTTATAGACACTGCTGTACAAGAGAATTATTACGATTTAAAAATTATACGTTATATTTCTAGAAATTATATCACTTCTCATTTCACTAATCATACTTTGCTATCGGATAAAAAAAAACAAACTGTTGTACAAAAATACTTATGCTGATAAAGTGTATATTACAAATTTACAACTTGTTTACATTGGTTAAAATGAAACACTACCAAAATAGTACCATTTATTCGACTTTCTACAAAAAGGTGAACAATTTTGATCATTTGTCTTTTAACATTAAATATGTTCAGGATCACATTTTGGGTAAGGCCCAGCCCCAGACCAACGTTACAATATATATGCACCTTTCTCCAAAACTTTTTTGAGTATCAGTTTTTTTGGTGGTAAATTTTGTAATCACAAATTAAATTGTAAAATGGTGTTACAAATCAAGAGAATTATATTTTAAGGGGCAATTCAGAATAGTCAAAGTTAACAATATTATATTTTTTGGAAATTGTTTTGGACCCACCCCCCCCCCCCCAAATTTCGATTTTTAAATGCTGAGTGACTATTCAGAATGTCCTATATACTAAAGAACAAAGTAAAGCTTCAAATATTTTTGCAGATATTTTAGGTCAATGTTCCTCCAGCTCACAAGTTTTCAATGGCCTTTCCAGGCTTCCAGCATGCAACTTTGTAGACGAAACAGACGGAAATTGCCAAGCACACAAAACTTTGTACAATGTATTCAGTTTTTTAAGAAACTTTATAATATTTTTTATAAAAAGTGGTTTATTTCGGCTTCGTTATGATTAGATTTGCCGTGTCCAATGACAGACATGACAGACAATCTCGAAGAGGCTGCTGGGTAGTTTTGTCCCTTCTTGTATTTTTTTTCTTTTACTTTAATTGAAAACTGAATTTCGATTTTCTGTTATTTCCTTTGACCCACCCACAATTTCGAAAAAAAGATATTTTTTAACATTGACTATTCTGAATAGCCCCTTACCAGTAGGTATAAAACACTGACTAAACCAATAAAAATGTTGTGTGAGACAAACTTCTTGCGTTTTCTGTACTTTCTGTGTTTCTGTGTTATTATTTCTGGATAAAAAAGTTTAAAGTGGCTTTGGCATGCTCAGTTCATAACATCGGAAATTGCAATATTTTTAACAGCACTGCAATTTTTTTTACGTTTTAATTTTTTTGTTAATCACCATGCACTCTTTAATCATGGAACTGCATATTTTTCAAAACCTGATTTCTGCAAATTTTATTTAACAAAAAAATGACTAATATGTTTATGATCACTAATACTGTGTGGTATATTGTTGACTTCTTGAAACTACAAATTGGAGCTTTTTTTTACAAAGCCAAAAAACGACACTACTTTCAAGAAAGAAGGCACTATAATCAGTTACAAATTCACTACACCTCTTTCAACTGGGAGCCAGGGTAAAATGTAAGTTCTATAAAAAATAAAAAACTCTTGTCCGTTACTTTTTACACTTCTATTTACAGAACACTGAAAATTGCAAAGCGTTTTTATTTGAGACAAGATACATTATGAATACATATTGTAATGAATTTACACCATGTACAGTTATGATTAGAGGTATACTTTCTGTCAAAAGTGATACAGATTGTGAATTTAAATCTAATTTAAGTGTACAAAACAGATGAACTACACCTGTACTGCAAAAATATATACACAAGTTAAAGTAGTGTTATGCGCATTTTAAAGATATAGTCCATCATTTGTAATTTGTGCATTTTGTTCGTTTGAAGCAACAAAAGTGTTCAAAATCTAAAGAAGGGTACTGAACAACTTAGCTGATGAAGTTTCAGCTCAGCTTCAGCTGTATATTCCGAGAAAAACAGCATTTTAGGATCTTAATTTCAAATCAAAAGTTGCTGAATCATGTTTTGAATTGGGCCTGAATTCAGCGCCCGAGACACGTTTTCACTGAGCCGATTGTAGCTACACGATGTCGCGCACTGATCCGACGAATTATAGCAACCGCGTGTGCATCATGTCAACGCTTGCGCGCACTTCGCCGATTAAAAGAAAAACCGAACCACTAACATAAATTTCCAATGGTGCGTCTTAAGACGCACCGTTGGAAAGGCCTTCTTTCGTTGATTACTTCAAAATGACAGCTTGCCAGAAAGAATAATTTCACAGGGAGTTTACTCCCCTTACTATCTTTCAACTAAATATGTTTTTCAACAATAAGTACGCCAGTTACTTTTCGGATAGCTGCAAATGATGGACTATAGCGTTAATCAGTGCACGTCGGATGACGTGTATACACGCACAGGTTTTGCGGTATTCGGAACGGATGACGGATAAACACGCAATGAGCGAGACCGGAAATATCTGTCTGCGACCCCCTTGCAGCGAGCGAGGCTGGGAAATATCAGGGTGTGCTACCCGCAGATGACGGCCTGAACCCGTCTGACATCGAGGTTCGTGAAAAACAATCCCGCACCTTGGTCCGGTCAATGTCAAAATAATCTCGGCGCGAAGTGGTTAATTCAGAAAGAATTTATGTGTTCCAGGCTTCTATACATGTTTTTCTTTCTGAAATTTATTTTGCAAATGGCTCCTTTAATTTTTACCTCAGCCTAATCAAGTACATGTTTCGCACATCTTCTGAAACTCTACAATTCATCTGCTTAAAAATTGTTCACACGAAATGTGTGCACATATGCAGGCCTGCTTGTAATGCATTTTCCAACGTGCAGTTGACGCCAAAAAAAAATAACCTGACAAGAAATCAAAACCTGAGTCTTTTCCCTGCAAACACTGAGATGCTAACACCCCTAATAATAAGGCACAATGGACTGACCCATAAAGCCCAGCCCACAATATTTTTGACCAATCACACAATCTCTGCAACTTAATGGAGTACTGAAGTGTGACGTCATTTAGAACCAGAAAGCGTAGTTCAAACGAATGGAGTACGCGCGCTTCCTTTTTCTCGGGCTCAATCACGCGCTAATGTAACACACATTTTGTTCGCGTGACGTATTCACTTCGGTACTCCATGTCTGACTTCTGAGGAGAGAATGCAAATTGTTCCCAATGTTCAAAATGGGCGGGGCTTATGACCAAACCGGACCGTTCCATTGTCCCATAGGGAAGTTTTCATAATATGCACTTTTAAAATATGTCCTTTATTTCAAACCATGCCTCTGGTTCCTCTGTCCTCTTTCCTGTGTGGTGACACGGGCTGCATTGCGATCATACTGTCTTCCTCGGAATCAAAGTTGGAAGTTGACCTCAACGACCTCATGCTGCCTGGGACAAAGGTCGGGTCAAAGATGAACTTGTAGATCAGAGCTGCAACCAGTCCGCCGGCGACGGGCCCAGCGAGATAAACCTGCAGAGAGGTATTAAAACAGGAATGAGAAATAGTAAGTAGTTCATTCTAGGAAGTGTGTATTTAGCCAGTGCCGGCTTAATTTCAGTAAACACTATTTGGCCAGCACCCGATTTCATGAAACTCATCTTAACTTACAATGCATCGTAGCGCTGCGACGCGTCATATATGGTGCGTCGCAGCTGCTACCCATTCTGCAATCCATTTCACAAAACATGTAAGTGTGACGCGTCATAGGTGCATTTATAGCACAACTTGGTGACTGGTTTATGTATCATGCATCGGTGAAAGTAAATAGTCGTCTGATATTCAAAAGTGTGTCGGATGATCGTGGTTTAAATGATCGATGAAATGGTTTAAAACGTAAAACCAAATGGCGGACGTGTGATGCAATTTTAAAGGAAAAAAAGCTCTCAGTGGACTGTATAGCTACCGTACTTTCAATAACTGCAATATTCCAGGCTAATTCATAATTATTCAATGCATTTTCTATTTACAACTTTACACACATTGTCTCGGTATTATAGTCTCGTTTATGTATATTTATGGCATAAAATTGGCTAGGAAAAGGGCGCTTCTTATTTTGCGATGACCACTAGACATGTCGTAACTTGTGACGTGTTTTAAGCCATTGTCAAGGAACTTGCGACGCGTTCAACACATTGCAAGTTTCATGAAATGGAACATACGACACGTCGCGAGTTGTGACTTATTACATGTCGTAACTGGGGTTGCGAAGCATCGCAGCGCTTCGTGAAATCGGGTGCAGGTAGGTTGTACAATGCCCTCTACATTATACAAGGTATTAAATTACCACCGTCGGATGTGCAAGACCTGTTTTAGTGGATAGAGTGTGTAACTCATTGGTAGGAGAACAGTGTTCACTTCCCAGCAACAGCGACATTTTCAATTTTTTTTTCATCCCAAAAAATTAAGAATATTCTTCTTTTATTATTTTAAATTGACTCCAACATTTAATTACAGAGTATTACATTTTCTTTTTGTGATTCGTGGCTCTGGAGGATTTTTTTCAAAAGGGAAAAAGTCTGAAATTGTAAAATGGTCTGATTCCCATCTCGTGAATACGAAGTCACTTTGACAATGTTGGCGCGGAACCCAACTAAGATTTGTCACGGTAAAATTTTTTAAGTCCCCAAAAAGTCACTGCGCATGTTCAGTGCTTAGCCAGCAAAATATTGTTTACTTAAATTAAGCCGGCCCTGGCTAAATATATGGGCCAAGTTCGGGCAAGGACCTTTAGTCAACTAGTAGTTGATTTGTGACGTACCTTATGCCTGCGCACTGATAGCAACGTGCGAACGTCTTTAGTCAAACGCTGGTCAAAATGTCATCGCAAAAACTTCTGGATCCTGGCTCTCTGCTAGCGTTATGAATGCGCGCGGCTATTGGTTACCAGCGATGCAACCAGCCCCAGTAGGTTGGTTCCAAATAGTCAACTAGCGTAGTCAACCACCGTCGACTAGACAGAGTTCGGGCAAGCTATAGTTAACCATTGGTCAACTATAGTCCTTGCGCAAACTTGGCCTACACTGCCTTCATTCTATGAATTTGCCGTCCACTGATTTCCCTACCCCTTACCCCCTATACATCTGAAATGATGATTTTATAATTGTGATGTACTCCTTAATGCAGTCATCCTCCAAGAGTGATTATGAATAGCAAATTACCTACCCCAACAAATAACAAATCCTTCTAAGTCATTGTTAAATGTTAAAGATAATAAAATAGCAAATTATAAAGTCCCAAGGTAACAGGGACAGTAAAAATGTCACACTTTTGGACCTTAAATTTATAGAATGACCAAAATGGAGCTTTAAATCCCAATTTTGTTTTGAGGTCAGTGTATAATTTTAGCAGAGTTTTCTAGGAAAAAAAAAGACCCGGGGAGTAAAGGTGACTGCACTTTTCTTTTCAAATTTTCTGAAGGGAGTGCGAGCTCTGAGCCACGGACACGCGCCGTGGTGGGTATATGCATTCGAGCGGAACGTCATTGAACCCCATGTTTGATTGGCTATTGAGAGTTGGCATACGACCAGCACAAGTACACGTTTCTAGTCACAGTAGAGTGATTACTTTCAAACCCTAGCTCCCAATGAATACAAAATATTATTACAACCCTGATGAGCACACAAAAAGTTTAGAATAGAGTAAAGTTGATTTTACTAGATTAACTTGTACTACCATGTAACGGTACCTGTATGTATATACAAGCTATTGAGTGGTCAATTTAATCTGTAGTGAATGCGTGTACGCGTGTACAGCTTATGAATTTCAATGTATATTTCTACACGAGCTACAAAACTTTTCAAAACTTACCTCTAAAATAACGGGCCAGTCGTTGGTATTGCTTTGGACAACCGCTGCACTGATCGTGCGTGCCGGGTTCATGCTAGCACCAGTGAACTCGTACTGAAAAAAAAAAAACAAGAAACTTTGAGAATAGTTAAAATAGTACATTAAACCTTGTTTAGATTTTACATGTACAGTGAAGTATTGGTAGAATATAAGATTTTAGGCTTTGCATGGTTTCGTTTCGGTTTGCGGTAACACCATTTGATATTTACATGTAGTTCTGATAAGAACTTGTCCTGCTTATTATCAACTTTCACCAAGTAGTTTTTAGTTCTGATAAGAACAGTCCTGCTTAAATCTAAAAGAACTTGTCTTTGGTCTCCAGTATTGGTAGAGCTGTAATAAGATTTTATAAGTAATAATTCAGGCCACAAGATCTTTTTTTTCTGCAGCAGCTCAATTTCAGCACAATTTATTTCTACCCTCTACCCAGCTGTACTCCTGGGTGGGGAGAGTCAAACTGTTGCATAGTGTCTTGCCCAAGAACACAAGCCCCATGTTCCTCTGTCAGGGGTAGAGCCCACATGCCAAAATGAGTCGGACACAGCCAAACTTACCCCCCATAACGTATTCAAGAGGTACGCCAGGCCGATAGGCAGAGCGACAAGCTTCGCAGCAAACCGCGTTGCTTCCATGGACGAAACGAACGTGAAGACAAACAGAAATGACATCAGGAACTCCAGCCCCATGGCCTGATGAGCCGTGATCTGCGGCGAGACGACCGTGTATCCCATGTTGCCAAGAATTGACGTCGGGAGGAAACTGTGGTGAAGAAAAAATGAGAGTACATATATTGGAGAAGTTAGTTTTTTGCTATTTTTAGTTTCAAAAAAGAGTTAAGAATTGTTTTCATTTAAACGTGTGAACATTTCATCCTTAACAGAGACCAGTCAAAAGCAATATTCATGTACATAACATGAACCCAATTTTGTAGAAAAGATAAAATTTCTCGGCAAAATTTGCTTTGCAAAGATCAGCGGAGAGTAAGGATGTGACTTTGCGTTTAATTTTGTAAACGTTTAGCAAATATTTTAAGAACCGTTTAAACGTTTAGCCATTCACAAAGGCTGACGCCTGCTCATTGAGTCTGCAGACCGGTGTGATTGACATGATCAATCAACAATGGCAGTCATTGAAAAAGTAAAAACTTCACGTCGTCTGCTCCGAATGTAACAATGTATTGAAGTACTTCTAAGGTTTTGTAAATAAGTTTGAAAACATTGTTAATTATTTGTGCTACTGTATGTAGGTTTTTTAAAACTCAACGGAAGACTGCGTGAACGGTGGACGTGGGTCAGTTTTTTTATAATTCGGGTTTCGTTTAAATGTTTTTTGAAAATTTGTAAACAGATTTAGAATTGTTTTCGTTTAAACGTGTAAACATCACATCCTAAGCAGAGAACCAGTCAAAAGCAACATGACATTTGGTTGGGAACCAGTTTTTTTTTTCCAATTCATTTTCTTGCACTGATATTGTATAAACTTTTCCTTTCACGCATTTTGTTTCAGGATTCCCCAATAAAAGTCTATACAAAAGTCCCTGGATGCCTCCATATCCGGGTGCACGATCCCCAAGATTCCTGGAATTCCAGTCACGGAATTCTCTGATAACCTTCCAACGATAAAAACCGAGGCGCACCGAGACGGCACAGTCATTTTATGATATGACATCTTTGCCATTCAACTTGTACCTAGACTTGTAAAAAGCGACTAAGATATCTCTGTTTGATGACACATTAGGTACATTTTTCAAACTCTAAAAATTCTGGCTCCATGGAGAACTGGGAACTTGTCTAATAAGTGCCCGATTGCATAAATTGTGGCAGATTTATAGCAAGCAAACAGTGGAGCATGTGTGGCGCGCATAGCACTGCTCGGTGCCTGACTCTATGATGTGACCTGCCCATCAATCTTGTTACTTGTAAAAATAACAGTGGAATTTAAAACGCGCCAGGAATACGTTGCTCAATAAGTGTACAGCGTAACGCATTTTTAGCTACAAGAAACAAATGGCACTGCATGTACAAATCCAGTTTAGTATACATGAACACAGAAGAATACATGTACTTTTGTCTTAACTTAGGACAATAATAGTTCTGCTTCCGAGTACATGGCATTTGAAAATAGGGTAGGTAGGTAGGGAATTTTTATTTTGCCATTTTCTTTGGGTGTACGATCATACACATATGGAGGCGTCTGCGTGTAGTCAAGGGTAAAAGGTAGAAATTGATGGTTTTGGGTGTTTTTCTCATTTTTCCCATAAAAAAATTGGGGTAGGGGCTGTCAGAATAGGATAGGTAGGGAAACCGGAAGCAGAAGTATTTTTTTTTTGGCCTTAAGTTAAATGTAGAGTATATTTGCATATCTATTTTATATCTAAAAAGTGGCTGACAACTTTATCGTTGAAAAGCATACTAGGTTTAAAGATAGTAATGGCACTAAACTCCCTGTGAAATTATTCTTTCTTGCGTGCTGTCATTTTGAAGAAAACAATAAAAAAGGTCATTTTAAAGATGCATCTAAATTCTAAAGAAGAATTTTTGGAAATTTCCGTTAGCACTGAGTTCATTTTTAAATCAGCGAAGCCGTGAATGGGTGCACGCATAGTCGCAAGTGTTGACACGATGCACGCCCGCGCGCGATTGCTATAATACATGTACGTCGGTTCAGAGCGTGACATCTTTTTCATAGCTCAATGATGAGAACATGTCCCATACGCTGATTTCGGGCGCAATTCAAAACATGACGCGATAACTTCTGAATTGAAATCGAGATCATACTCATAGTATATATTTTTCCTCAAAAATAAACAGTATTCACTGAGCTATAAACTTCATCAGGTTAGTTCTTTAGATTTTGAGCACTTTTGTTGCTTCCAATGAAAATAAATGCCCAAATTACAAATGATTTACTCTACCTTTAAGTATAGAATCGGTATAAATTTCTTTTTGGAGAACTAAATAAATAAACAAAACTATTCCACAAAGTTATTGTACCAATATTCAGTTTTTTTTTACAGTTTGTTCCACTACCAGTGCCCAGTGGAAAATAAAAACAACTTACACGACCTTTCACCCCAACTGCCCTTTCAGACGCTTCCACAAAAATAACAAACCTACATGTAGGGGGTCCCGACCCAAGGACTAGACCAGCAACTGGACAAATCTTCACCCAGCAAGACTTTGCAAAGTAACCATACATGTACATGCAGCTCGTGGTCGGGCAGTGTTATTGATGTAAAGCAATTGTAAGCGTCATGTGCAGGTCGCGTGCATTTTCTATGGGGCTTTTGTTATTGTCGGGTGTAGGCTTGTGAAGTTTACGCAAGTGGGCATGCGGGACATGCCAAGTTTTTAAAGCACAGCAACAATGGTGCGGCTTGACGAAGTTCAACAACTGGTTTATGAATAGAATTGCGTCAAAATTGTTCATTTGGCCAATTGGGTTCCTTGCTCATGATCACCTTGTAAATGTACTTGAACAATGTATCGTATCTAAAATGTGTTTGTTGTATAAATAGCCCAATCAGGCCTTTTGCAATTGCAGTTTACCGAGCAATTATAAGAAAACTTTACTGCAAGGAAAGACAGAACTATAAATTATTGAAATAATTAATTTTGCTGGTTGTCGTTTAGTGGGAAATTACCTTTAGGTAATTTTTTTTTTCAATTTGTTTAATTTTTAATGGCATAAGTGTGAAGTTGTCGTTTAGTGGGAATTAATTATTGTACCTTTAGGTAATTTTATTTTTTAAAATTGTTAATGGCATACATGTAAGTGTGAAGTGAAAAACGAGGAAATCAGCTAATCCGAATAAAAGTTGCATGCCTATACTAGAGCCATTCTAGCAAAATTGAGAAATAAGTGCAACCTTCAATTTCGGAAACTTTTGTCCACCCCACTCAACATGTACCAGTATATTTGCCTACGGATGGCCTTGGTTATGTTATAGAATAGGATGTGCAGACTACATGACAGTATTTTCGCAAGCAAAAACGTGACGCTATTTCACTCGTACAAATATTGCTTTTCCCAGCTCCATGTCCCACCTGTATGTAAATGATGCGTCCTCATTTTAAGGTCATCGCATGAAAGAAAACATGTCAGATAAGATCATGTTTGCACTGCGTAAGGAATTTGAACTTACCATAAATTGGTTTACCCTAGGAGTTAAAGCTACAGTCCATCATTTGCAGCTATCCAAAAAGTAACTGACGTAATTATTGTTGAAAAACATACTTGGTTGAAAGATAGTAAGGGAACTAAACTCCCTGTGAAATTATTCTTTCTGGCAAGCTGTCATGTTGAAGAAATCAATGACAGAAGGCCTTTCTAACAGTGCATCTAAAGACGCACCGTTGGAAATTTCCGTTAGTAGTTCGTTTTTTTATTCGGCGAAGTGCGCACAAGCTTTGACACGACGCACACGCGGTTGCTATAATTCGTCGGATCAGTGCGCGACATCGCGTATCTGCAATTGGCTAAGTGAGAACGTATCTCGGATGCTGAATTCAGGCCCAATTCAAAACATGATTCAGCAACTTTTGATTTGAAATCGAGATCCTAAAATGTTGTTTTTCTCGAAATATACAGCTGAAGCTGAGCTGAAACTTCATCAGGTTAGTTGTTCAGCACCCTTCTTTAGATTTTGAGCACGATTGTTGCTTCAAAGGAACAAAAATCACAAATTACAACTGATGGACTGTTCCTTTAAGGCAAAGATAGTGATTTCAATAAACCTACTGAAAGGGAGCACATTTTAGTCTTGCAAAGGAATTGTGAAGACTAAAAAGTTGTACACAATCTTGCAAGGGAATTGTAAAGACAATTTCTTCAACTTTATTGTCTCTAAACTTCCTCCCTTGCACACAGTCGTGCACATGGTTTTTCTTTTGATAAATTCAGTATGCAGATCTATCTAATTGTCTGCACTACTTTTCTGTTTTTCTGTTTTGTCACTCTAGTGCTAGAAATTGGGAATAATTCTCAGCTTTCTTACATGTAAATGTTAACACTAACAGGTTTGGTCAAGTTCAAAGTTATGGCAATATTGTGGGGAACTATTGTGTTCAGTTTGGAGAAATGTATTTTTCCCTGGAAATACCGTAGTAATTTTATCAATACGATTTCAGACACAATGTACAAACAATGGGAACTTTAAAGACAAACTTCTCTTCTTCAAGTTATTTTTTCTCCAAACTTCCTCCCTTGTAGTTGTACACACAATGTGGTAACCCCATTATTCAAATTTTTTTGAACGAAACACAGAAAGCAAAAAAGGGAAACGGTCAAGGTCAGGAATCATTCTTTAAAGAGACTATGATTTTACAAACATACTTTGTTGCTTTTGACTTTTTAGTTCCAGGATACAAGCGAATGAAAACATGGACCATTGCCAAATATCTGGTTTTATCATAACAGCCCCGACAGGGAACCATGTAGGAAAATACCCAAACTTGGAGTTGGAAAGTGTTCAGTTGAGCGAAGATAATATGACTGTAACCAAACGTGAAGGTGAAACTTGTATTAAAGTGACCTCGCAATAAGGTCTAGGGATGAATTTTTTTTATTTCTTTCTGGTAATGAAACCAAGGATTCCTCAAAAGCGCCCTAGGCACTGCAGCTCGCAAGCCTGAAGAAACCCGTAGAGAGAAGACAATGAGAAGAAATTACAGTTTTAGAGGTTGGAGGAAAACCCGCAGATGAGTGTTTCTGGGTAAAAAATAACCTACGGGATCAGGTAGGGACTGAAAACCCAATCCACATGTGGAACGGGCAGGAATCGAACCCGGGCCATAGCAGTGGAAGGCGAGGAACGTAACCACAAAGCACTTGGCCAACCTGACTCCATGTATGATGTATGTTACCTTGCAGTTAAAAAAAATCTCCCTGGTTTTACATACATGTACATGTAGGTTTTTGGTTTAAATGTCACTTTGTAAAAACGGAAATTAACCGCCTAATGAAAAACTGGCAAGAGCACGGTAGTGCTGTGCGTAAGTCTTAAAATTTGAAGCTTACAATGTATCAAATTATTATCAGGCACAAATTTATTATGAATGAAATACACACATTGCCCAACATCCCGATTTCAGCTTTATGGTGATTTCTGGTTTGGCAACAGCTGTGAGTCTTTATAAACACCCCGCACCAGTTAATGACAAGAACACAATTATTGTCCTCATAAATTGGCCAAGCCAGTCTGTTCCCATGGCTATCACACAGTTTGATAGGTTCTTTATATCGACACCATCTGCTTCGAATCACAGCAAGGGGGCTCAGGACAATATTGCCTGTTCCTCCTTTATCAGACCTCCGCTTGCTGTATCTGACCTGATAGGGTCACTTCTACACAAGTAGCCTGTGGATGCTTTGTACAGTTTTTTTTTCTCCAATTTTTTCTTCTTCTTGGCTTCAAGGTCTTGTAACAATCAAGACATCTTCGGCTTTACAGGGCGAGTGAAAAAAAACAATCCAAATGTTCGGACTATTGTTTTATTGAAGTTCTGCATGTAACACTTTCAAAATCTAGGACATGAAAGCCCAATTCATAAGCTTTCTTTAAGTACAAGCAACATTCAAATCACTCATGTACTTTTCAAGTTACTGAATTTTAAACGCGACCACCGTTTTTAAAGTTCTGTCCACGGATCACAAAAAGGCAAGTGTTCTTTCAGCAAAACGAAAACAAATCACATAGGGATGTGGGTGAATTGTTTTTGTTTTGCTGAAAGAACGCACACCTTTTCTGTGATCCGTGGACAGAATTTTTAAACGGTGGTTGTGTTTAAAATTCTGTAACTTGAAAAGTACATAAGTGATTTGAATGATTCTTGTACTAAAAGAAAACTTATGAATTGGGCTTTCATATCCTAGATTTTTAGAGTGCTACATGCAGAACTTCAGTAAAAAATAGTCCCGACATTTTGGTTTTTTGTTTGTTTTGGACTCACCCTGTATAATATAAGCTCCTCGGATTTTAGAATATGAATCACAAAATGCCATTTTTTGTGTAAGAGAGATTTGAAGCTTTGTATGTCGGATTCTATGGACAACAAGAATGAGGTTTGCTGTATTTGATAATTTCATGTTTTTTTGAGGAAATGTTGTTTCTGGAGGATACTCAATGTTGTTTCTTTCACTGAAAATGCAGTGCATGTTTCTTTCAGAAGTTGATCCACTATTTCTAGGGATTAACCTCCTGCTGTTTGAACAGTCACAGACAGTCAGAAAATGGATCCTCTTCCCCTGCCATGCCTTTTGCACAGGCTAGTCACCAACAGTCCGATCATATTTCAAGCAAGCACTTTGACTAGTCAAATTCAGTCAACACACAAAAACAGGCAAGTGGTAAGCACAGCTGGCTTATCAATCACCTACAGTCAAAGCATAGCTTAATCAAGTTACATAAACAGTCACAGCCAGTCAATCCTGCTTTCTGTAGGCTGGGAGCTCTTAACTGTTGAAAACAGTCACTTGATTGATTTTGACTGCAAGGACAACTTGGCTCAGGATGTGTAATTTGCATTTGAGGGTTAATATATCACATAATGTTATCACCAAAGTTCACTTTATTGTAGTGTATTGAGAATAATTCATTTGCTATTCAGCTCTATAAATCCATTAAATCTCTTCATTGTATTATTTCCTTCTTCAAAGCCTATACTTATTCATTTTGTACAAATCACTAATGATACGTATATATGTACAAAATTTTTTTTTTTAAATTTGAGCTCTATAGGATTAAAATAAGGGCCTAAAAAAAGGGGAAAAAAAATCAGATTTAATTTGAGTGAAGGCTTCGTGCATTAAATCAACTCCAATTGAATTTGTATCTCTTGACAGCAATTTAAGATTAACTTGTTTTGAAAACATCTGTCACTGAAAGGCTATAAAAACACAAAGAATCAAAGAGAAAAACCCAAATTTTAAAACCACAAGAATTCCTACCCCTTGAGGAGCAAAACTGCGACGGAGGCGCCCAGGAATTGAGCCGCGATGAAGAACAGTCCTTTAACGATTCCTGTTTGTCGGATGATCATGAGCGATGCTGTGACGGCGGGGTTTAGATGTGCTCCACTGATGTGCTCAAAACAGTGAACAAGGGTCACAACTGGGAACAGACAAAAACACCAATAAAATGTGTTAAAGGGAATGTACAACATTTGCTTTTGCTGTAATTTTCCGAAATAAATGAATTTGGAGGATCAGTATGTTATAGCAAATTTTGTTAAAATGACTTGATTTACGTTTTGGGCTTGTACATGTAGATGCTGGAAAAACCAAGAAAACCAATCATGTTCTTGTAGTCTGGTTCCCTGACCCACTTAAGATGAATCTGGAGCATAGACTTTGGGGAATTGTAAGGTCAGGGTCAGGGAATCAGTCTAGAAGGCTTGTACCCCTTCACAGGTGTATAATCAATTGCAAAGAAAATGCGGAAACTGATAAGGAAAAATTAGGAGCAATTTTTGAGAAAAAAAAACAACAGTTTTCTCCAAGGCTGGTCGGCCAACCAGTGTTGGAAAAATACCACTTTTCTTGAAAATGTCAGCACACCAGGAGCCACAATTTTACAGGATGCTTTAGAATGTCATTCCCTAACAATCCAGTAAGTATTTTATGATAATTTGATCATTTCGTTTTGTGATGTTTGCAAATGTTTGCAAATGTTACGGTACTGACATCCTAATTTCGTGAGCAATTTTCCCTGGTAAGCACCTCAAAGTGCAAGGCAATTTTAACTATTTGCTTTACAAAATTGTAGTGATAACGTAGAAAATATGTTTCTTTGCTATAAAAAAAATGCTTGGCAATTTGGCAAAAGTTTCAACAAAATCACTCACTGACATAGTGTAAAAATCCAGAACTTTTAAACTTAAACTTTAAGTAAAATTCTCAACAATACAGATGGTAAAAACATGCAATTCAAGAAATTATGCTTGCACATGAATTAGCCAGTCCTGTACTTTATCAGCTTAAAAAAGGGGTACTAAGCATCAATATCCATCCAATCTCTCTCTAAATTCCAAATCAAATGTAAATCTTTTTTTTTTAAAGTTTGGCACGTGCCTGTTTTTGATTCTTAAAATTTTAAATAACTTGGTTTCACTCGCTGCCTGTATTGAAGTGCAAAAAATTTGAAGAGAACATTATAATTTTAATTCAAACTTTCAACTTACATAGTAAAATACCCCGGGCCTCATTTTGTGAAAATAGGTATGGAAATTTAGAAAAAAAATAATTGGCTACCGGGCAGGTGGGTATTAAGAATAAAGCATTGACAACAGGAACCTTACAAGCTGTTTAGACGTTAATCTTTTTACCACTTCAGCACATTTCACTTTCAAGCCACCCTATGCCTTCTCACAGTGCTCCCTAATCCCATTCTCCAATCTAAATCTCTCATTACCATATCAACAGGAATGCCTCCTATTTTCATGAAAAAAAAAGTCCAGCAGTTTAGCTTGAGGCTAAATTGGATTTTAGCTCAATGGAAAACTCAAGCTGGCGACTTTCGAGTTCAATCCACAGAGTGAAAGAATGTTGATGGAAGGGCAGCTTTATAGTGAAGAATAAAACGCTGGCCACGGGGTAACGGGCCTTATGAATGTAATATTGAATATGAATATAAAGCTCTTTTTTTCTTCATTCAAAAGTTTTTTTATCAGCTGAATCTTTTGGCTGGAGATTTAAAATGGTTTCGTCATTTGAATACAAATGAGCTTTACATTTCTCATTGTACATGTACTAGGGAGGAAGTCAAGCATGCTATAGAAACATTGGTATTTTCGACATGTGCAGTTTCACTTTTGAAATGTGAAAAAGCATTAAAAAAGGTCATTGTGAATTTCAGACTCGGGGAAATGTGTAGAGTGTTAAAGGTAAATGAATGGCGGGAACATTTTGCAGTTTGCAAGCTTATTTTAAAAAAAAATGGTTTTCTTTAAACTTAAATGGAATAGAGTAAATCAGATCCCGCAAAAATAAGTTTATTTACAAATGTACAACTGAAGATATTTTTATGTTTTGAAAGGAAATGCTAATTTGTAGAAATATTGAAAATTCTGGGAATATGTGATCTCAAACTCAGTCAGTTTCTTTAACAAATTTTTTTAAAATCATTTTCAGCCAAATTTGTTTTTAACATATCACAATCATCACATTTTCTCGCCAATTTTACATTAAATTTAAAAGTATACATATATACCTTCTTGAAATATTTCAACACATTTTACATTCACTGATTCAGCATAAAAAAAACCTAAAAAATATTATTAGAAAACTACTTTAATATGTCGTCTTGTGTTTATCATTATAAGATTGATGAACAGTTTATTTAAATTGGTTAAACATTAAAAGTGAATTACATGTATATTTGTTTAGCTTGACAAATTTAAGAAACGTTTAAAAAAAATTCTTAAATTTGTCTTAAGTTAAGCTAAATAAAAAAATGTGATTTTCTTTTTGAACAATATAATTCACGCCAAACCGCCAAACCAAAGAACCTACCAGCTAATCCTAGTGTAAAACTCAGCCTCAAAACATCCACCCTGACAGAAGAATCCCACTGCAGATCCGCCACACAAGCCACGATCATGAAGAAGAAAGTACCGAGGCACTCGGCCACCACACCCCGGCAAAACTCCGCCGAGCAGTTCAGGCCCAGCCCCCAGCCCCGCTCCCGCGTACTTTTCTTCCGTGAGCTCCCCGTCGCCCCGGAGTTTCGACCCGACTTGTTGTGGGTCCGCTGCAGATCGTACGAAGTCGGAGCCATTTTACATCCAAAAGGTTTTGAAGATTAAGTTGCACAGTTAGATAGGACGAAGCAGAATTTCTCGTTTCACGTAAATGTGGTTTTAAAAACTCCCAACAATATTCACGATCGGCAATTTTGAACAGGTTTTCGAAGTGTATTTTAGACTAATTTCACTGATCCCTGACCACGCATCGCGAGCTAAGCTAAACTGAACTGCACGTTTGTTGGAAATGTTTAGAGTTGATTGGTTGATTGATCGATTCAACGTTCTTGTCATTGGACCTTTGACCTCATTTCTAAGTTTACTACAGACGAAACCATATCTAACAGAGGGGTGTGTGAATGCCGTTTGTTCCAAAACTGGACATTTCCCATTGATATTCTACTTATAAATTCCAAAATGATTACTTATAAAATACCTTTATGACAAATTTAAATGAGATATTATCAGTTAAAAATACCGGATAATATAAAAAAAATTCTTGTATCTTCCCTCCATAACATTATAGAAGGGCCTGAAGCGTGCGACCTGTGACCTTACTCGAACAACAACAAGAAACATGGCGGCCTCCACTGGTCTGGAACTTCTCTACGCCAGCGTACAAAATCAAATTAGATCGCAGTATGATGCCCTCATTTGTTGTTTGCACTGGAATATGGTGCAGAATGGATTCAAGTGTGTCGGTGCGGGAGATATGGTGAGCTGTTAGAGATTCTGGAAATAACAAAAACCTATATTAAAACAGATTTTTGCATGATGACCGTGAATGACGATATGTATTTATTTTTACACTAACTCGCCCCAATGGAAAAAAAATACGTCAAGGGGCGATTTTTTTACATGGACTTTATCTTGAGAAAAGGTCAAGTTTAGTGATATAGTTTCAATGACTATTTTACTTGCAAGCATGGACCATTTTTGGGACAACATTTAATTTTTTAAAAATATAATTTTGGTAATCGTGTAGGACAACTGTTTTGGTGATCGTGTAGTGTAGGGCCCGGTTCCTGTAAGGGAACAAAATCCACTTCAAAATTATTGGATCTACCAAACTTGTTGGCGACATTCTCAATAAACAGGTATGTCAATGTCATTGAGTCATAGATAGAGCGAGGGCATGGTTTTGATTTTTTGACGGAAATTTGTGGGTAAAATGACGATGACAGCGCGGCGACAACACGTGACCCGAAAATAAAGATGGCGATCACCGCGCGATGTACCGTGAGCACGCACGGTGTGCTGAATCACAATGCGCAAACCGCGCAGGAAAATCGTGATTTCTACGCTAAGAATCTGTTCAAAATTGCAAAACGAGTGTCACATCAGAATTGAGAAAAGTCTGCTTTTGATTGTAAAGGTGATTTTTGAGCAATAAAAAGCATTTTTGACTCTAATTTGATCAAAACAAAACAGGGGCCCTACACTTCACGATCGCCACTGTTTTTTACAAGTTCCGTTCATAAATCAATTCAAAACCAGGGCCTCTTTTCACAAAATAAAGTTACATGATATTCAACATGTTATCTTCAGTGCTTAAAACTTAGATGATTCCATACACATAAAGTGACTTATCCTGCTTGTATTACCGCCAAATGTTTAGTTAAAAAAATAGTCCCAAAATAAACAAAACATAAAGTGGCTTTTTTTGTTGTCTTATATGGAATGGGTTCCTTAACTACACGATTACCAGAATTTTACTTAAACTAGTAGGCCAATAGTGATGGCAATTCATCAACAACGAAGTGCCAATTGCAGGAATATAAAATTAAAATAGAAATTATTCTATTGTCATCATTGAAGTGCTATAATGCAGTTCAATGTTTGCAAAATTTATATTGTAAACTTTTGATCAATTTATGGTTGAAGCAAAACATCGGAAATAAGAGTACATGTAGTTGTGTTCACGTGTTTGTAAATTTCCCAGGCAACCGGCCAAAAGACTGAGCTGCTTCCAAGTGAGTGGAATGGGGGAACCGGTGAGGCCTACAACCTGAGATATCAACCTGCCGAGGGGACAGACTACTACCTGCTGAAGGTGGTCAGAATGGACGATACCCTGCTGGTTCACATTCTGGTATATTGAGAAATCTGGGTCTTTAACCCTAACCCCCCACAATCCTGCAAAATCCTACTGGCCTTTTTTGTGTGGAGGATTTTGGAGGATTGAGTCTGAATGGCAAAAAGAAAGTGTTGGTTGGTTATGCGGAGGATACATTGTGTACCCTGCATTGTTTACATTGAGTCCAGACTGGGACCTGGAGTGCTCTGAAACGTGCAAAACTAAATCAGGCCAACTTTACTCACTCTTTTGCCAGCAAATTTCTCCAAAAATTCCACTGGGCAAAGAAAAGGTCCTCAGTATTTCACCAACCGAGTTTGCAGACTCAATTCAATTTTTAAAGGAGACATTTCGTCAATATTTGCACGAGAGGGAAGCCAAGTGATTTCAAAATGAGGCTAAAGATCAGACTGGTACATGTCCAAGCATGGTTCAACTATTTCAAAAGACTGACCTCATCATTCAGTGTCATTTAGTCTGGTGGCTGACTATGGAGAAATGTGTAGTAAATAGAGACTAGTTTCCGGTTCATGCCACATGTTTCATTTGGCACAGTTGATTGATGCAGTACTGAAGCAGTGTTGGACTGGTTGTTTCAGGTGCCAGTCTATTTTCTTGTATTGCATGTTACACAGTTTTGCGAGTCCCAAATTTTCGGACTAAATTGAGCCCTGCATTATGATTATGCTCAATATCATCCACACTGCTTCTGAATGTCATTGGCCCTGCCTCAACCCATTAATAGTAATTGTAAGAGGATTTTAAAGGATTGGTCAGTCACCCCTCCACTGAACAAATTCAAGAAATAACGGATGATTTTTGAGGAATGAGACTGAATCCAAATTTGACATGGTGGCAGTTGGAGGATTTTGCAGGATTGAGGATGGTTCCTAGCCAAAAGGGCCGAGGAGGTTACGGTTAATTAGGCCAAAGAAAAATAATAGTTCTGCTTCCGGTTTCCCAACCTACCCTATTTTAACAGCCCCTACCCTAATTGTTTTGATGGGAAAAATGAGGAAAAAAGCTGCAAAACGTCAATTACTACCTTTTAACCTAGATTACCTCTTTTGATCGTACACAAAAAAATTGCCAAAAAAACAATTGTCCCTACCTACCTACCCTATTTTCAAATGCCATGTAATATGAAGCAGAAGTATTTTTTTTGTTTGGCACTATGTCCTTTGAGACATAGGGACTCCCTTTTACTATCAAAATCTTTAAGTGATACTGTAGACTGGTACATTGAACAATCAACCTAGGCACCAAGTCAGTACTTATAAATGGTTTTTCAACATTTCGGCCACATAACAAGATGGTTATGTATCAATCCAGTCTTCGACTTCAAATTTTAATCACTTGGCTGTCTGTCTGGTGAAAAAAGATTGAAAATAACTCTATTTAACAAAATAACCTTAAACTGGGCTGGTGAAATACTCAGAACACAATTTGTGCAACATGGAAATATGGGAGAATGTTTTTCACCAATTTGCCACATTTTTGTTTAGAAGAACACAAATTGTCTTTTCCTGTTTTGATAAATTTGAATATTCATCACTTTTGGTTTTGTGCCTCACAGAGGGAAAAAGATGAGAGGATATCCAATGTTTCTCTGGAAACTTCCGACTATGTGGATGTGGACAACTTGGGAGATTTTAACCGGTGAGAAGTGTTGATCATCCGTAAACTGCATAAAAATGTGCAACATTAATACTGACATTTTTTTAAGCTTCGGTAGGAGCTTTTACGTGTCACTTGGTGGTCGGTTGGTCGGTCGGTCGGTCTGTCTGTCCCAAAAAATTTACCAAAAGTATGGTGTTCCATATGTGCCATCGGCGTCGCATTTCTCGGTGTCGCATTTTTTAGCTCTGGCAGGGATCGTTCTGATCGATTACATGCAAGACTTTTATGCAAGACTTCTTGCAACACGGCCAGAGCTTATTGTGCACTCACACTTGTAACCCACCATTTGGCTAACCAATGCCAACACAGCACGTACCTCAAAATGCTATAGTTACAAGCATGTCTCCTGCGAAATTCGAGAACTTAAATCCAAGTTTTAAGGTAGTTATGGTTCACCCACTTCGTTCTGGAAAGGTTCGTGTGCTTCGCAAACTATTGTGGGTCAAATGTAAGAAGTGCCTTGCAGCTTACTTGTTTTTTAATCGTTGACCTAAATAACATAGCATCCTCTATTGAATACATAAATTATTCGTATTGCAAATGCGAGGATGTAACAACAAGAGGGCGCTGTTACATCTACACAACCAGTATGAAAATGTCATAGCTGAGGAATTTTTCGTCAACAATTTCCTTGCGACTGACTTGTTTGGACTTCAGTAACTCTCTGGAAAATTAGAATCAACAGCTAAATTTCAAAGGTGCAATGCTCTAAACAACAACTTAGCAGCACAGAAGTTTCAAGTCTTTGAGCAAACTGTAGTGAGTTGCTTATATATTTAACGCACACAGTTTTTTTTTTACGCAGCACAAACTTTTGCACGATATACATGACTTAAGTTTTAGGACTCTCATACACAGTGATAAGAGTCCCAAATTTTCGGACTCGTCATCGTGGTGCTCATCTTTTACTCAGGTGCTGAAGTCGACTCTCAAAACTTGAATTAAGTTTACAGAACGTCTTGAAAACTCTGCGCTGAAATCACATTTGTACCACAGAAACTGTTTTGGAGTCTAAATCCTAAACTCAATTTCTGTCGTTAATATGGAAGTGTCAATGCTGATATTTTATCCAGGATGTTTAAGAACTTGAGCAAGCTGCAGCAGAAGTTCAAATCAGAGCTGACGGACAAACTCAAAGCAACCCCATCAACAAGCTCTAGCTCTACATCCCGACAGAACCCCAGAGACACACAGTCACGGCAGGACCCCGTGGGTAGGGAGGATGATACAGACCCTCTCAGAATACCCAGGAGACAACCCAACCAAGGTGGAAGACCAGATTGGTAAGAATTGCATACAAATATTTTAATATCATTTGTTCTTAAGTGGCTGTTAATTTAACCCTTTTTTTTTAAAACTGAAATGGGATGTTATTTCTGCAAAGTATTTAATTGTACACAGAGAGTGTAGAGACATTACTGCATGCCTAAAAGTTGTAGCTGTTTTGACATTTTCTTGACATGTTATTTAACAGGCCAAGAAAATGTCGAAAAAAGCTACAACTTTATAATTAATAACATTAGTTAGTATTTTTCATTTGAAAAATACTAACTAATATTATTAATTATAAATCTGATCAAAACCCCATTCTTGAACAGCTTTGGTATTTTGTACATTACCATTGTATGTTAACATTTGTAAGTTTTACCCATCCTAAAATACAGCAATAACCAAGTTTGGCTCAAAGATCATTTCAATTTGATATTGAAGGAACTTGAAATTTGCCATTCTCCATCCAGGGGGCAGCCAAGAAATCCATTTGTAGTGGGTGAGGGTGATTTGGATCCATTTAGCGGTGCCCCACCTGGAATGCTAATGGATCCTGCACGGTCAGGCTTCCCTCGGCCTGGATTCCCAGGAGGGTATGGGGGAGGACTCGGAATGCCTGGACCTGGTAGATTACCAAGGTAAGTTGAAAATCAGCTGTGAACCAGTCACAGGTAATATTCACCTTGACCTCAATTTGCATATTGACCCCAAGTGGGCGTGGTAAGCCTTGCTGAAGCAATTTTGCCACATTTTTCATCATCAACGTTATGTTTTGTGTAATAGCGATATGTTTTTTGGAGTGTTTTCGTAGAGATAATGTACTGTTAAATTTTCGAAGTCTGAAAGAACGAAATTGGCGAAAAAAGCGAAACAAAACAAATAAATCATTTTTTTCACGTGCCAACCGTGACTTCAGAGGACAGTGAAATCGGAGCGTAGGACCTGCATACACTGGATACCTCTCCATTAACCCTTGCATTTTGTGCTTGTGCACACTCCTTAGGCCTGCAAAAAAAGGGACACACAGACAGACAGACATCAGACAGACGGACAGACAGACAGACAGTGTAGGATCTTTTAATATAGGATATGACTATTTGGCCAGTACCCTGTTTATGTTAAGCAATATTTTTTCTGTGCTTAGCAAAGTTGTGTGATTGGCAGCTCCATGAGTTTTGAACTGCTTGGCTAGCTTGCTGGTTGGTTGGCTGGCTGGCTCCCCCCCCCCCTGCTTGTTGGCTGGCTGGTTGACTGGCTGGCTGAATGGTTGGCTGGTTTGCAGACAGGCTGGCTGGCTTGCTTGCTGGCTGGCTGGCTCCCCCCCAACTCTGTGACTGGCTGGCTGGCTGGCCGACTGGCAGGCTGGCTGGGTGGCTGGCAGGCTGGCTGGCTGGCTGGCAGGCTGGCTGGCAGGCTGGCTGGTTGGCTGGTTTGCAGACAGGCTGGCTGGCTTGCTCCCCCGGCTGGATGGCTGGCTGGCTCCCCTGCTAGCTGGTTGGCAGGCTGGCTGGCTGACTCCCCGACTCTGTGACTGGCTGGCTCCCCGGCCGGCCGGCCGGCAGGCAGGCAGGCAGGCTGGCAGGGTGCCTGGCTCCCCGACTGACTGGCTGGTTGGCTGGCTGACTCCCCAGCTGGCTGACTCCCCGGCTGGCGGGCTGGCTGGCTGACTCCCCGGCTGGTTTGCAGACAGGCCGGCTGGCTTGCTTGCTGGCTGGCTGGCTGGCTGGCTCCCCTGCTAGCTGGTTGGCTGGCTGGCTGGCTCCCCGTTTACCTCCCCTAGGCTTGCCATAACTATATTTCTTTTCTCTGTTTCCAGGGGTGCAGTGCCTCCAGGTGCCAGGTTTGATCCTATTGGTCCACCAGACCCAGACGGCGGTCTTCCAAATCCGCAGGGACGATTCCGTGGTGAACCTGACCCAGACCATGGGCCACCACCAGGATTTGATGATATGTACATGTAGGAGTGGATTACAGTAGTGCTGTTCTCTCACCAGTGGGCAATGTTATTAAATGTATTTAATAATATTCAATAATATCTATTATGTTTGATAATATTTACTAGGACATTTTAAAGTGATTAATTTTAGCATTGCTGTTCTTTTTCCAGAGGTTCCTTTATGTTCAAGTTATTAATTCGTTGTTATAGTCCGTGTGAGAAGAACTCGTTCAGATTCTGCTGTTCTCATTCCTGTGGGTTGGGTGAAATAGCCTAAAGATAAGGGGTGAACTCTCTGTGAAACAGAGAAGTGTGTAGAATAAACGTGTACATTGAAAACCTTTTCAAAAGCTTTAAATTGTATAATACGTTTATTATTAAGAGTAAGTTGTAAAAATTTATAAAACCAGTTGCAATTTTACATTAAACTTGAATTGAACAAGTATATAGGCTTAAATGCAAAATTTTAAAGTCAAGTGTATTTATGTTGAAAATATTTTTGTTCTAATTGGAGTGGGTTGCATGTAGCTAAGCTTCACACTTTGGCTTTAACTTTGATGAACACTGCAAAAATGTACCATTAACTGTCAAAATTAGACATCTGTTGGAAGTTAATCTCTATATTGCAATTCAGGTGAGCAAAAAAGTTACTCTAGTGAAAGATTTTGCTTGCCTATTTTCGTGGTTTTTACATTATGTAGTACCCTGGAGTCCTATCAGTTCTGGGGGAAGAATTTAAGACAATTAGTTTTCCAACTGAGAGACTGGTTATTTTTTTTAATCCATGAACAAAACACGGCAGGGGTTTTTGCATTAAAATTTAAAAAGATAAAAACGTCCCTCATCAACGACTAGTTTTAAAAGGTTCATGAACTGAATTTTCCTTTGGAATTATTTTGTCCAACTTTCTACCCTTGTACACTTCTTTTATAATGTAATATGTCCTGTGCTTTTCAGGACAACTGAGGGCGCTGTTGCTGTGACACTACTCAGATTAGGGGTTTTCAAATTGTGAACCAACCAATTTGCTCACTGAAAACATCTGTGAGAAAATTGTGCTCATTGGCCAGGCTTACAGCCATGTACTGACCAACGACGAATCACCACGGAAAAAGAAAATTTACCACAGCAAAATGTGCAAAATTCCGGCAAGTTTTGGTGCTGAAATGTCTGTAACATTGAAGTTTCCGCTTGAAATTACGTCAGACTTTTGCTCATGATGAATATGGAGATTTGCATTGGCATAAAAACCAAAAAGGCACCAAAATACACTTGAGAAATCGCACAACAGAAGATTAGATGGGGACACAAAGGTGCATTTTCATTGTTTTTTCAAGGATTGCATACATTATGGGCCTTTTCGCTAGTATAATTTAAAGGCATGTCGACCAAATCCGCACCATTATTCGCCGGTTGAGCAAGATTCAATGTATACATTTATTCTGAAATCTTTTGTCAGATCAGATACTGTGAACATTTCTAACAAAGTAACAAAGATTTGAGAACTAATAAACGGTTAAGTTGTGGCCTTGTAGTCCCAAAAACCGATCGCGTACCGACATTCAATTTGCGGTTTTGGCTTTCGCGCGCAAGCCGCGCATAAATTATGCGGCTTTTGGTTTTGGTTAAAATTTCAACCCGGTTTATCTGGCTATGCGGGCTCCGTCCTTAAAGGGGCAGTTGCGTTAGATATTCCCGCACTGTCATCATTTCCAAATCGTTATAAGATTTTACTTTAAAAAGGAAAGAAAAAAATACCAAATTGATTGTGGAGGATCATTAATATATCTGCTTGTAATTATATATTTAAGGGCACAAATATAACTAACAAAGGGAATTATTTGAATCTGTTGTGGATCTCAATGATATTAAACAAAATTAATTTACTATTTGAAAAAAATTCATTTTTGAAACATTTGATGTAGATAGTCTTTGCGGATATTTTGCTGGCTAAAAATAAAATGAGCTCAGTTTTCCAGATTATCGATTCTCTGTTACACAAAGTTTGGGAGGATATGGATATGTTGTAGTTGTTAAAGCTACAGTCCATCATTTGCAGCTATCCAAAAAGTAACTGACGGAATTATTGTTGAAAAAGATAGTATAAGGGGACTAAACTCCCTGTGAAATTATTCTTTCTGGCATGCTGTTATGTTGAATCAATCAACGAAAGAAGGCCTTTCCAACGATGCCTCTAAAGACGCACCGTTGGAAATTTCCGTTAGTACATGTAGTTCGGCAAAGCGTGCGCAAGCGTTGACACGATGCACATGCGCGCGCGGTTGCTATATTCATCGGATCGGTGCGCGACATCGCGTAGCTGCAATCGACTCAGTGAGAACGTGTCTCGGACGCTGAATTCAGGCCCAATTCAAAACATGATTCAGCAACTTTTGATCTGAAATCGACATCCTAGAATGTTGTTTTTCTCAAAATATTATTATTATTATTATTATTATTATTAATCATTTCTGGTAATGAAACCAAGGATTCCTCAAAAGCGCCCTAGGCACTGTAGCTCGCAAGCCTGAAGAAACCTGTGGAGAAAAGACAATGAGAAGAAGTTACAGTTTTAGAGGTGGGAGGAAAAGCCCAGAAGAATATTCTGGGGAAAACCCACGGAATCAGGCAGGGACTGAAAACCCAATCCACATATTGGCCCAGGCGGGATTCGAACCCGGGTCACAGCAGTGGAAGGCAAGGAAAGTACCACTACGCCAACCTGACTCCCCAGCTGAAGCTGAGCAGAAACTTTATCAGGTTAGTTGTTCAGCACCCTTCTTTAGATTTTGAGCACAATTGTTGCTTCAAACGGACAAAAGGCACAAATTACAAACGATGGACTGTACCTTTAATTAGCTTCGATGAGTTTTGTTTGGTCACTGAACCGGTTTATAAATACTTAAACCGGATTATCCGTTAACCGAAAGGAGTACGACTGCGTGGTGACCCAGCATGACCTGGGCGTAGTAGTTAATCCGTTGGACTGCGCGCGCGTGTATGCAGATTGCGACATTTCGATTCATTTACTACACGCGCCATCACGATTTGTGACCAGACGTGAGTCGTCCGTGCGAAATCAAGACACCTTTTCTTTCCGTTGTTTTGGAATTAATTCCTCCCTCGATGTGCCAATTAACAGGAGTAAGTAATCACAGCACTCATACGTTTTAAGTTTGTGTCATGTTTTCTGAAATCGGCGAGTGTTTTGGGTGGATTTTCTGCGATTTTTTGTGCCGGTACACTGTGTGGAATGTGCAGATGAGTGTTCGTTGCCATGCAAGTGTACAGTGTGCAAAGTCTTTGTGTAGTTTTATTTTTTTTGCAAATGCAGCAGTGCACTGATGCCGCACCGTACCGGTACTTACTTGCCCGGCCCACCAGGCTCTAGAATCGGAAAGAATTTCGCAATCAGGGGAAAGCGTGCCTGAATTTGCGAGATGTGATGCAATATTTTTGTTGGAGTAATGCACACTGACTGACTAGTGAAGGGCACACTAGGCATGCTAGGGGAACCTATTGCTTTTATTTTGTTGTCATGATGTGTCGGGCCTTCCTCCATCACTGACCATGCCCATGGTCAGAGCATGGAGGAATAAGAACTTATTCCTCCATGGTCAGAGCATGGAGCTCCTTACATGCCTTATGCCTTTTATGGTTGCAGACCAGTAAATAAACTTCCATAGACCATGGAGGAAGGAATTCAATGGTAAATGCTCCCACTTCAGAAATTCGGGAAAAATACTCACAACTCTCCAATTTCTACCCCAAAAAACTGTTCAAAATTACAAAAAAAAGTGTCATTAGAATTGAGAGAAGTCAGAAAGAATGTTGCATCCTGACGCCACCTTTTTCATTATACAATATTTCAATGAAGGTCGGTCATTGCAAAAATGTTGAAAAGACATGAAACTATCTGGGACTGAGAAACATTTCCAATTTTTTTTTTAGAAAATTCTTTAAAAAATGCACTGGACTCTCCATAGTATTGGTTGTGTACAAAGTGTATGATACACTTCCTTCACAACTGAAGAACAGGCGTCTGGATACTACATACATGCACATTCTTTCCAAGAAGTCTGCTTAAGGTGGAAAATGCCATTTTTGAAGGACAAAAACACCCTTGACTCTAGTTTGGTCGAAACTAAAGAGAGGCCCATAACTTCACGATCCTCCCATAAAGCTATTGACATTCAAAGAAGGATTATAAAATACCAGGAAGTACATACCATGTACCATGTGCGGTAGGTGTATTGGCGAAATATACAGTGTGTAGTATACATGTAGTCGGGTGGTAATACATTTGTGGACGTGCACGATAGGGAGTCATCAATGTTTTGAACCCAGATCCCAACCCCACCCCACACCCTACAAGTATCAGGAGCAGGGTTCCATTAGCCTGCTTGAGGTATGGCCGACACAGTATTTGGTTTGGGTAAATACAAAATACTTTACCCAAATCAAACAGCGCCTCTATGCTCTGTCAATGGCAGAGCCTCAAATAGGCCTTGTTCACGTGTCGGCCATAGTAAATTGAAAGCGAGGTACTAAAATCTTCATTTTTGGAACTTGCGAATAGAAATGAAAGTAATGAAATAAAGTAACTACATATTCATACCAGTCTGCTCTGATGAATAATTAAAAATGTGTGATAAATTATACACTAATGTTTTAAACCACATGTAAAAAAATACCCAATAGAAAAAATAAAGCCCCATGGAAAGTAATGGTGCCAGAACGGCTCATCTTCAAACGCCTCAATTTTTTCCCCACCAATATATTATTTGCAATGACTGACAATCATAGCGGTGGAAAAGCATGGCAGCAGGATATTGCATTTCCCACAGTGCGTGTGGAAAGGAATTATGAATATCACAGTTCATAGCCTAGCCCTACCTTCAGTTCTACTAATCCTCCAGCATTTGTATTGAACTACATTGAAGTACATTGCATTACATTGTATTACATTGTATTTATTTCCTTCAGTTCTACTAATCCTCTAGCATTTGTATTGAACTACATTGAAGTACGTTGCATTACATTGTATTTATTCCCCCCCCCCCTCCCTGGAATCCACAATTCTTTGTCACTTCTTAGTTCTAAGAAGAGACGCATTCAACATTGTGTGTCTTTTGAGCAATAAAATTCAACTCTCAAACTCTGACAATTTCATTCATGGAAGTTGAGGAAATAGCTTAACAGTGTGGTGTCCCTCTCCATGCATGGGTTGGATTGAAAACACGCTTCCAAAAGGAAGCAGAAATTTGGCGTAATTGCCTCGTAGGCGACTGACAAGCTGTGAACTTGCCCCCGTTCCTGGTACGCCCACTCCCATGGTCGTCTGCGGTGTGTCAAAAGCCGTTGTGTCATTAACCAAGGTCCAACAAGTTGGCTATTTTTTTTTTGAATTTTCTTGAGCAAAAATGTCATTGTTTGGATTTTGTGGATTTGTAATTTGGTCTTAAACTTGACTTCTGTGCTGTCACAATCTTGAAATATTATCTTTAACCCTAACCTTCCCAAATCCTACAAAGTCCTGTTTGCAAAATGAAGGATTTGCAGGATTGTGGCCATATGGCAAAAATGTGTGGCTGATTTTTGAGGATGCACTGTGTCAAGGTCTCAGGCCGGACCTTGTGTTGTTTATGCTCAGCTGTTCATAAATTTAGGGCCTAGATTATATTTGAAATCCGCACTGCTCCAGGATGTCACTGGCTTTGCCTCAGCATATTGACAGTGATTGCTGGAGGATTTTGCAGGATTGAGGCAGTGGTCACCCCTCCAAGTCCAAGGACCACATTCAAGAAATAACAGATGATTTTGGAGGATTGAGGCAGTGGTCACCCCTCCAAGGACCACATTCAGAAATAACAGATGATTTTGGAGGATTGAGGCAGTGGTCACCCCTCCAAGGACCACATTCAGAAATAACAGATGATTTTGGTGGATTGAGGCTGTATGCAATTTTTACATGGAGGCAGCTGGGGGATTTTGCAGGATCGAGGTGGCAATGCATCCTAGCACATATGCCTAGGGAGTTAGGGTTAAGATTTCTTTTTGCTGCTCGACTTTGAGCCTTGCTTGTTCGGCTAGTGCCCTATGCTCTTCATGTGACCTTTCCGTGGGTGTTACATGTACACTATTGCTGTCATTCCCCGAAGCCGTGGCCAGTGCACCCTGTGTAGTTGTACACTGATCTATGTTCTTTACTCGTAATTGAATCCTGACATGTGTGTGTCTTGTTTATGACCTTGTCAGGGGCGGGCGTGTGCGATATCCGACACGCATCCCACACATACATCCTCGTACACACACGCTGCTTGTTAATGTAGGAAATTAATAAGTCATCACAAACTCCTGTGGGCTTTATTCTCATGTTAAACATATCTACTAAAGGTTGGCAGATGTTGTGTGCACACATACTGAAATTTGTATCCTTGTGGAGACATTTCTTTGTTCTCGTGTAGTAAAGTTTTCGAGTTTGAAAGTGTACTTTCAAAATGCTCTTATTTTAACCAGAATTAATTTCATTGGCTGAAATTCGGACTTAAAGGGAATATACAACATTTGCAAACATCGAATAAACAAAATACCAAATTTTTACGAAATACCTTACTAGGATGTTTGTAAATTACGGTCTTAAGCATCTTGTAAAATTATGGCACCTGGTGTGAAGTCATTTTCAAGAAAAGTGGTATTTTATTGTAAATTTCCAACGCTGGTCGGCCGACCACCGTTAGAAAAACCTAACTATTTTTCAACTACTGCTCCAAATTTACCATTTTTTCAGTCCAAATTTTTTTTGCTATTGGTTACATGTTTATGAACGGATGCAGGCCAGCTAGACTGGTTCCCTTACCTTACAGTTTTCCGGCATCTATGAATTGATCCATATCATCTTTAATAGAGTCAGGGAACCAGACTACTTGAACATTTTAGTTTTTCTTGGTTTTTCCAGCATTTTTGAACACAAAACTTCAAACATGTCAGCGTAACAATATTTGATCTATTATACTAACCCCTCATATTGTTCATTACTGAAAATTACAGCAAAAGCCAATGATGTACATTCCCTTTAATATCCCTTTTCTAAAGCCCTTCCATTTGCGACAGATCAACAGACCGTAGAAATTCCTAGTTTTTTAGTAAAATCCATATTTCGTGAAAACCTTGTGGAGACGTATTCATCTATAGAAATTGCCATGTGGAGACGTATACAATCTTTTGTTCCCTATTGTGTGCATGTCTCCAGAGGGCACGGTGTATCAGATGACATGTGTTACTGTATGAATGCCATCGAAAATACCTGCATTTTTTCCCCGATAGTATAATATTGTTAGAATAATGACATTTCAGGTGCAGTACATGTGTAGCACAATTTTCAGTGCAATATTTAAGACACGACGGTGAAATTGTTTTGAATGCAAATTCCTCGCAGTGATTGACATCGCATGGGCATGCCATACATTTCTGCAGTAACAGTGAAGGAGCATTAGGGCCTGCTATCCCTGCGGTGGACATTTTGTGGCATAACGTTTTTCAAGCTTGGATAGTCATGAGTGAACGCTTTATGCATTCATTGTTACTAAATTAAAATAAAGAATACCCTCTCAGGTACCTGCTGTGCATGGAGAGTGTTGTACATGTACATTGTGGAATTTTGTCAGACCACACACTGTACCGGTAGTTGCATAGAATAATTGAAGCAGACCTCGATAATCATTCATGCGCAATGTGATTAGATATGAACATTGATCGTTGCTATAGGGCCTGTTGACCCATTTCGTTGTGTTCAATTCCAGAGTCATGTAAATATGTCAATTATGTTCATGTATATGAACAAGGTGTAAAGGATTATTTGTTTGATAACCAAAAATGTGCATAAACATACATACTATACGGATTTACATGTACCCTGATTTCAAGTCCTTACATTACAATAAATTATGATCTCATACAGTTGGTTCCAACATAACCTGAATTTTCTGGGCAGAGTTTGAAATGAAGACTAAGACCCCCCCCCCCCCCCAAATATGAAGGATGATTTTTTTTCAATTTTCTGATATTCAAATTGTCTAAAAAAAATAATAGGTAGGCACAGCTGGCTTATCAATCACCTACAGCCAAACCATACACTGTATCAAGTCACATAAACAGTCACAGCCAGTCAATCCTACTTTATGTAGGCTGGGAGCTCTTAACTGTTAAAAACAGTTGCTTGACTGATATTGACTGAAATGACAACTTGGCACAGAATGCATGTTTGCATAGGAGGGTTACATTCAAGAAAATTGCAGAAATTTAACATAATTTAACAACATAGTGTTGCCACGGAAAATCTGTTTTCTAAAATTAAACCATCTTTGAAAAGGGAAAGTCTAAAATATATTTTACAACTATTCATTTGCTATTTGAAAAACCTATTTTCACTAGCTACATGTACCCAGAACACATTAAATGACAGAACACATCAAAGGGAAGATACAACATTTGCAAACATCATGAAAACGAAATGACCAAATTATCACGAAATATCTTACTGGTTTGTTAGGGAGTGACAGTCTAAAGCATCCTGTAAAATAATGGCTTCTGGTGGGCTGACATTTTCAAGAAAAATGGTATATTTCCAACACTGGTCGGCCGACCAGCGTTGGAGAAAACTGGCTTTTTTTCCAAAATCTGCTCTTAATTTTTCATAATTAGTTTTTCCGCATTTTCTTTGCAATTGAATACACACAAATATGAAGGGGTACAAGCCTGCCAGACTGATTCTCTGACCTTACAATTCCCCAAAGTCGACAAACTGCTCCGTTTCATCTTAAGTGCGGTATGGGAACTACATGTACACTACAAGAACATGATGTTTTTCTTGGTTTTTCCAGCATCTTCAAGCCCAAAACGTGAAACAAGTCAGTTTAACTATATTTGCTATAAATAACATTCTACTCCCCCATTTCCATTTACTACTGAAAATTGCAGCAAGTACATTCCTTTTAAGTATACAATGTACATGTACATTATTTTTTCAGTACAAGATGTCAAGGTGGCACATGATGACGACAAAAATAATATCCATCTAAAATCTATAGTTATGGAGGTCGCGCATGCATTGACATGTACAGTATACCGATCCCTGAAGACCATACATGTACACCGCAGCCGGTCGTGCGCCCTAACAACTCCATAAAGCAATTCATTATGATTGATAATTCATTGCGTGGCCTGTCCACTCTTCCTCGAACGTAGAAATTCCAAGCGTCCTGCGAATAGGAATTGCTGTATCTTGTGTTAGTGTGTTATGAGTCGTTTAGTCGTACACGCAGCTGACCTTGGCTCCGACAGTCAACAATTTGAGTGATTAAACGGGTCACTTGCAGGCCGAAGATTATTTTTGCAGATTGTCACTTTATTTTCATAATGTACTAAGTACCTCTGTCTTCATAATACACAAAATACACATGTTGGGTACACTGTCGGTTCAGTAATGTTCTTGATATTCAAAGGTGCATTTTGAGGTTAAAATTATCAAATTTTTACCAGAAAATGGCACAATTTATGTGCAGTGCTAATGAGTTGGGCCAAAGAGGTGCATACCGTGTAACAAAAAATCATGTTGTTGCTGAAATTACCTTAGTTTTTAAAGACATCAACAAAAATTATGTTATTAAAAATAATTTGAATTTAAATCCTACCAACTTTATAGGAAATGCCCTGCATAATTGCATAACATACAGTTTGTACATGTACATGTGCATTTGTGTACGGATACAAGATGCAACAACAGACCCCAAACTGCCCTTAATATTTGTCATTTTTTAAAAATTGTGAAACTTTATCTCTGTAATTTATTATCTGTACCTGCACTTCCCTGTTTATTGTGTATTTGTGCCACCACACAATTCAAAGGTCGCAATTCGATTCCATTCAATTCCGTAATTTCATCCACGAGAAACAAAATCCCCTCGAATTTTCGAGGAAGCTATCGAATTTGCGTCATGTCCACGACAGTCGACTTGTCGAGGAGATTTCTAATCTATAATCTCCCCGTCACCATTTGTCCTTCGTTTGTCTTCCTGCCCCGAGCCATCTCAAATTTAATTGAGCCGAATTTGTCCTACCTTGCCAGAGCTTTTGAAGATCGTCCCTGACGTTATTGGTATCTATTTAATCTGCAGTTGATGAACTGCTGCTCATGATCGTTTTTTAATTGGGAATTTTTTTAGCCGTGCGGATAACCTTACCAGCTGGCTGGTACGTGTGCTTTAAAGGGATTTCTGTCCACTCGGGCATGGAGGTGCAAAGCTGATATTATTGTTTTGCAAATTCATATGCTCCGCAAAAATTAGCAGGGGACCAGTCAGTGGTAATATACTTCACACGACATCTTGACTGGCAATCGGTTTTTCGTAAGCATGTGTTGTTTGAATTGGCTAGAAAATTGTGTTTGTTTGTAGCCCGTTGTGCAGGAAAAATGCTTAAAAAAATTAGGTACATGTACACATGTACATGTATGTACATGTGCAAGCTGTATGTAAGTGTACATGTTTGTACATGTACACGTTTTGTTTGCCCTCAATTTCTTTGATATTACCGCATTTTGTGGACCATGAACTTGAAGGTTTGTGAAAAAAAGGTGGGTGGAAGCCGTGCACAGGATTGTGAGCTCCTATTTCTGAGAAATTTCAGATGAAATTGGGCCCTAAAATGGCTCTGTTTTGCAATGGAGCGCAGGCATCATTTTTCAAAATGGCGATGGGCCACAGGACTACTTTTAGGGGTGATCATCTTTGGACAGTTGGATGGAATTTTCTCCCAAAAGTCATCGGATTACCACCCGAAAATTAACAGAAAATGAAAGATGACGAAATAAGCTTTAATATGATGGGTGTCTCAAACACCTTGGAGAGTTGTGAGTATTTTAAATAATTTTTGGAAGTACGCGTAATTATCTCTGAGGTCTATGGGAGTCGATTTACAGGTCTACAACCTATACTCGAGACTGTAGGCATGTTATGTTGACTTCCAGAGGAAAAAAATCGTAAGTCTGGTCCTGTTTACTAATTTGCTGATTGAATGTCCAGCATACATGTACCACCAACATGATAAACATGACTGGCTCATGTTACAAAGATCCTCCTTTCATGGGAAACTTAGACACATCCGCCAGGCTCAGCTAGCTGTGTAAGCCACACTACACAGAACTACATTGTTCATGCTTACATTACAGCATGGGCCTTATTCACGAGTCGGCCATATTGAATTTAAAGTGAGGTAAAATCTTCAGTTTTGGAACTTGCGAAGAGAAATGAAAGCAGTGACATATAAAGTGAATTACACATTATACCAGTCTGCTCTGATGAATAATTTTAAATTTGTGGTTAAAAATACCCTAATGTTTTAAGCCACAAAAAAGTGAAAGTGAGGCTAGAATGTAGAAATAGTCTGGCACCATCCCATTCAACAGTTCACAATTAATAAAATACATTCAGGGAACCAGTCCAAAATGGCTTTCTCGTTTATAAGGTCCATACATGTATTGGTGGCCCATGCAATGTAATTTTATGCAATCCTTGAAAATACACCTTTGTGTCCTATTTAACCTTATGTTTAATTTTTGGTTTGCCATTTTCAAGGGTATTTTTGGTGCCCTTTTGGTTTTTCTGCTAGTGCAAATTTCCATATTCATGAGCCAAATTGTGATGTCATTTCAGGCAGAAACCTCAATGCTACAGCTATTTCAGCACCAAAAATTGCCAGAATTTTGGATATTTCTCTGTCGTAATTTTTCTTTTTTTTTGGTGATTCTTTGTTGGGTCAGTACAAGGTAAGCCAATGAGCAAACTTTTCTCACAAATATTTTCAACAAGCAAATTTTGGGGTTCACAATTTGAACAGAAAAACCCTAAACTGAACAGTGACTTCCTGAAATGACATCAATGTTTAAAGAAGTGCACTTTTCAATCAAATTAGCCAAAAAGGGATGTCAAATATTTTTCATACATTTAAGAGGAGTAGCAAATTGGACAAAATATGTTCGTAAGAAAAATTCACTTCATTGACCCTTTAACTTCGTCGTCACTGAAAGAGGAATTTGGCCTATTATACATGTACCCCAATTTACATTAATGTACGTCAATCTACTGAACATGTACATTTTTTGAACATTTTCACTGAACAATTCTAACATTTGTACTGAACCTGTGTGTACATACATGTACATCATTTTGTACGTATACATGTACATTCATGTACATTTGTATACAAATATACAATGTACCGGTATGTATGTACATTATGTCTGTAAGCCAGACAGTGTGTGGTATGGCATGCATTAGGTTGAGACTGTGCATCACATACATGTGTGGTTCGTGAGTCACAAAGTCATTGAATTAGTGCAACGATTCGCAGGTTTAGGTAATGTGAGAGACGAGAGTGGATGCATTGTACGTCGGACTTACGCAAGCAGCGTGTTTTTGGTTGTGCAATAGTCGAACTTCGCTAACATTGGCGATTCGTCTTGAATAATGTGGCCAACTATTAAAAGTATGGAGTATATGACGTTTTTATTTTGTAGATGTGTATAAATGAGAGCCATGCAACTTTTCCTCGGATCCGCAGATTTCTTCGTTTTTTACTTCTCATGAATGCCATTACAAATTGGAAAACACTGCAAAGTCTTGTGTGGTTTGGAATTTCCTCTTTTTTCCCCTTACTTTTCTCAGATTTTTTTTTGGTTGTTAAAAAGATAAACAGTGTATATATCATGAAACATTTTTAAATATTTATAAGACTAATCTTGCTACCATGGTTATCAGCTATTGTTGACATGGCACGCTGGTCGTATACGCAAAAACAGCCCTTTTTTGGGGCAGTAGGGTTGGCAAACTGAATACATACCTCAAATTTGCGACAAAATGTGCATAAAGAAGGCACTACATTGGAAATGGCTTCTCATTGGGTCTCCAGTTAAGTCTAGAGTATTATACGAAATTTGTAAATAACTTGATTTGTTTTTCTGGGTTTTTTTCTCCAACAGTTCTCTACTGCCCCAGTCTCGGCATTTATGGCGTTTGCTAAAATTGCAGGCGAATACTGCCAAAGCCAGCACAAGTAAAAACTGTAACCGAACTTTCTGGTTTCGCACACGTGGGACACTTCAGCCGTCGCTTCCCCCGTACTCTCTGAAGCGCCCTCGTGTGAGACACAGACTGAACGCTTCTGGACCCCCACGACTCGGTGAGGGTTCGGCGCAAGCAACGTACGACACGTGCAATCTGCTTTCTCGGGGCCTCGCTTGCATGCGCGGGCTTCGCCACGGCACAGCGAGAGCTGTTGCACAGAACTTAAACTCTGGACACCACGGATGGGGTAAGTTGACGGTCGGTGACAGGGCGACTGCCTGGGCCTGGCAAGGGTACCAAGTTGGGGACTGGTCGGTCAGGGGAGCTGGCTATTGCGGACTTGCTTTCCCGAAGGTTAAGAGCAAGCCGAACCGGTGATCGGAGATCTGAAGTCTCGTCTACGAGGGACCCCAAACCGTCAGCTGTGTGTGTGTGTGAGTGTGAACGCGAGTGATATCTTGCCTTGGACGTCTAGTACCACTACCTACCCCCTTCCGCGCCCAGCTTAGTATTTTGTACATTTCTTCGTTCGTCGCTGTGATCCTATGAGGAACTACAGTATCAACATGGCCAGAAGCGTGCGACCAGCACCCGTCGAGATTATCTACAAACATACACGATTTCTTATCATCCACAACCCTGACAAGAATGGACTGGATCATTTCATCAAGGTAAGGAATAAAAAAATTATGAATTTGTTATTTTATTAATATTTTTCTCTGAGTTGAGTACACATATGTACACATGAAAGTAACTTGAATGCAAATTTATGATGTCACAGGAAGTATTTGCAATGCAAATTAGCAAAGTTTAAAATATTTTCGACTTTTGCAAAACTTGTAACAAATTTCAGAGACAACAATTTGTGATGTGTGAACATCAAACACACATGAATATAAAAACAATTTTCATGTCATCAATTTCCATCAAACATTTGTAAAAACTGTACCGAAATTTGACTTGGAATTTGTTGCCTATTCCAAAAGCGTTTACTTTCTGTGAAGTCACAAATTCACATTCAAGTTCGTACATCTAAGAACTGACACCATTCATCAAAACTCCACTTACACGTTTTGCAGTATTTTGGTAGATTAAAAAAACTGTTACAATTACTATCCATAGAACGTTCTGACCCAATTTTATGTGCTGTAGGTTATTGTAAAATGTTAAAGAGTGTTCCAATTCCGAAAGGTTGTTAACAAAAACAGCCTAGAGCAATATATGGTCAAGAAATGAAAACAAAATGTGGACAAGGGTCGTAGCTTAAACACTAGTCCGTGATTACCACAACATAAACTAGATCGGGCCGTGTTTACTTGAACACTTGCCGACAGCTTTCTGAAAATTCTCTCGATCAGCTCGGAGACGGGATTATAGTTCCAACTTCCCACACGCCTCATTCCGTACATTGTTGTTGTATCGCCAAACACAGCACCTCGGGGGGACAGCGGCCCGCCGCAAAAAAAAAATATCTAAATTTACTTTGCATAATGCCTGTCCCATCCTATTCAATCGTCCGTGCAAGGAAAAAAGGGGCAGACATCACAAAGTCGAAGACACCGCGATTAGGCAGACGTAGGCAGCAAGTCACGCTTTTGTGAGACGGTTTCAGTCAAACATTGCCACAAAAGGGGGGAACGAAGACAACAGTTTGACCTTTTCAAAATTCTTTAGACTCAGCTTTCGGCCAATTGTGCCATTTTCATGCAGGGATGTATTTTTTTTCTCTATTGGTCGGCTCAAAAGATTCGCGGAAGCGTAGGATCATCTCTATTTAATTACGAGGCTGCCAGACTTCGTAATTTACCAGATGGGGTTGAACGTCACGTGCAAGGGCCGATTCGTTAACAATAGGAAGCACATACATGACTGTAAACATCTGACTTGCTATCAGACAAAAATTGCTGCAAAAAACATGAACATTATTTGAAAATTTAATAAAGATTTGTTTTGAGTTTATTCTTCCGCATACCGGGGTACATGATGTACATGTACATGTATGTCATTGTTAACATGAACAAGTAGAGTTATAATTCACATGTTCATGTACATACTACATAGTCAGTACATAGTTGTACATTCTCGTCACTTCTGTTAAGGCCAAAAAAATAATAGTTCTGCTTCCGGTTTCCCTACCTACCCTATTCTGACAGCCCCTACCCTTTTTTTTAAAGGGCAAAATGAGAAAAAAACACAATGAGAAAGTTTTACCCTTGACTACACGCAGACGCCTCCATATGATTGTACACACAAAAAATGTGGCCAAAAAAAAAAAAATTCCCTACCTACCCACCCTATTTTAGAATACCATGTAATCGGAAGCAGAAGTATTTTTTTTGGGCCTAATGTTATCAACACAAAATTACAAATCACAAAATAACAAATTTGCTTTTAGAAACCCAACTTGTATGTCATCCGTATCGCCGGTTTTTTTTCCTTCCACTTTTGAAGCCTCAACTTCAATTTTTATTGTGAAAAAAACCAACCTAATCTAGGGTTGGAGAACACAGGAACAAAATAGGATTTAAAAATTTCCTCTGGCGAATCTGTATGATTCTTTGTAAAAGCCCAGACATGCCTCGCAAAAATTCCTGTGGTTTTTCTCCCTATTGTTTTGAGGAAGACTTCTGCGTATAAATATTTTTCAGGCCAGTGCCTACATTTTAAGCCCTCGCACAGTCAATATTTGCAAGCGTTCCAGTCCTGTTGTTGTTACGCTTAATGTCCTGTTGGTTTTGGACAGCCGACTGTTTGCCGAGTTCTTATGCCTATTATCTCTGGCGCTGCACATGTGGGGTTGGTTTTGAGCACGGCCGAAAATAAAACTTCCGCTTATTAAAGGCTTAAAATTGATAAGCCAAACATGAAATTTTTAATGGATATATGTATTTGTATCTATTTTTGGTTGTTGGCTGCTCTGTAAACCGATCAGAAAGATATTTTGGATGACAATATTTTTGGCAAAAATGTGCAAAAAATTATATCTTTAATATCTTGACTTTTATCTTTAATTGGTATTGAATCATTGATCTTGTGGTTTAGTGAGCCCTGATATTTTTTTCATCATTGTATTTGCTTTCTAGGAATTGAAGAAGAGAGACATAGTTGAAGTAGCCCGAGTTTGCGAGCCCACCTACGAGACCAAATTACTGGAGAATGAAGGAATACAAGTCCTGGTAGGTTTGCTTGTTACTGGCCTGTTTGTTTACTAATTTGTTTGTTTACTAATATTACTTTATTTGTTCATCAATTTCCCAAGAACATTAGGCCCAAAAAATAATAGTTCTGCTTCTGGTTTATACCCTACTATTATACCTACCCTCTTTGATAGCTCCTACCCTAATTTAATTTGGGGAAAAATGAGAAAAAAACCGAAAATCATCAATTACTACCTTTTACCCTTGACTACACGCAGACACCTCCATATGATCGTAAATTAAAAACAATGCCCCCCGCCCCCCACAAAAAAAATCCCCACCTACATGTACATGTACCTACCCTATTGTAAAATGCCATATAATCGGAAGCAGACATATTTTTGGCCTTACATGAATGTGAATTTGCCCTGTCATGGAGCTGTCAGCTCAACAGTAGAAAATTATTTATTTAATGTGCCCATTCTTTTAAAACTTCTGCCATTTGCTGTTGTTTTTTCCCCACCTAATCAGGCACCATTTTATGGCCGAACACTTCCCACAAGTGGAATTAGTAAATTTCATGTGCACATTCTTTGGAACGTTTCACTTTTGTGGGTCTTCCAATTCAAAAGTTTCTGACAAAAAACTTATAATTGTCTTTATTTTCCACCTCTTCTGTTCCAAATCCTGTTGTTTTTATAGACAGTTTTTACTATTTTTTTTATCCATTCTTTTGAACTATTTTTGACAGTTTTTTTGTGAACATTTTTATACGTGTATGTACAGGTTTTTTGTTATTAACCCTAACCCTCCTCACTCCTCCAAAATCCTCCTGGCGGTTTTTGAGGATTCTAGAGGATTGAGGATGAATGGTGATTGAATCACATGAAGATTTTGGAGGATTGAGGATGAATGGTGATTGAAGCATAGGAGGATTTTGGAGGATTGAGGATGAATGGTGTTTGAAGATGAGGATGATTTTGGAGGATTGAGGGTGAATGCATTTTGAGGCAGGACTGTCTGAGGATTTTGAATGATTTAGGCGTTGGTTATCCTTCATTTAAACACGAGTGCAAAATTCTGGGATGGGGAGGATTTTGGAGGATTGACAATGAATGCATTTTGAGGCAGGACTGTCTGACAATTTTGAAGAATTAAGGTGTTATTGCAAAGTTTTGGAGGATTGAGGATGGTTCTTAACAAAAAGGGCCAAGGGGGTTAAAGCTATTTGTGCATTTCTTTGTATAGTTTGTCTCCTTTTTAACTGTTTTGACACAGTTTTTCATGTACACTGTGCCTTTTACAATGTATTTCTTGTTGACTTTTTCTTCTTAAGGACTGGGCCTTTGACGATGGTGGAGTGCCTACCAACGATATCATCGAGAAATGGCTGGATATGTTGAAGAAACGTTTTAGCGAGACGCCAGGTAGCTGCGTGGCCGTCCACTGCGTGGCGGGATTAGGGCGTGCCCCCTTGCTGGTTGCCGTGGCGCTGATGGAGGCAGGCATGGGATATGAGGATGCCGTCACCTTGATAAGAGAGTAAGTATAGCGTTACGTTCAGCTGGTACCCCGCAACTTGGAACCGACGTTGCGTTCTGGTGACGTCTGAGCTTTCATTGGCTTACATTTTGTTCAGGAAGTGACCTGATTCAAAACCTTGTTTACACAGAACACACAAACATGCATTTATTTTGGCGATGAGCTACCCACAATGCATTGCAAAGTTTGCATTTCCTCGTCGACTTTTGTAAATACAGGCATGCAACGTTTCCTCGGATCCGCTGATTTCCTCATTTTTGTACTTCTCATGAATGCCGTCACAAATTGAAAAACATTGTACAAAGTATTGTGCGGTTTGGAATTTCCTGGGTTTTTTTCCTCTTAATTCCCAGTTGCATGCATGTAAATAGAGATCAAGTGGCCACCTTTGGATATGGCGATGGGTACAAAGAAATGCCAAAATCTTTTATACAAATTACAGTCGAATCTCGTTAGTACAAACTCTGTTAAAATTCTGGTTATAACAAACATAAAGCCTTAGTCCCGACTGTGCATTTATGTGCACAATGAATGGGACTGATGTTCCTCTTAATACAAAATTCTGATATAACAAACAATTTGGCTAGGTCCGAACGAGTTTGTATTAACGAGACTCGACTGTATTGAGAAACTAACCCAAAACGCATCTCTGACATTTGTCAAAAATCTGGGATAAAAAAATGGCATGGCAAAGAAAAATTTGTTGGACTGTTTTCCTGAATGAAGAAAACACAGGCATGTAATTTTTCCTCGGATCAGCACTTTCTGTCATTTTGTGTTTTCTACATATGCTGTTAAGAGTTGCATGTCCGAAAACAACAAACAACAAGTAGTATGTCTGTAGGAAGGGCAAGTATGCATACACATTTCTACGTACATGTATGTACGTGGTTTTGGTTGCCAAGGCAACAAATGTACGGATTCAGGGTGAATTACAGCACTTCAGTTTTGATTTAATTTGTTTTGCTGGTACAAATATGCCTTTGCCGCATACTTTGCAGTTTTTTGTTTTTCATCATCAGAAATTTTACCTTGCCCCAAAACGGGGGAAAAACAGAGGTTTTAGATAATTGGGAGCTCTCCGTATGCGTCATTACCGCATACTTCGCAGTTTTTTAGTTTTTTCATCATCAGAAATTGTACTTTGCTCAAAAATGGGGGAAAAACAAATGTTTTAGATAATTATGAGCTCTCTGTAAGTGTCATTACTGCATACTTGCAGTTTTTTTGTTTTTCATCATCAGAAATTGTACTTTGCTCAAAAACGGGGAAAAACAAAGTGAAAAACAGAAATGTTGGTATTTTTTTCCGCACATGCATGCGATGTTTATCAGAGGTCATTTTGATAAGGTTGTTTGTGAAGATATTTCCTTATTCGGACAGTATCAATGTCACAAGAGTTGTTAACCACACAGGACGTGTTGCGTGTCACCCTGCTTTGCTTGATCCCACGCACAATTGAAGAATAAGTATTTTGAAGCGCCTGGTTGCAGCTCATAAAGCATTTTTTCCCTGTTTACATTTTGGATGGTAACTATCAACAGGAAACAAAATATTTTTCTCGATACATGAGCAGAGGAGTATAGCCCACAATAAACAGCTCGCCTCTAATGAAAACCAATTTTTCATGTTTCAAAATATTATGAAACATTTTATTAAAAAACAAGTGTTGATTTCACTAACTATACAGGGAAGTAACCCGTGTACACATGGGCATAAACAGGAATGGCTTTTAATAAAAACAATGCTGTATTTTTCCTGCTATTTTAAAATAATTCTTTCCCGTCCAGTATTTGGAGAAAACACTTTCTTATTCTTAACTTAACAGTGAACACGATCATCGATTTCCAAAATTTCAAAAGCACCTTTTACATGTATGTCATTAGGTCATTCCATGCCATTTCATCAGGCCATGGCACCATATGTCACAGATTTTGCTCAAACTTGGTGGAAAGGTTCTGTTAGTTGTTCTATAGATGAGGTGGAAACCAAAAATTCAAATTGCTTTCTGTTACGGTGTTGTGGTAGAATAAAGATTAATGAACTTTGCCAAAAAAGGGGAAACTGATTGTCCCATAGAATAAATCACCATCTTTAAGGACCCATATCTTGAGATTAAAATTGATATGGAAGTTTAATTTTGGTGCATTGGTACAATACTGTAGTGGAGAATGAATATAGGAAAATAATACCCATCATGCCTCCACCTTAATGGGTTTTTTTTTTGGGGGGGGGGTTCAAATTCAAAAGTGATCCATCGTTAAGTGTCGCATGCATTTTTTCAAATTTTGAAGACCCCTAGTCTTGGAACTTTCCATTAAATATTCTTTATTTCAATTTTAAGGTAATCTCCGAAAGAGCAATTGTAGATGTCTTCCCTGATTTGGGTGACCCCCAATATGGCCCCAGCCAGAAATCTGCCTTAAAATTGGCCCAAAACAAGGGGGGGGGGGGGGGGGGGGAATCCCCATGTGGCTCAGGTGATATAATTTTCTAGCTTTGTTTCAGGAAAGGGTGCATCTTCAAGATTATTATTATCCAAAAAAATGCTTGTGTATCTGGTATGTTCATGAAAAATCAAAGCTGCAAAAATACCCCCCCCCCAAATGAGCGACAATTTGTTTGAGGCACACATTGTGCAGGCAATTTTAACTGACCTCAAATAAGCTCAATAGCATACATGTAAATGGAACTCTTTTTTTGTCGCTTTTGTTTATCTGAGTACCGGTATGTCCCTCTAACTAACTCGTCTAACCATTTGTCTATTTTCTTGGGTTTTTTTCTCCCTCCTTTTAGGAAACGCCGTGGTGCCATCAACGCTAAACAGCTAGCCTTTCTGGAGAAGTATCGCTCCCGGATGAGACTAAAACTCAAGAAGAACAAACAGGAGCCGTGCTGCATCCAGTAGAGACACACCGCTCAAAAAATGTCTCCCTAAAAAAAACAAGGTCACGTATGACCACCTCCAACGAAAAAAAAAAAGCATAACGTCCAGCTCCCAAAATTAAGAATTTTTGTTAATGAATTTAAGCAGGGAATTTATTTGTTCTTAGTGAACCACATATTTAATTGATTATTTTTTTGTTTGTTAAGTTGTACAGGTGGGAGTACGTATACCATACATGTGTGTTTAAGCATGGAGCATTTTAGTTCTAAGTACCCTAATATTGGCAAAAACCATAACCTCATTTTGTGGTTACCTTACACAGATTTTAATTTCCCAATTTTGTTAATGTGCGATCTGCCAGCAGTTATGCTGCATACTTTTGGCCGATTCAGGAAAACTTCCTGACAAAAATGTCGGGGAAGTTAGGGTTAAAATGCTTCATTTAGATAGGATCAATTCAACTAAGTTGCGGTTTTAGGAATGTGCACAATTTTATCTATCCATACACTTGCTAAAAAAAAATATTACTTCCTGGTATAAGACAAATTCACCAGACCATAAAAGATGGAGATTGGTAGTAACGGTTTAATTGTCAGATAGCACAGAACATGTGTGTGGCATCACTGATTCCATTATTGCCTGGATTGTGCATGTGCCCATTGCCTTACATGAACAAGTGAAGCCATGCGCGAGTCACTGTTTGAGCCTCCAATGGCCGCTGCTACATATGTTCAATGCATACAGTATCACATGCTTTATCAAGTCTGACACGGTTTTGTGTACGTTTTGGGCCTCCCAAGATGGCGACCCAGTGGCTTCAGTCTGTTGTCTTGAGGTGCAGTTCAGTTAATACATGGTGTCTGGGTACCAGACCAAAATCAATATTCTTGTGCTTTTGGGACGCGACATCAAGAATTAAAGGCATGTCCTCACCTTTTAACATAGATCAATAAATATTGGGTACACATCACTTTATAACTCTCAAAATTGTATTTTTGTGATATTTTGGGGAAATTATATTTGAGTAGTACTTCTTCACATAGAGCAATATATTAATCAATAACGCACACACTAAGAAGTTGAGCCAAAAGTGTAGAACTACAGAAAGAAAACCAAAAATCTAACCAATATGATCCTTACTGATTGTGCAGCTCCTAAAATATCCTTGTTTTTTTGCCTTTTTTTGATTTTATTCATTTGGCAAGAAGACATTCAGAATTTTACCTTCAACCCCAAAAATTGCAACGTTCCATTCCTCAAAAACAAAGGGACACATAGCTCCATTTTGTTTGGAAAATTTCTCAAGAATTGGTTGATTTTTTGTCCCGCAGTAAATTTCACCTCACAAAACAAGGCTCACGTAGATGTTCATGATTGGCTTTTCCCCAAACAATTTCTCTGGTATGTTATATAAGATTTATTTATTGGTCAGTATAGAACAGTACTAGTACACTCTCGGTTGTTTTTATTGATCAATCTCTGAAGAAAAGAAAAGAAAAATAACTGAGAAAAAGAATGGCTGATTTCTTGTCTCCCAAGTTCCAAGTTTCCAAAATTCACTCGTCTTTTTCCAAAAAAATTAGTTCCGTTTTGAGTGTTTAAGTTTTGCACAAAATGTCCAGCTATTAAATTTCTGTTTGATTCATGATTTTTTTTCTTGGTATAAATGTGTAATCCTTTATAGTTTATTGTATGAACAACTAGTTAAAAAAAATACACCACTGATAAGTTGAATGCTTGTGGTTAACTCGCTAGTTCAAAGGGTCAAATGCCAAAGTTCAGGTGTTGGGGGTCATGCTGAAATTTATCCAGTGTATGTGACATGGTGAACTTGGAATTTTTCAAACCATGCTGCCAAATTGAGCGAAGTATCGGTCTTGGCACTTTCAAATAAGGAATCTGGGTTTTTATTTTGTTTTTTTGTCAGTTTTTTTTTCTTCTTTTTTTTTTTTTTAAATTTGAATATGGTCATGTCAGTTGAAGTCGTTTTGACTTAAAAGTTTCCAATGTTTTGACCCTAAATGTAAGTTACGCAATTTTTTTTGTGTCTTCGAATTTGAATGATTTCAATTGAATTATTTTGTGTACACTTTTATTGCATTCTTCTATGATTTTAATAATTTGCCTTCTTTCTTAGAAAGGGATATAACAATGTTTTGTAGGAACCACACACCTTGTTATATTTCTGAGTGGGATTTTTTTCTCTTACGGATGTAAAACAAACATGAATGTCCACGTAGAGTATTGTTCTAGCGTGCAAGCAAAACATCTGCAATCTCTGCCCATTAAATGAATTCTCTGAATTGTATTTATAATATTTCTTTTGCATGAACAAAAATGATGTAAAATGTTTTTAAAAACCATAATCAACACACAATGAATTTTGTTAAACAAAAAAAAATCAAACTATAAAACAGGCTGAATTTGTAGTTGCGAAAATAATTATCTCATTTCTAAACAACAAAAATCAAACGTTTGCATTTATACATGTTTAAGTAGTTAAGAAATTGTGATATTTAAATAACACTTGTTCGTCCTGTAACCTGTACTAACAACTGAAAAAAAGGGAGACAAAAAAATACTAAGAAAATGCCTTTGAAAATTGACACTGGACAAGCAGTAAAATAATGGACAAAGTCTATTTTTCACACTGCGTTTCTACTCTGAAAGTGTGCTTTAAAAGAACTATTTTTAGGTGCTGAAATTTGATATGACCCGTACTGCATTTTGCTCCTTTTTTTGCTCTTCTGAGAAGTCAATTGGCAAAGTAGTATTATAGCCCCACTAGCCTAGGCCGTAAAATCCAAAAAAAAAATTATCTTGATTCAGACAGAAAGAATTCATTTGAAACTGATGTGTAACGGACTATTCATTTTCTACAATAGTGGGACTTTTTACATATTTTTTTTACCAACATCGAAGAGATTTGCTTTAAATGAAAAACACCTTTTTGGACATCGGAGAGTTTGCTTGTTTTGCGGTTTGCTATGTTTTTCAATGTCTGATGGAATCAAAATGTTGAAGTGGTTTTTTTTTTTCAAACATCGCAAGACTTTCTAATCTCAAGCGGCCATTTTTTCCCCTCAAATTAATGTCTCGGTTTAACAGCTGCTTACTTTCAAAGGGTTTGCTTTCTTGAATTTGTTTGGGCACAAGTCTCTCTGGTAAATTAAACTGGTGCCTTTAACTTGGCACCAAATGACATAATCATCAATGTTAGGCCTCTGGGAACAAGACCAATATGGCTGCCCACAGCTGGAAATTCTGATTTCATGTCTCGTTTTTTTCCCCCTTAAGTTCTTTATATTTCCAAATGTAAGTGGGTTTGAAAAAACGTCGTTTCTGTTATTTTCAAATCTGTGTATTACTCATGGCATTCGTGTCACATGATCTTGTTTTCTGTTGCCATTGGTTACTTGAAGTTGTGTTTTGCATATTCGTGCTTGTTTACCACCCAGTAATGAGTCTATTTTCCACAAAGTGTGATAGTTTTGTCTTATTCATTTTATGTAGATTGTTTAGGTTAACCTGATGTCTGAATCTATTTCACTTTTTGTTTGCAAGTCATGAAATGTCCGTTTTATTTGTCAAAACTCTGTGTAATATCACCTTTAATATCACTCAGAAATTAACGCCCATTTTTAACGAAACTGAATATTAAAGGGTGAAGTTGTCATGGATATTCTTCTGCCTTTTCAGTATTAAAATGAAGTTCTTTTGCAAACTTATATTATAAAATCTCCGAGAACAGTCTTTAATTTAACTATAACTTTTTGTGAGTGTCAAACCACACGCACACATCGTAGAATAAATTTACAAACATCTTTTGATTAATTTATGTAATTTAATTTTGAAAAGGTACATGTGCATAACGGATGAAATTATTCTTTTTACTGAAAAGGAAACTTTTGATCAATACTTCTTGGATGTTTTTGTCGGCAAACTCAACAGAAATGTGTCACAGTTTGGGTTTTTTCTTAGCCAAAACAGGATGGATTGTATGCCTTGATAATAACCTTTATCAATACTTTTTTGGGGGAAAAGACCTTAAGTTTTCTCCCAGAAGTTGCTGCTTGTCCCCTTTACCAGAAATAAAAACCTGATTTGATTAAGTTACAAACTGTGTTCAGTTCTATTTTACTAATGTGATGTTTTGTTTTTATTAGTGCGCCCTCCCCGTTCACTGCCTACCGTTCAGTAAATCAAATTCCTAATGAATATTCAGAGCTTTATAATTGATACGAGAAGAGCGCATGCGTGCCAACTTGGGCGGTTTACGAAATACAAAGGCGCATGCGCGTGGACTTGACTTATTTCTTGGTTCGCTTGTTGCAACCGAATCTTTATAATTTAAATCCAAACAATTTAAGTACGAAGAGTGCGATGGCCTAGTGGAAGGCACCCTAGCGCTCAATCGAAAGGTTGTGGGTTCAATTCCCACGAGGTACCTAGTTGGCATTTTATTTCGTTTTACTTTTATTTATTTATAATAAAAAAGAGTAAAATTCCATTTATTTTATTTTATTTTATATAGTTGGGGTAGACACGCGATACAAAACTCGGACTGGCCGCAGGTTTCCCTGCAGCCAGTCCGACTTGCCGCAGCCGGGACTCGAACCAGGGGCGCCGGCTTACCGATCAGCACCTCTACCGGGTGCGCTACCTGGGTCCCCCAGTGCAAAACACACTTCCTATAATTAAAACCCTTAGAATCGCCGCAAATAAAATCGAAAATAAAATACGCCCTCAGTATTCGAACCCCGAGCTCCGGAGTACAAGTTCTGTGCCTTACCACTTAGGCCACCGGCACGTCTGGATTCGATTTTCGAATTTTAAATATATCAAGCTTCGTTTTGTACTTAGTATTAAATTTAACCAAAAATTGTGAAACCTCATGCCGGAATCTTTGGGCTCGGAGACGATCTATGAAACCACCAACACTTGAATTTATTTTGCGTGCGGGTTTGGAAGTTTAAAATTAGCCTGTAGTATAGTTTTATACTTTGGAAAATAAACTACTCGCTTCTTCTGTTTCGATGCCGCTAGTTCTCACTGTTAAACTTTCAACTAACATTTAAAAATGCATTGTTGCTTTAAACTATAAAACATTTTTTTATTTAGCTTGATCATGTCAAGATAGGTAAAAAGAATTCTTTTTTTTATATTCTTGGGATCACTTTTTTTTAATTCTTGGGATGATTTTGTGGACGTACCAAACCCAAATTCCGGATTTTTTTGCCACTGTCCAATTTCATGCCTGAATTGGTTTTTTTTTTTACGTTTTACAGATGATTTATACAAAACGTTCTTCTAATAATTCCGTTGCACACAAATTTCCATCAGACGGAGATTATGTCACATTATATGCGCCTGTAAAAGCTTTTTCGCCTACTCCATCAATTTTACCCGACAACAGATAAAAAAAAATCCCGGGAGCCTAATAATGGTAATTGCCTGAGATAACGTACATCGCCATGAAGCCGTGTTGTCAGATAATTTCGACCTTGCTTTTTTTTCCTTCCAATTATTTGGTTACGTCCTTGTCTTGCTTGCAGAAAATAATTTATCATAGAGTTAATGCATAACAACTAACGATACAGTGATGATACACGTTTGCTGTTGCTAAGATCGTGGGCGGGGCGGGAAGGTTACAGTAGGACGTCTTTCATTTTGTTTTAAAGGAGGGTTTCCTCACAAAATAGTATTTATTAAGTGAACATTTTCCACTTACTAACCCCAGCTACAAATCACAGTTTTCAGTTTTAAATGCATGTTTTAGTATATATCCGAGGTTTTGATAATTCAAGAAGTCAAAGGAAATAAAGTAGCCCCATGTGTTGTTTTTCCTTTTTTCACATCAACTGTCACACTAGTAAATCTTTATTCAATCCACAGACTATACAAAACCGATCTGGACAGGCCTTTAACCAACATTTTTTTTTTACAATACATATACATTTATGTATATATCATACAACATATCTTCATTTCTGGTTTTTAAAAATATGTATACATTTACATGGTTTTTATGTAGTACATTAACAAAGAAACTGTAACATCGGGACCATGAGCTTGAATCTTTAAAAAAAAATGGCTTCTTTAAATTGGAATAAATTTAACGGAAGTCAATTTAGTATGATCTCTTGTGAGATGTGGGTGGATTTCAAATAAAATTCGTCATGTCAGCTTTACAGAAAAAGTAGGTAAACTAATTTTGGCACTATGCCAACACACCGATCCATTAAGACCCACCCACTGCGCACGTGGCGTAACAACACGTGTGCCTATCCAATGCCAACACTGCATGTTCAAGCCGCGCGCAACACGCGTCACGCGCGCGTGCACGCATGTCGCACATTCCTGGACGCGTGTCGACATTAATCACGGCTGTGATTGGTCAGAAGACAGTGGGGCGGGGCTTAATGGGTAGGCCTAACCAATCACAAGTAATATTCCCCATAATGGCATTTTTGGGTGGTATCCCATTTGCTAATCGCAACTTTCTTGTGCTCAGTAATACTTGAAGATGAAAATGCTACTTAAAAAAAATATGTTTAAGCGTTCTAAATTGGCTCAGAACCATTCGAAAGCAATATGCATCATGTCAGAAAAGAAGTAAATGATTTTTTAAAGCAAGATTTCTCTGGTAAGCATATTATGCTCTATGCAATCGCTTTAAGCTCTGTTCATAAAACGAACATTGCAGTTGAATATCCATTAATTTCTACACACACAAAATAAAATCTGGAACAAAAAAAATAACAATAAATAATATGCAAGCCCAAAATTCCCGAAAATCAATATTTCATAACCAATAAAGTATTTCAAAATACCAAAAAAAAAAAATCATTGTAATGTTTGCAATCTAACTAGGAAACAAAACTGGCAATGCACATTGATAAAGTTTGGTCTCCATTAAAAGAAAACAAAATACTCATGAAGACAATTTCAAATACATTCCTGAATCATGACAAAAGGTTCAATTTTTACCTTAATTATAAATCTAAGGATAAATACAGACATTTCATTCAAGAAAGAACTACTTGAGTTGGGATACAAAATAGAGGATTCTCCACTACTCTTTCTTGGAAAATAGTTTGATTTCTGACAGAGTTTAATGGTGAACTTTTTATGGATTTTAGTGATTTTTGAGGTCTAATATGGTATTAAAAAGTCATTATTTAAGAGAAACAAGTGAATTTTTACCTTAATGAGATTTACATTTATACAAAAATGGTCCCTTATCAGTTGTCTTTTACTGCAAGATTTATTTTAATAAAGTCGACTAAATTTAGGCCTCTTTAACAGTGTTCACGTTTTGTAATAAGCACCTTTTAAACAAAAATAGCACGAAAACAAGACTGCCAGATGATCAACCCTTGCCGTTTTAGATATTCACTCCAATTTTTTTTTTTTAACTTACTGTTTTTTTCTAGCTACATGTATATAAGTTATTCACATTTGAATGGGACATCAGACGAAAAAGCTGCACAGATTTAGTTACGGAATATTCAGGGATTTGCGTCCCAAAAACAATTTGGGAATTTTTTGGGGGGAGCTCTGGAGGCGCAAGAGCGACCCCAAATAAAAACATTTCTCTAGGAGTTTCAAACACCAAAAATAGGAAAAAGTAGGTTTTTCATTAAAATAAAGCACACAAACAGAAACTTTGTCCGTAGAAAAATTTGAATTTGTTGAAGAGCTGGGAAAAAGCAACTTCAAGTTAGTGTTATGCTTCGAACCATCTCCATATATTATTTGTACACAAGATTTATACGACTAAAGGTTCTTGAATAAAATTTAAAAAAAATATAAAAAAACTTGAAATTTCCATTTTTTCCCTCTCCTGTATCCCTAGCAACCAACATTTACGTAGTTGGATCGTTAAATAATGAAAAGTACGGAAAAATTGAAAGACTTCTTGCCTGTAAATAATTTGTATACTAATGACTGTCAAATCTATTTTTAACATACATCACAGCTCTTAGCTTAATGAAAGCTTCAAGGCAGGTGTAGTCAATTGACCTCCAATGTTTTTTTTTTCAAATTCAGCTCATTCCTATGGCTCTGCTCATTCATTCATCATTCATCATTCTGTGCTTACAGCGCTAGCAAGGAAATTGTGCTCTTAACCTAAGAGTAGGGACTTAAAGCTACAGTCCATCATTTACAGTAATCCAAAAGGTAACTGACGTAATTATTGTTGAAAAACACACTTGGTTGAAAGATAGTAAGGGGACTAAACTCCCTGTGAAATTATTATTTGCGGCATGCTTTCATTTCGAAGAAATCAACAAAAGAAGGCCTTTCCAACGATGCGTCTTAAGACGGATTTTTTGAAATTTCCGTTAGTAGTTCGTTTTTATATTTAGCGAAGCGTGCCCAAGCGTTGACACAAGCACATTCACGCGTGGTTGGTATAATTCGTTAGATCAGTGCGCGACATCGTGTAGCTGCAATCGGCTCAGTGAGAACATGTCTCGGACGCTGAATTCAAAACATGTTTCAGCAACTTTTGATTTGGAATCGAGATCCTTAAATGTTGTTTTTCTCGAAATTTACAGCTGAAGCTGAGCTGAAACTTCATCAGGTTAGTTGTTCAGCTGCCTTCTTCAGATTTTGAGCATGTTTGTTGCTTCAAACAAACAAAATGCACAAATTATGGATTATGGACTTATGCACAAACGATGGACTGTGCCTTTAAGTCATGGGATATAAGTTATGAGGCTCATCATTAGCAGAGACCTTTTCTGCTGAAGTTAGAAAAATAATAAAAGTAAGAAGAGCCAACAAAGTTAGTTCTTGTCATAATTTGGCAAAAAATATTTAAATAAAATTTAAAAAAAAAACTGAGCATAACATTGAATAAATGGGGATCAGGCAAACTTTAATGGAATAATTCGTTTCTCAAGGAAAAATATATGCACAGCTCCTCCCCCCCCCAAAAAAAAAATATGTTGAGACTTCACCAAAGATATTTTTTTTAAATAAAGTTTTTGGTTTTAAGCAGCAAAATATTTACCACTACAAAATGCATGAAGACTTTTCTGATAGTGCCCATTGCTTGCTTCTACTCATACAAGCGTAACAATGTAATACAGGAAGTCATTTTTTATAAAGTAACGAATCTACGAAGAAGAAAAAAAGCCTCAAAATAAATAGTGGTAAACCAATGTATGAAAGGTATAAAAATTGTATCGCCTCATTGAAATAAATACAAAAAAAAAAAACGATGGCACGCTAATTTAATTTTTGTTGCAAAATCACTACAAAATATGAAACGAAAAATGCAAAAAACTTCATTATTCACAAAACAGCAGAGTTTGCAGGGCACAACTCCCTTGTCCCATAAAAACACTGGAACTTGGAAGATGATTTCGATGGAATCACCGATTTATTGTACGTTGCAAATTTAAATAAATTTAAACAAATTATATCAGCCTAGTCCTAAGATACTGATCATTGTACTTTTTTTTAATATTTACAATTAACTTATCTTTACTTTAAGCAAATTGTTGTCGTCGTTTTTAAACGGATTTACGATAAAAGTTCCACTTTGTTGCCACTTACTATATTTTGCACAAACGCAGGTTTGCTAAATCTCCAAAAAATATATAGAAATCTTTAAAATAATTCTATTTTCATAATGCACGTATCGTTGTTTTCAGAGATCACTTTGAAAAATTAAAGCGGCTGTGTTGTCATGTGATCGAGTCTGGTATCTCTTAATGTTTATTTTTCCTTGATCCTTGTGCTTAGAAAAACTTTCACATTTTTCCTGGTTTTGAAAAACAGCAAATCACAAAACTTATGGTTTGCAGGGTGTAGTCGATTATTACGAGTAAAACGAGAAAAAGAGTCTGGTGCCTTTCGGTCATTCCATGCAAATATTACACAAGAGACCTTGGGAGCCACTTTTAGTTTAAAGGTAGAGTAGATCGTTTGCAGCTATTCAAAAAGTGAAATTATTGTTGAAAAACTTACTTGGTTTAAAGATAGTAATGGCACTAAACTCCCTGTGAATTTATTCTTCCTGGCATGCTGTCATTTTGAAGAAAACAATAAAAAAAGGCAATTTCCAAAGATGCGTCAAGTGACGCATTTTTGGAAATTTCTGTTTGTAGTAGGTTTGTAATTCAGTGAATCAGTGAATGGGTGCGCGCAAGTGTTGACATGATGCACACGTGCACATGGTTGCTAAAATTTCATCGGTTCAGTGTGTGACATCACGTCACTGCAATCGGCTGAATGAGAACGTGTCCCTGATGCTGATTTCGGGCCTATTCAAAACGTGACTCAGCAACTTTTGAACTGAAATTGAGATCCTTTTTTTGTAAATTGGAATAAACAGCATTCACTGAGCTAAAATTTCATCAGAATAGTTGCTAAGCACCCTATTTTTGGCACTTTTATTGCTTCAAACGAAAAAAAATGCACAAATGACAAATGATCTACCCTACCTTAAACCCTCTGATGATTTTGAACTATTGATATATTTCGAAAACAAACAGGATATGAGTTGGACTTAACTTTATTCTTAACTCCAACGTATGTTTTCTGATAGTAAGACTGGAAAACTTCCAAAAATGTCTACAATCTGTTTCCTTCAATTCGCAACAACGGAAAATTTCAATGCATTCTAGAGGACTTGGTATGGGCGGATGTTAAAAGTAGATATTTGGAAATACTTGTATTTACGTGTCTGGAGAAGCAGCACATGATCACAAAGGAAGTCTATGGTGGGTGATTATCAGCTATTGATCAATCAATCAATCAATCGATCGATTATCCGTTGCTGATCTCCACAAAATTGACCGGGAAGACTCCTCGTCGGTGAGGCATTCCGTCCACTTCCCCAATCTGAAAAATACAGGGGAAAAAAAAAAGGTACTTATGACTTGAAGCTTTGCATGGTGGATGAGATAAAGTAGAAAGATTGCAGGTAACACAATGTGGATAGTAATCACTTCTTGGCAGAAGTGTGGTTCTGAAAAGAACCGACTGGTTGAGTGTAGAACTCCCTAGTCTTGGCCTCGGTGCCTTGGTTCTTTTCAGAACCACACTTCTAGAAAGATTGTAGGTAACACCATGTGGATAGTAATCACTTCTTGGTAGAAGTGTGGTTCTGAAAAGAACCGGCTGGTTGAGTGTAGAACTCCCTAGTCCTGGCCTCGGTGCCTTGGTTCTTTTCAGAACCACACTTCTAGAAAGATTGTAGGTAACACCATGTGGATAGTAATCACTTCTTGGCAGGAGTGTGGTTCTGAAAAGAACCGACTAGTTGAGTGTAGAACTCCCTAGTCTTGGCCTCGGTGCCTTGGTTCTTTTCAGAACCACACTTCTTCCAAGAATAGATTACTTTCCTCTTGGTGTTACCCGCAATCTTTCTACTTTAATAGTATTTGGGGTTTTTTTTCACCCATATATTTTTTAGAGCTGCAGGTTGAGGGTTCGAGTCCAGCCTGGGGTCATGGTGCGAGTGCCCTTGGGCAAGGCACTTTGTCACTCATATCTTGTCCCCGCCCAGGAGTAAATGGGTACCTATGAGGGCAGAGTTGGTTATTGTGATTGAATTAGCTTCCTTGCGCCTAACAGGCTGCATCGAGCTGTATACTCCCCAGGGAGCTGAGATGGTATTTGGAATGTTTAATTGGTCCGATGATCAGAGGTTATAATAATGTAAAGCGCTTTGATCTTAGTTAAAAGCGCTATATAAAAACCTGTTATTATAACTATTATTATTATATCTATTTATATTATTATTCCACCATGGGACGCTCAAAAGCGCGCTTCGGTAATTCACCCAATACACTCCTTTTTAGAGGGGTGTTCAGAGCTATACCAAACGCACGTGTATGAGCGTTAAGGCATGGAAGCATCTCAATAATGGCTACCAGGATAGTAATTTCAAAATTGGCTTGGTTTGCACCAAGACATTTTATTTTCCAAGATACTTACCCACCACTCGCTGTCAGCCTCCCCCGTCACCACAATGATCTCACCCTCCTCGAATTCAAGCTCGTCTTCGTAGTCGGCGTGGCAATCGTAGAGCGCCCTCACGCGCCTCAATCCCTTCTGCTGGAGAATCACAAATGACGGGACTCATGATGCAAGACGTGTTATTTATAGATCAATCCAGGCATGCTATTAATTCTATCACGAAGGCCCCCTTCAATGGCGAAAGCATTGGGCTAGCTATTGTTCAGATAATCTGTCACGGGGCAGTTGCTTTGTACAATAGCATGCACAATGGTTTCTCCATTGAAGGGGGCCTTGTGAGTGGGCAGTGATCTTGTGCCGGGGGTTGAGGTTGGGGGTGGGAGTGGGGGTGGAGTTGGGGGTTGGGTTGGGGTGGAGTTGGGGGTAGGGTGGGGTGGAGTTGGGGGTGGAGTTGGGGGTGGAGTTAGGGGTGGAGTTGGGGGTGGAGTTGGGTGGGGGGTGGGGGTGGAGTTGGGGGTGGGAGTTAAGGTTGAGAGTGGGGTTCAGCATGTGGTAAGGGTTGGGTTGGTGTAGGGTTGGTGGTGGGTTGATATACATACCGAGGTACCGGTAGGACTCTTCGGCACACGTGGAGCCGGCATGGGTGCGTCGCCTGTTCCTTTCTCCTCCTCCACACCAGATGTGGAGCTCCGCCCACTCCCCGGCCTGCTATTGGGCTGGCTCTCATGCTGGCTGTTCGGCCTGCTATCTGATTGGCTGCTGTGTGCCGTGTAGTAACTGGTGGTGCTGATTGGTCGACTGCTACCGTCGCCGTTGCTCTCAATACTGGCTGTAGAGAGTTTCTTCTTGGAAGGAACTGGGGGCGGGCCTTCAAAGCTCGGTGGGCGGTTCTTAAGCAACAGGTTGGGTTTATCACTTGAGACACAAAGATGAGAAAGAGAAGATGTTTTAAGTCACACACTTAACACTTCCCATTACCACATAACACGGATTGTGTAAGTCATTCATTTTCTAATGACTTTTTCAGCAATGCAAAAGAAAGAAGACATGGGCTTCCCAGTCAAGCTGGACCCAAAAGGCTCAGTTTAGCAATTTATTTATACCAAGTGACTTAGTCAGCCAGCGACTCAGCCGGCCAGCGACTCAGCCGGCCAGCCATTCAGCCGCCCAGCGACTGAGATGGCCAATGATTCAGCCGTCCAGCCACTTAGACAGCCAGCGATTCGGCCGGTCAGCGATTCAGACGGCCAACGACTAAGCCGGCCAAGACTCAGCTGGCCAGCAACTCAGCAGGCCAGCGACTCAGCTGGCTGGCCACGTGGCCAGTGACTCAGTCGGCCAGCCACTCAGCCAGCCAGCGATTCAGCCAGCCAACGACTCAGACGGCCAGCAACTCAGATGGCCAGCAACTAAGCCAGACATCTACTTAGATGGACAGCCACTTAGACGGCCAGCGATTCAGCTGGCCAAAGACTCAGCCGGCCTGCGAAAAGCCGGACAGCCACTCAGCCAGCCAGCAACTCAGTCTGCCAGAGCTTCAGCTGGACAGACACTCAGACGGCCAGCCTTCACTCAGCCAGCCACCCGCTCAGCTGGACAGCCACTCAGCCGGCCATCCTTCAGCTGGCAAGCTACTCAGCTGACCAACCAGCCAGCCAGCCAGCCTGTGACTCAGCCTGCCAGCAACTCAGTTGGCCAGAGCTTCAGCCGGACAGTCACTCAGCTGACCAACCAGCCAACCAGCCAGCCAGCCAGGCACTCAGCCAGCCAGTGACTCAGACTAGCCTCTCAGCTGGCCACCCACTCAGCCAGCCAGCCAGTCAGAGGACAGTAGGCTGGCCCTTCAGGTCCAGCAATGCAAACCTAGCAATGAATGTTTCTTATCAAACTTTGTCTGTGCTATACTCACGTTAGTAGCTTCCTCATGGTATCCATAGTGGTGGATGATGGGCGTGTCGGTGAGGCTTTGTTGCCTCTATCTGAACCTGTCCAAAATAGAAGGTAATCTCTACTGTACATTACTGCAGACCAACTTGGAAAAAAATCAATGAGCTTTGATGAAGGTGTTACAGTTAAAATTCAACAGAAATGCATTCACCCCTTTTTTGTCGGGGTTTCTCAAAAATAAAACGGACATTTAGGTTGAGTTTGTGTGGGATTTAGGAGGGCACTGCCCAACCATTACTGCTTTACGTGGGATTTGATGCCTTTTGACGGTACAGGGAATTTCGAGGAGTCGGGAAAAATATAAACCCTATCAACCCAGATAGAAGTTTGAATCGCACTCCAATCAACTGTTAACCGAGGAGATTAGTCCCAAGCGAACTTAGTTTTCCCTTTGTGGGTTATATGACATTAATATTAGCATGACTTTTAGATAGTTGTATCATTGAGTGGAAACTCTTGTTTAAAGGCAGAGTATATCATTTGTCAGGTTTTTTTTTGAGAAACGACAAAAGTGCTAGAAATCTTAAGACGAGTACTCTGGTAACTTTAGCTCAGTGAATGCTGTATATTTTGAGAAAACAATATTCTAGGATCTCGATTTCAATTCAAAAGTTGCAGTGTCACGTTTTGAATTGCGCCCGAAATCATCATCTGGGAAACTTTCTCTTTCAGCTGACTTCAGCTACGCTATGTTAAGCACTGAACTGACGAATTATAGCAACCACACACGCGTGTGCGTCGTGTCAACGCTAGCGCGCAACCATTCACGGATGCACCGAATTATAGAACCAACTACTAATGAACATTTCCAACGACTTGAAGCATCGTTGGAAATGGTCTTCTTTCATTATTTTCTTCAAAGTAACAGCATGCCAGAAAGAATATTTGCAGGGAGTTTAGTGCCATTACTATCTTAAAGATATAGTCCATCATTTGTAATTTGTGCATTTTGTTCGTTTGAAGCAACAAAAGTGTTCAAAATCTAATGAAGGATACTAAACAACTAACATGATGAAGATTCAGCTCAGCTTCAGCTGTATATTCCGAGAAAAACAGCATTCTAGGATCTCAATTTCAAATCAAAAGTTGCTGAATCATGTTTTGAATTGCAGCTATATGCGATGTCGCGCACTGATCCGACGAATTATAGCAACCGCGCGCGCCTGTGCGTCGTGCCAATGCTTGCGTGCACTGCGCCGAATAACAAAACGAACTACTAATTTAAATTTTCCTACGGTGCGTCTTAAGACGCACCGTTGGAAAGGCCTTCTTTCGTTGATTACTTTAAAAAAAAAATGATAGCTTGCCAGAAAGATTAATTTCACAGGGAGTTTAGTCCACTTACTATCTTTCAACCGAGTATGTTTTTCAACAATAATATGCCAGTTACTTTTTCGGATGGCTGCAAATGATGGACTATAGCTTTAAACCAAGTATGCGTTTTCAACAATAATTTTGTCAGCTGCAAATGATATACTCTACCTTCTATGAAAAATAATGATCAATCGATAATGTGACAAGAAATTGGAGAAAAAAATTGAGGAGAGATGAGATTGAAATAAGGACTTTACCTGAGTCTCCCTTGGGGCTCTCTCTAATGGACGTAATCCTTGCTGGAGGGGTCGGGGGAGGGGAATTGACAAAAGCTGGGTCAGAGGCGTTTCTCTTGTGGGTCATGTAAGGGGGATTGGGGGCCTTCTTCTTCATTGAGATGCTCCCTACTTCATTTGGGGGAGGGGGAGGGGGAGGAATTGAGAAATTTAGGGTGTGATTTGTTTTCAAGACCAGATATATAGTAGACCAGGATTTAGAGTTATATGGGGTTTGAAATGGTGGGGCGGAATTGGCAGGGATTGGGGTTGAGACGGGGTTGCGGGACGGGGGTTACGGGAGGGGGTGATGGGATGGGGCGATTTGGTTGAGTAGGTTCGATCCAATAGGGGTTAGGTTGGTGGGGTTGGGGGAATTATCAGAATCCAGATTCCCAAGGGGTTGGGGGGGGGGTGAAGAATCCCAGGTGGGGGTGGGGGAACGGAGTTCGGTTCATAAGAGGGATACAAAGGCAAGTGTGTGGATTTAAGGGAGGATTATCAGAATCCACATTCCCAAGGGGTGGGGGAGGGGGGGATGGGGAACGGAGTTTGGTCCACAAGAGGGGTATTAAGGCCAGTGTGTGGATTTAAGGGAGGATTATCAGAATCCAGATTCCCAAGGGGGGGGGGGGGGAAAAGAATCCCAGGTGGGGGTGGGGGAACAAGTTTGGTTCATAAGAGGGGTATAAAGACAAGTGTGTGGATTTAAGGGAGGATTACCACAATCCAGATTCCCAATGGGAGGGGAGGAAGAATTCCCGGAAGGGGGTGGGGGAGGGGTTCGTCAATTTGAAGTCATATGGGTAAGTCAGTGGATGATTTTGTCAGGTTTACGATGGTTGTGTGGAGCATCAGTAGCCGCGTGTTAAATGACCGATGGAGAACATGCAAAAGAAGAAAACAAAGAAAACCAAAATGACAGAAAATAAGCACTTTTTTGTTTGTTTCCATTTCAGCAGCCCGATATTTAAATAAAGCAAAAGCCAAAGCATCATTATCCATTTGAAACTAATTGCCTGCCAAAAACATTAGTAACTTTGCTGTCAGTGGATGGAGAAGTGAGATATTTCAGACAAGTTGTGCAGCAATCCAACAAAAAATTTTTATTTTTAAATATTATATATTTTTTTTTTTAAAGTTAATGTACATTTGAATCATTAATTTTTTTAAAGGGAAGATACAACATTTGCAAACATCAAAAAACGAAATGGTCTACTTATCACAAAATATCTTACTGGATTGTTAGGGAACGACTGTCCAAAGCATCCTGTAAATCGTGGCACCTGGTTTGCTGACCTTTTAAAGAAACCTTGTACTTTTCCAACGCTGGTCGGCCGAGCAGCGTTGGAGAAAACTGTTTTTTTTTCCCCCTCCAAAACTGCTCCCAATTTTTCATATTTAGTTATTCCGCATTTTCTTTGCAATTGATTACACACCTCTGAAGAGGTACAAGCCAGCTAGACTGTTTCTCTGACAACTCCCCAAAGTCTATAAATTGCTCCGTTTCATCTTAAGAGGGGTCAGGGAACCAGACTTCAAGAACATTGTTGGTTTTCTTGGATTTTCCAGCATCTCCGAACCCAAAACGTGAAGCAAGTCAATTTAACAGTATTTGCTATAACAGACTAATCCACCAAATCCATTTATTTCTGAAAATTGCAGCAAAAGCAAATGTTGTACATTCCCTTTAAAGACCAATGGTTCCCCAAAAATTTCTGCTCTTGAAAAAAAAAATGAAAAATAGCTTATTAGTAAAATAATAATTAGTATTACAGCCACTTGTATTGTTTTAGATTGTTAAATTGGTTTTTGCATTTTTATCCAAATTATGTCCAGCACCAGAGCCCAACCCACAAATGACACCACAGTTTCTGAAACACCCTTTCTCAAAGTCTGGTACCCGGGTTGTATTACACTCAACCAATGACTAACCTTTTCGGGGTGGTACCGGGGGTGGTGGCATGGATGGTCGCTCCATTACAACGCTGTCTGTTGCCGATCGCGCTCGTCTGCCGTCTGTCTTCTCCGACGAGATGCGTTCGCGGCTCAACTTGTTGGGAAATGTGCCGCTGGGAGACTGGAGGAGAGTTTGAGGTCGGTGGGCTGGTCGTCGGGCTGGACTCTTTAGGAAAACAAACCAGAAAAATCATGGTGCTTGTGTTCTTGGGCAAGACACTTTACTATAATCACTTGCTGTCACTCAGAGATATAAATGGGTACTTGTGATGGTTGAGACCAGACTGAACTGATTTCAAGCAGCTGTGGGAAACTGGTCTGTGGGCCTGATGAACAGGGGTAATAATTATGAAAACTTGGAATCATGGTGCTTGTGTTTTTGGGCAAGACACTTTACTACAATCACTTTCTTTCAGTTTAGTATAAATCTGTTCCTGTGAAGGCTGAGACCAGATTACAATAATTTTAAGCTGCTGTGGGCAACTGGTCTTGGGGCCTGATGAACAGGGTTAGTAATTATGAAAATCTGGGATCATTATGCTTGTGTTCTTGGGCAAGACACTTTACTACAATCACTTTCTTTCACCCAGGAGTATAAATGAGTACCTGCGAGGGTTGAGACCAGATTGCACTGATGTCATGCTGCTCTGGGAAACTAGTCTTGGGCCTGATGAACAGGGGTAGTAATTATGAAAAACTGGGATCATGGTGCTTGTGTTCTTGGGCAAGACATTTTACTACAATCACTTTCTTTCACCCAGGAGTATAAATGGGTACCTGTGAGGGTTGAGACCAGATTGCACTGATGTCAAGATGCTGTGGGAAACTGGTCTGTGGGCCTGATGAACAGGGGTAGTAATTATGAAAAACTGGAATCATGATGCTTGTGTTTTTGGGCAAGGCACTTTACTTACTTCTTCACACAGGAGTGTACACTGGTATGTGTGAGGGTAGAGAACACATTTTGTTGAACTGCTGTATTACTGCTGATCTATGTGGTGCTTATATGTGATGCGATCAAGCTACATGAGTCGTTTGTCGACCCTTGTCAAAAATAATTTTATTACAGATTTGAAAAGAGCACAATCTCAGTATTACTGCTGTGAAAACCGCATGCTGATACCATCTTTAGTTCAAAAATTATGGAAGTTGGAACACCAAGAGATGCAGTGAAGTGATATGATGAAGTGGCCCTATTTTGGCCTGTATCTCCAAATAAAAATTCCCAACAAAAGACTCATTAAGCTTGATCGCATCACATATAGCGCTTTATACCAAAGGTCTCAAAGCGCCTCACAATTATTAGCCCTGTTTATCAGGCCATGAAAATTTTTTCGCTGCAGCAACCTCGAAATCCCAATCTGGTCTCTACTTTCACAGGTACCCATTTATAATCCTGGGTGGAGAGAGGCAATTGTAGTAAAGTGTCTTGCCCAAGAACACAAGCACCATGTTCCCTATTAGAGTTTGAACCATGTACCACGGCACACGAGTTGAACACCGTAACCATTGGGCTTGGCGATCCACATTATGTCCTGATGAACAGGGATAATACTTTTGAGGCACTTTGCAAAATAATTTCTACAAAAGCATCACATTATCACATTTATTACCACTAAAAAACAACCAAGCTTGATCAACTCACCTGTAGACGTGAATTCCTTTGCGGTTTCTCCTGTTGATCTAGGTCATCCTCTTCGCTGAAGTCAGCTCCGTCTTCGTTGTCGCCACTCAACCCCCAGTCAAAGTCCACGTGCTCACACTGCAGCAGTTTGCCCAGCATGGCCTGCCGCATCAGCTCCTCACACTGACCGTAGCCATTCCGGATGACAATATCCAGAGCTGTTTCGCCATTCGCGTTTTCTGAAACACCAATAAAAAAAGTATTCGAACTTCAAAACCAGCTACCTCAGAAACCCCAAATTCCTCAAAACCCAGCTTGGCAACATGTAGAGTAATCGCGACCCATACCAAAGTTTTGAACATCTCAATCCTGAACAGACTAAAATGCTTTGCACTGGCCACAGCCGTTGTGGATGACAATATCCAGACCTGCTTCGCCATTCGCATTTTCTAAAACACCCCAAAAAGTTGTGTGAACCTCAGCTAGGGTGCAGACCAGTAAATTGACTCCAATAGGCATCCCTGATAATTACAAGCACTTCCAATAATTATTAAAAATATTCGCAACTATCCAAGGTGTTTGAGACACCCATCAAATTAGAGCTCATTTCATCCTCTTTCGTTCTCTGTTCAATTTTCGGGTGGTAATCCGAAAATGGTCACCCCTTAAAGTAGTTCTGTAGCCCATCGCCATTTTGAAAACAAATTCATCACTTCGTCAAAATGATGGAGGCTATACATAAATAGAAATATAGCATGCGTATTAAACCAATGAGACTAAGTGACAAATAGAGATTTGTCTCTTTCATTACTTTGTGTGATTAGCGTAATGAACGAACTATGGATTTTTGTGTTTTGAAATTTACTAATTATGCAGAGGATATCACAAAATATTTGAATATCAAAAATCTCAGATTGCCTAAAATCTCAGTTTTGGACAGATTCGTCATTTCATCAAAACGGTGACGAAATCTTGATTTGGCCCACGTAGGCAATTTTGGGCCTATTTACCGGTTTGCACCCTAAAAATTCAACTACCTCAAACCTACCTGTGCTTGGTTTGGCGCCCCCTCTGAGTAGGATCTTGACACAGTCTGCTTTATTCTGCCGAGCAGCGAGGTGGAAGGGCGTGTCGCCGCTGTGGTTAAACTGGTCCATGCGACTGAGGTTCTGAACCAGGAAATCCACAATGTGGAGGTTGGAGTCGTCTTGCTGCCGGACAGCGAAGTGGAGCGCTGTCTCGTTGTTGTACTGTGAGGTAAGAGGTTGAATGAGGTTTGGTTTTAAATGAAGTAATAGTTTTTATAAGGTAACAGGTGGAGTGAGGTGCATTTATAAGGTTGTGTGAGGTTACAGATAGCGAAATGTTGCAAGATGTGTGAGGTATCAAGTTGAATGATGTATCTTGTTGAGTGAGAATACAGGGGAGTGAGGTATAAGGTTGAATGAGGCAACAGGTGGAATGAGGTACATTTGGAAGATTTAAGCGAGGTTACACATGGTTCACAGAGTGTAATGTTACAAGATGTGTGAGGTAACAAGTTGAATGATGTAACTTGTTGAGTGTGATTACAGGGGAGTGAGCTATGGGGTTGAATAGGTATAAGGTTGAGTGAGGTAACAGGTGGAGTGAGGTTACATCGGAGTGAGGCATGTGGGTGAACGAGGTAGCAAGTTTGAGTGAGGAAAGTTTGAGCAAGGTAACAGTCAAAGATGTGGGCTCAGGAATGAGGTTGAGTAAGAAAAAAGGTGGAGTTTGGAAACAAGAATGATGTTAAATGATGAGCAAGTTAATTGGGACAACAGGACAAGTGAGGTATGAGGTTGCGCAAGGTACGAAGTTGAATGAGATGACATCTTGACAAAGGTAGTGGGTTAAGTTAGGTAAAACGTTGAATGAGAAGAGAGGTTGAACAAGAGGTTATGTTGATTAAGAGGTTGTGTGAGGTAACTCCTTTGGTGAGGTTATGGGACAATTGAGTTCACAGGCCAAGTGAGGCACAGGTCAAGCGTGGTAACAGATTGAAGTAGCAGGTCAAGTGAGGTAACAGATTGAAGTAGCAGTTCAAGTGAGGTCACCGGTTGAGTGACATGTTATCTCAGAACATAAGTATAAGTTTAGGACTGAATGAGGTTACCGTTTGTGTGAGGTTACAGATGAGGTTACAGGTTGTCTGAGGTTACAGGTTGAGTTTCAATAATCAAATGTCCACAACCTCTGTAAATCTGAATTCGTTTGTCTAGTTTTTCCGTGTAAGTCTCATGCAAGGACAAATAACCTCAGATTCTTTCTGTTCTTCCGTTTTGTTGTCAGTCAAATCCTCAATCATTCCTAGGACAAAATTTTTATTCGCAAAACCTCGTCCTTACCGTGTCAGACACAGGAGCAGACAGGTCCACGCCCTCCGCGAACACCCTGAGCAGCTGGCCGATGTCTGATAACAACACAGCCTGCCTCAGATCTTGCAGCATGACGGAAGAGCTAGGGCTCGTCTTCAAGACGTACTTCCGTTTCTCGTACTTGGCAAAGATGAACTGCTTCCTCTCATCCCTGCAAGAAATATTTCAAGCAAAATAAATGTAGCTCTACTGTGGCACGATTTGAGGGAGGTTAATTTTCCCAAGAACATTATGCAAAATGTTTCGTTGAAAAAAAATTGGAGAGAAACTAACTCTAAAGGAAGCATTCTATCCACACGGTAGATTTATATTACATCTTCCTGTTTTGTGCAGCAAGAGTCAGGCATGCAACTTTTCCTCGGATCCGCTGATTTCCTCGTTTTTTTACTTCTCATGAATGCCATTACAAATTGAAAAATACTGTACAAAGTCTTGTGTATTTCGGAATTTCCTCGTTTTTTCTAAATTCCCAGATGCATGCCTTAAGAGTGGGCATCTAAAATCTACAGGCTGAGTCAAAAAAACGAAACCCAAATGTTGGGACTATTGTTTTAGTGAAGTTCTGCATGTAGCACTTTCAAAATCTAGGATATAAAAGCCCAATTCATAAGCCATCTTTTAGTAAAAGAATCGTTCAAATCGCCCATGTACTTTTCAAGTTACGGAATGTTAAACACAACCACCGTTTTAAAGTTCTGTCCAAGGATCACAAAAAAGTGTGCGTTCTTTCAGCAAAAAGAAAACAATTCACACACTTCCCTATGTGATTTGTTTTCGTTTTGTTGAAAGAACACTGAACTCTTTGTGATCCGTGGACTGAACTTTAAAACGATGGTTGTGTTTAAAATTCCGTTACTTAAAAACTTACAGGGGTGATTTGAATGATTCTTGTACTAAACGAAAGCTTATGAATTGGGCTTTCATATCCTAGATTTTGAAAGTGCTACATGCAGAACTTCACTTAAACAATGGTCCCGACATTTGGGTTTCGTTTTTTTTTACTCACCCTGTAGAGTGTCAAAAACATCCACAAGGAAATGTTTATGGAGGAAACACAACTTTGAAGTCTTTGTTTCATAATGGGCAAGGAATATCATAAATTAATGTGCAGTGTTAATAAACAGTGCTATATTTAATGCACGTAGTTTCAGTTACGTTACTGTACAAAATATGTGTTTGTATATTCAGTTCTTGCACTTAAATCTTCTTATTAGGCCGTGTTATTTTTCCTGTTATTGCCTGGACTGGGGTCCTGACTCCCTCCAACACTGACTGGCTATACTTACATAGTACTATTTGGTCCCGGTTTCTTGGACGGCTCCAGTCTAGCCTCAAAGACATCGTTGAAGTCAGCATTGCCAACGGTCATTGCTATCTGTTGATAGAAGGGAAAAAAAACCTTATTATTCAGTATTTGTGCTTCAACACAAGTCCATCACAAGGCCAGTGGCAAATAATCAAAAGTCAATCACAAGGCAATTCAAAAGTTCCATAAGTTGGTCTTACCGTGCATAAATTAGCATAAATTCAATTATAAAATGTAACACACGTGACCCTAGAACAATTTCCATTTGGTAAAATTAAGCAGAGAGTGTACATTGTTCATAGGCAATTCAACGGTTACTCACGTTACATTTTTAAAGTACTTTTGAGTTTCCTTGGGCTGTAATTACCTTACTGAAAAGGTTTAATAACTTTTATCCCCATGGTAGATAGAGAGTAGACCTAGACCTCACGTTACAAAAATGTAACGTGAGTAACCAATTTTGTGCATCTTGTTTATCATACAAGACACATTTTTCTGGATGTCATCTTTGGTGCTTAGGTAGGTCTAGGTCTACTCTATCTACCATGGGGATAACAGTTATTAAACCTTTTCAGTAAGGTAATTACAGCCTAAGGAAACTCAAAAGTACATCAAAAATGTAACGTGAGTAACCGTGGAATTGCCCTTATGCATTCTGTAAATCGCAAAAAAATACTAGTCTTACTTTAAAACTACCGTAAAACTACCGGTAGTATGGGCGTGTGTGTTCTTAAACCTTTGGAGAAAAGTGTGCATTTCTGATATGGGCCCGATAACATTCTTACGTCTGATGTCACACATGTGACCAAACTTTGATGACTCCTGATATTTTGACACAATTTGTGAAAGTAGAGACTATACTCTGAGGTAGGGAGTAAAAAGTACTAACCTGATGAATCAGTGAAAGTGATTTGTCAGATGTAGCTAAGAAGGGATAAAGCTTCAAAAATCAGATCGGCCCAAATGTCAAACAGTGACCAAAGAATGGTTCTATAGTCATATTGAACAATGAAAACTAAAAAGGAATGGAGCTTATAGAGTCATAAACACCACACATCACTCCCAAGAAAGTTTAAGATTTGATATTTTAACTCAGACTTTGTAATGACCATAAAGATATATTAGGCAATTATTGAAAGCCACTTTTGTCCGACTTACAAGAAGTTGTGCCGTGCCTAGTCTATCCAACTCCAAGGACTGGACCCGCGATATGTGCACGCCCAGCTGCCTATGGACACCGGAGCATTCTATACACGTCAGGATACCCAGGTTGGTGGATAACCACTGTGGATCTGTGAGGTCAAAGGTCAAAGGTGAAAGTAACACACACTACTAGTATACAGATTGTGATCTGATACACGGTACCCTGTGGAGACGTGCATAATAGGGGACAAAAGATTGTATGTCTCCACAGAGCAATTTCTATAGGTGAATACGTCTCCACAAGGTTATCACGAAATAGATGTATAGATTTTACTCAAAAACTAGGAATTTCCAAGGTGTGTTGATGTGTCACAATGAAGTATTTTATGTAAGGAATATAAGTCTGAATTTCAGACCAGGATATTAGTTCTATTCTCTAAGTTTTAAATAATTCTCTGTCGGGAGAGCACCTGTATGGTGTTCAGAATGTCACAGGTTCGAATCCTGCTCCACTAGAATTCTATATTCAACCTTAATTTACCGTATCTTAAGCTGCTACTCGACAAAGGAAATTGACTGCAGTGGCATTTTAACGTGTAACCTCCGGATTGCCGTTCCGGTGCTCTACCAACTGAGCTATCCAGCCCTATGTTGGCATTTCCCCATTTCTGTCACTGTCTTTGTTCATGGAGGCTAGTCCAAAACTTGTTTCAGCAAGAAGATAACAATTATAAGATGGAATTTTTGCGCCGGGGTGATATAAATCAAATTAGGTTTTGCCCTTCACCGACGTTTTTAAACACTGTATACTCAGTGTGTTACCTCCCGAGTGAAAGTTGGAAAAATATCACTCGGGTGGGACTCAAACCCACGAACTCCTGCTTTCTAGTGCAGATGTCTTACCACTCGACCACCGAGCTAACGGGATCGGTTGGCCGGTTTGAATCTGATGTACATAGCAGCGGGTACCGCAAAAACGTCGGTGAAGGGCAAAACCTAATTTGATTTATATCACCCCGGCGCAAAAATTCCATCTTATAATAGTTTATGCGGTACCCGCTGCTATGTACATCAGATTCGAAACGGCCAACCGATCCCGTTAGCTCGGTGGTCGAGTGGTAAGACATCTGCACTAGAAAGCAGGAGTTTGTGGGTTCGAGTCCCACCCGAGTGACATTTTTCCAACGTTCACTCGGGAGGTAACACACTGAGTATACAGTGTTTAAAAACGAAGATAACAATTATTTTTCGCTCTCGCAACAATGGCGCCCTCTACAGTTTTGCATCGACCAAATACACAAAGAGGCGATGCACGTTGACATATGAGCCTACCTGGCGCGGAGCAGTCGCAGCAGATATCATTACACGGCAGCCGCCGGACCTGCCCGACGATGCACTGCGTCAGCTCCTGCAGGCCCTTGTTTGGGATGTCAGACGGCGAGTTGCTGTCGTCAAAGACCGCGTCCAGGGCGTACTTCTTGCTGTTGTTGAGCACGGAGATCCATTCAGCGGCTTCTTCTTCGGTCTCGGCCATGAAGTGGTAGGTCCTATCCCCTGGGAAGAGACAAGATTCATAATCCGGGGTGAGATTTGAGGCCTTTTCACACTGTCCAAAATCTCCGGGTTGGAACCGGTTCCAACCCCGAGATTTTTTTCAACCCTTTTCCCACTTCTAAAATTTCAACCCGGTTCCGACCCGGGTAGAGTGCTCTAGCCGGATCGAAATCAACCCTGGGAGGGACCAGGGTTGAAAATCTCAACCCGGATCGAAATTGCATTTTTCGGCCTGAACCGTGTCGAAAATGATAGTGTGAACCGCCCCGGGTTGAGTCACTCACGGCCGATCCGTGTTGAGTTGAGGCCAACATTTTACCGAAAATCTGACACGCCGTGCATAATATTTCCCTCCACCACTATCGCCGTCACAAACACCGATCCCGAAACAATCGCTCCCTAATTATCATCCAATAATGTATCGGTGTATGGAGCATCCTTTACCGAGTCTGGGCTTGTATTAGGTCCGCAAAATGTACCCCAAAAATGTACATTTCTAATGTTAAATAGAACGAATCGTCTAACGAAATGACCGGAGCCATTTTGGAAATATTGCACACAGCTGCGCTGGTGTCGTACAAAAATCGGACTCCCAAATTGGATTCGTTTACTCTCTTATTATTGGTCAAACCCTTTCACGTGACAGGTCCTTCTCCTAATAGGCATGCGCAATACTACCAATGAGTCCGTATTTCACAGAGTAGTAAATTCACGCTGCACACCGGCCTGTCCGTAAGCCTCGTGCGCGCAGCAGCCGCGTGCGTCGCAATGCATTATGGGATTGAGAAAATCATCGCAGCGCCCTGCGCCGAATGCGATCCGTGTCGAGAATTTGTAGTGTGAATTCACAGGGGCCGTAGCCGGATTGAACGTTACACGGTTCACGTAGCGGCCGTTCCCGTAAAGGACAGTGTGAACGTCGCGTCTCTCCGATCCGTGTCGAAAAATACTCGGGCTGAACCGGGTTGGATCCGGGTAGGTTTCAACACGGTTCGAAACGGAGATAGTGTGAAAAGGCCTTTGGAGAAAATGAAAAATCCCAGAAATAATCAGTGGAGTGTTTGAGGGCCGCTGTGGGCCCTAGAGCAATGTAGGGTCTATGGTATATATTTGGTTAATTTGCTTATAAACCCTAACCACCCCAACTCCATCAAAATCCATCCTCCCATTTTGGTGGATTTTGGGGACTTGGTCCAGAAGGCCTGGCGTGACTAAATACTGATGAAGTATGATGGACTTGGGCCTAATAGCCTGAAGCAGTGCTAAGGGTATCCGATTGATTTTGCCTAGCTTCCTGTACTGCTATTGTGATAAAAGCCATGTGTAGCAAGTCCATGAATGTCAACCAGTGCATCAGTGGTGGATTGCATTATGTCATGTACAGTTTTGTATTAGACGCACAGTGATTGATGGATTTTGATGGAATTGGTCCAGTTCCTAGTACAAGATGCTTGAGAGTTAGGGTTAAAGGCTAGCCAAAATACCAAATTCTTTTGCTCTATTCAAACCTTAATAGGTAAAAGCATGTGTACATTCAAACCACAGGCTTCCAGATTCCAAAAGGGATTCTTTCAAATCCTGACGAAAAAATTTTGAAATCAGAAAAAAAATCCTGAGAAAAAATTCAACAAATGTGGAAAAATCGTTTCAAACACGTTACCACAGAACAATTCCCATTTTGAGGGTGTTTATTCAAAAATTAATTGTGTAAATCACAGAAGACAAATCTTACCCCAAAATTAGTATGGGTGTGTGTGTTTTTAGAACTTTGGAGAAAAGTGTGAATTTCCGATATGGGCCCGATAACATTTTTACGTCTGATGTCACACACGTGACCAAACTTTGATGACCCCTCCTTGTACTATTTTGACACAATTTGTGAAAGTAAAAGCTATACTCTGAGGTAGGGAGTAAAAAGTGCTAACCTGATGTATCAGTGAAAGTAATATGTATATGTGTAGTTAACAAGAGGTAAAGCTTCACAAATCAGACAAGCCCAACTCCATGTCACACATGTGACCGAAGAATGGCCCTCGATGATAATTACAGCTTTTCTGGATAAACGAAGCTTAGAGTGCACCAATTATTCAGATTTGATAGAACAGAAATTGGACAAGTTCAATATTGAGTAACTGGAAGGGTGTATTCCGGATTTGTGTGCATACATGTATTTCACTTTGTCTTCACTGAGATGTTTTTTCCTTCTTTCTAATGATCAGCTGGCAATGAGCCAACTATTTCGTCACTTTCTCTTTGCAAAAGAAAAGATAAACACACGCATAAATGTTTTGGATAAACGCCTCAATGTTTTGTTACAAGATCAAGGAAGTGTATGCATGTAATTTCAAAATATTTATCTGCCGACAAAGATTTTTTTTTTTCGAACGCAACTTGAAAGAATCAAGTGAGCTAAATATTTTCACTTTCTTCCTCAAAACAAACGTGTAAAATGTATACATACATGTAATGGCACATATACATAACATGCATTGTGTTTATTTCCTATCTTTGAAGTAACACTGATTTTTGTAGCAATTTTATCAGAAAGAAATCGACGCCCCCCCCCCCCCCCCCCCCCCCCCCCACCACTTGACACTAAAAGCTTCCCCAAGATGACAACGACATAATGACTCAGGGGAACCGGCTAAATTGAAAAGCGGCGAGTGATTTGTCGGATGAGATAAACGGGTCATCTTCTAATGTTCACCGGTTCCCTGCCGCCGTAAACCGATTCTCTCAAGTCTGCTGTGAGTAAGCAATTAGGCAACGTCAAGAAAAATTGTTTCACGGGCCCAAAAAATATTTCACTTTCATCTTTTTTTTACATTTTGACTGACTGGTAGTAATGCGCATGCCTACGTGAGGATTGTGAACGTTCAACCAATAAAACGGTAAAGGCACTGGATTTCATAGGAGTCCACATTTCATGTGACACTGCAAAAGTGTTTAAGACCAGCCGGCCATGTCTTTATCATCCGTTTAAGACCAGCCACGTGACAGGCTCTCGACCAATTGGAACAGGCAAACTGTCCTAGGTATTTATGAATGTTAAATTATAAGCTTTTTCCTTTACCATATCGAAGAAAAAAAATGTATGCAGGGAAATAAAAATAAAGGTCTGTTGTACCAGTAACAATTTTTTTTTCTCGACTGGCCATGCTTTTATGTCCATTGAGATAAATTGGGAACTGGATCCTTTCTAAAACCTTGTGAATTTTTACTGTGGCCGTAAAAAAAACCCTGCTAACAAGAAATCACGAAAGACGTGACAGGTCAATTATCCTGGGGTAGGAATCCGGAGAACTGCAGATGATTTACGACTCGGGTTTATTTCAGATAGAAGGGATGAAAAATGTCCATGATTGGAACGGGTTTTAAAAAAAATACCACACATTTTTAGATGTGGAATGATAAGGTACAAACATTTGGATATGATATAAAACAGTCAGTTAGTTGATGATCATCAAATCAAATATGGAGTGATGATAAATTTTTCTTTAAAAAAAAATATAATTTCATATATGGTAAAAATTTAAACTGTTTAATTTTATATTTGGTAAAATATTGTGGCATTTTCAGTTTATTGTTGTGAAATACTCTTAATTAAAAAGTGTATCAATTTAAGTGTAATGCAGGTCCATCGTCAGCCCTGAGCATCCGGGGGGGGGGGGGGGGGGGGGGCGCTACGAACTAGGGGAAGCCCACTACCATTAAAAATAAAAAAATACATATGTATGGCTTTTGCCGTTTGACCATTACACAAAAGTAGCTCTTGCGAGTTCTAAATCATTTTTGTTTGATTTGATCAGAAACGTTAAACGTAAAAAAAAAACGATCAACTTGTGGAGTGCTTTGGCCTCGTGGTTAAGGGCATTGGATTCGGGGTCTGCAGGTAAAGCTGCAGGTTGTGGGTTCGAGTCCAGCCTGGGGTCATGGTGCGTGTGCCCTTGGGCAAGGTACTTTGTCACTCATTGCTTCTCTCCACCCAGGAGTAAATGATAACCTGTGAGGGTAGAGATGGTTAGGCCAAAAAAAATAAGTCTCCGGTTTCTGGTATGCGCGCGCGTCGCCGTAGCCATGCGCGTCGGCAAAATGAAAAAGTTTTTTTTCAATAAAAGATGATGTCTCAAAACTGCCAAACTCACTGGTTTGACTGGAATCCTGCTGCTGCACAATTTTAACGTGTTTTTAGATGGGGATATGATGGAGAATAAGCTTTATGTGGCCTCTCTGGACTCCCATATATTTTCACTAAGTTTAGTCGGGCACCAATTGCAGTCCTCAGCCGACATTTGAAGCAAAAAAAACAGGTAAAAAAAAAAAAGCCGCGTCGCCACACCACTTTTTGGGCAAGCTCCATACCAGAAACCGGAGACTTTTTTGGGGGGCCTTAGTGTGATTGAATTAGCTTCCTTGCACCTAACAGGCGGCATCGAGCTGTATACTCCCCAGGGAGCCAAGATGGTATTTGGAATGTTTCATGGGCCCAATGAGCAGGAGTAATAATGATGTAGTGCCATGAGGGCCAGTACCTGGTGGATATGCACGCTGTATAAATACCCACAAATATTATTATTGATCAACTTACTTGCTACGAGGTCAAAGTACTTTTTGCTCTGTTCCTCCAGGGAGGGTTTGACCTGACAAGTCAGCAGGTTCATTCGGACTGGCGCCTTGCTGACCGTGGAGTGGGCGATGCCCAGATAACCGTCCTTGATCTCGCAGCGGCGTTTCTGGTACACCTTGCGCAAGCCCTCGGTGCGCTTGTGCAGGAAGCCGGTCTTTTCTGTGCCCAGGGCCTTGTCGGTCTGGAGCTGGTGGAGGCTGTAGCCTTGCTTCTCTGGTGGAGTCTGGGAACAAGACAAGAGATTTTTTTTAAAGATGTCCGTGCTTCTTTATTATTTTTTTAAACTCCTATATTTCTAATACCAAAGTCATGAATGAAACACCAAACCAAAATAATAGGCCTATATTTAGTTATAATAATAATAATTTGGGGAGCTAATCATCCTTACTCGCAGCTGAGAAGCTGAATTGCGAAGGACGCGGCTACAACATGGGCCCAATTTCACGGCGCCTGCTTAACAGTAAGCAGAAAAGTTGTGTTTAGCATAGCAGAAAAATTTGCTAACCTTAAGCACTATTTCACGGCGTGGACGTGCTAACGGTCGCGCGTGCATGGAGATTCCTATTGTTACGTCACTAAGTTAAGCAAATTCCTCTGAAGTAAGCATGCCTTTTGCTGTGCTTATGCTTACGGTCTCCATGAAATAGACGGAGGCTCTGTTAGCAGAAAATCGTGTGCTTACCAGCGCCGTGAAATTGGGCCCTGGTCGGGCCGCAGGCATGTAAAGGCGCCTAAGGCAGCTGCCATATGACCCAAGTCTGACCACGGAGCACAACCAGAGATCGAAAGTGTTTGATTTTTCCGGAGGGAGGAAAACCAGAGGGCCCGGAGAAAAACCCTCGTGGCACAGGAGAGAATCAACGCACAACTCTACTCACATATGGTCCGAGCCGGGAATCGAACCCGGGCCACAGTGGTGAGAGGCGAGCGCTTTACGCACTTGCCATCCTAAGGCACCCAATTTAAGCTGTTCTGTACATGTTATTTTCAAATTTCGTCCCCACTTTTTTCCCAATGGCGGGTGTGAAACAATTAGCATACAATTTGAAATTTGTTGGGAGAAAATACATTGAATTTTTTTAGGGCCCATACCTCCTTATCTAACGACAGACTTGTCTTGAGAAGGTTCCTGAGGTCAAGTAGTTTCTTCTTCTCTTCGTCATGTCTCGTCTTGATCTTGTTGACATTCTCCGCCAGCTCGTCGACGTAGGACTTGAAATGCTCGATTGTCTTCAAGCCCTCCTGGTAGAAACTAACAACGAAGTAGGAAAATTCAAATTATTGTAATTATTATAATGGACCGAGCCGAGGGCGGTTTAAGACCACCCATGTGACAGGCTCTCGACCAATAGGAAATGGGTAACCTGCCTCAGGTATCAATGAATATTCATTTAACAATTGGATGAATGATGCATACCTGTTTTCCACTCTGTAGTATTCTACTAGATGCTGCCAAGCTCCGCCCCCTTTTTGACTTGTGTCAGTCACTTTGATGAGGTATTGATGAATATTCAAAACATGTAAATGAATGATGCCTACCTGTTTTCCACCCTGTAGTATTCCACTAGATGCCGGGCTAGCTCCGCCCCCTTTTTGACTTGATGTCAGTCACTTTGATGAGGTATTTATGAATATTAAAAACATGTAAATGTTGATGCCTACCTGTTTTCCACCCTGTAGTATTCCACTAGATGCTGGACTAGCTCCGCCCCCTTTTTGGCCTTGATGTCATTCACTTTGATGAGGTACTGAAAGGGGGGGGGGGGATAATAGTCAAACATTTACAAAGTGAAGGATTTTTGGTGGATCAGGGCATGTAGGTGTGGGTTGCAGTTTGATTTGGTGGGTTTGGGTCTTTTTCGGATTTTGGGGTTTTCTGTCTTGAGTTTTGGGCTTCCCGTTTTGGGTTTCTGGTATTGGGTTTTGGGGTTTTGGTGTTGGGTTTTAGGTTTTCCAGTTTTGGATTTTGGATTTTGAGTTTTCTGTTTTCTGTTTTTGGTTTTTGGTTTTTGGTTTTAGGTTTTAGGTTTTGGGTTTTGGTTTTGGGGTTTTGGGTTTTGGGGTTTTTCGGTTTTGGGGTTTTGGGTTTTGAGTTTAAGGTTTTCTATTTTTGGATTCTGGATTTGGGGTTTGCTGTTTTTGGTTTTCTGTTTTAGGTTTTGGGTTTGGGGTTTTCTGTTTTGGGTTTTGGTGTTGGGTTTTGGGTTTTGGTTTTTGGTTTTGGATCTTGGGTTTTGGGTTTTCTGTTTTTGGTTTTGGTTTTCTGTTTGGGGTTTTGGGTTTGGGTGTTGAGTTTTGGGTTTTCTGTTTCCTGTTTTGGATTTTCTGTTTTGGGTTTGGGTGTTGGGCTTTGAGATATTGGTTTTCTGTTTTTGATTGGGTTTCCTATTTTGGATTCTGGGTTTTCTTGTGGGGTTTGGGTTTTAGATTTTTGATTTTCTTGTGGGGGTTTGGGGTTTTCTTTTGAGTTTTTAGGGGTTTAAGATTTGGTTTTTGGTTTGGGCTGTCTGGGTTGACTTGGGTACATTCTAAACCTACCAGAGACTGAAACTCTTCAATTTTATTTTGGATAATGAACCAACTCCACTTCAAGTTACTTTAATATCTTAAAGGAAAGTCTCTCCTAGTTCCCAGCGCTTACCTCGCACATCTGTAACTGGAACATCCTCCTTTCCTTCTCCATTTCCTCAGCCACCTGCAACAACCAAAAAAATGAATAAGTGGCTCAGCAATTCTTTAATCTAATCAGGAAAAGTGGGCGGATGATGTCAGCTTTTTGATTAAAACCAAATGTTAGTAACGTCGGAGTGAAACTTTCGGTTAGACACGCATGGCAAAGTACAATTACTGTAGAGTCATGAAATATAGTTTCATCTGAACATGAATTGCAAAAAGTAAAATTGAAGCTTCAAAGTCATGAATACAATGTATGTTGTGCAGGTCAAATTTCAAATGTACTGTACCAATGGACGATTCCGGGCACCTGCTAAGGTAAAATCCATGGAGCTGCTAAGCACAAAAATTTGCTTAGCGTGAAAACTTTTCCGCTTGGCAAAAACAGGATTACCAACCAAATTTCCATGTGATGTATATATTGCTTGTCATTGGTATTCAGCTGTGATTGCTTAGCATGAAAATCACACGGAGTTTTGGCTGGTAACCTGCTTTTACTAAGCCAGACTTTTTTGTGCTAAGCATTTTTGTGCTTAGCAGCTACATGAAATTGGCCGCAGATTGATGCTCACGAGGCCCCCTTCAATGGAGAAACCATTACAAGTGCATGTGTACAAAGCAACTGCCACCTGATGGATTATCTGAACAATAGCTAGCACAATGCTTTCGCCATTGAGGGGGGCTTTCACGATAGAATTGATAGCTTACCCGGATTGGCCAAAAAGTAAAAATTAACTTCGTGTTTCCTATTTTATTTTTTTTTTTGAAGTTAAAAATTTGGAACCCCGGATCTCTCACCACATGCATGTGCACATGTGGGACGCTGTGGTCCAATGGTTAGGGTATTCGACTTGTGTGCCGTGGTACATGGGTTCGAATCCTGACGGGGAACATGGTGCTTGTGCTCTTCCTCCTTCGGATGGATCGTAAAGAACCCAGTAACACTTGTCACTAAGAGAAGGGGTTTGCCCCGATGTTTCTGGCAGTGGCTGCAATATGCACTGCAGCACCTTGTATCGTATACCCTTGTAAAGGTGCTTTATAATGGGTCTCATATTTTTCTTATACTTCATTTACTAGGACCTTTGTTGGTAGATAAGATTCTAGTATTAACTATTATTACTAACATGTGCATGTTTGTATTGGGGACCCAAGGTACCGGTACTGGTACAATTCTTTTCTCTTAAAGTACATGTAATAACTTGAACCATCCCATTCTAGTCCCAATCAAGTTAAATTTGGCCTTCATGGCAGGGTCACATTCTGTCTGTTCCTTCCTTCCTGCTGCAGGAAGTCAGGATTCCCTACTAGTTGGCACGGGTTTCGGGAAATGAAAAAAAAGTTGATGCTCGGTTGAAATTAATCTCAGGGAACCAGATACCGTATGTGCTGTATTGTATGGCAGTGTTTATGACTTAACAAATGCACAGTGTAAGCACAAGTTGTTCATGTACATTTGTACAATGTACATATGTATGTATGTAGGTCTTATTTTTCCTTTTGGAAAACAAGTTCTGCAGTTTTCTCCAAATACTCAAGATTACTATGCATGTTCAATACACTTGAGTGTGCAGACTTCAATTAATAACACCTTAGGCCAAAAAAAATAAGTCTCCGGTTTCTGGTATGCGCGCGCGTCGCCGTAGCCATGCGCGTCGGCAAAATGAAAAAAAAAAATTTTTCAATGAAAGATGATGTCTCAAAACCACCAAACTCACTGGTTTGACTGGAATCCTGCTGCTGCACAATTTTAACGTGTTTTTAGATGGGGTTATGATCGAGAATAAGCTTTATGTGGCCTCTCTGGACTCCCATATATTTGCACTAAGTTTAGTCGGGTACCATTTTGCAGTCATCCGCCGACATTTGAAGCAAAAAAAAAAACTGGTTAAAAAAAAAAAAAAAAGCCGCGTCGCCGCACCACTGTTTGGGCAAGCTCCATACCAGAAACCGCAGACTTTTTTTTTGGCCTTAGAATGTTATTAATGAACTTTTGATTTAACTTGAAAACTTGAGAATACAAGTTTTCCATTCACATCCCTTTGGTGAAAATGCACATGTCCTTGGAAATCCATGTACAAAGGAAGTGCATTTCTACTGTGGCTACAAAATTCAGTCTGTTACAATGTACATGTACATGTAGGCCTTCATGTAATCCCAAACTTGATGTATACAGTATACATTCACAAAACTCAAGATCTATTAAAGGGAATACATACAACATTTGCAAACATCGAAAAATAAAACTACCACGTTTTTACGAAATACCTTACTAGGATGTTGGTAAATGACAGTCTAAAGCATCCTGTAAAATTATGGCACCTGGTGTGAAGTCATTTTCAAGAAAATAGTATTTTTGTATACATTTCCAACGGTGGTCGGCCGACCACCGTTGGAAAACCTAACTATTTTTCAACTACTGCTCCAACTTTACACTTTTTTCAGTCCAAATTTTGTTTGCTATTGGTTACATGTTCATGAACGGGTGCAGGCCAGCTAGACTGGTTCCCTTACCTTACAATTTTCCGGCATCTATGAATTGATCCATTTTTTATCTTTAGTGGAGTCAAGGAACCAGACTACTTGAACATTTTTGTTTTTCTTGGTTTTTCCAGCATTTTCGAACACAAAACTTCAAACATGTCAGTGTAACAATATTTGATCTATCATACTTACCCCTCAAATAGTTCATTTCTGAAAATTACAGCAAAAGCCAATGATGTACATTCCCTTTAATCCATCTGAAACACAAGATTGTTTTTTACTCTTGAAATTAAAGGGAATAACATTTGCTTTTGCTGTCATTTTCAGAAATGGATGGATTGGGGGATTAATAGCAAATATTGTTACTCTGACTTGCTTGAAGTTTTGTGATCGTAAATTCTGGAAACTCAAGAAACACAATCATGTTCTTTTAGTCTGGTTCCCTGACACCACTTAAATTGAAATGGAGCAATTTATAGACGTCATCAGGGAATTAGAAGGTCAGGGAACCAGTCTAGAAGGCTTGTACCTATTCATAGATGTGTAATCGATTGCAAACACAATTCAGACTTACTAAACATGAAAAATTGGGGGCACTACTTGAACCTAAAACTGCCCTGAGCAGCACACTACAGTGTACTTTTTTGTTCCACTTCTGAGCGCATGACCTAAAAAACACATGGTTGAGATCACAACTCAGCCCTACTCAGAATCTACTCTACTGCTGGCAACTTGGCAAGCTGATACTAGGATGTGGTGAATGGGCCATGATGACCGTGGGAATTTTTCCAAGTTGGTTATTGGAAACCACAGAGTGGGTTTCTTGGTTCAAGGATACAGAAGAGGGTGGGTGGGTTTATGACACAGTGCCCGGTAAGGATTGTCTGTTAGGAAATATGACAACGCAAAGTTGTTGTAATGTGATCTGGAAGTTCATAATGATGCGGCAAATTGGACCAATACAGGAACTAGTCTCATTCAACTATTAGAAACCACAATATTTTCAATCACAGAATGACTGCTAATTTGTAATTAACTCGTTAGCAATTTTGTTACATTGTATTACACTGGATTTACTCCAGGATAGATCTATGACACCGTACAGTGCTAAGGTGGTTTTGGGCGGTGCAGGGAGTAACAGGCAGGGTGGTTTGGGGCAGTACAGGGAGTAACAGGCAGGGCAGTTTGGGGCAGTACAGGGAGTAACAGGCAGGGTGGTTTGGGGCAGTACAGGGAGTAACAGGCAGGGTGGTTTGGGGCGGTACAGGGAGTAACAGGCAGGGCAGTTTGGGGCAGTACAGGGAGTAACAGGCAGGGTGGTTTGGGGTAGTACAAGGAGTAACAGGCAGGGCAGTTTGAGGCAGAACAGGGAGTAACAGGCGGGGCGGTTTGGGGTAGTACAAGGAGTAACAGGCAGGGCAGTTTGAGGCAGTACAGGGAGTAACAGGCAGGGTGGTTTGGGGTAGTACAAGGAGTAACAGGCAGGGCAGTTTGAGGCAGTACAGGGAGTAACAGGCGGGGCGGTTTGTGGCAGTACAGGGAGTAACAGGCAGGGCGGTTTGGGGCAGTACAGGGAGTAACAGGCAGGGGGGTTTGAGACAGTACAGGGAGTAACAGGCAGGTTGGTTCGGGCGGTACAGGTAGTAACAGGCAGGGTGGTTTGGGGCAGTACAGGGAGTAACAGGCAGGGTGGTTTGGGGCAGTACAGGGAGTAACAGGCAGGGTGGTTTGGGGCAGTACAGGGAGTAACAGGCAGGGTGGTTTGGGGAGGTACATGGAGTAACAGGCAGGGTGGTTTGGGGCAGTACAGGGAGTAACAGGCAGGGTGGTTGGGGCAGTACAGGAGTAACAGGCAGGGCAGTTTGGGGCAGTACAAAGGGTAACTGATGGGGGGGGGATTTGGGGCAGTACAGGGATAACAGGCAGGGTGGTTAGGGACAGTACAGGGAGTAACAGGCAGGGCGGTTTGGGGGCAGGACAGTACAGGGAGGTCGCTTTTAGGCGTTTCAGGGACTTACAGGTTGTAAAGCTTCAATTAGAATGTTCTTTGGTAATTCATACAAAAACACTCTCCCCCTACAATAAGGCTGCATCTAAAATATCTGGCTACGGCTCGCAGTAACACACAAGTCTATGGGAAGTGGATAAGCCGCTTCCATAGTCGCATGTATTAGTACAAGTCATAGCAAGTAATTCTGAGACAGCCTTATTCCAATAGGAAAGTGTTTTTGTATGACATGCGATGCATCAGGGAAGTGCCAAGAGCTTTTGGCCAAATCAAAAGTGCAACGGATCCGAAGAAGACAAGCTGCATTCTAACACAGAACACAGCTAAAAAAAAAATATCAAATTACGAAAACCGCGCCGGATATCTGGAGGGCTTATATTTGTTGAGGTGAATACGATCGCCGTTTGCATTGTACCATGTCTGCACTTAGGATGCATTAGACGGACGGGAGGAATTCTCCAGTGCAACAAATCTTAGCAAACACGCAGAGGGACAAAAAAACATAAGCTACACAATGTAGGCTCATCCTTTCACTTGGATATGTGCACTTGTTATTGTACACTTATGTACTCTAGACGGTGTAGTGTTGCACGTAACCTATACATGACAGTGGTGTCCAGGCAGGGGGGGGGGGGGGGGATGTGTGGACGTCCTCCCATATATTCCCAGGGTCCCCTATTCCGAGCCCCATCCATAAGTAATTGACACAATAACGAAGAAAATGTAATGTACACATAACATTGAGGACTGAAAAAAAATCTCCAATACTCCTATCCCCCCCCCCATGATAAATCCGGGCAGTGCAACTGATATGTAGGGGTGTATAACCCCGTCTGTCATCGTGTCTGACTCACCTCAGGGCCTGATATCGTTGTTCTGATGAGCCCTGCCTCTTTGGCCAACTGCTTCTTCTCCCGTTCAATTTTGGTGCTGCGTAGAAAAAGAGTCAACATTTTAGACGGAATGTAACATACATGTTTTGTAACTTTCAAATTATGAAAAACTCTTCCTGGAAGAACCCTCAAGTAATTCTTAAGCCATGGAAAATCCGGAGACAATACAAATCTGGAAATTTCATTCATATATATTCTCTGGACGTTTTGGCTAGGAACCTTTTTCTAACATATTTTCAAGGTTGACAAGGCTGTAAAATCACTTTGAGAAAAATCAATGACTTTCCCAGTGTTGGGCAGATTCACTTCAAATAACATGTTTACAAAAAAAATCACTAACTTATAACTGAAAATGAAGTTTCCATGAAAGTGTGATCCATATTTTGTCCATGATATTATTTCCAGGCTAATTTTGAGACTTCGGAGAAAAAATGTTGATTGAGTTACAATGTCGCACATACGGTACGTCATGCATTTTTGTCATCTTAATCTTAATTTAATTCCTGAAGTCCCAGAGAGGGTCAATGCTACTGTGCATCTGACTGACTGACTCCCTGACTGACTGACTCCCCCCGTGAGCTGAGCAGTGCTCTTGTATAGGATCGCCCATTATCACCAATGAATGGCTCAATCCGGCCCATCGTGTACACAGATACACATGTACATGAAAATACTTCCAGTGAATAGCCATTTTTGAATCATTTGAATAGACTTCGTGGACTTTGGGACCAGCTTTAATAGACTTGCATAAGTCATCCCTGAGATTGGATACATCATTTCTTTGGTCTGAAAACCGAGTCCCACAATTGCGGTTTACAGTAGCACTGCCACTGCTTATTGGCCATCAAAATTGAACATCTAATGCCTATTTTTTAAACACTATACTGTGAATCTACAGTAACATGTACAGCTACCTTAGAATGATTTATGATCCCACAGCCCACAGCAACACAGCAAACATTAACATAGGTCATAAGATTAATCGTTTATACACGACAGCAAAGCCCCCACCCCCTGCATTCAGTTATTGTAGATCCACCATCTGCCAAAGTGCTACGGTCCGTTGCTAGTCTCATTATACAAACAGTGGAAAGTGCTGCACTTGTTCTGGGAAACCAGGCTTTATTTTTGATAATCTTTCCAGGCAGTGGTCTGCATGGCATGTGTTTGTACCGGGGATTGTTCATTTTTAACCCCATTCCACTTGGTCAGGGAAGCGCAGAAGACGGAAATTTCTGTTCTGCATTAAAAACAAGGTGAAATGCGTTCATGCGTGTTTGCTTTGGCAGTGATCGAAATCACACAAGCTGAATATTTTCTAATTTATAAATTTGAGGTGATTATGAGTCCTGCTCTGCAAAAATGAGTCTTTTGTGGCAAAACTGATGATTTTAGTTAACTACATTAAAGGAAATGGGAATGAAATTAGCTTTCAATTGGAATATCATGGACCGAGCTCTAAGATATTTGGTTGCATTGTTATGCTTGCTTAATTTTGTCAATTTTTTTTCACTAAGCTAGAAACGTCTCAATGGAGAAAAAAAGGGTTTGAAAAATGACAAATATACTGCAATTAACCAGGAAAAAGCACCAAAAGCCATAACTTAATCACTTTTTTTCACACAATATTTAAATTTCTTAATAAACATTTAAACTACATGTAAAACTATCAAACAACCAACATAAAACCAAAAAACCCCCCAAAATTTGGATTAAATTTTCACTGTTTCCATTTCAAAATGATGAAAGCTTGAATTCAAAGTATGCGACATCAGACTCATTTTTGCAGAGTGCGTCATATACTTGTAATGTTAATGCACAAAGCTGCAATCAAAGGTCGTTTATTGTGTAAAAAACCAACAACAACAAAAAACAGCATTTCTTTGTTGGATTATTAACTGTTTACATAAAATATGCAATGAACTTGAAGTTGGTATTCGTTGGGGAAAACCAGAGTCCGAAGTTCTCATCAACCACAGACCCTAAAGCCAGCACGTAGCCATTTCTAACACCATAAAATAATGCGATCCAATCTGTTCAACGGTCAACAAGTCGACTATTCTTATTACCATACCCTCTTAAGACTATGCACATTGTTCATCAAAACAAAATCACGCAAATCAAAGTTCAATTGCGATCAATTCTGTAGACTGTATAAAACAAGCCATGCATAACAGGAATGGTAAATTACCCTCTCCGGGCCAAGTAAAAAAATAAAACAGTTTTTGCTCCCGCCCGCTTCCTGTTTTTGTAAATTGTCAATTTTCACTTACTATTTGGATTCGTAGTCCTTGCAGGCCTTCTCAAACGTTTTCTTCATGTCTCCTTTCTGGCCTTTGAGGTCGCCCTTCAGTAACGAGTCCAGCGGGAACATCACAATGTTGTTGATGTTTTGTACCTGTCAACAAAAACAACATCAAAACAGACAATCAATCACAAGTCCATCGCAAGTCTATCGCAAGTTCACCATGAGTCCATCCCAAGTCCATCCCAAGTCCATCACAAGTCCATCTTAAATCAATCGCAAGTCAATTACAAGTCCATCGCAAGTTCACCATGAGTCTATCACAAGTCCATCACAAGTCTATCCCAAGTCCATCCCAAGTCCATCACAAGTCCATCGCAAGTCCATCCCAAACCCATCACAAGCCCATCCCAAGTCCATCCCAAGTCCATCCCAAGTCCATCACAAGTCCATCCCAAACCCATCACAAGTCCATCCCAAGTCCATCCCAAGTCCATCACGAGTCCATCACAAGCTTATCACAAGTCCATTACAAGCCCAGCACAAGTCCAGCACAAGTTCACCATGAGTCTAAAACAAGCCCATCACAAGTCCATTACAAGCCCATCACAAGCCCATCACAAGTCCATCGCAAGTGTATCGTAAGTCCATCCCAAGTCTATCACAAGTCCATCACAAGTCCATCCCAAGTCCATCCCACGTCCATCACAAGTCCATCACAAGTCCATCCCAAGTCCATCCCAACTCCATCACAAGTCTATTGCAAGTCAGTCGCAAGTCAGTCGCAAGACAATCACAAGTCAATCACAAGTCCATCACAAGTCCACCCCAAATCCATCACAAGTTAAGCATAAATCAATCATAAGATAATCACAAGCTCATCACAAGTCAATCACTGGTCGGTCAGTCAGTCACAAGTACCAGAGGAAGAACACCGACTCGTGACAGACTCATGTTTGAGTTATGTTGGACTTGTGACCGCCTTGAGATTGTAATGATTTAGAATTCTAATCTCTATCTTACCAGATGCTTAAGGAGAGCAGCCAGTTCCTTAGTGATGACCGAGAACTTCAAGAAGGCAGCTCCTAGATCTGGCTCCTTCTCTTTCGACAACGTCGATGAGCCCAACTTTTCCAGGTTTTCGGCAAATGAAAGCAGGTTGCCAACATATGCTGCAACAAGACAGAGAAGTTTTATGAATTTAATTAATTAATGCATAGTAATAATAATATAATATCAAGTAATCTTAAATATTATCAAAATATTCAACATTGATTTATCGTTGCACAGCGTGCATGCATACATGTAGAAAAGTGGTTTTTCCCAAAGATGGATCAAGATTTGTTTTTTATTTATTAGGAAAAAATTGACTATTTGCACTTCTCTTGTAGGCCTATAATTCTACATTTTGAAGTCAAATACAATGTTATACATTCTGTATACGGTACAATCATGTACATTCACATTTAAGTGTAAGAAGATATGTATGGACATTAGTCACGGGTTCGAGTGATTACATTCATATGTACCGGTATTGCACATGTATGTACATGTACATGTATGTGTGCATGTACATGTACATGTACATCTACATGTATACATGTACATGTATATGTACATATATGTACTGTACATATATGTATACATTGTACATTTACATGTTTGTACATTGTACACGTACACATGTGTATACAAATTATATTGTACCGTAGTTTAAATGTACACATACAAAGTTCCACATGTACGTGTACATGTATACTGTATTGCAAGTCTATATGATATACATCATTGTAAATGTATGTACATGTACATGTACATGTGTACTTTTTGCACTAGTGAACCCTGTAAACAAGAATTGCTACAATTTGGCAGTCTCTATTAAATCAAGTGCCAACTGTCACATTGAATGGGCAACTCCACGCATCCACTTTAGCCCAGGCCCTTATTTGGGCTTGATGGCTTTGGCAGATCACTGATCATCAGACCCCTGGTGATGTGGTGTGAGTGAAATAATGTTTATCCTGAAATATTAAAGGGGCTTTTCCAACGATTGTAAAAAAGGTTATTCAAGAAATTAGAAGATATTTCAGAAATATATCGAACAGGGGATAATTTACAATATTTTGAAAGGCGTCCAAAAAATATTAAAGGGCACTTTTAGATTAACATGTACGGTACATACAGTATGTATGTTTTATGTGGCTATTCAAGAAATATTCCAACGTGTATTATTCATAAGATGGAATATGCGTCGGGGTGATGTAAATCAATATTACGTCGGTGAAGAGCAAAACCTAATATTGAAATACTTTTAATTTAAAACCTAACTCCCTTGGCCCTGTTTGCTGGGAACCGTCTTCAATCCTCCAAAATCCTCCAAAATTTTGCACTTATGTTGAAATGAAGGATATACCCAGTGCCTCAATCCTTCAAAATCGTCCGACAGTCCTGCCTCTCAAAATGCATTCATCTTCAATTCAATCGTCCTGAAACCTATCCTCCTCCTTTTCAAACACCTCCTCCTTTTCAAACAATCCTCCAAAATCCTCATGTTTCTCAAACAATATTCATCCTCAATCCTCCAAAATCCTCATGTTTCTCAAACACCATTCATCCTCAATCCCCAAAATCCTCATGTTTCTCAAACAAAATTCATCCTCAATCCTCCAAAATCCTCATGTTTTTCAAACACCATTCATCCTCAATCCTCCAAAATCCTCATGTTTCTCAAACACCATTCATCCTCAATCCTCCAAAATCCTCCCAAACCGCCATGAGAAGTTTGGAGGATTGAGGTGGGTTAGGGTTAGACTGCAATGAAATGACTAGATTTGTATACATGTATATGGACCATCATGATTATGGAACTAGTACTAGATCCTGAATCCATCAAAGTCCCCCAACTGCTCAATATGGAGGTATCCTGAATCCATCAAAATCCTGCAGTACTTGCCGCTAGGCTTCATGTCCTGAATCCATCAAAATCCCCCAACTTTTTCAATATGGAGGTATCCCGGAATCCGCAGAAATCCTCCAAAACAGGGGTGTGGATTTTGATGGATTCAGGTATGTTAGGGTTAAAATTTTGAAATGTATTTTTATGGGGAAATTACGTTCATGTGGCAATGTACATGTAGTCTGCACATACAATGTATACATTCTACATTGATGAAAGGCCTATTTCAGTACTGTACATACCGGTTCAACGGATGTACAATGTACAATGTACCATACACACAATGTCTCGAATGTCATGAATGTAAATTACTCTCCAGCGGAATCACATTGATACTCGTCACAGATAATATTTCTATTCCCTCTGCCAACCCGGATACCCTCAAGGAAGAAAGACAGTAAATCATGCCAACGAAAAGATAAACTTAAATAAAAAAACCAAAAGTAGAGTCCGCCTAAAGTCATCTGGGAGATTTCCCAGTGCGCTTATTGCCCTGACGTCCCTTGTGTCACAACCCAACGAATCATAACCAGTAAACCCTGTGGGCAGTTTCACTTTCACGTTGCCATAATTTCCATACCTTAAATCAACATGAAGAAGTCAGAGCGGAGTTTCAATAAAACACCGCTGTATTTATCACAGTTCTTTGTTCTCGATTCTAGATCGTTCGGCAAAGCTTGTTTATATGGTTGTACATTGAACTCAATCGGACATTTGGGAACAATTGTACATAACCCAGTTATGTGCTTCCGAATTGACAAAGAAAACTGACAAAGAAAACAGATTTTCTAAATTTTCCTTTTTTAGTTTCAATAAAGCCAAAACAAACAAAAAATTTGCTTCCGATTACATGGCATTTGAAAATAGGGTAGGTAGGGAGGGATTTTTTTTTTGTCGGCAATTTTTGGTACGATCATATGGAGGTGTCTGCATGTACATTGTGTACATGTAGTCAAGGGTAAAAGGTAGTAAATGGTGGTTTTCTGGTTTTTCCCCTCATGTACATTGTGTACATGTAGTCAAGGGTAAAAGGTAGTAAATGGTGGTTTTCTGTTTTTTCCCCTCATTTTTCCTCAAAGGGGAAGTCAAATAGTGTTCACACTGAGTAGAAAGTTGAACAAAATGTGTTCGTAAGAACAATTTATTACATGGACCCTTCATGATTGTCAGGTCTACATACATATACATGTACGTTTGTAAACATACACACACACAAATTCAGTCAAAGGACCAAAAATGGCAATGACATTAATGCTTACATGATTAATGTTTATACATTTGTACAAGCTGGACATGACAGATGAACTCCACCTGTTCGTAACATGCACGAAAAAACATAACATACCGGCACTACATGCTCAATGTGTAGGGTGGGACAAATGCAGGGCACGGATAAATTGTTCGGGGGTGCAAAAGCGTCACCATATTTGGACAAATTGTTGAATTGTAAGAGACCTGGAAATGCCCTGCAGAGTTTGTGCAAAATATTTAATGTAACGAAAGCTGTTCTACATGTAAAATAACTTCACCGGATGCAAAGAAGAGATTTCTACTTTTAGTTTTAAGTGTAGAATCTCCATGGTATTTGCAACAAAAGCTACAACATTTTTTATTCGGAATTCAAAATGACATGCTAGTTTTTCATTACATGTTTATGACTGTACATTTGTACAGTGTACGTGTACACGCATACACATGTACATGTACATGTACATGTTACCAGTACATGCACATTTGCATACATGTACCTGTACATGTTCATTGCATGCAAATTATATATGTCTACTCTCTACTGTAAATTATGGAGTCTACTTTTTTTTCCAGTATGCAGCAGAGTCAAAAATTAAACCGGTCTCGATTCACAATTGATTTTCTTCCATTGCAATTATGGAAATTCAATTAGTACTTGTTGGTGCAGTGGGCCAACATGCACATGTTTAATTACTCCTAATGGAATGCACAGTATGCACTGCATATGGACTACAGTACCGTGCTGAACAGCATATGGGCAATTACACAGACTTTACTCACGTTACATTTTTGATGTACCGGTACTTTTTGAGTTTCCTTGGGCTGTAATTACCTAAGTACTGAAAAGGTTTAATAACTGTTATCCCCATGGGAGATACAGTAGACCTAGACCTACCTAAGCACCAAAGATAACATCCAGAAAAATGTGCTATCACTGTTATGTATGATAAACAAGACGCACAAAATTGGTAACTCACCTTACATTTTCGTAACGTGAGTAATGGATTTTGTGCATCTTGTTTATCATACATAACACATTTTTCTGGATGTTATCTTTGGTGCTTAGGTGTAGGTCTAGGTCTACTCTATCTACCATGGGGATAACAGTTATTAACCCTAACCCACCTCACTCCTCCAAAATCCTCCTGGCGGTTTTGGAGGATTCTAGAGGATTGAGGATGAATGGTGATTGAATCAAATGAGGATTCTGGAGGATTGAGGATGAATGGTGATTGAAGCACATGAGGATTTTGGAGGATTGAGGATGAATGGTGATTGAAGCACAAAAGGATTTTGGAGGATTGAGGATGAATGCATTTTGAGGCAGGACTGTCTGATGATTTTGAAGGATTTGGCGTTGGTTATCCTTCATTTAAACACGAGTGCAAAGTTTTGGGATGAGGAGGATTTTGGAGGATTGAGGATGAATGCATTTTGAGGCAGGACTGTCTGACAATTTTGAAAAATTTAGGCGGAGTTGAAAAATTTTGGAGGATTTTGGAGGATTGAGGATGGTTGTAAGCAACAAGGGCCTAGGGGGTTAGGGTTAAACCTTTTCAGTAAGGTAATTACAGCCCAAGGAAACTCAAAAGTACATCAAAAATGTAGCGTGAGTAACCGTGGAATTGCCCATATGCACATTTACATTTAACTGTACATGTACGTTTTTTATTGGTTTTTATTCCTTTGTGGTACGTACTTGTTTTTGAAAAACAGGCAAAATGTCTGACTATGATGCAGCCACTGCTAAACAAAAAATGAATTTTATTCAATTGAACTTGAGTTATTGAGTACTGTTTTTGGAAAGACAATTCCAAAATGAAATTGTATTCAATGTGCTTTCAAATGAATGCAGGCCCTTCTTACATTGATGAGCCCCAAAAAAACATGTTTTGGGTTTTTGTTGTTTTCTTTTTTAGATTTAAACACGGCTTGTGTAACACAAGGATGACAAACAACCTCATGAATATTCAAGACTTGGAGTTTATGATGTACATAATTTGCATAATACATGTATGTAACGTGTATACCATAATACCAGTACATTTGTACAAGTATACTGGTACATGTATATGTTCAACATACATTGTTAAAAATTCTTTATAAAATTCAGCATAAAAAAACCCAAAATCTCAAAAGCGAGACCATTCAAGTCACACACTGTGCTCTTTTGTTTTATGATATAATACGCGTTTGCCTCAAATGACGTCCTGAACAATGTATATTTTCGTTGTCTACACCTGTCTCTCAATGTAAACACACAATCTGTTCTCAAACATTAGCATTGCACACACACTATACACGAAATCAGAAGCCTAAGCATGTGTTGCACTTTCCCCCAAGGTTCAATTGCAAAAAGCCCACAGCGCTGTTGACTGTGACAACAATGACAAATCCTGCAGTTCATCCACCACGCATTTCTATTAGGCTTATAATTGTGTTCAACTTGTTCTGTTGGCATTGACAATTATCATTCACTGACTAAATATATTCAATTGTAATATGTAAATTGATATGAGATCTGTTAATTGTTCAGTTGGTTTTTTTTTCGACAACAGGTTGGGTAAAATTCCTGTCATGGTTCACCGAAGTTACAAAGACCAAACAATGCGGACATGCTTCGGCTTTTATTTAATTGATAAAAACCACATGTGCCTGGTAGGACAACCGCGCTGTACTGCTGTACAACAAACTGAACAAAAGCTTACGTATTGAATGAATATGGGTGACGCCTACGCTGTGCTAAATACTGTATCATTATGTGCTGTAGAACCAAACTGTACAAGCCACTGTGCGAGATTTATGATAAAATCCATGCAGAAAGGTGTACATGTACATGATGCATATATTTTGGGGTAAATGTACAAGGGAAAACAATATTTTAAAAAATAGTATACTACCATACCTTCATACATTCAGTAGCACAATGTCAATTAATTATTTCATCAAAAATACATTAAAAAAATTGGAATTAGGAAAATCTTTTTTACTCATGAGTAAAAAAGATTTTCCTAATTCCAATTTTTTTTTAATTTTTTTTATTTATTTATTTTTTTTTTTAGATAAGACCTCATTTCAAACATCTGTTAAAGTTGTTTTGATCAATCCTTTCGGTGACCCGTATACACACAATAGACTCCTACATGTATTTGTAGATCTTTAGAGGCGAAAGGAACACAGTAACTGAATCAACACATGTGAACATGTACAAAGCTTGGGCTTTTTGTGTATACCGGTATGAGTTTGTATGATTTGGAAATACATGTTGAATTGAATTGAACATTGCTAAACTGTACTCTCAATATTTTGAGCATTTATTAGTACAACATGATGACAAGAAACACAATAAATGGGGCCACTTATCTACCGTCAAGTTAGCAGTTTTCCAATGGTCGTGATTTCTGTTAAATACCTGAAACCACCAAAGAAGAATTTCAACACCTGAATGAACATGCAGCCTTTCGCTAAACATGATTTGAGCTGATTACTTATATTGCTTTTAGACATTCTCCTCAAATTTCCATCAAAAAGTGGACGGAAAACTTAGACTTTTCTGTCCATTTTTGATGGGAATTTGAGGGTGATTTTATAAATTAAAACAGAAAGAAAGAAATGATTCAACACATAGGTCTATTAAATGTATTATAAGCCTGCATGTCCATTCACATTTCAAAAACTTTTTGGGTGGTTTCAGGTACTGTTAAAAAAAAACTACAACCATTGGAAAAACTGCTAACGTGACGGATGTACAGTGGCCCCCTTTATTGTGTTTCTACAGGAACGTTTTCTGCAAATCGCCCTCAATTTATTTATAATTTTTTGTCAGAATCCAGGCCCATACCTGTACATGTGTATCAGGCCATGCACACCAAGTCAGGTCCCAGACCCTGTTTGCCTTTCAGACAGGAAATGAAACAGTATGAAGTGTGTTGATTTTGGTCACTGCTAATTTCCGGTGTTCTTGACAAATCTGGTCTGGCAATGAAACAGTGCACACAAATCTGTGAGTTTGATTGGTCACTTACTGTTCCCGGTGTTGTAGATGTTCTTAACTGACTTCCTCATCTTACCAAGGCCGCTCCTGTCTGAATCCAATGTCTGAAAAAGAATTAAAATGATTATTTTTTTTTTAAGGGAATATACAACATTGCAAACATCAAAAACAAAACTACCAAGTTTTTCCGAAAAACCTTACTAGGATGTTGGTAAATGACAGTCTAAAGCATCCTGTAAAATTATGGCACCTGGTGTGAAGTCATTTTCAAGAAAATGGTATTTTTGTATACATTTCCTACAGTGGTCGGCCGACCACTGTTGAAAAAAACTGTTTAGCAACTACTGCTCCAAATTTACCATTTTGTTCAGTCAAAATTTTGTTTGCTATTGGTTACATGTTCATGAACGGGTGCAGGCCAGCTAGACTGGTTCCCTAACCTAACAATTTTCCGGCATCTATAAATTGATCCATTTCATCTTTAGTGGAGTCAGGGAACCAGACTACTTGAACATTTTTGTTTTTCTTGGTTTTTCCAGCATTTTCGAACACAAAACATCAAACATGTCAGTGTAACAATATTTAATCTATTATACTAACCCCTCAAATAGTTCATTTCTGAAAATTACAGCAAAAGCCAATGATGTACATTCCCTTTAAATCAGCTTACCCCCTGTACACGTATGTGTACATACGGTCGGTCTAAACCCAACAAGCCTTGCCAAAATTGTGCAAATACACGTAAACATACAACAATTGAATGTGAACTTTTCAAGAATGAAAAACATTATTGGGTTTTTGATTCAAAGGCCCAGAGAATTCAATTTCTGTCCAAATTTGCTTCAAAAACAACCCTGCCTGCCTAACCTTGCCGAAACCAACAAAGTGACAAAACAGGGATTGGTTTACAAAGTCAATCGCTGGGGGACATGTTTGCAGTTTGGGTTTTTCTTGGATGTTTGCTGATTACAACAAAGACGACCTTACTACGCAAGAATGGAAAGATTTGAGCAGTGTTTGCTGACCATGAGACTGGATGGACCAGAGAAAACATGGAGGTCAAAATCAAGAGAAAAAAACAGCTGATTGAACAAAAACACACACAGGGAAAATTAATTAAGTGATGAAAAATGAAACCTACGGAATGCAGAAATAACATTGTGTGTATACATACATGTGCATTTGTACAGTATACTAATGCACAGATTGCATTTTTTTTTGGGATAAATAGGCCTACTGTCTCTATGGTTAAGAAAACTGAAAAACAAAATCGATACAAAAAACGAAACCGAGCAAACATTTGTGTAAATAATTGATTTAAAACATATTAAACTTTTAACATATTTTAAACCTATTTTGAACATGTGTTGTGTACATTTTTACATAATCGTTTACTTTCTGCACAGTATCAATTTGTACTGTATCAAACTGTATACTATTGTCCCTTTTTGTTGACTGTTAGAGATATGAATACATTTACAATTAAGCAATTCAATTTTGGATTTTTGAAAACTGAAAAAAAAATTTGAAAAACAAAACGAAACCGAGTAAACCCAGTGTACATGTATATTGATTTAGAACAAAGCAAATTTTGTATGTGTACCATACATTTTATACACATAACTGTTTACTTTTTGTTCAGTATCAATTTGTATTGTATCAAATTGAACAATTGTCCCTTTTCGTTGACTTTTATTATTAGAGATATGATACAATTGAGCAATTCAATTTGGGATTCAAGGTTCATTGCAAGCATGTTAGTGATTTCATCTGACACAGACACTATTTTTTTGCAAATTATTGAATAATTTTCAGTCAAACTTATCCTCTCAATAACCATCCCACTTGTTCTCAGAATCGCGAGTCTGCCGGTGCCAAAACACAACAGAGCAAACGGAAATGGCAGACAATGCGTTGTCCTGGCCAACAATTCAACGCGTGACTCAACACATGTTTGTCTAACCGACAATTCTCCGTGTTGGTCAGACTTCAGAATATCCTCCTCTCAAACAAACTGCCACCTCGGGCCAAAGTATGCTGGGCTTTTGTTGTGCATGAGTGACTCATTCTTGTGTTGTCATGATTGTGGAGTGAATGGCTGTGGGAAAGCCCCATTAGGAAGTATTGTACAGGACGTGTTTTGCCAAAATACATTTTAAGTGGACTATAAATTACTTTAATTGCAAGTTTGATCTGAACTGAAAATCCATGAAATACTCGGCAGAGGGTTTTGAGGGTTGGTAAGGGCTCCAGAGCAAAAATGGCGTCCTTTTTGGAGGCCCTCTCTTTTTTTCATTGAAAAAAAGAAGAAAAACACCCCAAATGATAAATTTTAAACAGTGACATCACTTTGGCTTCTTTGTCTGTTGCATCAAGCCCATATAAAGCTGGTATGTCATTTCCTGAGTCCAAGTGGCGGGCACTAAAAAAAAAGATCGGCCATTTTGAAAAATAGCCGGCTCGGGCGGCCATTTTGAAAAAAAAAAAAAAAAGGTTTTCCTCCATTCTTTTTTTCAAAAAGGCAAGACGCTAACCACGTTTTTTTTTACTTGGCCTCGTAGGTAGCAACACCTTCTGGATTCTGGATTTCAAAAGGAATTTTTGAAAAATTTCGAATTTTAATAGTAAAAATCCTGACAAATCTCTCCTGTTTTTAAAAATCTTTTTACCACTGTAGAAAATACAGTACACGTACATGTGCTTGAAATTATGCAAACATTTCAACTCTGCTCGTACTGTAATTGTTATCCGAATATATGCAGGTACACGCTACACATACATGTACATGTACAGGTACATGGGTACAGTTGTATACATGGTTTAACAAAGTTGCATACAAATTTGTGTACAGAACCATGGTGCTACACGTACATACGGTCCAAATAAATGAGACAGTGCATTTTGTAATAAAAAAAAATTAGGAAAACCGGATTTTGAAATCTTCGAATTTCTCCCACTTCTTAAAGCAACAGTTAGTGTAAATGTTCAAGCAGATTTTGTTGTCGTGGTGCACCTTTAATAAACAACCCCCATTAATTTCAATAAAGAAAAGACTGTGATATGAATTAAAGGGAATATAAACATCATTTGCTTTTGCTGTAATTTTCAGAAATGGATGGAATTGGGGGGTTGGAAATATATAGCAAATATAGTTACACTGACTTTTTTGAGGTTTTGGGTTCGAAAATGCTATAAAAACCAAGAAAAACAATCATTTTCCTGTAGTCTGGTTCCCTGACTCCATATAAGAAGAAACAGAGCAGTTTACATACATTGGGGAATTGTAAGGTCAGGGAACCAGTCTAGCTGGCTTGTACCCGTTCATAGGTGTGTAATCGATTGCAAACAAGTGCGATGGTCAATTGGGGCCAGTATTTGAAGAAAAAAACCCAGTTTTTTCCAACACTGGTCGGCCGACCAGCGTTGGAAATTGATACAAAAATACCACTTTTCTTTAGCAATGTTCAATTCAATTCAATTTAACATTTATTTCCAAATCATACAAACACTATATACCGGTACATGTACATGAACAGTTGGCGGCTCATACCGGTATACACAAAAAGCCCCAGCTTGTACATGTTCACATGTGTTGATTTTTTCCAACGCTGGTCGGCCGACCAGTGTTGGAAATTGATACAAAAATACCACTTTTCTTGAAAATGACAGTATACCAGGTGCCATGATTTTACAGGATGCTTTACACTGTCATTCACTAACAGTCCAGCAAGGTATTTCAAAATGATTTGGTAGTTTTATTTTTTGATGTTTGCAAATGTTGTATATTCCCTTTAAAGCTACATGTACCTGTATTAATAACACATGTCGTCAAAATAAACAGCACAGTTGTTTTCCAGCACAGCGCAAACATCCATGGCGCTCACCGCTTGATTGACGGGGGAAACTAAAACCCAGCTATAAAAAAAATTACCCACATTTTTGCCACATATGTTGTCGCTTACAATAATGAGTCACTCGGTTGGGAAACTGCCCAAACAGTTCACTCACAGGTTAAAATGAATGGTTAGGATTATTGTGGTAATTGCCGGGGCCCAGAAACATCTGGGGACTAAAACAATATTGACATTTTTTCTTTTTTTCTTTTTTTTGCATGGATTTGATTTGTAATTTTAAGTCGGTAGATTTCTGGGAAGTTTTACTTTCAATATATTTAAAGGGACTAAAATCTCATGAGTGACATTTGATTTGGCTTACTTTTAGTACTGACTTCAAAAGTGTAAACATTTTCAGTATAGAGGAAAATTTTTTAAAAAAATTCTATTAATTTAATGTTTTGTCTATTTATTTGGTTCTTAATATGAGCATGAAAAAAAAACAATGTTTGAAAAAAATTTGTAGTCATTTTTATTTGATTTCTTCACAAGAAAGTATCATTTAGGGAAAGATTGCCATATAAGAAGTTCACTAATTTTCCTCTGTATTGACTAACAAGCCCCCAGATAGCAATTTCATGTCATCAAAGTCAATTTGAGCAGTGAGAAAATACAAGCATTTTCTTACAAAACACTTAGAATTTTTCAGTCCAATCTCATGGGGTTTGTACACAGGGTGTTGAGTGAACTTCGTATATGGAAATCTTTCCTAATTTAGAAAAGAAATACTGTAAAGATACTTCAAATACAAGGAAAAAACCGAAAAACTCTTTTCTATCAGTCGTTGTAGGGTACATAAAATGTACATGTTAACTCTGCTTATACTACAGTAAAACAATTTATATGAAGAGACTGTCTTGTTCTGTTTGATTAAATTGAGAATTATTTTTAAAAATAAGTATATCAATTTTTTTTTTTAAATACATGTATGTACGCAAACGTTCAATTATGACACTGCGACACAGTTTTCCTGAGGACCACCCATGCTTTTTCAATGAACTTAGAAAACAGTGCTAACCCAGACGACAAGAACTTTACCCCAGACAAAAATATGCCAGTACTCATACCTGGAATGTTTTGATGTGGTAGGCTCTCCACTGACCACAACAAACCAAAAAGTTAAAAAGAGATTCCATGTCATGGGTGAGTCATAGGACTGGACATTCCAAGCCTCCAGGTGTGATATGGGCAATAGAGTCATTTGCAATTTTTGGAGACGGAAAACAAACATTTGTGGTCAGCATTACATCAACTGTTTATGCAACGTGGTCTGGGTTGGGGAAATTGGACAACCAAAAACAACAGGTCTCATGACCAGTGACAATTATACATTGATGATTTTTTTTTCGGACAGCAAAAGTCTTTGTACTTCAAAAATATTATTGGACATGAGCCCAACTAGTTCAGTATTATTTATAAATCTTATTATTTTTAAATGATTCGTAAAATACTTTAGAAAGACACAATATGCCTACCAAATGAATACAGTACCATTCTGGCCGGAAAAAAATCTTAATTTTAGACTCTATTTTCAAGGTAGGATATGTATTTTCCCAATGTTCAGATTGTTAGCTAGGTCTACATTAATTTAAACTGACGCTAGTGACAGTGACTGACATTCAATTTAACTTAGAACAATAACATTGTCTAAACATGCTAAAGCAGCCAACAAAATTAAATTAAAGTAGAGAGTCATGCAAATCACTTTCGTTCACACATTTTATAAATAAGGAAGTTTTCCGAAGGCAAGCATATTAATTCAATTTCAACAATCACTTAAAATTTGTTGAGAAGAAATAACACTCGAAACAAAACCAAAATCGAACACGAATTCATGACACAAACTGTCAAACATGTTCAAATTTTGTTTGAAAGTACTTAAACATTGGTCAATAGTCTCCTTAGTTTCTTGTGTCTTCATTCTCTGTGTAAAAACAGTTACCTTAACGGTGTTGTAGTCTTTGTTTAAAGTGTTTACTGAACCGTGACTGACTGACTGCTCGACAACTTACCTCTTCCAACTGGGCAACAACGTTGCGACAGGCTCCCATTTTCCCCACGAAACTCGACGTGGTTGGCGAATTAAGATCCTCATTTGTCTCATTTACGAACTCCAAAACGCTGATTAATTCCGGCATGTTGCTGTCATGGACACTCTCTGTCAGCTTTTGCCGCTGGCAGGGTGTTTAGTTGTGAACAAAAGTGTAAATTGTTCTCACTTTCGAGTCGTCAGAGGTGTGTGCGTTAGCGGAAATGAACAACCCACTCGACAAACCTACATCCTAATCCTACGTACGTACAGTTTGAAATAATAAAAAAGTAATGATAGTCGGATACCGCATCATTCCCATGACGCTATCCTGTCATGGAGGAAACAGTCCTCAGACTTGACAAGAAATTAATGGAGTCTTGAATAGCGCCCTCTTTTGGCCAAAAACAAATTTCGGCGCTAAAACTGAAAGGAAAAAGTCACCAAAAATGTAAATTCAAGACAATAAAGAAATCAACACGGTTATTTTTAAGAACAAAGGCGCAAATTGAAACTTTAAAGTCAGAGTTAAAGGAGAAATTCTTCAAAAAATGAAAAAAAAATGAAAATAAAGTAAGTTGCGTTTAGTTTGAAGCGCGCCCTCTTTTGAATATAAATAGCACCTTGGACCGCCCTCTCTCGGTCTCTCCTGTCACGTCAACTTTCGCGGATTTTTTGTGATCATAGCTGTGGTTGGGATTTCCTCTTTATTTTGATTTAACAAAATTTGTATTCTCTAATTTATCTGTATTTTTCATTACCTGTTAGATCACAAGAGGTGGCTTAACAATCGTTTCGTTTTTTGCCTTTAAATTTATGGGAAAATGGGAATATCATGCGCGGCATGCCAAATCAAATTGTTGACATATCACATATCACATGGTGCTGTGTTGACAGAAATGTAAACAAGTCTAAATACCAGAGTAATCGTGGTAATGTTTACAATTTTGGTAATCGTGTAGTTTAGGACACTTCTTGGTATGTTTGACAAATTACTTTCAAAAATGTTCCCTCTTTCTACAAAATTAAGCTAGCTGACATGGTATCGTACTCGTCGTAACGAACTATTTCAGTGACTTCCTGCTTGTATCATATCCAAATGTACAAGGCCTAAGTCCCAAAACGAGTGTGTTTTCATTCTCTAGAGTCTTATATGGAACGGGGTCCCTAACCTACACGATTATCACAATTTTTCATAATTAATTCTTGGTCTAATTTCGTTTTATGTCTTTCTTCTTAGGCATACTTTTACTAGACTTTTCGGCAGGCAGTTTCGTGAATTTGAGAATCGTCACTCCAAGATGGCAGGAATCGCCAATCTGTCGATGGTTGATAACGCCCTCCGCAGTGTGGACAAGGTGGTGTCCTACATCACCATCGGAATGGAAGACATCATAGAGGTGTCGCTTGATCTTGCCGAATCGGCAACAGAAGGTGAGCGAGTGGTGTAAATTCCCCCCCCCCCCCCCCTCCGAGCCTATGCCACTCACCCGCAAAGCCCCCCCCCCCCCCTTGTACCACTGCTCAAAATTTAAAGGAAGGTATATTAAATGGGCATTCTATTGTTAAAATTAAAAATCCCGAAAAGTATTTGCAAAAGTGTCGAAAAAGTGGAAGAATTCATCTGGCATCTCAGACAATCTACCCTCTTAGAAAAAAAAGCAGCCTCCTTTTTTCAAAAAGCCCAGACGAGAAACTGCATTTTTTTCTTGGCCTTCAACAGGAGATGGTACGGAAGGTCACTTGGAAGAATTGAAGAAAATGATGGAAGAGTATGCCTCTATGGAGCAAGATGTCCATCAGTACGTCAAGGCAGTCAAGCAGGTCAAAGGCCAGGTATGGAACGCCAAGTGGAACAAATTTCAGCTATGACCAAATTCTAATCAAAGTTTATCAAAGAAAGAACCAATACTAAGTTGTAGACCTGGAATTTTGCTTGTAAAATTAAAGGCAATTCGATATTTGTTGGTGGAGGCTTTTAATGCTTTTAATGCTTTTAACCAGTTCACGCCGGGATTATTTGGCAAGAACGAAACGAGGCGCGGGATTACTTTTCACTCGACCTCAAGCCAGGCGGGTTGAAGCCGTCACCCTCGGGCAGCACACTCATATTTCCGGCCTCGCTCGATGCGAGCGGGTTGCTGACAGATATTTCCGGCCTCGTCCCTGCGTGTTTATCTGTCATCCGTTCCGAATACAGCCAAAATCTTTGCAGGTATGTACGTCATCTGGCGCGAACTGGTTAAGAAAATATAAAGTTGCATAATTTGTGTGTTGTCTCAGATACAAAGATTGGGAATCGAGGAACAGATGAAAGTTGAAGTTTCGGATCTCGTTGAGGAGGCGGTTGCAGACATCCAAAAGACCGGCAGCGAAGAGACGTCGGCCAGACACGGCAAGGTAGATGAACTCATACGAAGGATGTGGCACTACAGAAATGCTGGTATGTAACATCTCTTTCCTTTGCGATTTTCAAAGGAAGGCATTGTTTAAGAAAATCCAACGTGACATCATCACCCCTCATGAATATTCAATTAGTTCTCACGAAGTGCTTGTGAACCTCTGAGGAAGATGCTGTTAACAGAGCGACCAACTTTTCACAAGTTCATCTTTATCGTAATGTTTATTCCCATGCAGGGGAGAGCATGCCCTCAACAAGCGCGCAACACGGCGACGATGATGTCGTCATGACGCAATGCGAGGTGTCGACCGTTTGTCCAATCTCACGGTGCGAAATGACGGACCCGGTCACCAACCGACACTGCCAACACAACTACGAGCGGGTGGCCATCATGCAGATTGTGAGAAACCGCAAAAATGCAAAGTAAGAATGAAACAAAAATCTTTTGTTAAAGTCATCAAATCAACAGCATCTGGTGCCAGGGTGCCCTCTATTGAACCATGTGGATTTGCGATCATGAACACCCATGGAAACGGTCGCATGTCGCTCTTGCGTTAATTGCCAGCAGAATTAAAGTTTGCGTACAAGACACTTGAGTCGCGTCAGCAAATTTTTATCCGCATGACCTTTGACCTGGACTACGTCATCGGGATACCAAATTGGCTTATTGCCTCCGTACAGAAGGCAATACCGCCCTCTATAGGTCAAGCACAAAGTCAATTGAAATTTGTTTGAACTCTGTGTTTATTTCTCATTTGCCAGGTGCCCTGTGATTGGCTGTGGCAACCAGATTCCGATCACCAAGGCGGACCTCGTAGACAACCGACAGCTCAAGAGGTTCATCGAACACAGAAACAGACAAGAAAACCGATCCTAGGACAAACAGACTGGTTGAAAGGGGGACGGAAAAGAAGGGGGAGGGGCTTTAAGAGATCCAGGGGGAGGCATTTGGAAAGCCAAACAAGACGCCAAAAATAGCAAAGATTAATTTTTCAGTTCAATTTAAAAAATCGACCTGGAGAGGAAGGCAGGAATTAGTAATAACTGCTGAGATTTTAAAGGTGCAGTCTGATGATTGTCTTTTGTGAATAATGAGCTTTAATTTAATCAAGCTTTAATGCAAACAAATGGTAATACTGTCACATGTAACTGTCATGTGATTTAAGTTCGGTCAGGGGTCATTCCGGATAATCAAACGCTCATCGAAGGCGCATGAACACGCACGTACGGAGCTGATGTTTTGTTTTAACATTTGTTACAACTTTTCTTGAAGTTTTTGTATGTTTTTATAAATAAACTTGTTCTAAAAGAAGTTTAAATGATATTTTGAGATGTGTGTGTTTCTTTTGAGGTGTCTTATTTGAATAAAATGTCTGTCTGTGTTGTTTTGTTTTAACATTTGTTACAACTTTTCTTGAAGTTTTTGTATGTTTATATAAATAAACTTGCTCTAAAAGAAATTTAAATGATATTTTGAAATGTGTGTGTTTCTTTTGAGGTGTCTTATTTGAATAAAATGTCTGTCTATCAATAATTCAGAATTGGAAAGAAAGAAATGTTATTTTTTTTCGTGACATAATAGTACATGTACATATAACTACAGTAGTAGAGTTCACTTATTTTAACAGTGCAGTGTTATATGATGAACCCATGAACAGTAATGAATATTGAACCAGATTTGCTTGGAACTTCAAACAGTTTTAATAAAATGTGATAATGGTAATCTTAATTTCCTTTCATATGAAATATGTTTTTCTGCATGTTAATTACTATACATGATTAATTGGGAACGGAGTGCCTCTTTAATATTAAGCAGCCGGCGTTTTACGCTGGTACCCTGTCGACCACTATGTGGATTTCAATGTAAATCTGATCTTTGCATGCAACCCACCACCAGCGACAATTCTTTCCAGAAATCAAAATGGCGTCACAGAGCAGAGGTAAATTTCGCCGGGATATTCTTCTACTGATTTTGACTGAAACCGTACCGATCAAAACTTTGCTTTTGCTGTTAAAAGATTTGTTTAGATATGTAGCTTCAACATTAGATAGTATTGTGAATTAAATTCCATCACTTTTTTCAGGAAACTTTCTATACAAACTTTTCAAATTGATCGCAAGCGTATTTCATTTTCACTCGGGGCCTTGGCCTACCTCGTTTTTGCGACTGCCGGGCCGCGCAACCGAAAACGCGGGGGGGGGGGGGGATACTTGGGGGATACGTAAAACTGGTCTGAAGATTTGACGATTTTTTTTCGAGATAAAACATTGCATTGTAGGCCTATGCGACTATGCGTGCAAAAGCATAGTGGGGTACAAGCAAAATTAAAGCAATCGTCGTGTTCTGAAGTTATATTAAAAAAAAAAAACGTTGGCGGTTGGGACAGCAAAGTGTTTAAACATTGTTAAACTGGTGTCTTGTGTTGTGGGGTTGTGTGTTCAAACTTTTGTGCGATGAAGCTTAAAGTTTCCATCTCTTTTTGATTGGACTTAAAATTGCACAGAATGCAGATTCGGTTACCACGTCCCCCCCCCCCCCCCCCCTCCCATAGCCTTGTGCATTTATCCGATGCTTTTATCTCAAAAAGAAAAGTCATCGAATCTTGTTGTGCACATATGCAGTTGGAATACAGAACTGGCATATTGTCGTCATGATTGTTCTCGTGTATAAATCATGGAGAGCGTTCAGACTCATTAAATTTTTACTCATGTAAAGTTTTCACACTTTGTAGTTCACCAAGCTGACATTTGAATTTTGATGTTTATTAATATTATTACCTTACATGGAATAGGCCCAATGGAATCTCTTGCATCATATTGCCGATATTGATAAATTACTTTAAAAACTGAATTTTATCATTTTGCAGGACTTTGGGAAGGACTGCGAAAATGGTATTACGCCAGAGCTGGATTTAACCAATTAGGTTTGTAGTAAGAATTCTGTTGGGAAAGAATGTTGCATCTTGACGCCACTTCAGCGGTTGTGTACAAAGTCTATGGAGAGTCAAGACAATTTTTCAAGTATTTCCTAACAAAATTTGGAAATGTTTTTCAGTCCCAGATTCATGTCTTATCGTCATTTTTGCAATGACTGACCTACATTGAGATGATATATAAAGAAAAAAGTGGGGTCAGGTTGCAACATGTTTCCAATACTTTGAAAAGGCACTCGACTCTCCTTAGACTTGGTACACGACCTAAGAAGTTGCGTCTGGATACTACATTTTTTCTTTCTGTTGGAGTATTTCTTACCTTCAAGTTGTTTTGATGCCATGTGTGGCATCTGAAAATGCTTCAGCTGTGGTAAATTATGATATATTGTGAAGCTGGAACTCGAACCCAAAGCTGAAAATCAAACCAAGATTTCGTAAATGCTCTATTGCACCTTGTGAACTAAGGCCTACCTAAACTTGTGGTAAATGCAGTGTCAATGATTTGCGCATAAAATTTAAATATTAACTTAGGACTTAAAAGATTTGTTCAAGTGCACCACATTAAGGAACACTCAACCAATTTTGTGCCCAATTTCCGGCAGCCACCGTGTCTGAATTTCGCACTATATTTCATGACACTGAAATTTTTAACAAAGGTTCAACAGCAAGCATTATTAACCCTTACCGCCCTGAATCCTTCAAAATCCTCTTTGCCAAAGTGGAGGAATTTGGAGGATTGAGGTTACATGGCAAAAGTGCGTTACTGATTTCGTAGGATGAGCTTTGTCAAGGTCTTGGGCCAGACCTTGTGTTGTTTTTGCTCAGCCATGCATAAATGTAGGCCTGGATTATGCTTGAAATCCTCCGCACTGCTCCAGGATGTCACTAGCATAGCCTCAACATATTGACAGTCTCTGCCGCAGGATTTTGCAGGATTCAGGCAGTGGTCACCCCTCCACGGACCATATTCAAGAAATAATGGAGGAATTTGCAGGATTGAGGCTATATGCTATTTTTCCATGAGGCCAGTTGGAGGATTTTTTTCAGGATTTAGGTTGCATCCTAGCAAAAATGCCTAGGGCGTTGAGGTTAAGGTAAACATACCAGTATTTAACTGAATGAATTTGAAGTTTGTCAACAAAGAAGTTTGGCAACACTGCATGAGAAAAGTCGGGGGAAACGTTGAAGTGCACCACGTAAGGAAACACCACTATGTAGGGTAATGTGGAATGCATAAACAGCTTAGTTACTAATTAGTTGTAATACAAGTCGTCAAGTGCGGTATAAGGGTTAGTACCTCCCCATAGTTGATAACAAGGTAGCTTTTGTTTATCTTTTTGACAGGACTCCTGCGTGATGACACACTACGCATGACGCCTGTCGTGTCGGAAGCCCTACGACGCCTGCCCGAGGAACAGTACAACGAGAGGGCGTTCCGCATCAAGCGAGCGTTTAACCTGTCAATTAGGCACGGTGTCCTGCCCAAGGAAGAATGGACAAAATATGAAGAGGTAACTAACTTTGTGCCACTGAAACTTTATCAACGGTGTCCCTGCATCCTTTAAAATCCACTAGGAAGTTTTAGAACATTTTGTAGGATTGAGGAAGAAAAGTTATGTAGGAATATAGATCTCTCTCATAGTACATTATCTTCGTAGGACAATTACAACTGCGTGTTCAACACCATCAGTGTGCAAAATGTTCTGAACACGCGCGCATGTTGCTAGAAATTTCTGTGAAATACGGCGCAGCTAATGCGCGCCACAATGCGTGTGTCAACCTGTAGGAAGTGACCTCATTTAAGAGAGACCTATTGTCAACGTGTATGTGTATCAATGTGTATCAACGCATTATGCAGCCAAATTTTAAAAAAAATTGGAAAAAACTTACTCGTCAACAATTATGTGCCTGGCGTTTTATCGCTTTGGACTTGATAAACCCAATTGGACGATACACTGTCATGTGACTGACGGGTGTGATGTTGACGGTTACTAGGTTCAGTATGCACATTTTGTTATCGAATTTAATTCCAAATTTAGTCAAGTTTCACGAAAGCCATTCCTTTCGGCAGTTTAGTTCAAGAACATAAATTGTAGAAGACAGGTTTTCAGAAAACTCGGGCCCATAAAAGTTGTTTGTTTACATAAAAGTTTTCAACCTGGATTTGCCAGAAGGTTATTATTTTGGTTTTATCCTTTTTTTCTCTTCCAAATCAGGACGTCCGTTACTTGAAACCCTTCATGGATGAAGTAGAAAGAGAATTCAAGGAGAGGAAAGAATGGAACACCCGCTAGCTTCGTCCTCGAAAAAAAGTCCTTTTTCTGTTCCCGTGCCAGAATCAGGCCTCCCTCCTTTTGAAAAAATGTATTATAGTTTGTTTTTTCGACACCGATTTAAAACTGATCAGAAGTTGACTAAAAAGATCCTTTGGGTGTATTTACTGTTGATGTTTTAAGAATATAGGGGGAAATGAGTGAATGTTAGTATAAGCTCATAAATGAAAAGCTGCATGGTCTAATGGAAAAGAAAAAAAAGTAGTTGAAGAATTGTTACTTAAAAACACAGGGTTGTTTAACGATTTCTTTAGCCACACCCCCTCCCCACTTAAAAAGACGTAATTTGGCAGCATTTATAGCAGCAGAAGCGAATCTGTTAGTTCATGGTAACAGTTATCAAGAATCATAAACACCACACATGAATTTGTCTACATTGTACACCACCGTTGTAGTTTTTTTGTGTGGAAAAGTAACTCTTTAATTCATGCAATATTAAGCTTTCACTATTGAAACATATAGTATGCATCCAGATTTTGTTTGCAAATTATTTAATAATAATACGACGACACCCTGTGTTCAAAGTTTACATTTGGCAACCAAACTTTTTAAAGAATTACCTTAAACCTTTACCCTTTGTGTTGATTTTCATGTATCAAGTCAAAATTTTATGAGATTTAGTTTCCGCTTGAAAAACGTCCCTCAAATGAACAAGTTATGACTGTGTTATCCAAATATAACTTTGCTGTGTTGATTACTAGAATAAATAATTTTGTTTGAGAGAAACAGATGCATGTATGCAGCGCAAATATGTGTTTCATTTTAAACAAGCTGTGTGTCATAACTTAAGTCCAAATTTTATGAGATTTAGTTTCCGCTTGAAAAACTACCCTCAAATGAACAAGTTATGACTGTGTTATCCAAATCTAACTTTGCTGTGTTGATTATTAGAATAAATATTTTGTTTGAGAGAAACAGATACACGTATGCAGCACAAATATTTGTTTCATTTTAAACAAGCTGTATGTCATAACTTAAACAGCTGTACTCAATTGTTGACTAACTCTTGGCTAAGAGTTGAAAGAATGCCAACAAAAATGCAGCAATAGCTTAGTATGATGTTAATATATATATATACATTGTAGTCAACACTGTTATGCATGAAGTACCTGCTATATTTCGAGCCTTTTCAAGTTGCACATGCTTTAACAAAACTGAAGCTTCGAAAATTCTGTAGATTGCAAAACAAGCCTCTTTTATACACGGGACACAAGGAGCACCAATATTGCCTCCCAGTTGATGCGAGACAAATGCCTTGTCTAATGAGTACTTGGTTGTACTGTTGGCAGAAACAACTGTTGGCAGAAACAACCGAAGACAAGTCTAATCGTCTATATCCTCATCTTAGAATAAACAAATTATTATTCAAACAATCATTTAGTTACAGTTAGTCCCCTTCTAATAGTACAATGCCTTTCTAACAAGGGCCCATTGCTTGTGAACGAAATAAATACTCTTTCAAAAAAATCACCAAGGCCCAATTTCATGCAGTTTATGGAATATCCCATTGCACAGCACGGGTCTATAATAATGCAGATTCGGCGATTAATAACGCAAAACAAGCCTGTGTCCTGACCTCAAGATTCTGACCATTCAGCGAACGCCTTCTATCAGGTCTTCCGTAACACATTGTATATTACAAAGACTGTGAAAGACATGGCACCCAAATTGACCAATCCACAGCTTAGTCCACATTTCTGATAGAAATCACGCCACAGTCCCTAAAACCACTCCGATTGGTTGGCGCGCGGGGTCGCATAAAATGTACATGCTCTATTAACAATTGTTGACTGCTGTGATGTGGGATATGACGTTTTGAACACCCGAGGGGGGCTATGCGCCCGAGGGTGTTTAAAACGTCATATCCCACATCACAGCGGTCAACAATTGTTTTGTTATACCTCTGTCTTGGATTCTTTGGATTTTGATGTAAAAATCACAAAAACAAACAGCAGTAAACACAACACTCAAACGCCAACTAACATGTATGTCGCATGCTCGGAACAGCCTCGTCTGCAAGTTCGCTGCTCCCACTCATGTGTGAAAACATGTTGAAAATAGCGTGGGTACCAACGATATAAGCGTTTCACACCGTATCGTACGCAAGTCATTAGCACACTCCCTGTGGGATATCCACAGGGAGTGTGCCATAACTTTTTAAAAACTTTAACGTGATCGTTCTAGGCCAATGAAAATACAGTATTCAAGACAGAGGTATAACAAATGATAATATCAGACGTTAAACCGTGGCTCTGCCCACGTTAATGTCGGATCCTCAGACTAAATTTCATGCTGAAGAGCTGAAAAAGTGCTTAGCAATATGCTACTTCGCAAAAAATCAGCAGAGAACCAGTTCAAAGCGGTCTGCATAACATGCCCACTAAGCTTTGGCTGGTAACCAAACAAAAGCCTAATGAGCACTTCCATACAACTGGCCCTAGACCAATATCACTTAACCCCTGAGCAGAAACAAAAGGAAGCTTGGCAATTTATATGCTTAGCAAAAATGAGTTGAGAACCAGTCGCAATAATTATACATGGCGTGTAATTTGGCTGGTAACCTAGGCAAGAAACACCTCCATATAATGGACCTATGAATTAAGCCCCGCCCACTGCGCACGTTGGAAACATACAACACCTGCAGCTGCGCCTAGCCTAGCCTCTCCATTGGGCTTTATTCACGAGTCGGCCATATTAAATTGAAAGCGAGGTAAAATCTTCATTTCTGAAACTTGCGAATAGAAATGAAAGCAATTACATAAAGTTATTACAATTTAATACCAATCTGCTCTGATGAATTATTTAAAATTTGTGATTAAATACACCTAATGTTTAAAGCCACATTTTAAGTTAAATTGAAAGTGAGGCTAGAATGCTTAAATAGTCTGGCACCATCCCTTTCAACAGTTCACAATTTATAAAACAAGTTATTGAGAACACGACCAAAAATGGCTTTCTCGTGATACACTGCCACAAGGCATGTTCAAGCCGCCAGCGTATTGAGTCTGACTTTTGTGCACGCATGACGGACGCAGCCTCGCGTACTCCACGGGCGCGTGTGCGTTCCTTCACTAAGATCGCGCAAGGCATGATAGGAAACAACATGGCGTAACAAGATTGTACCCATGGAAACGAGGTTGTGACGGACGTTAATCAAGGCCGTGATTGATCAGAGCGTCACGGGGCAGGGCTTGTTGGTCCCAAGTTGGCTACAGTTCAGTCACGGTCGTCTTGCGCGTAGAGGTGCTGCTGTTACTCCCACTTCGGTGTTTTAACATCGGCCGCGTCGAAGAACGAGTGGAGTAGGAACTAGAACCTTTCTCGGTTCTTCCAGCATAGAGCAGGTTCTTCCAGAGGCGCCAGACTTTCTTGTTGCAGATGAAGGAGAGGAAGATGAGGAGCCCCTGGCAGGAGTTGAGGATGATGAAGATGTACCAGAGAGCGGTGACGTCACTGAATGCCGCTGCAAAGCCAAAGATCCACGTGAAACCCATCAGACTGGAAATCTAGGAAAAAGTTTGGATAGTTTGAAAGCAAGAGTAGATGTTATCAGAAAGGATTGCCATGATGTCATGGATGAAGGAAGTATTGTGTACTGCCAAAAGGTGTCCATGCTTCGTTGATGTCTAAAGCCACATAATACAGGGTGAGTAAACAGCCCAAAACCCAAATGTCGGGACCACTGTTTTAATGATGTTCTGCATGTAGCACTTTCAATATCTAGAATATTAAAGCCCAATTCACTAAGCTTTCTTATGGTACAAGAATCTTATGGTTACACAAGAATTATTCAAATCACTCATGCATTTCAAGTAACGGAATTTTAAACACAACCACCATTTTAAAGTTCTGTCCACGGATCACAAAAAGGTACATTCATCCCTATGTGAATTGTTGTCGTTTTGCTGGAGAACACTTACCTTTTTGTGATCCGTGGACGCAACTTTATAAAAGTGTTACATGCATTACTTCACTAAAAAAAATGGTCCCGACATTTGGGTTTCGGGTTTTTTTTACTCACCCTGTACAATTTTTTTTACAAAGCCTGAGAAAGGTAACATGCAGTGTTTTGCAATGATGGCTCCATCCAAGAAATCAAATTTCAGGAAACGGAGGTACACCAACACAAGAGAGACTATGAAGACCAATATAGATCACATATGGTAGGGCCTATTGACTAATGGCAATGACTGCTTGTCCACAATAATGTCAACAGGCAAGCGTAACAAAGTCCAAATCTCTTGGTTTCATGAGATAGTTTATAAGGGCTTTCAGGAGGTGAAGGGCAACTCAAATGATTCTCACCTTTATGTAGACCATCAGCTCTTGTCTCATTCTTTGCAGCTCCGTCTTGTCAGTGTGTTTGAGAGGATTGCTCTGTTTATTCGTAGAACGTATCCCACGAACGGTGAATGCGAATAAAATGCCATTCACCACCACCACTACGCCTATGGGAACTCCAAATGCTACAAGGTTGACGTAGCCATTGCCAATCCAGCAGACATTCTCGTTGCCATACCAAAATGGAAGGTCTGTGCAACCACAGAGGTGTATCACCAAGCACGGCAGGACGATAAGCATAGCTCCTCCAAAGGCGAAAGTTACATGCAGGAGGTATATCCGCTTGTCGGAGTCAAGCCTTCGGATCTTAGAACTGTAGGCGAAAGTTTGGTTGAGGTCGAACGCCAAGACACTGGTCCAGAGAACTGTTGAAAGCCAGAAGAAGTGACCCAAGACTGCCACTGTTGTGCAAGCTGGTGGGTTGCTGGTTGCAGCGCCGCTGACTAGAAGAAGCAACTGTGCTAGGAAGAGACAAGCAACCAGAGACATTATCGCTAGACTGATTCGCTGTCTGAGTTCCTTGAAAGCACAGTATGTGATAAAAGTAACGGCTGCTGCTGACATTGAGACGATGTTACCAATCAGGCTCAGGATTTGCTGAGGTTTTGAGAAATCCAAGAAGGTAGATGTGGTGCCATTTCGGGTACCGTTGCTGTCAAAGAATGAACAAACTTGAATCCCACCACTTTCAGTTCTTACGTACTCATCACTCCTGAAAACTCTTCCCGTGCGATTGTGGATGATTGACCCTGGGTCGTTTTCGTCGGGATGGAAAAGAGAAGAGTTCAAAACCATCAAGGGACATGCCAGGGTTGGTTCGGCACAGATCTGCACGTGAGTAAACTGCTCAAATGATTGTTCTCGCTTTTGGAAGTTTGCGCGTATTATCGTCTGGTTCAGAGCGTACCAAGACGCGGACGCGTTGACGTAGACAAGGGTTGTACCATTCTGAACAGGGAGGGAGAACTGGGTGTCATTCAACCAGCGCCCTGTACATTTGTCTCTGGGTAAATGTTCACAGTGTTGTTTAAATTCTACGGACCACATTGCTTTGGCATCAAATATATGGCAATATGGAGTCGCTGGAAGGGACAACTCTTGTAATTCCTGGAAGTTCTTCAAGGGTTCGCCAGTTGAACTGGCAAAGAATGAATAAGCGACACCCCTTGGACAATTAATGGTTGGTTCAGGGGTGGAAGCTGCAGCCTGCAAGGTCCCCTGCTCAAATCCAAGGAAATCTTCAAGACACAGCTGAATGTCTCCAATTCGTTGAGCATCTTCATCCTTTGACAGACCTCCCAGACAATCACCAAAATTGACTGTTAATTCAACGATCATGTCGACATTGTCCCCACAGCCATGCCCCAAGACATTTATGTCTGGGACACACTGATTGTCCTTGAGAAGGTAGCCGTTGGGGCACGACAATCGACGGCAACGCGAGTCGAAAGGATCGTAGACCTCATTCCGAGGACACTGGACTGTCTCTGCAATCTGAAACTCTCTACCCTGAACGATCTTAACATCGCTACTAGCTCGAAAATCAAAGAGAATAGAAATTGGTGGAGACATTCTACCCATTGGACGTGCACCAAGAAGCTGATCATCTGTTCCACCAAAAGTTCCACCATGAAAGCTCGGAAACATGCCTGATAGGTAGAATACCGGAAAGTCTCTGCTGCAGTCTGTAGCATACTCCACTCGGTCAGGCCCATTGGGGAGGTTGCAAAGAGCACAGTGCGGGTTTCTGAATAGCTCCAGACTTCCTTGGCCATCCACCGTCGTGAGTGCCGTGTAAGACGCGCAGGCGTCACTCAGTGGATCCTGCTGCGTTGCGCAGCGACCTTTGACATCCGGATAACACGCGCGTGCCGTCTTCGTGACGTCGTCCATTTCTGGGGCGCGGATGATGACGACACACCCGAGTTCTTGCTCAATCCGATCGAGATTTTTTATGGAACTTAGCAGAAGTTCTCTCGCCGTTTCGTATTGCCACGGATTGAGATCACAGTCAACGACGACCTTCCATGGGATAATGTCTGCCATTCCTTCCCCATGACAGAGGGCGCAATACACATTCCTGAAATGCAAACTGCTGTTCTTGCTATAGCAGGGAATCGCAGCCAGCGCGTCATCGGCACCAGGGTCTTCGCATGAAACAGCCGTCTGGGCGTCAGAATCTTCAGGACAGACACTGACAAGAAGGTAGGTGCTTGCTAGAAACTTACGAGATGAAACGCAGGAGAAACTGTCACGCTGTCGAAATGAAATCCAGAAGCTGTTATCAGTTACAGAATAGTAGATAATGTTCAGCGTAATTGACAGGAAACCGATCATACAGGGTTAGATTATCTCAATGAAGTTTCAATTCAAGGCCCATTTCTGTATCAGAAACCTATTAAAATTGTTATGGAGATTAATTAAACCTCGCGTCATTGGACACTACAAAATTCACCTGCTGCGTTGAGTAAGGCCTACTGCGTGCATTTCATAGTCCCGACCTCATAAATTCTTTTTGAATGCCCGAAAGTCGACATCTACAATACCAAAGGGAGGTATATCGCGGTACATTAAAGAGCTGTATACAGATGGCTGCGAGTGTCATATTCAAGTTCTATCTGGACACCAAGAGATTTTATTTCTAGACACCAAGAGATAATTATTTCTAGAACAGCATTTTGTTACCGCACAAATTTAAAGGTCCAATTTCAGCGCTAAAGGCAGTTCGACAATAAAAAATCATCCGGGCTCTCTACAAAAAATATGCATTGGTTCAATATTTTCTCTGGAAGTATACAAATCCCCGAGAAGAAACATAAACTGATAATTGACATCCTGCAGGAGTCCTTAATGTTGATATACAACTTTTGATTTTGCAGTAAGTTTCAGAAATGAATGGATTTTGGGGTTCGTATTTTATCGCATAAATATTGTAACACTGACTTGTTTAAAGTTTTGTGTTCATAGATTCTGGAACACCAAGAAAAGATGCCGTTCTTCACTCAAAAAACAACTTAGTCAAAATATTGACTGGTTTTCCTAGTTATTGAAAATTGACTAGGAATTTAGTTAAACATGCAAAGCTTCATATTTTGACTGGAAAAAGTAGTTGGGTTCGACTCCAATTTCAGTTTCTTGCATAACTATTTTTCCAAAGTCAATAATACTGACTGGAAAAATCTAGTCAGATTGACTGATTTTCAGTTGCACCCAGCTGACCCTGAATGGCCTGTCAAATTTGACTGGTTTCTAGTCAAATCTGACTAATGCTTTTTTAGAGTGTTGTAGTCTCGTTCCCTGCCCTACTTCAGACGAAATAGGAGCGATTTATAGACGTCCGGGGGAACTGTCAGGTCAGGGAACCAGACTAGCTGACATGCACCAAAAAGTCAGGATTTTTCAAACGATTGTCGGACCATCGTTGGAAATTGATAAAAAAAACCTTGCAAAGTGTTCTTGAAAACGACAGCACACCAGGTGCCATGATTTCACAGGATGCTTATTTCACAATAATTTGGTAGTTTTGTTTTCTTATGTTTGCAAATGTTGTACATGGATATTACCTTTAACTAAACATGTAATGATAGTTGAACCTACCTGGCAAGCATTTCACACGACATAATTAGAACGAAACAGAAATAAGGTCATATTTTCTGAAGCGGGTTTATGGACACGCAAATCATGCTATGAAAGTTGTTTAGAAATCAAATCCTCGAAACCAACCTCGATTTTCACATTTCTTGTATCGGTGCTTGGTGATGTTTGCTCCCCACACGTCGCTGCGTAGTCGTGACAGCAGTCGTCGTAGAACACGCAGGCTTGGTCGCAATGGCAGAGAGGAGGCATTTCGTGGCGTGCCACACCGAAAAAGAAAGACGGGCCGCAACCAAGACTACTGCAGAAATGCTTGTCAGTGCACAGACCCACAGATGTATTCGTTAAAGTGATTGTAGTGACTGCATCAAACGAGAAAATGTAAACATGTCTATGAGCAAAGATATAGCCTTTGAAATTGATGCTCTCTATGGAGAAGTAACCGGCATATGTTATGTCCCTTTAGGTATTTGTATTTCGAGCACACGGACATATATTTTCTTTAAGTTTAAGCATTGTGTAGGATATACGGAAATATATTCTCTGAAACCAAGGTTAAATGATCAAATTTCAATAGCTTTAATGGTTTAAGAAGCTTCAAGCACGTGGCACTGAGAAGCACTGAGAAACCGGAAGTAGTAAAACATGGAGGTTGCAATATCCATTTTCAACTATCGGCCTCTTTCATGACGATGAAAGAGGCCGATAGTTGAAAATGGACTGTGTGATGCACAGTCTCCCGTTCACTGGTGCATTCACCTGTGTATGGCATTATGTATGATGAATTGATTGGAAAACCAAAATATAACCAGAAGGTTTTCGAAAGATATTGCAGAGTCAGGAATGTACAGTGGAGAACATCCAAGATGGGACTCCTGCAGGGTGAAGAATTTGAAGGATTCAGAAAGAAGCAAAAGTTTCCGAGTAAGAAATTATGGTTTATGAATCTCTTAATGTCATGTCAATATCTGTGCCTCCAACCAGGAAAGGAATGCAACTCCGGCGGAGAAATTATACAAACTCGCGTGGCATCGATTTACGATTTGTACCTAAAATTTGCCTTTAAATAGAAGTTAGGTTATAATTCGATTGGTATGAATCATACCGTACGGTATGCACACACACTGGGGCGCGCGGTAACAACAGAGCCGGGCTGTCATCAATGGAAGTCTTGAGGTCACTTTGTGATTGGTGAGATGTAACCTTCGCGCTTTGGTATAGCATGGAGCTGTGTTTATAGCTCCATGGGTATAGTCAGCACGGGAGGAATGCGGCACGCGCCGGCGGGTGTTTACATTGGTATGCACTGTACTGTATACCTCGTTTGTTAAAAACTGCCAACTTGTTTGTTGGCACTATTTCGTATGTTACTGTTAGTGATAGAAACTCAATACAGCCAGCCGCCATGACGCTCAAGAGTCAAAGTACCTTACACAAAATTATTTCACATTTTCCAGGAAAGACGCTGCTATACCATTTCTCCATTGGATGAGGGGTATTGGAGTCATGCTATTACTATTTTGATCAACATTTTAAATGATATTCAGTCCTAATGAAATTAGTGGCTGTGTTTCGAATCCTTCATTGACCCGACATATTAAAAGCGAAAGAAGCAAGTTGGGACAGAAAGATAACCTTTCTCTTTTCACATATATACCTCACTGAATTAAGCTCGAAACAAGGAAGAATATATAGTGTATAAACAAACCTTGTAAATAATTTTTAGATTAAATTTACTGTTGTACTCTTTTTTTGTTTTAATCAAAGTCAAAAACCTCGTAACTGCCAAGTGGTAGTTCTCTGTTATTCTCTTGGCCCTGTTGGCCCATGGAGGAATATTTCTTATTCCTCCATGGTTGGCCACAGACAAATATATTTTGAACTTGATACAAAATAAAGGATTTTTTCCCCTGCCGTAAATATATTATTTATTTAACTGTTTTGAAGAGCTAGGAAAACGGATACGCAACAAAGAGGCCATTTTCTTTATTGCAGTCATAAATTACAAACTGAAAGTTTTTACAACCCCCCCCCCCCCCCGACCAAGACTTCCTACAATGATTGGGTAGACTTTGTACCACTAAATGGAAAATTGTGCTCTGGAGTAAAGATAGATAATAATGACATGAATGACATGGTGTCTATTTAGTGGCTGGTTAATAATAGACAAACATCTCACCATATGTCCAATATCTGTCCGATATACATATCAAATATATGTACTTTACCCAACAGCAGATTGGGGGGGGGGGGGGCAACGGGGGCCATGACCCCCGCCCCCCCCCCCGCCCCCCCCCCCCCCCAAAAAAAGAACACAGTTTTTTTTTAGTAACGTCGCAAAAAAGGCGGCCTTTGGGTACACCACCCACAAAACTCAACAAAAACAATACAATTACACCCTCTCCCCTTGCTTTTAATATTAAATTATGGGCGGCAAATTTTTGGACCACTTTTTCGGGAACAAAAAGTGTTTTTGCCCCCCCCCCCCCAAAAAAAGTGTTCTGGATCCGGCCTTGACTTTAACAAGAGTTTTAGAGGATCAGATTTTACTTAAAACATCTTGATCAGTTTTGTATGCAGCACCAACTAAAGATTGGGAAAAAAGTATCCTCACGTACAATATTTACATGATGTATGTACTCCAATACATTGTTGAACCATGGTTGAACTAAATCATGTGAATAACGAAACAAAATATAGCTCATTTTGCTCATATATTTTCATGAAAATTGAGGGAAAAATGTTGCAACCTGACGCCACTTTTTTCTTCATATATCATCTTAATGAAGGTCATTCATTGCAAAATTAAAATGATGGTATAATTATAATAATAAAGATGCATGAATCTGGGACTGAGAAACTTTTCCAATTTGGTTAGGAAATACTTAGAAAATTTTCGTGACTCTCCATAGACTTTGTACACAATCGTGGAGTGGCCTCTAGGTTGCAAAAGTTTTCAAAAATTGATTATGAACGTATTTGTTGTACAAAAAAGGTACTATTTGTAGCCCACATGTTTGTGAATGGGGAAATAGGTAAAAAATACAAACATGTATTTCCTTTAATAATAGTGTCACGTCATAACTGTGTAACAACTTACCATCGTCCGGCGGCGGATATTCCAGCATGGGTACGTCTACCCACAATGGAGGGTATGCCGTCACATCAGACGAGTTGGGTTGAGCCATGGAGCTAATCGGAGCCAAACTGCACAGCAGTTGCAACAGCACCCAGAACACAACAAGCAAAAACCGCTCACCCATCTTGCAACAAGTTCAATTCCGTGTTGTATGGTCTATGGTTAGTCAATGGACTGCCGAATGACCTTAAAAACGAACGTATACATGTACATGTACATGTACATGGGTGCTCTCTGTATGGTTATCTCATTGTAAGCAGGTATACTGCAGGAAATTGCAGCGTTAAAACGGCATTTGAAGAAAAGCACACATTGAAAGCGGAATGCGAAGTACTTTATGTACTGACTTATTATTCGGTATACGGCGGTATTACGTAATGAAACGCATAGTCGCTAGTCTGGGCGGTGGATGGAATGTGCGCGCGTGCAGGAACCACTTTTGCCTAGTTAGACTGGTAACCTAACCTCATTGAATAAGCTATTAAGGAAGTGATCGAGACTTCAAAAGGTGATCACTTTTTGACAGTTGTAGCTAGCGTGAATATCCGAAAATATGGACTCGTTGGTAGTATTGCGCATGCGTAAGCATGATAATAACCTATAAAAATGGCATATTTATAGGAGAGTGAATTGTCACGTGCAGTGGCGTATCCACGGGGGGGGGGCGTGGGGGCGACAGCCCCCCCCCCCCCATGAAACCTTGTCGGACCCCAGTCGATCGCCCCCCCCCCCCCCACTGAGATTTTGAGTTTCTAAAAAAATTATCATTGATCTACATGACGCCCCCATGAAATGTTCCAGCCCCCCCCCCCCCCCCCCCCCCCACTGAAAAATTCCTGGCTACGCCACTGGTCACGTGCGAGGGATTAACCAATAATAGGTAAAAGGAGTCCGATTTTCACAGGAGTCGGATTGTCATATGACACCGGCACCGTGGTGATTTACGTATCTAGAGCCCTAATCAATCATAAGAAAGAATGTTGATTGGCTTCAAGCATGATCCTACGTTCCCTGTCCTTTTTGGGATTGTATCATAGGAGTTTTTGAAACCTCGGTTCATTTGGAAATACGACTCCATGAAATTTATTAAGCCCTTATCTCGGGCGACTATGCCTCAAAGTGTTCGATATCCTGCTTCAAGAATATCAAATCCTATAAAGAGGCCAAACGTATATAGGCGCACTGTCCATTTCTTAAAAAAATAAATGGCTTTTCAAATGATTCTGTAGCCAGAGGTGAAGCCGAATCTTTAGATGAAGTTGGGGTTTTGGAAAATCGAAAACGTATACATACCACAGGCTGATATTAAGGCGCCCTCTTGAGACAAAGATCAGCGACTTTGGGCTGCTTCATCTTTTTTTTCTTTTTTAAAATTCATATAGATTGAAAAATATCAATCCCGCCCTATCTTTACGTCACGACACCGCCCTCTTAATGGCGCAAGATTTAACTGTTGGTCGACAAAATTAAATTTAAATACAAAAAGTTTGCATGTTCATCAGAAACGGGATGCAATATTTGCCTTACCATTTAATTAATCAATTTTATTCAGATAAATATGTACTGTTGCGATGGGTATAGCCTTTTAATTAACAATTAAATAAAGTTTCTGTTTTCATTGATGTATAAATGATGTGCAGCTGAAGAATATTACGGCTAACATAAATTTACAAAAGTGTAAATTTGTGAGTGTTATTTTTCTTAGCACAAAGAGCTCCTCTTTAAATGTCGCGTCAGAGCAAAGAAAAATAAGTACTGAAAGACTCATGCTCGATTATCAAATTAAAATAATACATTAAATTAAAATTATAACATATATACACATTATATTTAAATTATAACAATGATATCCAATGGAAATAGGTAATCTGTGCGTGCACAATCAGTTGTGGACTACAACTAGCCAATCACAGTGCACTATTGGGCTCGGTCGACTAATGAGGGCGATTTAGAATCGAACCCGTTCTAGCGCCCTCAATCATTGCCCAAATGACAGGCCAGTTTTTGCACAGTATGTCATGGTGTTCAGCAACCGAAACCATTTTCATATTTTACAATCATTGAGCACTTTCAAATAATAGTTAGCTAGTCTGCATGAGCACTAATGTTCTACAACTAGCGGCCTAAAAGTAAAGGAGCCACGCAGTATGCCGAAACCGAGGTTTTGGAAATGGCTCATCGGGCCCTGCAGGCATTGTTTGTCACGTTTAAACATGACTGGTTGCTTCTAACGACAAAGTATTGCCGCTTTTGGGTTTCAGCGGCGTGTTGGTCGTGGGTCCCGACGTCGAAGGTTTCCAGCTATCACGGCGAAGGCGGTTCCTCCAGAGGTGCCAGACTCTCTTGTTGCAGATGAAGGAGAGGAAGATGAGAAGCCCCTGGCAGGAGTTGAGGATGATGAAGATGTACCAGAGAGCGGTGACGTCACTGAATGCCGCTGCAAAGCCGAAGATCCATGTGAAGCCCATCAGACTGGAAATCTAGGAAAACAAGATCGGGATGTGGCCTTAGGCATCGAAAGTTAAGGTTAACTACTTTATTGCTGTACGTAATTGTTGTCGACTTCTTTCTGCAAAAGTTAACATCGAGTCAATCACAAATCTTATCACACAAGTCAAGTCACAGGTCAGGTCACAGGTTTTAAGGGATAATGATAAAGACATATTTCTTGAACAGCTATTCAAATGAGATATATTTAAACATATCTCATTTGAATAGCTTGTGGATTGCCTTCAGACTCAATAATCCATTTGCGACTTAATCCAATGCTTTGTACGTTTTAACCTTGCATTCTCCAGACCAAAGGGACTTTTGCAACATCACGTGATTCGGGGCAAGCCTTTATGCTAGCAACCACCAGCTCCGTCATGGTCTGGTGTCTTTTGTGCCATTCTCACCAATGGTGAACAATGTATTGGTGCTGAGCGTCTCTTACGTAACCATGCAAGAGCTTTCCCCGAATCATGTGATTAGCAACAGTGTCTTTGGTCTGGATAATTCAAGTTCAAATTTGTCAAGCATTCTGAGCAAGCCAGCGTAACATCAGCGTAAATCCCAAGGGTAGGCCCTATGCGTTACGCACGTCACTCGCAAATTGCTTATTATACATGATTGACCTGTGGGGACCTGTGGCGATGTCCGACATAATTCCATTACAACTCTATAGATAAAAGTGCATACCCTGATATAGATAAAAAGTTCTTCCCGCATCTTTTGCAATTCCGACTTGTCTGTCACTGATTGGGTCAGCTTCTTCGAAGCTCGCATTCCGTGGATGGTTAAGATGAACAGCACGGTGTTCACAAGAACCGTCAGGCCTATGGGAACTCCGAAGGTTACAAGATTGACGTAGCCATTGCCAATCCAGCAGACGCTCTCGCTACCGTACCAAAATGGGAGGTCTGCGCAACCACAGAGATGTATTATCAGGCAGGGGAGGACTATGAGTGTGGCTCCACCGAATGCGAAGATGGCCTGAAGACCGTAGACTCTCAAGTCGGCGTCAATTCTCCGAATTTGAGAGATAGAGGCGAAGACTCGGTTGAGAGAGAAAGCCAAGACCCCGGTCCAGAGAACCGTGGCTAGCCAGAAGAAGTGGCCCAAGACTGCCACTGCTGTGCAGGCTTGCGGGTTCCTGGTTGCAGAGCCGCTGATCAGAAGAAGCAACTGCGCCAGAAAGAGACAAGCAACCAGAGACATTATCGCCAGGCTGATCCGCTTCCTAAGCTCCTTAAACACACAGTATGTGATGAAAGTTATGGCTGCAGCTACCATCGAAATTATGTTACCGATGAGGCTAAGAACTTGCTGCGGCCTTGAAAAAACTAAAAATCTCCTTGTTGTGGTGCTGTTTTTGGTGCCGTTGGGTTCATAAAAGGAACACACTTCAATTTGGCCATCTTCTGTTCTGATATACTCATCCATCCTGAAAACATTTTTCATTGGGATGTAGATGAGCGATCCTGGATCGTTTTCATCCTCTTCAAAAAGAGACGAGTTTAGAGCCACACGCGGGCAAGCTAGAACTGGATCGGCACATATCTGCACGTCAGTAAATTGATTAAATGAATTTTCCCATTTTTGGAAGTTGGCGCGTATTATCGCCTGGTTCAGCGCGTACCAAGACGCGGAATCGTTGACGTAGACAAGGGTTGTACCATTTTCCGAAGGGAGGGAAAACTCGGTATCGTTTAACCAGATCCCGGGGCATTTGTATTTGGGAAGATCCTTGCAGTTCTGGTGGAGTTTTACAGACCATGTTTGGCGAGAAGCGATGGTTTGGCAGTGTGACGAATCCGGAAGGATTAATTTCGAGACACTTCGGAAGTCCATCAAAGTTGTGTTAACAGTTGTGTTGACGGAAAATGAAAACTGCATCCCCTCTGTGCAATTATTAGTGAGTCCTGGAGTGGCATCGGCCGGTGATGGAGTAGAAGATATAACCAGCAAGGAGCCTTTATCCAATCCAAGAAACTCCTCAAGACAGAGCTCAATATTTCCAACTGGATCATCTTCAACATTTGTGAGATTGTCCCGGCACAGCTCGCCCACATCGACTGTCACTTCCATTTCTATGTCGCTATTACCAGTATCCCCGCAACCCTGTCCTAGTGCCTTGAAGTCGGGCACGCAGTCATTCTCTTTGAGAAGGTAGCCTTCAGGACACGACAATCTGCGACAATCCGATGAGAACGGATCGTAGACTTCATTCTCAGGACATTGGACTCTCTCAGCTACCACTACCACCCTGTTTCGTTCGATTCTCACGCTGCTGTCGGAGCGGAAATCAAAGAGGATAGAGATAGGTGGAATGACTCCTGGTTGTTTTCCAGGACCGGGTTCTCCTCCAGGACCGGGTTGTCCCTCAGGACCCGGCCTGCCGGGCTTCAGTTCCGGACCTGCCGTCGGTGGAAAGGGTCCTGCCGTCGGCGGAAAGGGTCCGATTGGAGGATTTGGATAAAATACAGGTAGTTCTTCCTGGCAATCCGTGGCGTACTCTAATCGGTCAGGCCCGTACGGGACGTTACACAACGCACAGTGCGGGTTTTTGTAAACTCCGCTGTACGGTCGAGAGATCGTGGTGTAGGCCGTGTACGACTCGCATGCGTCGGTGAGAGGATGTTGGGGACTTATACACTGATGGACCACATCCGGGTAACAATGACGTGGCGGTGAAACCTCCTCCGCGTCCCCCTCCGGAAACTCCATCATGACGTCACAGTTAAACTCTGATTCCACCCTGCGGAGATTTCTGATCGAGCTCTGCAGGAGAGTGACTGCTCTGAGGCTTAAACTTTCGCTCCGGCACTCAACGACTATTTTCCAAGCGACTAAGTCCGCCAGATTCTCCCCGTTGCATAGGGCACAGTGGATGTTCCGGAAGTGTTTCTTGCTGATCTTGCTGTACGAGGGAACGGCGGATAAACCGTCATCTGGGTGTGGGTCTCGACATCGAACAGCCGTCTGGGCGTCAGGAGCGTCGGCAGGGCAGGTGGTGACGAGATAGTAGCTGTTTGATCGTCGGTACGGTGAAATGCAGGAGAGATTCTCGATCTGTTCAAATCGAAATTAAAAAGACCAGAGTCAATTACTGAAGAAAAACATCATTCCACTGTACATGTATGATTCACGATAGCAAATTCATCTTATTGACTCTTTAAACAATGTTTCTTTGGGAGCTTTTTCCTTAAAACATTCCTCCAAGAGTCACTGCGGCTTTTTTTTATCAAGTTAAGATACCCAAAGGGAGGAAAAATAGAAGAAAAACATAAAAATCTGAGTGGCAAACCTCATTTTCGGTGTTACTTCCTCCAGCAAAATCGGCTTCCTCCGCCCCCTGATCCGTCCCGCAAGTCTCCGGGTAGTCGTAACAGCAGTCGTCAAACGCCACGCACTCTGGATCGCAGTAGCAGAGTTGGGCGGGTATATCAGCCCGCGGCTGACAGCCAAGCCTACTGCAGAAATGCTTGTCTTTGCACAGACCCACTGTTGTGTTGCTTATCGTGATGGTCGTGACTGTGAACCAATGAATTTTAAGAAATTAAAAAGTTACAAGCTTCAATGGATTAGACAGTGGAGATTCAGGAATGAACGTAAAGCAAAGTTAAGTTTATAACTTCACTTGACGACAGACAAGGGAATTGGAAAGCTCGCTTTTAATTTTTTATTAAAAGGGCATATGCAACCATGCTATCAATGTTCGTTTTGCCATTATGAAGGGTATTTTGGTGTTTTTCTGTTCTTAAGTCAATGCGAATTTCCATATTCATGAGCAAAAATGTGATATCATTCCGGGCAGAAACCTGAATGTTACAGCCTATAGCACAAAAAGTTAATTTCGGATATCTGGCTGTCATAAATTTTCTTTTCTTTGATGATTCGTTACATATTGTGCAAGTACAATGCAGTAAGCAACCCTTTCTCACAAAATGCTTTCAGTATGCAAATTTTGGGTTCACAATTTGAACAGAAAACCCCTAAACCGTACAGTGTCTTCCTGAAATGACATCACAACAACAGCGCCCTCAGTTGTCGGGAAAAATGTGGAAAGTTTTTACATGTTTGAAAGAAGTGCACTTTTTAATCAAATTAGCCACAATAGAATGTCAAATAGTTTTCATACATTCAAGATGAGTAGAAAGTTGCACAAATGTGTTCCCAAGAAAAATGAACTGCATGAACCCTTTAATGTCGCACAGGTTCTTGCAAGCTTTAAGCGGCATATGCCTACCTAGCATTGAACCATTTCATTACCATTAGCTGGTACAGTGAAAGTGCCAGATTATTAGAGTAACGCACGTTTTGGCACCGAATTTCGAAGAGACACCATCAGTTTTGAGTTCAAGGAGGAAATGGGATCAAGGTTGTGGTTTTATGACAGGAACTCATACTCCGGTGTTAAGTATAAAATTACGACTGAAGGAGCCGGATGGGTATGTGGTCATGCACAACAGTCCGTTGGAATGGTGATGGCGGTTGATGACCAATTTGCAAATTTAAAGGAAAACCCTTCCTATGGGACGGTTTGTGGTTTGTTAATTGCATTTAGATGAAACAAAACTCTCATCGAAATATCATCAATTTCAAAGGTGAACAACTGTCCTTTTTTTAGAAAAAAATGGCGCGCTTCAAAGACTTTTTTTGGTATTTTCCAATACGGTCGCTCGAGATTCAGGCTTGATAAGGCGGCACCGCGCTCATAATGTGCAGGTGGCACGCGCGCTAACTTTTCCCTCAACCAATAGTAAGTTTGCCAAGGCTGCGCGTGGCGCGCAGTGTGGTGCCACCATTATACAACTAGTCTTTTCACTGGACGGCAAGTTAGACTATAAGCGAGAAACACAATGGAGATAGGGCCTCCATGCGGCAGCACCGTGAACCGCAAACTCCAAAATTCATACTTGATTTCCTTGTTAACTACTGGGACCAATTACGGTGAAATCTTGATAAGTCAAACCTCAAGGGAACAGGTTCAAAATTTGACTTCAGCAGAGTTTGAGTTAAGCATGCTTATATATCAGTTTTACTACTGAAGACAATGCGGATTCTTTGTTTGATCGACTTACCAGGTTTTTTTTAGTTATCAGAGTTTGACTTATCGAGATTTCACTGTTAGTAAATGCATACAAGAAAAATAATTTTAAACCCATTTTTAAATCAACTGAATCTAGCAACCATTATCGACAGAACCTTATAGGCCATTTATTACATGTATTCCATTTCATCATAAGTTCGTCCCACTTCTTATTGGTCAACTATCATTTGCATTATTGTCCTCGATACTCGTTAAATAAAAAAGGAAGATATATCCAGCGGTAAAGTACAAAATAGCTTGGTTCTTACCATCAGTTGGCTGTCGTTGTGTTGACGTTCCCGGTATCCCACGCGGTATTGCTGGAGCTCGCGAGCCGGGTTTGCCTCTCGGTCCGGCCGGACCCGGACCCGAGGCCTCCACGGCACACCGAAGAAGAAGGAGCACAAGAATTGCCGAGTGTATACTCTGCATTGTTCTATCAAGTTGTAGCCCGCGTCTGTATTGTAATGTGTCCCCAAATATGATATTAACTTGGCCAAAGTATTTTCAAAATTTTCCGATGATGTGAGAAAGGCAAAGACGTGTGCAAACAAGTTACTTACACGTATACCAACACCCCTTGACAACTTTTCCAAACTCACTGTGTAATGGCGACAAATCAATGTTTGAACTTTTCGGGCTTCTTGCAAAACTGCAGACTAGACGGCGATGGTGTATTCAAACGTGTACTGCGTAGCCCAAGTCCGTGGCAGAGTTTCCGATATCTTCCCGACAGCGTGGTTTTATTTTATAAGTAGCTGAGAAATTGCAGCGGAAATATGCCTCAATTGTGAAAACACATGGTTCTGTATCCGGTCGCGCTACGCCGTGACGTCACGTCTTACCGCACTTACTTATTGAGAAATAGAAACCATCCTTGAACTGGTGCCCTGCAGCCGCTGAACTTGCAAAAGCCTTCCCAGTGTTTTGATAATGATTATATAAAACAACTCTACAGAGCTTTTTAACCACCGTTCAGCACAGAAACTTAACTAATTGTAATGATTATATTATGAGTTAATGTAAAAACATTGCAGTGCATACACGCACCATACCACTGACTGCATATCCCACGCCGAACTTGGAAGGACTTGTGCAAGTTTAGTGCTGCGACAAGTTCAGCACCGTGTTGAGCCGTCTCCATAGAAACAGACTATGATAACATCATATCGGAAAAACATGACGGAAGTAGATGGCGTAGAAAAAAACCGCGTATCTTATAATACAGAACATTCGGCCGACGTGTTCCGGCCGTTGAAGGTTTTCCCCAGTTTTTTCTATGAAAACACATGGTTTCGAAAACCGATGAAAACGCCAACGTCAATAAAAAAAATAACAGCGTTGCTGTTGAAACCCCTCAGCCAGAGTCAAGTTATCATCCGGAAACCATTAACCTTTAACTCAACGTGGTGACCTTGACCTTTGACCCCAAAACCAGTCCCAACATGCCTGTACCAATGGGAAACCCCCTACCGAAGATAGACACCAACATTTCATTTCTAACTCAAGGTATCATTCGAAACCATTTACATTGAACTCACCATGCTGACCTTGACCTTTGACCTTTTGACCCCAAAACCAATCCCAACTTGCCTTCTCCCAAGGGGAACCCTCTTCCAAAGTTAGACACCAAAATCGCATTTCTAACTCAAGTTATCATCCGGAAACCATTTACCTTTAACTCACAATGGTGACCTTGACCTTTGACCTTTTGACCCCAAAACCAATCCCAACTTGCCTACTCCCAAGGGCAACCCTCTACCAAAGTTAGACACCAAAATCACATTTCTAACTCAAGTTATCATCCGGAAACCATTTACATTTAACTCACCACGGTGACCTTGACCTTTGACCTTTTGACCCCAAAACCAATCCCAACTTGCCTACTCCCAAGGGCAACCCCCTATCAAAGTTAGACACCAAAATCTCATTTCTAACTCAAGTTATCATCCGGAAACCATTTACCTTTATCTCACCATGCTGACCTTGACCTTTGACCTTTTGACCCCAAAACCAATCCCAACTTGCCTTCTCCCAAGGGGAACCCTCTTCCAAAGTTAGACACCAAAATCGCATTTCTAACTCAAGTTATCATCCGGAAACCATTTACCTTTAACTCACAATGGTGACCTTGACCTTTGACCTTTTGACCCCAAAACCAATCCCAACTTGCCTACTCCCAAGGGCAACCCTCTACCAAAGTTAGACACCAAAATCTCATTTCTAACTCAAGTTATCATCCTGAAACCATTTACATTTAACTCACCACGGTGACCTTGACCTTTGACCTTTTGACCCCAAAACCAATCCCAACTTGCCTACTCCCAAGGGCAACCCCCTATCAAAGTTAGACACCAAAATCTCATTTCTAACTCAAGTTATCATCCGGAAACCATTTACCTTTATCTCACCATGCTGACCTTGACCTTTGACCTTTTGACCCCAAAACCAATCCCAACTTGCCTACTCCCAAAGGCAACCCTCTACCAAAGTTAGACACCAAAATCTCATTTCTAACTGAAGTTATCATCCGGAAACCATTTACATTTAACTCACCATGGTGACCTTGACCTTTGACCTTTTGACCTCAAAACCAATCCCAACTTGCCTACTCCCAAGGGCAACCCTCTACCGAAGTTACAACCCCAAACAACATTTCTAACTCAAGTTATCATCCGGAAACTAAGCTGCCCGGACGGACGGACGGACGGACGGACGGACAGACACACATACATCCGGACGGACGGACGCCCTAGGCGATGACAATACCCCTCGAGCCTCTCGGCTGAGGGGTAAAAACCCCCAACATTTTCCCAGCAGCCTCCATATAATTACAGCATTTTTTTTTTTAGAGTTCGCACATGGATCTACATAATGCACTTAAACTGAAAACAGTTTGAGCAAATGGGTTCAGGGTGACCGTTTTAGCCGATTTTCGGCTAACTTTGACAGAATTTTCGTTAAAGGGAAAATACAACATTTGCAAACATCAAAAAATAAAGCTACCAAATCATTTTGAAATACCTTGCTGGACTGTTAGTGAATGACAGTGTAAAGCATCCCGTAAAATCATGGCACCTGGTTTACTGTCATTTTCAAGAAAAGTGGTATTTTTGTATCAATTTCCAATCAGCGTTGGAAAAAAACTGGGTTTTTTTCAAATACTGGCCCCAATTGACCATCGCACTTGTTTGCAATCGATTACAAACCTATGAACGGGTACGAGCCAGCTAGACTGGTTCCCTGACCTTACAATTCCCCAATGTATGTAAACTGCTCTGTTTCTTCTTATATGGAGTCAGGGAACCAGACTACAGGAAAACGATTGTTTTTCTTGGTTTTTATAGCATTTTCGAACCCAAAACCTCAAAAAAGTCAGTGTAACTATATTTGCTATATAATTCCAACCCCCCAATTCCATTCATTTCTGAAAATTACAGCAAAAGCAAATGATGTAAAAACGAGTTTGACAGAAAATTTGACAGAATGGATTTTTTTGGCAGATTTCTGGCAGAATTCTGCAAAAATGGTTATTTGACAGAAAAACAGCAAATTTGAGCAAAAAAAGTGTACACTTGTTTAAAAAAGCTTCAATGCTTTCAAACAAACCCTTGCATAATGGGACAGGTTGGCTGGTCTAGGTGCTGAGGTTCACTGGGAAACGGACTTTATATCGTCGTGGTGGGATCCCCGTATTGCCCGAAATTTACCAATAATTTCACATCATCTTTATGTGACTAGATTGTTTATGTAATTTGAATCTTAATTTAAGGCAATACTACCAATCTGCATGTGATTTTAGGTGTTTATAGTGAATTTCGAGTAATCCTGGGGAATTTGGCAGATTTTTGATAAATCTGACAGATTTTTGATGTGCGTTTAGCAGAATTTGGCTCTGGCCTTACGGTCACCCTGAATGGTTGTACCCAATGTAGGTCAACTACCAACTGCCTGTATATTATGTCGGGCAAATTCTTCCCGGCAACAGTTGATCAAGTTTTACCCGAATTAACCAACAATGAACAAACTTCCCACAGCAACTGTTGCCCAAATAACATTGCCCAGGCGTGTTTTACCGATTTGTTTTGCAGTGATAGTAGAAATATCACATGATCACAATTAATATACGGGAAATGGGTCTTGGCCTTGGGGGGACATTCCCATAGACTTGATTACACAATTTTTCCGTATTTAATGTCACCTAACCCCAATTTTACCTTATCTATACGAATTTCGGTATACATGTACATGTTTAATATTTTGGACCACGAACAGCCTAAACTTTTGTCTCAAAATAGGAGCTGTGACATTATAGGGCCTACTAATGTCCGGTGTCTCCCTAAGGTATACATGTAATTAACCGTAACCCCAGCCCAATTTACTAGCAACCATACCCATTCTGGCAAATTCCAACACCCACATGGGAAATGGACCGATCCAGTAAGCCCCTCCCACTGCGCACGTGGGCAAAATAACACGTGCTCTTCTCTGATCCAATGCCACACTGCATTTTCCTGCCGCGCGCATCGTACGTGCGTGCACGCATGTCGGACATAAATCACGGCTGTAATTGGTCAGAATACCGTGGGGCGGTGCTTACTGGATCGGTCCATTGTACACCGTGACGCGTGACACACTGTTGGACTTAGTTTCTGGAGGTATGCCAACCCCAGTGTATCCTATCCCAACAGATTTAAACAAAACCTGCTGTAGAACTTTTATGGGTTGGGTTCGGTTAGGGTTGACGACAAAATGTCTCCAAAAGTTGACATCCACATTTGTACGACCCTCCTCCACGAGTTAATTATCATAAATACATGTATCAACCTTTTTTGGCGGGCTTCCATTGGTCGATACCGAGACCACGCGGAGTCACGCCGATGCGAGTCACGCTGATGAATATGCTGACGCGCTATACGTCACCGTTGCCGCCAAAAGTAACATACCGAAAGACCACGTGTTGTTTTGCTAGCGCGGCAAAAAATGTATTCAATTTTGACACGCAGATTTAAACTCTCTCATTATTGAAGTTACCCCTCATGGTCCAATGCCTTCAACGTGGCCACCACCTCTTTCTACCCAAAGCTCTGCACGAAGTCTAGTCTATTTGACCATTTCAACCTTTGCATAATTAACCATCAGCCGGAAATCTTAGCCAGGTAAAACTTGGCCCAGTACAGGTTTTGACCCTTGACAGAATAACAACGAAATACGAATGCTCAGCCTCCGTGGACACAAACAAACAAGGTATCATTGGAAAGAGGACACATCGGTGTTTCACATGATCTGTAACATTTCAAAACATTTATTAAATTTTTTATATTTACCTCTGGGTTTTCTTTTGTTTGACACACCCTGTCATAGTATACTGCAGATCCAAGCAAGTTTTACAACTCACATACATGTATCTTATATTTTTTTGAGTTGCATAAAATAGGAAAAAAATGTTTTTAAAGTGTCAGTATCCTTGTGTCTACAATATAAGTGCGATTTTTTTTCGCTTTTCTTTGAGTGGTATAATAAGTGCGTTTTTAAGTGTTCTGTCAATTTTTTATCCTGTTAAGTCAGTAAGATAAACAAGCTTTAATATTTTATGTGAAGTTCAAAACACTATACTACTACCTTGAAATTTAGCATATGAAAAGCAAGTCAGATTTAATATATGGTCTATACCAAAATGTCTAGTCCAATATGGAATGATTTTGAACTGATACAACTTTATAAAACTGTGCAAATTTGAAATACATATGGCATGATAAGCTTCACGAAAATACGGTCTTAATTGAAAACGATTGGCTTTTATACAATTCCTAACATAGGAAAAATGACATGGATATCCTATCAATATATCATGATATTGATATCACAAACTTCCCCTTGGTTGGGAAAATTCTGAGATACTAGGGCAGTTTACTTGAATAAATGGTGGGCTACATCTACTGATCAATCATGCTGCAGCCATATTGGTCAGGTACCCTGACGTCAGCGCAAGGGAGTTCAATGTCCAATTTGATACGGTAAAGGTGCCAGACTATCAGCCAGACGTCTTGAGTGATCTTAAGAGAGAATCTAAGTGCAGTCACAAAATGGGCAAAGATGGGCAGATGATTTTTCTTAGAATTCTTTGGAGGATGGGTGGAGATTGGTTGGGGTTGGGATGGGTTGGGGTTGGGTTGGGTGGGGTGGGGAAGGGTGGGGCTGGATTGGGATGGGGTGGGATGGGTTTGGAGGGTTGGGGACAGGTTGGGTGGAAAAAGAAGGGGTAGGTAACGATAATCTCCAAGGGCAGGACACTTAAAATGAAACACTGCAAATTATGAAATCTTCGATAAGACATATTGAATTGCCTGAATAAAATGTTTGTGGCTAAATACAACTAAGGTACCAGACTATCGGCAAGATGTCCTGATGTGATCTAAAAAGAGAATCTAAGTGCAGTCACAAAAGTAAGATTGGCAAATGATTTTCCTTAGAATTCTTTGGAGGATGGGTGGAGATGGGTTGGGGTAAAGGGCGGATCCAGGGGGGGGGGGGGCCAAAAAAAATTAGGTTCGTTTCTGAGGGGGGGGGGGGGGCAACGGCCTAATTGTTTTTTTTTTAAGTGACATGGCAATAAAGGCAGGCACTGCATACACCACCATCTCAGTTTTCCTCCAAAAGATTTAATTAAAGTGGTCAGAAATTGTCTCAAATCGCACCACAGAGCATCTAGAATCAAAAATTTTTTCGGGGCCCTTAAGTGGGCCCCAAACCCCATGCGTTAATTTTGGGGACCCACTTTTTTGGGGGAACCAAATTTTTGCTCTGGATCCACCCTTGGTTGGGGTTGGGATGGGGTGGGGTGGGGTGGGTTGAGGTGAGGTGGGGTTGGGGTGAGGTAAGGTTGGGGTGGGATGGGATGGGTGGGGTTGGGGACAGGTTGGGTGGGGCAGTGAAGAGGGGGTAGATAATGATAACCTTCAAGGGACGCTTAAAATGAAACTGTAGTGTGCAGATTATGTAATCCTCGATAAGACATATTGCACTGCCTGAATAAACGGTTTGTGCGTAAAGACAACTCCTTTCTAACATGATAGGTTTGATTGTCTTAAAGAGGGTCTACAAAGGGGGAAGCATCAGTAAAGGGCGCCCTCATATCTTCCCAGTGGTACCAATCAACCTAGAAGTAGGACTGCAGTGTCCCGCTTCGTCTGATGTCGCTCGTCCAGCAGTGGAATCCGCCTCCGTAGGAGTTGGCGTAGCGCATGGAGGCCTTGACCGTCTTGATGCCAAGCTTCTCAAACATCTGGATGGTCGGGAGCTCGTTGGCATCCACCATGACGCGGTCGTGGTCCAGCATCAGGACGTTCATGGACAGCCACTGAGAGCCCAGCCACAACGGGTGATCTGTGTGACCAAGAAACAAGACAAGGTTAGTCTAGTAAAACTGCTCCCAGAGCACTCAAATTTCAATTCCATCGATTCAGAATGGCCACATTCACTGGAAGCCTTTTCATGCAGCTGGTCAACTTCAATACCAAACATATGCTTTAAAGGTAGAGTATATCATTTGCGGCAATACACTGTACCTGCTGGCATCAGAGGTGAAGCGGTCTCGACAATGTCCCACCCAGCCTTCTTGAAGAAGTCGATCTGTTGGCAACCCCGACACGGGTTGACCAGGACAAGCCCTGGTCTGATCAGCATAAGAGTGGCATCGATGTGCATGGGCCGAGGGTCATCAAAGGTCAACAGGTGGATGTTATACTCGTCACCAAGGTGACGATCCATCCAATCAATGCCGAAGATGTTGGTCACCTGATCACAACGATTTGCATTTAGAGGTTTTTTGATTTCGCCCACTCACATGACACATTAACTGATCGGCCTCACTGGAGCCGCCATTTTACCAGGCAAATTATAATTCTACGCGTCGTATCAACCGAAGTGCGAGTACGTATCTTGAAACCACACAAATTTCATAACTTTATGCCAAACAAGTTGTTTATGTTTTTCTTCAAAAAGTGAACAGTTTTAAACAATTTGAGATACGATCTGAAGCTTGAACGTGCAGACAATTATGTCCTCTAAAAACGCAAAATCCCCCAAATAAAAACAAATAAACTGGCAGGGACGCACCCTTGAAAATTACATAAACTCGAAATTTAGAAAAGTCTGTTAAGATTTGACACTTACTGACGAGTCCCATTTGATTGAGAAATTTCAACGGTGAGAATGCTAACGTGCCTGGCAATATCGCGGAATTTGATGCCATTTCATGTGAGTTTACCTCTATTGGGAAAGACACCGCAAAATGGGGAATAAACAAAGAGAAAAGGGAGTACCCAAAGTGTTATTAATTTAGTAGTCGAAAAAGCAACCACTTGCGCGCCAAATACAAATGTATCAGTTAGTGACATTGTCCACTCGAACTTACGTATCTCTGGTCCCGGCCCAGTATCTTGAACCCTTCTGCTATTTAAACAGTCACAGACAGTCAAAATTCACTTCCACTTCCCCTGCTTTACTTTTAACAAAGGCTAGTCACCAACAGTCAGGTAATATGTCAAGTAAGCACCGTGGCTAGTCAAACTGTGTCAACAGACAAAGCAGACAAGTTGTGGTCATCACAGCTGTTTTATCACTCACCCAGAGTTTTAAGTTAAACAATCCCAGCCAGTCAATCCCGCTTTATGTAGGCTGGGAAGTCTTAACTGTTGAAAACAGTCACTTGTTTGATTATGACTGAATTGACTACTTGGCACAGAATGTATGTTTGCATAGGAGGGTTAATAAACATATGTTTATTCACTGGTAGAGGTCATATTGTAAAGAGAATGACAATTTGTGGGAGTTCTCTTTTAGAAAACTATCTTTTGTACAGGAATTTGTTTGGGCAATGAAGGGGTACTTATACAATTCTCATAGAGATGCATGTGAATTGTTTTCGTTTTGCTGAAAGAACACTTACCTTTTTTTGTGATCCGTGGACAGAACTTTAAAACGGTGTTTGTATTCAAAACTCCGTACCTTGAAAAGTACATGAGTGATTTGAATGATTCTTGTACTTAAAGAAAGTTCATTGATTTGGGCTTTCATGTCCTAGATTTTGAAACTGCTACAGGCAAAACTTCATTCAAAAATTGTTTTTTTGTTTGTTTTTGACTCACCCTATATTGGCAAGATATAAATATCATTTTGGGCACATTTTTTATACTTTGGCATAGCCTGGGCACAATTGTTCAGTACGTTTTCACCAATAATATGCCATTTTCACAAATTCCATTTTCTCAAGTTCCAAAACTCGTTTTTGATTTAATTAATATACCTGGCTTCTCTGCACAAAAATGTCCTTTCCGGCCCGCACGAAGTCAGCCGCGTCGAAGCAGGGTTCGAACTCGGTGGTGAAGTGCCGTCCCTGGTGATGTTGCAGCGAGCGTTCCTCATCCGATAGGTCCATGACATCCTTAACAATGAGCCAAAGTCAAAGATTAGTTTGATATTCACTCAAACTAAAGTTTTAAGTTGTTTCCTTAGCTTTTATGACTGCCATCGATCCGACATAACGACTTGACTAATATAACGACTTGACTAATATAACGACTTGACTAATATTAGTATGGTTATTCATTTATTCGCCCAGCGAAATGCATATGCATTACATTTCCATAGAGAGGGCCAATGAAAACCTAGCTGTATCGCTGGGAAGCATCCATTATCAGAGTGGGGATACCGTTTACAGCATGCTTGATTAATGCATGCTTCTTTTTTTGTAGCTGTTTTTTTTCAAACGATTTTCATGAAATTATTAAACTCAGCGGTAAACTAAAAAATATCATGTCCAAATCTTGTTTTTAGAATAAGAATAGAATGATGCATGATTCCAAACGACTCAGGAATTAGCTTTCGACCCCACAAGCAATCGATTCACTCCAGCCTATGTTGCATGGTGAGGCATTCACCGTCTGTGAAATATGACCAAGTGGGAACGTCGCACTGCACCACGCCGAGGTGCATAAGTTTTATGTCAGGTGTGGTATAAATATTCATATCCTTCCAATTCTTAGCCAATCAGAGTGCTCCGTCCAAGTTTGGTAGCGATCTCCGTGCCCTGTGCACAACAGGGTTGTAGATTAATCAAGTCGGTAATTGGAAGCAACGTACACCCATATGGGGCCGAGGATGCAGGAATCGTTCCCGCGTGTTATTATACCGCGCGCTAGTCCCATGATGGTTTGCTGTAGTCAACGCTGGTGGTTCATACTGGTGCGGTACGCGGCGGCGCAGGTGGACTAAACACGGCCAATTATCGACTTGATTTCAAGTCTTGTGAAGAACCTCTGATGGACCATCCTTCTCTAGAAGGGAGAAAGAGATTCTCATAATTAGGAATCACCGTCATCCAAACCACCATGATCTGAAATCATGCCAGAATCTAGTCAGTTTCCAGGGGTGTGAGTGACCATCACTGATAAAAATAGCTGAAAACAGCTGAAAAAGGTGTAAAAAAGCTGAATTTGGAAATCTCCTATACTTTTGTACACAGCAAGTGAGGGGAAAAAGCTGAAATCCAAAACAAAAAAGCTGAAATCAGCTAAAACCCTGATATTTCACACCCCTGGTTTCACCATTTAATCGAATACACTTGAACCAGTCCATTTGAACTTCTGTCTATGGTAAAAGGCTCTCTCGTTTTTTCTTCAAAAAAAAATGCATTGGGGTGTGGTCTAATTTGTCCACGCCTTCGTTGCATAAAACTATGTTATTATACAGTTTGTATTGCTGTGAGGGCGTGGTCCAGTTAGACCCCGCCTTCAGGGAGTGATAAACCTTCTTATTGTACAAACTGGTTGGGTTTGAGGACGTGGTACAATAGCAAGGGCGGATCCAGAACACAATTTGGGGGGGGGGGGGCAAAAAAAATTTTGGTCCCCCAAAAAAGTGAGTCAAAAAAAATACGGCGTGGGGTTTGGGGCCCGCTTAAGGAAGGACCCCGAAAATTTTTTGGATTCTAGATGCTCTGTGGTGCGATCTGAGGCAATTTCTGACCACTTTAACCAATGTTTTTTTGAGAAATTAAAAGATGGTGGTGTACTCATTGCCTGCCTTTATTGCGATGTCACATAAAAAAAAAAAAATGGTCATGGCCCCCTTTGGCCCCCCCTGGATCCGCCCTTGTACAATAGTGGGACCCGCCTTTGGGGGGGGGGAACTTACCTTATGCACACACACTGTGGCTGTGAGGGTGTGGTCTTATTTAGCCCCGTCTCCAGGAAGGGGTAAGCTTACCTCATTATACAGTTTATCTGACATGAGTGGCTTAGGGGGCGTGGTCCACTTAGCCCCCGCCTTGAAGTACTCCTTAATCAGCTCCCGGTAGGCGCGATACTCAAAGAACCTGGACCGCCACGCCATGGGGCACTCGATGATTTCTTCGCCGACGATCAGCAAAATGTCCCGGGGCATGGCGCAGTACATGCCTAGAATTGAAGTGGGAAACCAAACGAAATGCGTGAAATTCAGACAACCGTTAGTTTCCTACAAGTTAGCACTGTCAGATATTTTATGGCTGTATGTTGAGTTTTTGTTATTTGAGTCAGAGTTGTAACAAGTCACTGAATTTTGTGACTCGAGTCGAGTCAAGTCATTTTGCGAAAGTGACTCGAGTTGAGTTGAGTTATTAGGTGAAGAAGGTCCAGTCACAGTATGTGGTCGAGTGGAGTCGAGTCAAGTCACGGTGTATGATCAAGTCGAGTCGAGTCGAGCGAAATTTATACTTGAGTCAATTTGAGTCACTGATATTTGAATGCCATCTAAAAATAAATTACAGAATGGAACAAGGAACACAAGGCACCAGTTTATAATGAAGATCCAAAGACTTAAATTATGCTGTATGGTACCAATAGACAGCTTCTGCAGGACCTCGGAGATCTACGTAACAGTTAAAAAAAAGTGCAATTTTGGTTTTATCTCTGGTTTGGCTTAGGGTCTGGGATAATTTTTAGCTGACAACTTAAAATCCAAATTGCAACATACAAAACTGTTTTTGATCATACAGAACTGAATAAAAAAATGTTTTGAAAGCAGGACATAAATTTGGCCGGAGTTCCATCAAGGGCTTAAGAAATCGTCCGAAGGCACTGATAAAACCAAGAATTGTGGAATATAAATATAAAAGTGACTCGAGTTGAGTTGAGTTATTAGGTGAAGAAGGTCGAGTCACAGTATGTGGTCGAGTGGAGTCGAGTCAAGTCACGGTGTATGATCAAGTCGAGTCGAGTCGAGCGAAATTTATACTTGAGTCAATTCGAGTCACTGATATTTGAACGCCATCTAAAAATAAATTACAGAATGGAAGAAGGAACACAAGGCACTAGTTTATTATGAAGATCCAAAGACTTAAATTATATGCTGTATGGTACCAATAGACAGCTTCTGCTGGACCTCGGAGATCTACGTAACAGTTAACAAAAAGTGTAATTTTGGTTTTATCTCTGGTTTGGCTTAGGGTGTGGGATAATTTTTAGCTGACAACTTAAAATCCAAATTGCTACATACGAAACTGTTTCTGATCATGCAGAAATGAATAAAAATATGTTTTGAAAGCAGGACATAAATTTGGCCGGAGTTTCATCAAGGGCTTAAGAAATCGTCCGAAGGCACTGATGAAACCAAGAATTGTGAAATATAAAGTCTAGTTCTGGGATAGCAGTTTGTGAGGGACTTGAGTCCAGTTGAGTCATTTGCTTCCATTGACTCGAGTCAAGTCAAGTTGAGTCAGTTACTCGTTAGGACTCAAGTCGAGTCACTAAAAGTTGTGACTTGAGTCGAGTCATTGACTAGAGTCATTACTTACAACTCTGCTTTGAGTAAGTGGCGTTATCTCTCAATGAGATGCAGACACCTGTGACGCGCACGGCTGGAGCATGCCATTGGTCGACTGGGAAATTGGAGAGACGCATGTAATGTCGCCCTCGTGTGCAGTGATTAAGTCAGTGACTTTGACTTAAGACGAGCAACTGAAAGAGTCGTTATTCGACACATAGATAGCATACCTGTTGAGCTGAAATCAGGCGTCTTATACTCCTCAGTGAAGTCGATAGCATCGGGTCTTCTGACGACGATTCCCTCTTGAGTGAGAATGTTGCAGACTTCTTCGACCTCAGCTATTGCCTTCTCCGTGTGTTCCTTGGGCCAGGGCCTGCCTTGATTGTCTCGGAAGAAATCCCAGTGTTTTTCATTTGCGCTAACCTTTAAAAAAAAAAAGACCAAATCAAAAATCAATGAGGTTTTATTTGTAAGTTTAAGTTTTCAAGTTTTTACAAGTGATACACCAGCAACCTTGGCATGCCCATTCTATTTTAACGTTTATATTCGCATCGCTGCAATTGGCTGAATGACAACGTGTCCCGGATGCTGATTTTGGGCGCAATTCAAAACATGACTCGGCAACTTTTGAACTGAAATCGAGATCCTAGAATATTTTTTTCCGGAATAAACAGGGTGAACCCTCCCCCCCAAAATACTATAATTCGTCGGACCAGTGCCCGACATCGCGTAGCTGCAATCGGCTATTGCGAACGTGTCTTGGACGCAGAGTTCAGGCCCAATTCAAAACATAATTCAGCAACTTTTGATTTGAAATCGAGATCCTAGAATGCTGTTTTTCTCGGAATATACAGCTGAAGCTGAGCTGAAACTTCATCAGGTTAGTTGTTCAGCACCCTTCTTTAGATTTTGAGCACGTTTGTTACTTCAAACGAACAAAATGCACAAATTACAAATGATGGACTGTACCTTTAATTCGGGGCTAAAGGGGGGAACGACAGCATTCTCAACTCTTCCCACGACCACTTCCTCCAGACGGTCCCATTCATTGTAGGAGGATACTGGGCTGGTCTTGGCAACCTGCTCCTTGACTTGAAAGGCAGTGGGAGTTGTTGATTCCAAACGGCTCCCGACTTGAGACACAGCCACGCCCAGTGAAGATTTCACACGGGTCAGCTATACGTGTATATGGAAAGCGACAGAGAAAACTGTGTTACTTTTTGCATGCATGTTCCGTTGATGGTCAGTTTAATTAATAAGTACTTTCGTTTCCCTGTCTTTGTTGTGATCAATTTTCAGGCATTGCACACAGTTAAAGTTTTGATTTAGGCCAAATTTAAAAAAAAAGTTTAGCGTCCCGCCCGCTTCCTAATAGAGGCCGCCTCTTTTTTTTTGGGGGGGGGGGGGGGGAGGGACCCAAAATGATAAATTTTTCAAAGTGACATCATTTTGGCCTTATTGTCTGTTGCATCTAGCCCATATCAAGCTGATATATGTCATTTCCTGAGTCCAAGTGCCGGCCATTTAAAAAAAAAGCTGGCGGCTTTTGAAAAATAGCCCAGTCGGGCGGCCATTTTGGAGAAAAAAAAGGGCCTCCTCCTAGTAAAAAAAGGCAGGACGCTATAATGTGTTTTTTAAGTGGCCTAGTATAGGCCTTCTCGCGTCAAAGAGGGCGTTGTACAATCTTATGCTAAAAAAAAGAAGAAAATCTGCTTCCGATTACATGGCATTTGAAAATAGGGTAGGTAGGTAGGGAAATGTGTTTTTGGCAATTTTTTTTGTGTACGATCATATATGGAGGTGTCTGCGTGTAGTCAAGGGTAAAAGGTAGTAACTTTTATTTCGCAAAGGGTTGTCAAAAAAGGTAGGGTAACCAGAAGCAGAACTATTTTTTTTTAGTTTTGGCCTTACTATCCAGCTAAATATCCACTATCTTAACTAATATACAAAATACTAATACAAGAATTAATTGTCACCATTGTCGCTGAGTTGAAGACTTGGATGCTTCGGTGCATGCTTCTGAGGAAAGCCATATTTCATTCACTTCACCTACAAAGAGAAGAAAAAAATGCCAAGAACTTGGATAATTTATGACGGGTAAAATAATGGATTGGACACCTGACAAAAAGTCGTTTTCTGACTAGTCAATGCACATGTATTCCCCCCCCCCCCAAAAAAAACCTATAAGGCCAAAAAAAGAAAAAAGTACTCGGTCTCTGGTCAGCGCGCGCGTCGATTTTAATCATCATGTCAACTTTTTTTTCTTCAAATTAACACGGAAGCTACAACAGCACCCTCTATTGCCGCGCCTCCTCAAATTTTTGTACCAAGGAGCACCGAGGAATACCAAGGAATGGGGAAATTGCACCAAGGCAAATTATGGAGGACACCAATGTATAATGAGGACACAAAAAAGCAAAATAGTACCCACCTTGTCTGTACAATACAAGCTTGAAAAAAAAAAAAGCCACCAAAAAAAAAAAAAAAACCCGCGTCCCCGCATCAATTCCGGAACTTCGGTCTGACCAGAGACCGACTATTTTTTTTTTGGCCCAAGATCCTGGCCCTATTTCAAAGCGCTGCTATGCTCACCATTTTTTGTGCTAACACTGCCAGCAGAAAAGTTTTGGGCTAACCTTGTAAGCATAGTTACCGAATGTACTGTATACGCAAGAGCAGAAGTCAATATTCCTCGCAATAGCAGTGAAGTTCGCTTACTGTAGGCATAGTCACAGAGTATTTTCTGCTAAGTACAGTATTGCAGGGATTTTTTTGGTGAAAGCAAAGCTGTGATAATTATATCGAATCCATACATGGACTGGACATCACTAATTTTTCCCTGCACTGAGTTAGCCATCAGAAAGTTAATATAACTATAAAAAGGCCTAAAAAGTCAAATTGGAAAGATTCCCAGATCTGGCCATCACTACTTTTTTTCCCCTTCAGTGAACTATCAGCCATCAGAAAGTAACAATATGTCCTAAATGTCAAATTTAGCAGTGAAAATATTGAAGTATTTACTGAGAAAACCAATTGTTCAGACAAGTCTCATAATACAGACTTATTTTGTGCCTAGGTTGACAAGTGATGGCCAGATATGGGAATCTTTCCTCAAAATTTACAGGGAAAAAAATTGGGAAAGAATGTTGCAACCTAGCTGACACTGCTTTTTTCTTCTTCATATATCATCTCAATAAAGGTCAGTCAGTCATTTGCAAAAATGTAGTCCCACTAACTGGGGCGCTAGACATGCTAGAACTCCTTTTTTGACACTTGGGATGTTGGTCTAGTCGTACTAGCTGGTAGAACTATGGACAGACCAACATCCCAGATGTCAAAAAAGGAGTTCTAGCGCCCCAGTAAGTGGGCCTACCAAAATGATAAAAGTAAGACATGAATCTGGGACTGAGAAATATTTCCAATTTTGTTGGGAAATGCTTTAAAAAATTTTTTTACTCTCCATAGACTTTGTACACAATCGCTGAAGTAAAAGTAGCATCAGGTTGCAACATTCTTTCCAAAATGTGAAGTATTTACTGAGAAAACACTTGGAATTTTTCAAACCAGACTGATAGGGTTTGTGCACAGGATGCCAAGTGATGTCCAGGTATGGAACTCACTCCAGTTAGGCCTACAGTGTTGAAGCAAGGCGCTCGACCGAATGGCCAGCAGTACGTGTGTTTTATTTCTCCATGGTCTGTTCTGTCGGCCGGTGGGATCAAAGTTCACCATTGTCTTGCATAATCGATTACAAAGTGTGACACTAAGTCAACAAAAAATAATCGGTTTGAGGAAAAGATCATGCGTTCATTTCGTGATATGTGGCATGATGAGTAGTCTATGCACCTTAACTGACCCTGGCGAAGCCGCGGCGACAAGAGACTGGGCGCCGTGGACAACGGGTACGATGACCTACCCCTTGAACTAGGCCCGCCTGGTGCATGGGCGCAAGTTGCGCGAAGCCCCCCGCCGGAGTGGCATGATGTACACGGCCCCGGCCCAAGTGTAAATTTTAACAGGGCCTAGCCAATATCCTCGAAGAATAATGACGCACATCTAAGACTTCTGCTGATCTGTTAATCGGACAACTAATTAATATACTGATACCTGATACATTTCTTACCAGTATATAATCACAAAGTAAGGAATCTGATGAATCACCTTTTATCACGACGATCTTCAAGTTGAAAGTCCGAGCTCATCCGGTGTGGTTCAAGTTCTACGGCGCGGACAAGTCATGCACGGATCGTTTTGATAAACCACTCAGCCTAGCCAAACGTTAACAAGGGACGCGTGATATACGGCCCCTACACTACAAGTGGAAAATTACCATGAATACATATATAAGTCAACAAAGACTTAGGCCGTGTCCGAAACGGGCTTCAGAGCTACGGCTATTGTCAGCGCGTTCTCACGTATTTTCAATGGGCGTGGACCTAGACCAAGCTCTAGACAGTTGATTCGGATGCAGCAGAGCTAAGGGGCCATTCATAATTTTCAATGTTTTAAAATTTCGACTATTTTTCCAAATTGTGGGTGGGTGGGCAAGCTAAATAAATGAAAATCGAAATTCACTTTTCATGGAAAAAAATGAGCCACAAAAAATTGATCTTTTGACTTGCCTGAACTACGCGCAAGCGTTCCGATATTGCGATGCGTGTTTCTTTTCCAACTTCGTCCCCTGTATGTTCTGTACATTTTTTTCCGAAAGGACACGCAACCCGCACAGGCTCGCCAGTGGGATGTAATGCATGTACATGTACATGTTTTTTTTTTATGCCTAACAAATCAGTTTTTTATTAATCGAAATTAGGGGTGGGTGGGTGGGTCAAAATAATTTGGAAAAAAAGTCGAAATTTTAAAACATTGAAAATTCTGAATGGCCCCTTAATCAAATGGACCGATCCAGTAAGCCCCTCCCACTGCGCACGTGGGCAAATTAACACGTGCTCCTCTCCAATGCCATAATGCATTTTCCTGCCGCGCGCATCATACGCGCGTGCACGCATGTCGGACTTTTGTGCACGCAATGTCGGACATAAATCACGGCTGTGATTGGTCAGAATACCATGGGGCAGTGCTTACTGGATCGGCCTTTAACCGCTTGACTGCATCCAGCGGCTTTCAAATTTGCAGGGAGCCGTAGGCAGGGTGACCGTTTTAGCCGATTTTCGGCTAACTTTGACAGATTTTTGGTAAAAAATTAAGTTGACAGAAAAATTGATAGAATGGATTTTTTTGGGCAGATTTCTGGCAGAATTCTGCAAAGTGGATATTTGACAGAAAACCATAGCAAATTTGAAGAAAAATTGAACATTTGTTTAAAAAAAGCTTCAATCTTTTCAAACGAACCCTGGCCCAAGGCTCAGTTTGCCACTCCATATTATTTCTTTTCAAGATCAGCATCCGACATTTTTCAACATTGTTCAAGCCTAGTATGCAATCAGTGCACCTCGTGTAACCTAAAGAAAACAAATCTGCTACATTTTTTCTGGTAGGATCACCGATTTTACAGAATTCTGCTGGAAATCTGCTAACATTTTCGTTCTTGTGCTAGATTCCTTTTTTTTCCAAAAAAAATCTGTTAGTTGAAAATCGGCTAACTGAAAAAGTCAATGGATAAAATAAATTTGAAATAAAAATCACATGTCCTTAATAAAGTCAATCGTATTGGAAAAAAAACTTTTAAAAGTCTACAAAAATTCTACATGAAATTGAATTTTTGTGCACTCTTGGTACATTTTTAAAGATTTTTGGCTTTTTCAGATTTTTTTTCAAGTTTTCAAGATCTTGAATTCAAGCAGTGGCAACACTGACCCTAGGCTCCGCGCCAACTAGACCGGCCAGGATCTGGTGTCGAGGTAGTCTGTCAAACCACAAAAAATGTAGCTAATTATATTTTTGAAAATTCATGGCTACGTATTTGAATTTTATTACTGAATTCTGATAAGTGAACTACATAAATTAACGCCGAGCCAAATTTAGCTTTCAAATGAACTATGAAATGGCGCATTTGTTTTATCGGTGACCTCATCTCTCTGAAACTTTTAGTTTGTGCAAGCCTATGATTAAAAACGAGATTTGGGTAAACGGTGTTCTCCTCGAAAAAAAAAAGAAGTGCCAGTTTCACGTTCATTTCCCGGGCAAATAATTCATCCATGACGACAAAAACTGCACAATACCACGTACATTACTAATTGTAAAAGTTGGTATCTTAAAATGATGCAAAAACCCATACACCGGGGGTTTGTAGAGAAAATATCCGATTATTTTTTACTCCCCATCGCGCTCAATTAACTTCGGCAGCGACCGCAAGCCTCATTTTACTAAAGAATAAGTTAAGACAGGATCATAATGCCGGCACAACACACTTTTTTGGAGGTACCGGGGGTTTTGTTCCCGAAACCAAAACTTCCGCCCAAGTTTTACAGCTGAACGGCTCAAATGTATTGCTTTTGTTGAGTTATGGTGTACGCATGAGTGTAAATATTCAAGAATAAAATTCGTTTGGCCCGAAGCGATATCCGACTGCATGGCGAGATTAATTATGTGTGAACAGATTCGCTGATTAATTAGGCAAGACCCCGCCTCTTGACCTCCTAGATTTTGACCAATCAGCGGACGCTTTCTAAATCGGGTCGTCGGTCGATTCCGCCTTTTGCGCGTCATTGACAATGGTTTTAAAAAAAATGTGTCACGCTCTCTGCTCATGTTACGCGATATCGCGCCCGGCTGTTGTTGTATTACAAAATACTGCATTTGAATTGACCAATAAAACCTTTTTTTGCCCGATGGTTGCCCCTTCCGGCCCCCCCCCCCCCCAATCAAACCATTTAGTCCTGGTTTAGGAATGAAATGACGTCACGATTTTGTAAAGTCGACTTCGATTGGCTGTCGCGCAGCTTGCATAAATTTGCATGTCACGTCAGGATGTCTGGACGTTACAGGATTTGGCTCCGTGGATAACGGGTGATACTCAGACTACATTAGAACGGGCACATATTTACGCCACTGGATTCAATGACTCCAAACTGAAAAATTATTTTTAAAAGGTGATCTTTTGCTCCCAAAAATTGGTTTAAATGGTCAGAAAGGGCCTCAGATCACACCACAGAGCGTCTAGCATCAAAAAAAAAAAAAATAATAAAAATAAAAATATCGAATATGAATTTTTTTAATATGAATTTTTCGCGATTAACATTTTATGCCGTAATTTTTGCACAGAATTATTTGCTTTATAATTTCAAGGTTGCCCTTACCCCCCCCCCCCCCCCCCCCCAATGACAAGTGCATATTTGAAATCTGAAGCAAATTTTACTCTATTTTATTCATACGGGACGAAGTAAACGTATATTTTTAAAAAAAATAATTATTTATTTCTGGTATACTCAAGGATTCCTCAAAAGTGCATGCCCCAGGCACTGTAGCTCGCAAGCCCGAAGAAACCGAAGTACATGTAATAGCAAGCACCAAGCACAACTAAGAGCATTAATTTTGACACATTTGCGTTCCATACATCGTCACAGCCCGCGTCGAGTAAAAAAAAGGGGCACAAATCAAAAAAGTTTATTTTTATTGGTGTCCTTTTTTTACTGAAGCTTTTCTTCTTATATCCACCTACTCACATAACATGTAAATAAATAAAACAAAAATACTCATGACAAAATTATGCCTGAATTTCACCCAATAAGTATAAATACTTCCTTTTATTAAGCTTCCAACACCAAGTCCCAAACCCACACTCAAAATGATCAAGTAGTTATATACAGTCGACTCTCATTAGTACAAACTCTGTTAATACAAAATTCTGGTTATAACAAACATAAAGCCTTGGTCCCGACTGTGCAGTTATGTGCACAATGAATGGGTCTGATGTTCCTCTTAATACAAAATTCTGATACAACAAACAATTTGGCTAGGTCCGAACGAATTTGTTATAATGAGACTCGACTGTACACATACAAGCGTATATCCATTTTTATTCATATAATTACAGGAATGTTTCACTAATGTACATGAATGATGAAGACTAGAATATAAACCTTATTGTCAATAATGAATGAGATCAAAGATCTAGGGTCAACAAATTATATAAATCATTGCTCAAAGCAGTAAACATATAGACCTTCCTGAAGATAAGTATATGTATTAATTTTTATCATGATTAATGTGAAAAGCATTATCTCTTTCTTAAACCTTTAATCATTTCCACAAAAAAATATTTATTACCAAATATTCCATTGCACTCTTTGAGTTATTTCTTTTTTTTTTAACTAAGAAAGGTTCGCTCGTACCCCCGCCCTGCAAACAGGACGCTGGTAAGGGCTGATGAGCTTCACAGAATCTTGTGAAGGAAGTGGGGATGAATTCTGGGTAATTTATCATGACCTATGTATAACCCATCTGGCTGCAGTTGTTTAAGACTGCAGTTAGCCAATGCGCGCAAATGCTATCCTAAAACTTTCTCATAGACATGCACACATTCCATACTGGATGTGATTTCTTTTTCATTGCGGAACATGTGAACAAAATTTGAGCGTCGCACATCTTTAATATACAGCTCCGAGGTGTCACCTGATATGCAAGTTGACCCTTCGTGAATTCAAAACGGAGCCCGAGCGAATGTGACGGGAATTGAACATTTACAAAACAGATAAGTTTTACAGATTTTCCTATACATTATTATGCTTTTCAACAAAAAAAATTAATAATAGAAATGGGCATAAAAAGAGTGATGATTCAGTCTTAACAGCCGCTTCAAACCTTGCAGGGTCGTGGCAACCTCGTCCCCAGGGTGTCGAGCAGTACACGACCACCACTACCTGCTCTCTCACCCTGGTATTAGATCATTTGCATGTGCAAGATTTTTGAACACGTATGGCAACTGAGGCGTAGTCTGGTGCCTGCAAGAATGTTACATTAGCGTTTGTTTTTGTATGCGGTCTCTGGAGTAAAAACAACATCAATTCGTCGCGCCGTGAGTTATGAAAGCACAATTTTTTTGAACTTAAAATGTTACAATCTGGCCCGCCAATGTGCAGTATCACATTTCATATTAATATGAGCAAACTGGAAAAGAAAGGAATATTTTTGGCAATTATAATTACAATGAGCATTACACGTAATGCACGTTGGAATTTAACAACACCAACTGCAAGATATAAATCCATTACTAGCAAATTGCAGTATCGAATAAGGATACAGGAAGAAAGTCTCCTATCCAGGGCTTACTATTGGAAGCAAGGTTGGAAATAAAGTAAGCACTGGGGACGAGGTTGGGGTCGTGGCTGTGATGACTTGCATGTCACAGGTCACCAAAAATCTGTCCAATCAGAGCGTGAATTCATCAGCCTGTCCCAGCGTCCTGTTTGCAGGGTGGAGGGTACGAGCGATTATGAAAGGAAACTTAATTCACCTAATTGCTACGCAACAAGATTTTCCTCTAAGATAGCTGCTATGCATGAGGCATATTTGGAAAAAACGTTTCAGTTTTTTTTTTTTTCAAAACAAACATACAATCAGAATTATTTAAAGCGATAAATATATTGGCACAATAGAAACGTGGATATATTTACTACAAAGGATTACAATCAACTGGTTTTTTATGCAAGGGATGCCAATAAAATAGTCATGTGACCATAATAGTCAGGTGACCACTGGATTGCGGATCATGGATGATATAATTTTCCCAAATTGACGACACATAAATTATACTCTTCTGTAATAAGGGGCGCATTGCGGTAGACAGAGTGGTTATAAGATGGTATGCCTGTACATAATTATAATATTCACACTTCCACCATCTTGGTCTAGTTCCCAAGGACACCAGCAGTCACCACCACACAAAGTCTCACCGCGTCAGAGGCACCAGTCTATTTGTACACTGGCGCCTCACTTTGAGCATCATAGACTCATGTGGTGGATGACTACTGATAAGGTCCTGTACCCCGTGTCGTACTAATGGAGGTTCTATTGCTGTGATAAATTGCAGGTAAAGGTAGCTGGATGCGTAATCGTTTTCCTAGGAGGGTTAGGGGCAATGTCATGCATAATTCAGTTTTTCCTTTGAATCATTGCAAGACTTAGGTTCTCGTTCTATTTTCCCCTTAATTTAAAATTATCTCAGTGATAAATTTGGAGAAGAAAAATAGCTGATGAAAATGAGCAGCGACGACGTGGATTCGAACCAGGGATCTTTGTATCCATAAGCTCGTCTCGCTATCCACTAGGCTACTGTGTGGTAGCTCGACGACAACCGTTCTTTAAAATGCTTTAATGTATTGTAACTAGTTGAGTAAGTAACAACAATGCTGTTGATGTCATTGTCCGTTCTCACGGATAAACATGAATTATTCATGACATTGCCCCTAACCCTCCTAGGAATAAAAATTACGCTAGCTGGACTTGGCTCGGATCACTCCACGTGTTTGAGACGTTGCAGGGCGGCGTGGATGCGCATGTGAAGACGTTGCTCAAAGTCGTAATCTTTGTAGTGATCCTTGGCCCTCACGAGGAGAGACTTCCCTTTACTGGCAGTCTGTGGGTGAATTACAGACAATTACGTTTAGTACAAGAATCATATGGACTATGGGCTCCGTGCGCCAACGAAAGAGGGCGCCCTTTTACCTAGCACCGACATCCCATGGGCGGGACATTTCGCTGGTTGACGCGCATCGTCCCTTGTGTGTGACGCACGTACACCAGGGGATTCAGTTGAACCATGTACACGCAGTGCTAGTGGTGGCCACGCGTTGCGGCAAAATTGCAGTCAGGCAAGATGGCGTTGGTCGGTCACCCCCAACTGTACTTTCTTTGCCAATGAGGGGGTACTTGTGAGCGGAGCAGATATGACTTCAACGGTTATAAAACTGAAAACAAGCTTTTTTTTTATAAAACTCACCAAAGGTTTGCCAACGAGTAAGGAGCCCAGCTCGACGCAAGCATGAGGTGCTGCGTAGGATTCCTGATTCTTGCCCGCTCCGTAGACCATCGCATCCTCGAAGCACTGGCGTAAAGACAGAGGTACAAGAATTCATCAAGTCAGAGTTATCATCGCAAGTCATCCAATCCCAAGTCAAATGACAAGCTGTTCGCTGTATTTGCACATCCCCTGTTGCTTGTGATTGACTTGTGATTGACTTGTGATTGACTGGTGATGGATTTGTGAATGACTTGTATTCAACTCGTATTTGACTTGTGATTGACTTGTGATTGACTTGTGATTGACTTGTGTTTGACTTGTGTTTGACTATTGTTTGACTTATATTTGAACATTGACTTGTGTTTGACTTGTGTTTGACTTGTGTTTGACTATTGTTGGACGTTTGACTATTGACATGTGTTTGACTTGTGTTTGACTTGTGATTGACTTGTGATTGACTATTGTTTGTGCTTGACTTGCGTTTGACTTGTGTTTAACTTGTAATTGACTTGTGATTGACTTGTGGACTTGTGATTGACTGGTGCTTGACTTGTAATTGACTTGTGTTTGACTTGTGATGGACTTGTGATAGACTAGTGATGGACTAGTGCTTGACTTGTGATTGACTTGTGATTGACTTGTGATTGACTTGTGATTGACTTGTAATTGACTGGTGATTGCCTTGTGAATGACTAGTGATGGACTTGTGATAGACATGCACTGGACTTGTGATTGACCATGTTTGACATGAGTTTGACTATCGCTTGTGTTTGACTTGTGATTGACCTGTGTTTGACTTGTGTTTGACTTGTGTTTGACTTGTGATTGACTTGTGATCAATTTGTTCATTAACCAACACATGACTTTATACCTTTATTGCTTCCTCCCTATTTCCCTGGTGTTTGTGGAGTTCTCCTCTCAGAAGGCACGTCACTGCCTTCAAATTTTGGTCCTTGTTGCCTTCGCACTCTGAAATTATTTAAATCAACAAAGTATTTGATTGAAGTGGGATTTGAACCTGTAACCTCTGAAACACCACATCCGTGCTCTACGTAAGTTAGTTGTTGCACTTGAACCAATGATCGATAGTGGATGGTGCATAGAGCGCCCTCTAATGGCACAACAATTAGACCAGTGGGTCTACTCGCACCTATGTCTTGGCCATTTCGTATCAGCGGTTTAACTTTTTCGCTATTTTCTCCCTAGGCTTTCCTAGGGAGCAAATCAGCAATCGAGAAATGGTTCAATGGTTCGCCTGACGGTTGTAAACATTCGCAACGCTGTGATACCCCTGCGGGAGGGGGCGTGACTACTGCAGCAAAGGGGAACTGCCTTTTTGTTCGAATTTATAAGGACACAGCCTCGACTCCATGGGCGCGTGAGCGTTCCTTCACTAACCCCTAGCCGTAATGTACACGTAAACGATGCTGACTGGCTTTTCAGAGCGTATTGCGTGCACATTTTGAAGATTGCACAACGGGCGCGCCCATAATGCGCTTGCGTGCTATGCACGTCACGTCACGTACGAAAATATTTTGTTATTCAAAACTCGCGATGCCTGTCCGCTCAAAAAAAACCTGTATCTTCGGTTGTAAAGGGACGATAGGGGTACGTACATTTAATACAAATCTTTGCTAAGTAACGCAACCTTCAAACTTTATGTTTGAAAGGATTGATTCTTCAAAAACACAACTTTCAACATTTTCAAGATGGCGTCGGCACGTAAAACGGATAAACTGCAGCCTAAATTATAATGTGCCATATTTAGACACATTTAAATGAGACAAATCCAGGGGTTGAGATCGCGCAAGGCATGATGGGAAACAACATGGCGCAGCAAGATCTCGTACCCATGGGAACGAGGTTGATACGGACAGTCCTATTTACACAAAATGGCCACACCCCCATTGTTAGGAATGAAGAAGTCGTTAGTGACAGAACATAAAAAAATCAATCATGCAAGGATCGGTCATGCTTTGTAGTCCCCCCACCAAAAAAAACCCCCTAATGTCCCGATGACTTACCTTTGTACATACTCTCCAGACATTCCTTGCTACAGTTTGGCAGTGCTCGCCACAGATACAACACCTCTATGGCCATAATCATGCACTGCTTGGTGGTCGGCATGGTCTTCTTGAACTTTTGGGCCTGTTTGAAAAAAAAAACAATTGAGACCATAAAATATCTGACAAAAAAATCCAGTGCATTTTGGTATTGTCCAAAATACTTGTCTATGGGACAGAGATGAAACTGGCCAATGGGCAAAAAAAAAAAAAAAATGGAAAATAAGCGGAATACAAATCTGTGTCCGAAATCTGGGCCGCGCCGCATTGTACGATACACTTAATGTCCCATTTTCGCCTCCTGTTTTATATTAGATCCAAACAAAACTTTACGATGAGAATAAATGTTCAGTGTTTCCATAAAATTAGAAAGCCTGAATTACTGTTAGAGTGAAGAACTCGTCAACAAAGAATATTGCTTCATACTTGAGAATGTGGAGGGAAAAGCATAAATTTAGGCCTATATTATACTTGAAATTCTCCGCACTGCTCCAAGATGTCACTGGCATATTGAGAGTGATTGCCGGAGGATTTTGAAGAATTGATGCGGGTCACCCCTTTCGAGGGACCACATTCAAGAAATTACGGATGATTTTGGAGGATTGAGGCTGAATGCTTTTTTTAGGCAGTTGGAGGATTTAGCAGGTTTGAGGTTGCATCCTAGCAAAAAGGCTCAGGGAGTTATAGTTAAAATTGGAAAAGTTTATAATCTCTGATGGAAAGTGGCTGCAGCCTCTTCCATAGGCGCATGTGTAATTTAAAGCCGAAGCCAAGTAATTTTGACGTAGCCTCAGCAGGAGAGGAAGAAAAAAATGTTGTGGGTTCGAGTCCCACCCAAGTATAAGCTTGTTCTCCAAGCCCTCGGACAACACTGAGTATACAGTGTTTATTATTATTTCTGAAATGTGTCGGCGAAGGGTAAAATCCAATACAAAAAGACTGTTAGAAGGCCAGGCCAGAATCCACAAATAGGCACTGACTGCAATCAGGCTACTCACTTTTCGGACGAGGAAGGCTTCAATCTGTTGATGGCTGCTCTTCTTCTTCGCTAGATCAGGCACCTCCCTGAACAGCTCCTGGGCCGTCTCAACTTGGCCCAAGGCCCCCTGACAAACTGACAACACAAAGATAAAAACGTGTACAAAGTCTATAGGATTTGGGAAAGAAGGACCAAAGAAGAGGAAAGAAGAAAACAAAATCGGAACAAAAACAAAGGCTTTTCCACAACACAAAGAAACAAAACGTGTACAAATTCTATGGGATTTTGGACAGAACAACTAAAAGAAGAAGCCAAAAAAAATAAAAAATATTCGGAACAAAAGCAAAGGTTTTTCCACGACTCAAAGAAACAAAACGTGTACAAATTCTATACGATTTGGGACAGAACGACTAAAAAAAAGAAGCAAAAACAAAAATCAGAACAAAAACAAAGGCTTTTCTTCAAATTCACTAGGGGATCTTACCTCCAGTTAGGTATCCATAGTAGCACTTGGACCATTTGGAATCTTCCTTCATTCTGTAAATAAAATAGCAAAAGACAATTGTCAAAAGTTTAGACAATGCAGCTAATATTTCACGACCATTAATCAAGTTGAAGACCTGTAGAGTACATCATCTGCAGCTATCCAAAAAGAAACTGACGAAAATATTGTTGAAAAACATACTTGGCTACAAGATTGTAATGGCACTAAACTCCCTGTGAAATTATTCTTTCTTGCATGCTGTCATTTTAAACAATAAAAGAAGGTCATTTCCAAAGATTTAGACACATTTTTCAAAATTTCCATTGGTAGTTCGTTTTTAATTAGAGAATGGGTGCGTGCAAGCATTGACACGACGCACACACGTGCCCGGTGCCAATTATTCACCAGTTCAGCGCGTGACATCGCGTAGCTGCAATTGCCTGAATGAGTACGCGTCTCAAGGGACCCATGAGAAACGATCTGTGAAATGACTTTCGGAGGAGGTCCTACCTACAAAAACGTCTTTCGCTTGCAATTTTCTCAAGGAACCCATGAGATATGATCGTGTGAAATGACTTTCGGAGGAGGTTTTACCTACAAAAACATCTTTCGCTTACAATTTTCTCAAGGGACCCATGTTAACCCTAACCTCCCCAAACTCGCTCAAAATCCATCCCCCCATTTTGGTGGATTTTGGGGGGCTTGGTCCAGAAGGCCTGGCGTGACTAAATATTGATGGAGTATGATGGACTTGGGCCTAATGGCCTGAAGCAGTGCTAGGGGTATCCGATTGATTTTGCCTAGCTTCCTGTACTGCTATTGTGATCAAAGCCATGTGTAGCAAGTCCAAGAATGTCAACCAGGGCGTCAGTGGTGGATTCATTGTCATGTACAGTTTTGTATTAGACGCACAGTGAATGATGGATTTTGATGGAATTGGTCCAGTTCCTAGTAAAAGACGCTAGGGAGTTAGGGTTTAACAATTGTGTGAAATATCAATTTACCTTGCGAATGCCAGCATGCTCTCCTCCATGTTCAGCATCATGAGATTACACCAGCCAATCTCGTAGACACAGATGAGTTGGATCTCTCGCTGGTCCTTGGCGGCCTCTAGGGCCGTGTTGTAAGTCTCCAATGCCTTGTGAATATTCCGCTGAAAAAGTCAAAAACGACAATGTGAAACGACTTCTATTCACTTGTATGCAGTAAATTTCTCAAGGGACCCACATGGATTTCTCCAGGGACTCAAGAGAAATGCAAGTGTGAAAGGATTTTTGGATAACTCAAAGATGAGTTGAATGTCTCTCTCGTCCCAAGAGTGGCAAACTCTTGGTGGCGCACTGCATTGTGGATAGCCGAATTGAAAATGAACATCACAGCTTCAATAAATTTGCTTACTTGGAGTTTTTCTACCCGTCCTTGATAGAACATGACCAGGGCGGACTTGGCGTACTCGGCTTCGTTCTCCTTCAGTATGCACTGTGCTTCCTGGATACAGGTCTGCGTGTTGGCATCGTCAAGACCGAAGAATGGACGGACGACAGTGTGATACCACAACAGGGATAACCTGATCAAGAATTTTAAAGAAAGAGATAAAAAGGGAAACAATTTTGTTATTTCCACTTTTTGATATTTTGAATTTTTGTTATTTCGAGCAGAGGTAACAACTATAAAGGGTGAGTAAATTTGGATGTCACTTTGAATGAAAACACATAAAAAATATGCATCATTGTCATTTTTTGTGTGGGAATTTTATCAATTGCTCGCGAGTACTTGACAACTTCTGCGTAATTTCTTTTGGGAGTACTCAAGTTGAAAATTTGCTCATCACCCGGGACTAGGGTGTGTAGAATGGAAAACTGGCTTTCATTGTCATTCTCAAAGAGTGAAAAGAATCTCACATTGCCAACGGCGCCTTCATATCTTGGCTGTGACTAGCCAGCCGCAGGCACTTCAGCCCGAACTCCCGGTTGCCGCGGAAACCCAGCAGGTTGACCACTTTGAGCAGGCTGGGGGGCATCATGGAGATACACAGCTGGAGGAGTCCGTAACCAAACGCCACGCCCCCGCACAGACGCGCTAACGTCTCGTCCGGAACTTCGCCGTGATCGCTCGCTTCCGAGTCCGCATCAGATGCGACTTCCAGGCCGATCTCATCCGTCACTTCGTCGCCGTTGTTCTCCGGAGGAACAGCATCCGAGTTCTCGTCAATCATCGTCGGGGGCGTCCCCGTGACCGGACTGTCCTTGCCGCGCAATGCGTAAAGGCGCGTAATCTCCTTGTAGACCTTCTCGTAGATCTTGTACCCCTTGCGTATGAGCCAGCCCCCTTTGAAGAAACCCGAGACCTCGCTTCGAGAGAACGTCAACAGCGCCGCGTACAGCTGACAATCCGCTGTAATGATCTGCCGTTGGATGCGATCCTCAAACCCGAGCTGCGCGTACGGCTTGGTGGCCGAGTTGCGCCGCATGACCTTTGACCTCAGTGACTTCATGAAGCCCTCGCTGGTCACGCAGAGTTTCTCCGTTTCCTTGAGTGACTCCATGGCAGCGTCCATCTTGTCATCTTCAAAGGTCATCATGGCATTCTGGGAATAACAGACAAGCAAATATTGGTTTGATCAGCAAAGTTTTGTACTGTTCACAAAGTAAGTAAAAGGAATTCGACGCTCTGTACGTTTTTACATCAAATGTTTACACTGTGAATATTAATTTACCATGAACTGGACAAAGCTTGCTCCCGCACTCATGAGTGGGCTGTAGTGCCTGCAAAATTCAAACAAAACATTAAAACAAATTACCCTAACCCACCTCACTCCTCCAAAATCCTCCTGGCGGTTTTGGAGGATTCTAGAGGATTGAGGATGAATGGTGATTGAATCAAATGAGGATTCTGGAGGATTGAGGATGAATGGTGATTGAAGCACATGAGGATTTTGGAGGATTGAGGATGAATGGTGAATGAAGCACAAGAGGATTTTGGAGGATTGAGGATGAATGCATTTTGAGGCAGGACTGTCTGATGATTTTGAAGGATTTGGCGTTGGTTATCCTTCATTTAAACACGAGTGCAAAGTTTTGGGATGAGGAGGATTTTGGAGGATTGAGGATGAATGCATTTTGAGGCAGGACTGTCTGACAATTTTGAAAAATTTAGGCGGAGTTGAAAAATTTTGGAGGATTTTGGAGGATTGAGGATGGTTGTAAGCAACAAGGGCCTAGGGGGTTAGGGTTTTAATAAATACAGTTTCGCTTCGAATTCTACATTTTTGGACGAAAACAGTAACACATGTAATATGAATACGGCACAATTGCAGAATTCACCGCCACTCAGCTATCTCATCTCGTAGCCAGCTGCACGGATACAGAGTCACGCTTGACTGCTCACCCACATGACGCGTGCGCTTCCCACTTGTACCGTGTAATCACTTCCCGGGAGCTAGGCTACTTTGGACTTGACTTTTTTTTTATCATCCCCATTCAATTAACGCTGCATGTACTGATTCACCAAAATAGCGCCCTCTTTCGTCCCTCCTTGACTCAATCCGGGAGCTAGGCCTACTTTGGACTATTTCTAGCTCCTTGACTGCGTAGCCAATTTTAGGGGGTGACTTTCGACATGTTCGAGTGGCAGGGTTTTCCGCAATTACTCCATTAATACAATTAAATAACCCTTGCTTTTTGGTCCCCATTCTATTCCCCCCCCCCGTCCGGGCCATGCCCCTCCCCCATTTAGAAAATCAGACATCGCCACTTCAACTTGTTTCCACTAAAATTCCAGCAAATTCAATAATCTATTTTCAAAAAATCTGTATCCATCCCCGCAATAGGCATATTCCACACATTCCACACACACCTACCTGTATTTATTGAATATTTCTGCCGACTCTTTGAAGCCATTATTCAACAACAAATTGATGGCAACCAGAGACAATTTCACATCGTCGGTTTGGATTCCGTCCTCCAAACTCAAATCCTCGCATTGGCTCTCCAATTTCTCGAAACTCCCGGTCGAACTGTGAGCCATTTTGTACTCAGTTTGTTTATTTTCTCCTCAGTCTTTTGAATTCTTGAGTCCGATGACTATTTTCCATCCCCAGTGCGTGAAAAACTGGGGGTTAATTTGGAAACAAATCTGTCAAATCACCGGCGCCGCGCCGACCGGTTTTGATGAGCACTCGAGATCGTCGACCTTTGGTTTCCTTGGTTTCCGTTAGTGTTACACATAAACGGATCGGGATTTAATAGTTTCGGGTACCAGTGAAAATGTGCGAAGGTCAAAAACCAGCAATTCGGTCATCGACGATCGATATGTGTTCAACAATTTTGCTATTAAATTGTTGCATTGTTTGGGATTTTCATCATATTTCGGGAATGTTTTTCCTAAACTAAAGGCAGAAACAGGTAATTAACACTATTTAAATTGAACCCTTTGAGGTATTTGGCGATGAAAGTAACGAATGACAAATGAACGAAGAACGAAATGATTTATACCGCATTTTTAACGTTTATGCTCTGATAACAGCCGTCTGGCACATTTTACTTGCCATACTGATAAGGATATACGGCTGTTGCATGTAAACTTTTAATCAATAAATTATTTTATGCATATCTTCCTATGCAGATACAAAAATGGAGCTTGAACTGGATGATCCGAAGCAACAAGAAGCCAGGGCGTTTCTCAGAGAACGATTTCTCAAAACGCTCGTGGCAATGTCAGGACGGAAAGTGGCATTTGACCTGCAGGAACGGACATCAGTGCGCGCGACCTTTGGCACATCCGACGTCGATATTCTTCGCTTCCAAGTTAGAGACTTAGAAACGCCAATCGGTGTCCAGAAGCAAGCTTTGCTACGATGCTCGGACATTGTGTCATTCGCTTGTGAGATTGAGCCAAGGGATTCATCTCATTGAATATGCAGTTACCATGGCAACTGAATGCTGATTGGACCAAGCGTGGAGGCAAGAATGCATTGGCCAATCCAAATGGGGATTTCAGCAGCACTGCCTGCCAGTTAATTGCTTCTCAACGATAATGGATAGCCCATTCTTCTAAACTGTAGAGGGCGCCATTTCGTGCACATGATTTATCGGTTAGGAAAGGGGACAAGATCTGTTATTAACGAAGTCGGAGTTGCCCCATTAACCCACCCCCCCCCCCCCCTCCCTGACCCTAAAAGGGGTTAAAAAATTAATGAAAACTTATTGTCTGGCATCTTTTTAACTGGCATTATGTACGAGGGCTAGGGTGTAAAAGTGTACCAAAAAAGTCACAGAACTATCATGCACTTTGCTTGACTTTGTAACAATAACTTTAATAATGCCATTTATTATTAAATAATTCACTTTGTTGTTTTAAATACAACCAATTTTATACAATCACACGTAAACTTCTTAATATATTAGTAAATATCTTATAGTACACATAGCATGGATTAGGCACAAATTATGTCCCAAAAACATCAGTTACGTTACATTATCACAGCTTATAGAACTAGATGAGACAACATTACTAGAGACCCTATTTTCATGGTACTTGTCACAGATTAACTGTAAAAGATTTTGTTTTTTAAATGCCCTGAATTCGCATGATTATTATTATGCCGTAAACCTAGTGTTTGCAAATAAAATTATCATGTTACAAAAATATGAAAAAAAATCCTTTTTTTCTCCTGTTTCAAAGAAAATCAGTTGTAAAAATCCAAAATCCTAACAACTTTTAGGTAAAACTCTCTTAAATTATAAAAAAAAAAAAAATTGTTTGAAAATTACAAACAGCATCCACCCGTAATGATTAAAAACAATAGAAAACTAAGTGCGTATTTTTACCTATAAACAGGGTTCTCGTGGCCTAGAAAAAAAATTGGAAAAGTTTGAAACCTCGCATTTCATGTTGATGCTAAGCTATTAGCTTAGCTGTACTAAGCAAGGCATGCCAAAACTGGTAGCTCTAAAAGCCTGTTGCGCAAAAGTTAAAAGTATAAACAAAGGAAAAGGGAAGAGGAACAAAAGAAAATCCTCGATTTACACCATAAACAAACATGTTTGGATGTGTGTATGTGTTATGGCACACTGGTATTTTCGTAAACCCTCAAACTTTTCGTAGGCCCTAGCGCAGTGCCTAATTGATAATCTGGTCCTGGTCATGGATTTGAATAATTTGGTCTTGAAAAAGTCATGGATTTTTATTGCCCTAAAGGTTAGGAACCCTGTACGATGTGCATAAATACTCCAAACACCAAAATCACACACTGTGCTAATAAAATACATCAATTTGCAAAGCAAAATATTCTGCGTTACAGCTTCGTAAAATTGGGTCAGACTCTCGAGCCGAAAGCTCCCCTTTCCGGCTATTCAGTCTTACAAAGCACTTCCGTCATTCCGTGCTGGAAGAACCCGTCTACAAACTGCTCAAACAGCCGGATCATGTAGCTGTTTCCCCTCGGAAGGAAGCCCTCTGTGAATCCAACATGGCCGCCGTGTGATGTCACCACCAGTGCGATGTTACTCTGTTCCTTGGCATCGGCAGTGGGTATTGCTGCAGCATCCAACAAAAAAATTAAATAAAATCAATCAATAATGCAAAGTTTGACTCGCCGAAGGATATCAACTGGGGGGGAATTCGGATCTGCAATCTTTGAAGGGTCTGTGGTTTGAACCCCACTGAAGTAATTTGATTTTTTAAGTCACTTGAAACCTGACAGAAAGACGCCAGCTTTCATCTGATGACTGGGAAACTTTTCGTTTTTCATTCAAGTAGTATTCAAGCCCTTTGAGATATTTGTATAAAGCCATACCTACATAAGCACTCGTACAAGTTTACGTCATGCTGACGTAGAAATTTCGTCACCGTTTTCACGAACAGCCACATACTATATATATTATGTTGATTTTGAAGAAAAGTGTTTTCGAGAAAATTGCAAAAGAAGTTTCACATATTTTAAAACTTTAAGAAATACTACTTTGCAACAACTTTGTGCAGCAAGGAAACCATCACACGATTCTACGAGAGCTGAAGTTTTACATGAACCCGGTAATAAGACTTAATAAAGCAGTTAATTAGTGAAAATTAATTAGTAAAGATATGTGGCTCTTCGTAAAAATGCAAATTCAGGTTTCCGACATATTGGCCCTTTCTGTTCAACGTGTATTTTAATAGGCGCGCGTGAGTAGGCGCGCGTGAGTACGAGCTGAAAATGTAACAAAGATATGTGGCTCTTCGTGAAAATGCAAATCTCATTTGACCTACTTTTACGTATTTCCGTGCAATGGGTTTTGTACGCGTTCAGAGGGCCAAAATGTATGTGGCTCTTCGTGAAAACGCAAAATGCATTTATCAAGATTTCGGCCCCTTGCAACATTAATGTAACTTAGAAATTAATGATGTTTTGCTTACAGAAACATGTCAAAATGGTTAAGTACATTGTTTTAATGCGAAATATTGAAAAAAATGAAAATCAAAAAAATTGTAATTTTTGACATATGTGGCTCTTCGTGAAAACGGTGACGATTTCATCAAATGGTGGGTGGGGGGTTGGGGGGTTCAGTCTTACTTTCTAAGGGTGCAAATGGGTCGTCCCCCGCACTCAGGCACAGCGTTGGAATCCCAATGTGAAGAACTTTGGTGTGTAACGATGCGTCGGCATAGTAGTGGTCCACCGTCTCGTAACCAAACATTTTAGCAGTGAATCGCTCGTCAAATTGCTTGATAGTTTGCGACTGGAAACAAACAAACAAACAAACAAACAAATGAACTAGAAAGCACTCAGAGAGCACAAACCTCCGCCAAGGCTAAACAATTCCCCGCCATATTGTCAGTACACCCAAAAGAAATACTCGCATAAATGGTGAAGAATCCTTAAAAAAAATCCTGGATCCAGACCCAGATCCGGATCACTTCCAAAATCTAATCGATTTTTACTTGTACCAAGGACCACCCCTAAAACAATTTTCACGCAAATCCGTCCATAATTTGTTGAGTCATCTTGTTAACAAACAAACCAATCAACCAACCAACAAACGCCAAAGAAAACAAACAAAAGCAATCTCCAATTTGAAACTTTGAAAAAATATGGCTTTTGACTTACACCCAACAAACAAAGGCATCGTAAATATAGTTCTGGATAGCTCAGTTGGTAGAGCACCGGTATGGTGTTTCGGAGGTCAGAGGTTCAATTCCAGCTCCAGCCAAATTCTTTGTATGACTTAAGTCTGTGATTTGAAAAACTTTCAATTTTAATTAAAAAAATGCTCACCTGCATGGCATGACCTATATCAACGTGCTCTTCGAACATCTGAACATTTCTGTCATAAACGGGAAAATATTTGAAGTTCTTAAGATATAACAAATAAACTTAGTTATGGGAAATATTTTAATAGCTATTAGACCTTACCTTAAAAAGAAAATGCTGATGACAAAAAAGATGTTTCGTACAACAAAATTTCAATGTCTGTCACATAGCACACTCACCTGGCTAAAACTTTGGTCAGTTCTTTGGCTAGGAATCGGTTGAAGAGGATGGAATTGACAGGTTTTTCCAGGGATTCCGTAGACACAAATGTGTTCCAGGCGACCGAGACCGTCATGGCAGCAACTAGTGGTGTGTTCTCACCGACCTTGGCCAGGTAGTTGAACAAAATGATACTAGAAAAAGAACAATAAGGAGTAGAGTTTCAAGAACTTTTCAGAGTTGTAACCTGGTCATCGGAAGTCATCACAAGTTCAATCACAAGTCATTACAAGTCAATCGCAAGTCCATCACAAGTCATCACAGGTTATCACAAGTCATAACAGGTTACCACAAGTCATAACAGGTTACCACAAGTCAATCACAAGTCATCACAAGGCAATCGCACGTCATCACAAGGCAATCGCACGTCATCACAAGTCATCACAGGTTATCACAAGTCATAACAGGTTACCACAAGTCAATCACAAGTCATTACAAGTCAATCACAAGTCATCACAAGTCAATCGCAAGTCCATCACAAGTCATCACAGGTTATCACAAGTCATAACAGGTTATCACAAGTCAATCGCAAGTCATCACAAGTCAATCGCAAGTCAATCACAAGTCAATCACAAGTCATCACAAGTCCATCACAAGTCAATCGCAAGTCAATCACAAGTCAATCGCTAGCCAATCACAAGCCAACACAAGTCATCATAAATCATCACAAGTCAATCACAGGTCATCACAAGTCAATCATAAATCATCACAAGTCATCCAGTCTCCGGTCAAGTGAAAAAATATTCCAATAAACTGTGTAATTGGCCAACCCCATAGCCTGTGTCCCTGCTTGTGACTTGACTTTAAGTCTGCAAGATCGATCTACATACCAAGTTTCAAGTTGATATGCCATGTCGTTCTTAACCGAGTTATCCAGAAATCATCTTCAAACCACAATGTACAGGTGAAACCTGGACACATCTTTGTAAACGCTCTTTCACTTTGTGAACCCTCTGCCAAAAACTGAGCTTTGTATCCACATTTCATTTTTCTCCAATTAATTACTTACCCTCCGATAGAGATTCCGACAGCAATCACAGGTGCGTTAGGGTTCACGCTGTGAATGTGCTGGATGACAAACTCTAAATCCTCCGTATTTGCGGCACAGAAAGTTCTCGGGGTCTGAAATTTGACGAACAATACACTTGTAACTTCAGTTGGTCAATTAAGCCTCAGAAATCTGGAATTTTTAAGCAGCAAATCGAGAAAGTTTGTCTCAAATGGACTGGTTTTGCCCGTACCTTTATTTCAGCTCCTCCAAAACCTCGGTTGTTGAAGACGACAGAACGGTAACCATGTTTCTTGACCGCTTTCATCATATTAATGGCATAGTGACTTTGACTGGACCCTAAAACCAAACCAAATAAGAACATTTCAAATGACGATAGTAACCTCTCAGTAATGGCCTGAACTCAGTTTCAGAATGAGTCCATAGAAAGACATCTAACCTGTTAACCCTGGTAGTAGTAGGACTGTCGGTCTGGTCTCATTGCTGTATCGTTCATCGTCGTCATTTTCCACCCAGTCAAGAACAACCTCGCCACCGTCAGCCAACCGCAACTTCTCACTTTTAGGAAGAAAAAAAAAAACATAAAAAAAGAGTTGGAATTTCGACTCTACTTTTTTGGATTTGTGAGGACTTGTGATAACTTATGATGGGCTACGATGATTTGTGAGAACTTGTGGGGACTTGTGGTGACTTGTGAGGACTTGTGAGGACTTGTAAGGACTTGTGATGGACGTGTGATGACTTAAATATTTGTGAGGACTTGTGGGGACTTGGGGTGACTTGTGGTGACTCGTGGTGACTTGTGAGGACTTGTGACGGAGTTGTAATGACTTATGATTTTTGAGGACTTTTGAGGACTTGTGATGGACTTGTGAAAACTTGTGATGGATTTGTGATGACTAAAATGATGAATTGTGAGGACTTGTGAGGACTTGTGAGGACTTGTGTGGACTTGTGATGACTTAAATAATTTGTGAGGACTTGTGATGACTTATGGTGACTTGTGATGACTTATGGTGACTTGTGATGACCTGTGAGGACATGTGATGACTTGTGATGAGCTGTGATGACTTAAATGATGATTTGTGAGGTTTTGCGAGGACTTGTGAAGGACTTGTGAGGACCTGTGATGATTTGTGGTGACGTGCGAGGACATGAGGACATGTGGGGAATTGTGATGACTTGCGATGACTTGTGATGATTTGTGAGGACTTGTGAGGACTTGTGTGGACATGTGATGACTTAAATGATTTGCGAGGACTTGTGAGGACTTGTGATGACTTATGGTGACTTATGAGGACTTGTGAGGACTTGTGATGGGCTTGTGAGGACTTGTGATGGACTGTGATGACTTAAATGATGATTTGTGAGGTTTTGTGAGGACTTGTGATGCACTTGTGGTGACTTGTGTTGACTTGCGAGGACTTGTAAGGACTTGTGATGGACTTGGGAGGACTTGTGAGGACTTGTGAAGATTCGTGAGGACATGTGAGGAATTATGAAGACTTGAGTAGTGAACTGTGATCATTTTAGTGACTTGTGAGGACTTGTGAATAACTAAATTAAAACTCTGCTTCTATGTTTTACCTCCTGTACGGAATGGAGTTGAAGAACTTCATCAGTATTGGGCCGATGGTCTGCAGGTGGTAGCTGAAGCACCACATGGTCGGCATGAAGGGCTCCCTCAACATTGGAATGTGTCGTTGGACAAACTGCAAGAATTTGCCATCTTTACCGAAAACTTGGGGTTTCTATTTTCAAATGAAAAAAAAAGGAAAACATTCTGCATGTAAGGAGTGTATAAGCAACTGTCGATGCAAACCAAAAAAATGGCTATGATGACGTCCTTCACCGAGTCATGTTTTACATTTCCACCAATGATGGGGCTGTTCGCGTGCACAATTGAATGTCTACTCAATACAACCACTTTAAACCCACCTGCACAACTTTCATGTAGTAGTATGCAGCGTAGGCCCCCAGCGCCCCTAGAAGTAGGAAAGCTGAGGTGTTCTCCCGGACAATCTGAGGTATTGCGATGAGAGACATGGTGGAAGCATGGCGCCCTCTATGATGCAAGAGGGTGTAGGGTGCTGCGGAGATGTAATTCGATTTTCTGCACAGAACATAAAAACAATTAAAATCCAAATTGTTATTGTGAATTAATTTAGGCCTATTAAACTTAAAGAGGTGATGAACCAATGAATTACGTAACAACTGACGTTAATACTAGTACAGGGTAGGCCCATGGAGGAAGGAACACAGGGGTACGATTTTTTATTTGCCGCGGCTATCGTTACGGCAACCCTAACGCAACTTTCAACAGCTATCATTACGAAACTGTATGGTTCCCGGAAATAATAGTAGGCTATTCAACGTCACAATATTTGGCTGTTGGAACCAGACTGGTTCTTGTATTTTTCCCTTTTACAAAAATGCTCCCAAAGCCAATAGTATTTAGTAAGTTTCAAAGAAGAAATTGAAATCTACTTAAAATACAAAAAAATAATCTGATTAAAAAACCTGAAAGTTAAGAAATCTAATCTATTAAGCAGCGCAAGTGGTTTCGAACCCGGATCCTGGGCACAAGTATTAAACCAATCCAGCTGCCGAAGCGTTCTGGTTGGACAATGTTGGACGGGAGTTGTAAATGTGATATATATTCACAAAGGCACTTTTGCAATTGCAACGATAGTATGCCCTAGTTGAAAATTGCGTGGTTACGGCTGCCGTAACGATAGCCACTACGAGTAGGTCCTACGCATATCTCGGTTTTTTATTTTACACAAGCATGGAGGAAGGAATAGTGACAGTGACTGACACTGACAGTCAATGAATGAGTCATGACAGTGACACTGACAGAGCCCATCGGCCCCACCCAATACAAAGTTGGGCCTACCTACCTAGGCCTACTTCATTAAAAATAAAAATTCAAGGCAGTCGTCTTTACAGTAGTAAAACACAAGTTTAAAGGAAATTCAGAAAATGAGAATTTTTACTAATAAAACTTCCATCTAGCGACTTTTTAGCGTGACGTAAATCTGGGGATCTGCTCTACCAAAAAAGGTTCCCCGTTAATTGAGTATACCGCCCTCTATTGCCACTTAAAGAGCCAATGCACGTGCGAGCCAACCGGTGAGGGCGCTACAACTGATAACCGCTATTCTGCTGAAATTTTGCTGTGTAACGATTTGTGGCCGACGTGCACGATACTTCTTTTAAAAAAAATTCACTAAGAGCTGGTTATCGAAAACCCAAAATGTCTGGTGCCTTGTTCGGGAACACTGCTGCTGGAAGCCGCCCCAGTGGTAAAAATCTGGTGGAGTTTCGTGCCGGAAAAATGCAGTTGAAAGGCAAGACTGTGACGCCGGACAAGCGAAAGGGACAAGTCTACGTGCACCAATCCGACGACTCTTTGATGCACTTCTGTTGGAAGGACCGAGGCACGGGCGTGGTTGAAGATGTAAGAAGGGGGGGGGGGTTAACCCTAATTAACAAGTTAGCCGTATTCGTTTGGAAATGTTTGTACAATTAAACAGTCTATTAATAATTATTGATATAAAACAACTTTTGTAAATTTATGAGAGGATTTTTGAACATTTTTCGGAATTTTTTTTGCAACCTGACGCCACTTCAGCGGTTGTGTACAAAGTCTATGGAGAATACGAATTTTTTTAAAGTACTTCCTAACAAAATTGGAAATGTTTCTCACTAATCTCAGTCCCAGATTCATGTCTTATCGCCATTTTTGCAATGAATGACCTTCATTGAGATGAAAGGCCTAGGCTATATCATGTAGGCCTATATGAAGAAAAAAGTGGCGTCAGGTTGCAACATTTTTTCCCATTTTTCATTGAGAGAAAGTATGAAAACTAAACGATCTCGAGATTTGACTGTCGCAACTGTTAAACATGTTTTGTTTCAGGACCTGATCATTTTCCCCGATGAATGCGAGTTCAAATCTGTCTCACAATGCACCACGGGTCGTGTCTTCATTCTCAAGTTCAAGTCCTCGTCCAGGAAATTCTTCTTTTGGATGCAGGTAGGAAACCCAAACAAAGGAGCTCATTTGAAGATAGAAAGATGCTCTTTTGGCAGTCGTTAACTTCATCCCTCCCAGACCCTTCAAAATCCAACAGGAGGTTTGTAGGATTTTGTAGGATTGAGGAAGGCAGAGCCCAGCCACTATTTCTTTACATGGGGCTTGATGTCCCTTGAAACTTGGTAGGTACAAAGAGTGTGCCATTAGGTTCTTGCAAAGTGGAAGATTTTGAAGGATTCAGGAAGGTTTCCAACAATAAGTTGCTCATTTTTTTTTGCCGTGAAAGTTTTTTTTTTCAGAATTGTTGGAATTTCTTTTCACAGGAGCCCAAGAAAGACAAAGACGACGAACACTGCAAGAAGGTGAACGAGATGTTGAACAACCCCCCAGCACCGGGATCCAGTGGAGGAGGGGGCCGGTCTGGGGCCGGGGGACTTCCACCAGAGCTAGCTGGACTCGGAGCTGCTTTAGGTAGGAGATGGAGCTGGAAAGGCAGCCATGATTTCAGTAATGGCCAATTTTTGTTTTGGTGGCAGAAGTGGGATGCGAACAAATTACATCCTAAATCTTCCTTCTATTGTGTTGTGTTTCAACTTTCAGGCGACGGGGGTCTGCAGAATGTCCTGGGCAACATGGACCACCAACAGTTGATGCAACTGCTGAACAGTGGCGGCCTAGGTCAGTATAGCAACACCGGGTCAAAGGTTAAGGTCGTGTCAAAGGTGAAAGTTCCAGATTCTGAAAGAGTTCCAAAAGTGAACTTGGCTTCAAATCCTACTCCAAGAAACGTCTGTGTTGGACCAAAGTTTGTGTTCCATAAAAAATGAAAGATAAAAATTAAATCGTATTTTGTTTGTTAGAAAACAAAATAAGTCTTGTAAGCAGGATTGGATTTTGTTGGTTTTCACTTCTCGTTGTTTTCTGGGTTTTTAGGAGGAGGTATGGGGGGTCTGGGAGCTCTCGGAGGGCTGATGGGAGCCGGTCGTCCTTCTAGCTCTCAATCTGCTTCCTCGTCTGCAGCGTAAGTCCCTTTATCCATCTCGTAGTAGCTCTGGCCTCAATTATCCAAAATCCTCAATTTGATGGCAGTCCACAGGAGACATTTCCCAGTCGAATGGCTCCTAGAGTTATGGCTGGTTTAACCCTAACCCACCTCACTCCTCCAAAATCCTCCTGGCGGTTTTGGAGGATTCTAGAGGATTGAGGATGAATGGTGATTGAATCAAATGAGGATTCTGGAGGATTGAGGATGAATGGTGATTGAAGCACATGAGGATTTTGGAGGATTGAGGATGAATGGTGATTGAAGCACAAGAGGATTTTGGAGGATTGAGGATGAATGCATTTTGAGGCAGGACTGTCTGATGATTTTGAAGGATTTGGCGTTGGTTATCCTTCATTTAAACACGAGTGCAAAGTTTTGGGATAAGGAGGATTTTGGAGGATTGAGGATGAATGCATTTTGAGGCAGGACTGTCTGACAATTTTGAAAAATTTAGGCGGAGTTGCAAAATTTTGGAAAATTTTGGAGGATTTTGGAGGATTGAGGATGGTTGTAAGCAACAAGGGCCTAGGGGGTTAGGGTTAAGTCACTAGTGCCCAGAATCCAGTCAAATATTCTGATCTATTTCACTTTTTATTCCACTCAGGCCATCTCGTGCACAGTCTACTCCAGCTGTCCATGCTCAAGAGACGACTCCCAGCGCCACTCAGCCCCGCCCGGCAACCACTACTACTACCCAATCACAGGCGAGCACTACCAGCACTGCCACGCCCGCCACTGCTACTGCGGCAACGTCTCAGAATCCGGCTATTCAGCTGAGCGATTTGCAGAGTATTCTCAACACCATGAATAGTGAGTTGTAAAACTACGTGTGGGGGGAATATAAATATATTGACTGGCATTTAGGGCACTATACATTTGTGCATATTACAAACACCATGAGTAGAAAAGTGTTTGGACTTGCAACGATCCTCTGGTGAAGAGGGGTGATATAAATATATTGACTGGCATTTAGGGCACTATACATTTATGCACTTAGTATTATAAACACCATGAGTAGAAAAGTGTTTGGACTTGCAATGATCCTCTGGTGAAGAGGGGTGATATAAATATATTGACTGGCATTTAGGGCACTATACATTTGTGTACTTAATATTATAAACACCATGAGTAGAAAAGTGTTTGGACTTGCAATGATCCTCTGGTGAAGAGGGGTGATATAAATATATTGACTGGCATTTAGGGCACTATACATTTATGCACTTAGTATTATAAACACCATGAGTAGAAAAGTGTTTGGACTAGCAATGATCTTCTGGTGAAGAGGAAAGACGTAAAGTCTCTCAAGAGCCAATGTGGCCCATCAGGCTGGCGTTTATCTCATGTTTCAGTGGCATGAAACAACAGAAAATACTCCTCTTCCCCTGGATGGGATGCTAGTCCATCGCAGGTTACTCCCCAGCTAATGCTGGTACCCATTTTTACTCCTGGGTGGAGAGAGGCAACTGGGGGTGAGGTGGCTTGCACAAGGACACAACATATGGCCAGAGGCTGGATTCGAACCCCTGACCCTCTGATCATGAGTCACAAATCCTAACCACTAGGCCACACTCCCTCTGGTGACGAGGGGTAATATAAATATATTGACTGGCGTTGAGGGCACTAGTGCTCATAGTATCTCTCTTATAGATGGCTGAAAGTCGAGGCAGAAGCAATGACATGATTCTGTTGGGGTGACATACTTGTGTACGTATACACCATGTACATGTACGGACCAACACTGAGGGCACTAATGCACGTTTAAAATCCCAGGGTATTCTAAACACCTGTGTGTGACAAACTAGATACTTTGTATCGGATCAGATATTTGTTTTAGCTTCGACTTATTTTAATACTGTTCATCTCTCGTTCCCAGTTCCAGCTCCTACTGACGCTGGCAAAGCAGAAGCAGCTGCCCAACCTCGTAAGTCCAATATATTCAACTATTAACCTCCTAGTTTCTTTGATGCTGCCCAACCTCGTAAGTCCAATATATTCAACTATTGACCTCCAAGTTTCTTTGATGCAAGAAAACAGTGATGACTCGGTATTCATAAGTACCCAAGACAGTTTACCGATTCCTATTGGTGGAGAGCCTGTCACATGGCCGGTTTAAACAGTTCGGGTAATTATCAGCATCCAGACTCCAACCAGTCTTAAACAGAGTGTTTAACACCTCCCAATCACACATTTATTCCCTTATTAAAATGAAGAAAGTGGCTTCAATAAACAAGAGACACACTTTAAAGACTTTCATTTTATAAGAAACTGTTTTGTTTTTTACCCCTCCCATGCCACCCACCCCTATCACAGCAGTGGACTTGACCAAGGTCTTGACCTCGGAGGCCATGGCACCAATCCTGGCCAAGCCCGAGGTGCAGGAGAAGCTGATTCCATTCTTGCCGGAGGGGGAGTCCCTACCCAAGGACCCGGAGCAGCTCAGACAGACCCTGCAATCCCCTCAGTTCAAACAGGTAGCAAGTCTTCTTCTTTTTTGATTTCACGTGATAATCGTATTTCCTCTCTTTTTCTTGATATTACTTTGCCGTACTCATATGTGTACACCCCCACAGGCTCTGCTAATGTTTACTGCAGCCTTCCAGTCCGGTCAGCTCGGACCTCTGATGGGCCAGTTTGGTCTGGTGGCAGAGGCTACAGACGCAGCAAATCGGGGAGGTAAGACATTGACCATTCATTCCCGGAATCTTCCACAACAAAGTTTGGGGCCAAGTTTGGAAAATTTATCTGCAGTACGTTCATTGTATCAGGTATGAATAATTCTGAACAACTCCCAGAGTCTTCATGTAATGAAGTTATCCGAGCCAAATTTAACGACGCTGGCTGCTAACCACAAAATTCCGTGCTAAGACTCAGTCACACATTCACGGTTTGGCGCTGTGGATATCCTCCGTTTAAAATTTGCGATAAACCTCAGGATTATCTGTCATCTTCCTGGGGTATTCATGGAGGGCTACGGAAGTTTTCAACTGTTCCAAACTTCTGTGGTGAATCGTCATGCAAATCAATCCATAGTGTAACCGTGGGATATCCGTAGGCCAACCGTACTAGTTCGTGTTATTCGTGGCTCATCGTACATATTCTTGGACTTTCGTAGCTGATTCGTGGTAGAAATCTCTACGAATTCGCTACGAATGTCCTACGGATATGCTAGGGTTCTGCTAAGGTTGTACTACGAATATGTATGCTTTATTTGTAGGAGAACCTTGGTCATCCATGGCCCAATCGCAGACAATTGTGGCGTTAACGTCATTATTCTTAGTAATACCGTCGATATTCTTCACCAATCCGTCCATACTCTTGACAAACTGTGGTGTATTCTAAGAGAGTCGATTTCTCCACGAATCTTGACGGTTAACCGTGGATATTCATAGCTCCAATCGTGAATGTGTGACTGGGGCTTTAGGATCGCCATTCTGTGGCAACGGCGCTAGCAGACAAAATTCTGCGCTAACCCTGTAAGCACAGAATCCTTTAGCTACAGGATGTACGCATGCACATAAGCCCAAATTTCTCCCTAACTCGTGAAACTCCCTTACCGTAAGTACGGAATGTTCTGCTACAGTTAGCAAGGATTTGTTTTTGCTAACAGTATAGCCATGAAATTAGGCCCCATTTGTTTTAAAGGGCCCATGAAATGTAATTTGTTTAATGCAGTCCTTGAAAATGCACCTTTGTGTCCCTTCTAACCTTATTTTCAATTTTATTTTGCCATTTTGGTGCCTTTTTGGTTTTTATGCCAATGCAAATGTTCATATTTATGAGCAAAAGCGTGATGTCATATCAGGCAGAAACCTCAATGTTGCAATTAGAGTATGCACAAAAAGTTGCCAAAAGTTTGGATATTTGGCTGTTGTAAACTTTTATAAGATGTCGTAAACTTTCTTTTCATTAGTGATTCGTTGTTGCGTCAATTCATGACAGTAAGCTTATGAGCAAACTTTTCTCACAAATGTTTTCAAATGAGCATTTTTTGGGGTTCACTATTTCAACAGAAAAAAACCTAATATGAACAGTGTCGCCCTGAAATGACATCACGACAACAGCGCCCTCAGTTGTCCGGAAAAGCATGGACAATTTTAAATGTTTAAAGAAGAGCACTTTTCAGTAAAATTTACCAAAAAGGAATATCAATACGTTTTCATACACATCAGAGGATTAGAAAGTAGCACAAAATTTGTTCCTAAGAAATATTCACTTCATGAACCCTTTAATGCTGATCACGTTTGCGGATAAACGTTTCCCAAATGTCCAACATTTCTGTGTGTCCATTTGATTATTTCCTTCGTTTTCAATGCAGATCTGGAGGCATTCGGCAAAGCTCTTCAGAAACAAACCGGAGGCGCAAAGGAGAAGAAAGATGAAAAACCGGGCGAGGACGAAGAAGGAATGAACCTAGACTAGAACGTCACAAAAAACAAAGTTCATCAATATGTAAACCTTCCTGTTATTGTAATTCTTATAGACATATTATATTGGTAACAGTGGTATAATTCATTAGATAATTGCAGTGGCAGAGGTAATATGTTCAGTGTTAAATAGAGAATAGTAAATAATATTCCACTTGACACCACATTATCCGTGATATTTCAGCAAGTCGGCATATGTGATGCGATCAAGCTAAATGAGTCGTTTGTCGACCCTGGTCAATTTTTTTTTACAGATTTGGAAAGAGCTCAATCTCAGCATTACTGCTGTGAAAACCGCATGCTGATACCATCTTTAGTTCAAAAATTATGGAAGTTGGAACACCAAGAGATGTGATGAAGTGATGTGATGAAGTGGCCCTATTTTGGCCTGCATCTCCAAATGAAAGTTCCCGACAAACGACTCATTTAGCTTGATCGCATCACATATTTCAAATTTGTGTTCAAATTAACTCGCTCTACTCGAATCATTTGCCTTAACTTTTGCCCTTAAAGCATCTATTTGTTCTTTTAAAAGCTGAAACAAAATTGTGTTTGCATTTAATAAGGGGTAGCGGTACTTTCCTCGCCTTCCACCGCTGTGACCCGGGTTCGAATCCCACCCGGGCAAAAATGTGGATTGGGTTTTCAGTCCTGACTTGATTCTGTGGGATTTCCTCAGCATATTCTGCTGGGGTTTTCCTCCCACGTCTAAAACTGTACTTTCTTCATATTGTCTTCTCTTTATTGGGCCCCATGGGAGACAAGTGGATTGGGCTACCCAATTAAAATAAGAATTAAATTTTTAAGAAAAAGTTGGAAATCTTCACAGTACACTGGTAACAGTACACATGTTACCAGAAGAACTTGGTGTAGACTATACAGCAGACTTAAACAAGATTCGAACCCATAACCGGTGCTCTGCCAACTACACCGTCCTACTCTGTTAGCGGTGTCAAAATTTTTCAGATAATTTGGTCCTCATGCACTATCAAAAAGCCATTCGGTAATCTCTAAAAGGTTTGCATGATGTTGATAAACATAAAAATTTGATTGAATAAAAAAAATTAGATAGTAACTGTTATATTAAAATAGTTGGACAGAATTGTTTCAAAGACCCTGAAGTTCCTGCACTTGAGTCATAAACTTTACTTTCGTTGATTATATAATTTTAAAATATTGATAAAATTTCTTTACACAAATGCACTTTTTCATAAATGCTCAACCATTAAAATGCGACACAAGCACCACAAAACCATAGAGCTACAGTCGACTTTCGTTAGTTAATAAAAAATTCTGGTTATAACAAACAAAGTCATGGTCCCGACTGTGCTTTTATGTGCACAATGAATGGGACCGATGTTCCTCTTAATACAAAATTCTGATATAACAAACAATTTGGCTAGGTCCGAACGAGTTTGTTATAACGAGACTCGACTGTATATTAAATTACTAGAGCGCTAACTCCTAATTCTATGCGTGGAGACACTTTGAATCCTTCCTGCGCACAGACATTATGAATTCATGTGCGTGTTTGTAGAACATAATGAAGAACATAGCGAATTTTGAAAGTGTACTCTACATGCAACGCGCAACTACAACATGCGCAGACAACTTAACTGCGCCATGACGGTTCAAAAACGTCACGGCAAAAATCATCTGCAGCGCCAACGCGCATTTGATGCGCTGTTTCAGCAGAGCAAAATGAAATGCTCTTTTGCTGATTGTGCGTTTCGATTTTGGGCGTATCGGTTTTGATAACGCAACTGTATAAATCATAGAATACAAACGCAGATATGCAAATAGCCGTACACAATTTTGAGTTTTTCATAGGTTTGTGCACAAACATGGATGCGCCCAGCAGGCATCAGTTTGTACATCGAGTCAGTGCTCTAGTAATTTAATATAGCTCTATGCTCAAAACTTTAACATTAAAATTCACATCATTAAAAGACATTTTACCAAATGCTACTTTTTCGTTATAACTAGCTATAATTTTTAGAAACAAGATACCAAATATATATGACTTGAAGCTTTGCATGGCGGATGAGATAAATTATAAAGTTTGCAGATACCAAATCTAGGTTTTTCTTAATAACAAGGCAGATTTTTATTAACACCTTTGGAAGAAAAAAGAATTAGGTACTGAAAATGACAATTTCGGTTTCAATTTTAAAGTGTTCATCATCCAAGACAAAACTACTCTACATGAAAGTTTTTTTTTTAACAACACACAACCTACGATTTGAAAACAAAGATAATAATTAACAATTGTATAAGGCAAGTTTTTTTTTCATAATATATTTTGAGAATTATAATTGAGTAGTGATCAAAATATAAATTTCAGTTAATAATTGTTGACTGCCATGATGTGGGGCATGACGTTTTTAACACCTGAGGGCGCCATACATATTTTGTCAAGATCAAACTTTACGAATGATTCTTGAAACACTTTTGGCATAAGGCAGACAAATGCTTTAATTATCGTTGTTCACTTGGTCTTGTTTCTGCCGACGAATTTGTCCATGGCCGCCCAGACGTTGAAGAATTTCTCAATGACGAAATAGGCGTTGACAGGAAACAAACTGGAGGAACAAAAATGAAACAATATCCTGAAAAATTGTGAAAATAATATTAAAAAAAAAATACTGGACCATTCTGGATTTGTTCATAAGCCCCGCCCACCGTAAGCGCCACCACCAAAGACCTCGCCCACCATAAGCCCCGCCCACCTGTAGTGGGCAATACTACCAGTTTCCACACATTGAGGGCGCTCTTTACTTACCCCTTGAGGCTGACCAATGCATACATGGTCCGAGGCATGCATAGGACTCGCTGGTTGGTCTGTACAGCTTGCAAGATGCGATCGGCAACGTACTCTGGCTCGAGGCCTTGTACCAAGACGTCATGGCTGTTTAATGAAATCCGAAAAAAAATCCTTTAAAAGTAGGAGAATATCATTTGTCATTTGTGCATTTTTTTCGTTTGAAGCAACAAAAGTGCTCAAGGTCTAAAGAAGGTTGCTGAACAACTAAAATGATGAAGTTGTAGCTCAGTGGATGCAAGAAAACAATATTCTAGGATTGATTTCAAAGAGGTAACCAAGGAAAAAGTTCGGGAAGAGCACTAAAAAGGCCTTCGTAAAAAGTTTTATAAGAACTCACTCGATTGCCACACCAGAGAACATTCCTGTATGGATGAGGTAAGGATTGACGACGGTGAAGTTGATCTTATCAGCCCCTGCCACCAGAGCCTCGCGTTCTACGGTCTCGTGGATGGCCTGAGCGGCCGCTTTGCTGGCGCAGTAGTCCGCCATCTTGGGCAGGCCGAGGTATCCCATGACGCTGGCGATTGTGACGATGTGGCCGTGGTTGCGTTTGATCATATCTGGCAGGAAGGCTTTGAATGTCTGGATAACCAAAAGATTTTTTTTTAAATTTAACACTTTCATTACCACATTGTTTATTGACTTGGCTCTCCCCAGGACCAAATTATTTGCTCAGTCATGCGGAAATCGCTAGAGCGTGAACAAAACGACCACAAGTCCAAAACTCACTTTTTTCAACCCAGATTTTCACTGCCAAGGAGTGATTTAAATCATAGGTGTTGTGTGTAAAGTTTGTTCCTCGAACCTTACCCTTTTATGTGATGTAAAAATGAAGTCCATATGTGCAAATATAAGAAAGTTATGCCTGTTTGTTCATCTGGTTCCATTTATCAAACTGCAAGCCATTTCACCACATGACCCAATGGCACTCCATACCTCCATTTGTGAGTGGATACTTTTAAAGCACTTTTTCTCATTTTTTTGTAATGGCAACACTATGAATAAACTACACCATTAGAACGATCCGAAAACACTCTTTCAGCTGGTATATGGTTGAGGTATGGGCAGCCAAACATATCAACATGCCGCCTTCTGAAAAGTAGTGAATATATCTGTGTTGAGGGTGTTCTGTGTGTGGTTTCCTGGTCGACTAAAGTCGCCCATGGGAACCAGCAGGGGGGTTCTTCTTGTCACCAAAGTCGCCCATGGTAAGGAAAGGGTTAACAAAGATGACTTACAAAATGTATTTACATATAATGCCATAAATGACAATTCTCTCCCTGTTATGTTTGGCAAGACAGTGACAGCACTGACCCAGACATGTGCCATGGCGTTGATGGCCATCGTCCGTGTGAATTCCGCCTCGGTCAGTTCAAGCAGAGTCCGACCGATGATAATGCCGGCATTGTTGACCAGAATGGACACCTCACCAACGTCTTGCTTGACCTGTATGAATAAAGAAGTATTTACAATAAGCCACTCCCTCGCTCCAACCATGGAAAAGATAAGCCCTCCCCTCTCAATCCATGGATGGAAAAGATAGGCCCCTCCCTGTATCCACCTATGGACAAATAGGCCCCTCCCTCTCTCCGCCAATGGAAAAGATAGGCCCCTCTCCTTCTTACTGATGGAAAAGATAGGCCTATCCCCCTTTCAGCCAATGGAAGAAATAAACCTCGCCCTCCATCCGCCAATAGACAAAGAGGCCCCTCCCTCTCTCCGCCAATGTACAAAATTTCCCCTTCCTATATCTACCAATAGACAAAAAGGCCCCTCCCTCTCTCTGCCAAAGGAAAAAAATAGGCTCCTCCCTCTATCCTGGCAAAAGACAAATAGGCCCCTCCCTCTCTCCACCAATGGAAAAGATATAGCCCCCTTCTATATGCCCATAGACAAATAGGCCCCTCCCTCTCTCTGCCAATAGAAAGGGCAGTAATGATCAGGCCCCTCCCTCTATCCGCCCATAGACAAATAGGCCCCTCCCGCTCTCGCCATGGAAAAGACAGGTCCTTGCCAAACCCTGCCCTTGGAAAAGATAGGCCCTTCCCACTCTCTGCTTAGGAAAAAGGTAAGCCCTCCCTCTTTTTGTTTTTGTTTGTTTTTGACTGACCTTGGCCGCGGCCTGAGTGACCGTTGACATCTTGGAGACATCCACCGTGTAGGCGTGGACCTTTCCTCCCGCCTCCCTGATCATAACTGCCGTCTCCTCATTTCCTTTCTCGTTCACGTCCCACAAGATCACGGTACACCCTGAAAAAAACAAAATATGCTCAGAATTTCAAAATCGCCCTCCTACTGTTTAAACAGTCACAGAGAGTCCAAATTTCCATCCACTTCTCCTGCCATGCCTTTTACACAGGCTAGTCATAAACAGTCAGACCATATTTGGAGCAAGCACTCTGACGAGTCCAATTCAGTCAACAGACAAAAGCAGGCAAGTGGTGGCACAGCTGTCTGTATCAATCACCTACAGTCAAAGCACAGCTGTATCAAGTTAAATCAACAGTCACAGCCAGTCAATCCTGCTTTATGTAGGCTGGGAGCTCTTTGCTGTTGAAAACAGTCACTTGATTGATTTTGACTGAAAGGACAACTTTGGCACAGAATGAATGTTTGAATAGGAGGGTAAATTTACTTGTGAATTTCTACTCCTGAGTAAAATTTATTTGACCAATCACAGCTATGATTGATGTCAGACGAAGGTCCTACATTCGTACATTTGTGTATGACGAGCACATCTGGAACACGCAGTGTGGTATTGCAGAGGCGCATGTGTTATTGCCAACGTGCGCAGTGGGTGGGGCCGAATGGATTGGGGTTAACAACGGGCAGTGGGTGGGGCCCAATGGATTGGGGTTATACAATGGGCAGTGGGCAGGGCCTGATGGATTGAAGTTAACAGTGGGAAGTGGGCGGAGCAACATGCATTGGGCTTAACAGTGGGCGGGGCCCAAAGGATTGGGGTTAACAATGGGCAGTGGATGGGGCTACAAAGGATTGGGGTTAACTGTGGGCAGTGGGCGGAGCCCAATGGATTTGGGTTAATAATGGGCAGTGGGTGGGGCCTAATGGATTTGGGTTAACAGTGAGCACTGGGCGGGGCCTACTGGATTGAAGTTAACAGTGGGAAGTGGGCGGAGCAACATGCATTGGGCTTAACAGTGGGCGGGGCCCAATGGATTGGGGTTAAGAATGGGCAGTGGCCGGGGCCCAACGGATTGGGGTTAATAATGGACAGTGGGCGGGGCCCAATGGATTGGTGTTATAACAGTGCACACATTTCCAACAAACTATACCTCTCTGCGCAAACCTGACAGCCATGAGCCGACCGATCCCGCTACCGCCTCCGGTCACCAGTACCGTCTCTCCGTCCAGGGATTTCGGACGAGACGGCAGGAGAAACTTGATCCATGACCACAGCAACAGACCGAGGACCTGAACGGTCATCCACAGTACGTCCAAGAAGATGTGCATGATCGATGAAATGAGGACCACAGCACTAACAGACGAATCCTAATAAGTCCTCAATTTGGCACAGAGGAATTGATCCCTTCTGGAGTAACCTGAAATACCAGTTTTGGCAAAAAGGACACAACGGCCTGAAATCAAAGCAGAGTTTTTCTCAAAGGCAGCTTTTCGACCCCACCGTATTTTCTCAGTTGATTAAGTTGTACTTTGATCGTCTGATATCTGCATTGAGCCGCAGACATACATAGCACTGGGCAACCTTGTCAGCACATACTACATGTAGCCTGAGCTACCATACAATCTTTTGTTGACATTTCAGATAAAAAATTGTTGGATGCTTTGTTTAAATACAGAAGTTTCTAGCCCTATCAATATCATTGTTACAAGATCATGAGATGTGAAATAATGGGAAAAGAATGCTGCAACCTGACGCCACTTCAGCGGTTGTGTGCAAAGTCTATGGAGAGTCAAAAAAAAAATCGGAAATCTTTTAAGTAAAAATTGGAAATGTTTCTCATTCCCGGATACATGTCTAATTAGCCCTGCCTCTGGCCGTACAGTACATGCACGAATAGGGTGACGTGATGGCCAGGCACGTCACCATGGCCAGATATGGGGATCTTTCCCCTTTGTTATTTGCAAAATTGCAATGATTTACTAAACTAGTCTAGAACGAGATAAATTGTGATAAAAAGTGGCATCAGGATACTGCATTCTGCCCCAGTAAAGCGACAGAGACTTTTGACTATTCTTGCTGGTGTAGCTGTTGTTCAACACGAAGAGGAAAAATGTGTTATGCTGTTTACGTGTGGCAGCGGCGCGCCCGTGCATGACCTTTTTTGCGCCCTTTAAATCATGAATATTCATCAACAGTGACCTATCGAAAAATCCCGGATGTTGAGTCCTCTTTCCACACGGGCAAAATGGCGGACGGGTATGGAAAAACAAACTTACACATTCAATCCGTTTCCATCCCCATTTACATCTTGATTGAAAGGCAGTAAATTATGCTGAATCAAGGAAAACTTAATATTATTCGTAGTAGTAAACATTTTGATAAATATAGTTTAATAAATAAGTCGTTTTTTAACGGAAAATTAGGTTGGTATTAAGCGTGTTACGTGACAAGGATGAATTACAAAGTTCCATGTCAATTACAACGCAATGTGCCATGAAATATCCACAGACCACACGGAAAGTAACTTTATCACTATAGTAGGCATACCAAAGGCAAGGGCGCCACCACATAAAAACTTCGGAAAAATCGCCATTCCCAGCGGTAATTTCCAGCCTCAAAAAATTATTTCTCACTAGAAACAAAGTTACAACTTATAACAGAGTAGATACGTACAAAATTCTCAGTGTTCCACACTTTAAAACAGGTCCGATCTCAATCTGACGTCGATATGAAGCGAAAACAACGCCCGAAAATGAACGAAAACGCGAAAATCGACTTTCAAATTTGCCGCTCAAAATGGTCCACTTAGAATGAGCGGTAGGACCCATTTTTATAGGAAGGGTGGGTTTCGGAGCAATAATCAATTCTGACAATCTTGGTATCAAATTAAAGCTTAGACTTGGTTTTATTCAAAACTGACTGTTACTCCGTGCCTCATGAATATTAATTAGGTCTTAAAACAAAAGAAAACCTTTAAAAGCGAATAACTTTTGATCTTTAGGGAGTACGCCCTTCCCCCGCATATCAATGGAACGGTCGTCTCGTGCTCTATCCAACAATGTATGGGTCGATCCTTGAGATCGAGGCACATTTTTGTTATGGTCACTTTTAAGGCGCGGCTCTGGGAAAGAGTTTGTAAGCCATTGATGACGTCGACGATGATGAGTCATCGGTCTAGTGCCTAGTGGTCCGCGTCATTTGTACGGTAACGCGCAGCACACAGGGTGGGAACAGACTGACCGCGTTGCGGTCGCGCTATTCACGACTGTGTATTTTGTTGCGACTCAAAGTGCATTATCGGACCATTTTTTTACTGTGCGGATTTAGAAAGGGTAGGCAATTTTACGATTGTTTCTAGATTGTCATTTTTAATTTGACGATTTCATTTTCTTCTTGTCTAATATTTCATTCTATTGTCACATTGCTCTTTGGATTTCAAGCGATAAAAACGGGGAAAAAACGAAAACTTTACCCACAAAAAAAAAACAAGTTCGTCATGTGCGTTGACGAGGTCGATAATCCTTAGCATGCTCAGTTGGCATTACTTAGTAACAAATACTAATTAATTTTGCTTCAAATTGCAGACTTAAGATTTCTGTAAAAGATGAATACATATGTACATGTATACCCAAACAGTTTTCTATACTGGTTTACAAAATGTTTACATTAACAAATGTACATGCACGCATGATGTACTTCCAATAACACGAGACACTTATCAGCTTGCTTTGTTGACCCCTTGGCCTAAGGCTAATCCTGTGGTGAGTCATTCATCACCTCTCAAGGTTTCTTATAAACAGCTGAGCTGACCCTCAGGGCTAAGACAATAGTCACTACATGTAGTCTACAGTGTGCTCAAGCTTTAAAGGGGTTCTCATCTCCACAGTTTTCTTGGTCATTTTTTGAAACCCAAAGTAAAACAAAATGAACACTTTCAGATGATTTTTTTTGATTATTTCTTAATTAAGAACTAATTAATATGCTAATTCATTGACAAAAATTACTTAGTTTTACTAAGGCTTCCATAAAGTTGTATTTCAATCCCTTCTAGTTCTACACAAATGTGGGCAATTTGTATGAAGCAAGATGAAAAATTGTCAATATTTCTTCATTACGCTAATTAACACCTTAATTAATATGCTAATTAATTTCAAAATTTTCACATTAAGTGTACTTTGAATTAGTTTATTTCATTAGCTAACCCTTCTTTTACTTCTTAAACACTTAAGCATTCATAACATTTTACAAAAGTGCATATTTGGTATATTGGGAGGGAGTGTGCCATGTTCTCGTTAAGTCTTAAGTTGTATTTTAAAAATAATCAATTAATTTGACATCACTGGCAGATAGTCCCAAGATTGATAGGGTGAAAGAGTTGGCTGGTTTATACAAATGTTTCCAAAATGAAGGAAATCAACACAATACTTTTATGGATACAAATTTTTGAAAATGGTCCATTGTTATGTCATGTTATATAACTCCCAAGCGGCCCAGGATCCAGAACCTTGAGTTATGCAAGGTTACGTCACTGATTTCTGGCTGACTTCACAATTTTGTAACTCGACTTGGAGATTCTTCTGGGGTTTGGAACTCCTGTAACGAAAACAATGCATATATGTGAACGGATTTCCACAATTGTAATTCTCAGTTCAACTCAGTTTGCAAATAACGACTTCTGCAAAAACGATTAAGGTGATTTATGGCACTTTTGGTTGCTAGGCAACACAAAATGTCAGCCAGACAGTCACCTTTATTGACTGGAACTCTTGAACCCCTGGGCCGATTTTGTTCAAACAAAAACCAGATGGTTGCACTCAGTCAGCTCTGTGTTTTCAACCGCAGTGCAATGCCCTGGCTGGTAGTTGAATGTTTGGCTGGAAGTCCCTAACTATAGTTCTAGGGATATATATTTGGTTGATTAGATTTAGCTGGTTTTCTTTCAGTTAACATAGGCCCTAGTCTGCTAGTTAAAGTTTAACGTCGATAATTAATTTATTTTATTTTTCGAAGTGGCTATCGTTACGGCATTCGTTGTTTAGCGCCCTCAACGATACTTTTTTGATACGCACGCAGGTATATAATTATTTGTTTTCCCATGTTTTGGTGAGCAGTGCGACAGCTCAGTCGATAGTGGGTAGGATTTTGAACCGCGAGGTTGCGGGTTCGCATCTCAGTTTTGCACTCGAATTTTTTTCCTTTTCTAACCTGAGGCTTTGGAGGATTTTTTTTTAAAGGGAAATAAAGTCCGAATTTCATAACGTTCAAATTCACTTTTTTCCTTCTAATTTATTTTTTCTTCTCATGTTTTTATAAAAGTTGCAGTACTACCGTAACGATAGAAAATGGGAAATGCGTTACGGCTGCCGTAACAATAGCCACTGCGTTTATTTTTAGCCAGCTAGATTGTACAGCGCCCTCTGTTGACTACTGTACGTAACGCGTAATTGGTATCCTCCAGTCACCATAATCGGCGTAGGTAACTCTTGCAACGCGTGCCCATTGTCCAACGCAAATTAAATGCGAGTGCGTCAAAATAGATCCTCGTCGTTTTAGGTGGACTGACGATATACGAGTAGGCCTACAAAAAGGTTTTAATTTACCACCATAGTTTGTACAAGACCAGTGGATAGCGCCTGTATCAGCAGCAGGGCTTGAATTAAATCCCTAATGTTAGTGACGATGATATTTTCAATTTTTTTTTGAAATCCTCTGGCAATCACTGTCAATATGTTGGAGCAAAGCCAGTTACATCCTGGAGCAGTGCGGAGGGTTTCCAGTATAGGCCTAAATTTATGCAGGCTGAGCATAAACAACACAAACAAGGTCATGAAGGTCCGGCACAAGACCTCAACCCTAAATTACTGCCCTGAATCCTTCAAAATCCTCATTGTCAAAGTGGAGGAATTTGGAGGATTGAGGTTACATGGTAAAAGTGCGTTACTGATTTCACAGGATGCACTTTGTCAAGGTCTTGGGCCGGACCTTGTGTTGTTTTTGCTCAGCCATGCATAAATATAGACCTGGATTATGCTTGAAATCCTCCGCACTGCTCCAGGATGTCCTTGACCAAGCCTCAATATATTGACAGTCACTGGCGCAGGATTTTGCAGGATTCAGGCAGTGGTCACCCCTCCACCGACCATATTCAAGTAATAATGGAGGAATTTGCAGGATTGAGGCTATATGCTATTTTTCCATGAGGCCAATTGGAGGATTTTGCATAATTGAGGCTACATCCTAGCAAAAAGGCCTAGGGAGTTCCGGTTAACACAGTGCATCCTTAGAAATCAGCCACACACTTTTGCCATAATATCCTTAATCCTGCAAAATCCTCCATTTTGCAAAGAGGATTTTGGAGGATCTGGGAAGGTTAGGGTTAAAGAAAGCCGGCCTCGGCTAAATATACACTGCCATAACTTACGTGTCTTTGTTTTCATTCCAGTGTTCCAGCAAAGCTGCCCACGCAACCCGAGACCCTCTTGAAAAAGAGGAAGAAGGCTCAAACTGAAAAAGCACGACGTGCTCAGGTCCGGCTTCTCAAAAAGAAGGTAGGCCTAATGCAGAGTTGTAATGACTGGAGTCAATGACTCGATTCGAGTCCGACTCGAGTCACAAGTTTTGGTGACTCGTCTCGACATGAGTCCCTATGAGACCCTCTTGAAAAAGAGGAAGAAGGCTCAAACTGAAAAAGCACGACATGCTCATGTCCAGCTTCTCAAAAAGAAGTAAGGCCTAATGCAGAGTTGTAATGACTGGAGTCAATGACTCGATTCGAGTCCGACTCAAGTCACAAGTTTTGGTGTCTCGTCTCGACTCAAGTCCCTATGGATAAATGACTTGACTTGAGTCACTGCAAGCAAATGACTCGAATCGACTCAAGTCCCTCATCAAAAGACTCAGTTCAACTCGAGCGAAGGCTAATAAGACTCGAGTCCTAAAAATGAAAGCAAAAGTTTGCAAAAATAAAATTTTGCAATGACTTGCGGTGCAAATTTACAAACATACAACGTGTGACAGACTCCGACCTTATGATTCTGGAATGCACAAGATACTATCCAGGAACCGGATTTTAAACATTTTCCAATTCATTGTTTCCTCATTGGCTTTGGGCGATTTCTTACAAAGCTCTTGGATTCAAACGCCGGCTAAATTTATACCTTCCTTTTATAAATTTTGGTAAATAGTGTTCAAATATTCATGGCTCGAATTGACCTCAAGCTATATATTTGACTGAACTCGACTTGACTGGACCTTCTTGACCAAATGACCTGACTGGACTCGAGTCACTTCTTTAAAATGACTTGACTCGAGTCACAAAAGTCAGTGACTCATTACAGCTCAGGCCTAACGTTGGCAAAAATATCTTGATGTCATCGCAGCCCCACCAAATTCACTTCATATTTACTTCACATGGGAAGAATGCCGACTTATTTTTGACTTTATTGCCCCATTTCATGACGCGCTTCAATGGTTAGGCCTATACAAATACGGTAATCGATACATTTTGTTTGCAGAGAAATGCCACCAAAAGGAAGACGATCTTCAAGCGTGCGGAGCAGTACGTCATGGATTACAAGCGAAAGGAACGTGACATCATCAGACTGAAGCGTGTCGCCAGGAAGCATAACAACTTCTACGTGCCTGACGAACCCAAGCTTGGCTTCATCATTAGGATCCGTGGGTCAGTGAAAGTTAGATTTCTCCCATCGACGGTGTTTGAACAGGAAAATTATTTAATTTAAAGCTGTAGTCCATCATTTGCAGCTATCCAAAAATGATGTAATTATTGTTGAAAAACATACTTGGTTGAAAGATAGTAAGGGGAATAAATTCCCTGTGAATTTATTCTTTCTGGCAAGCTGTCATTTTGAAGGATTCAACGAAAGAAAGCCTTTCCTACAGTGCATCTTAAGACGCACCGTTGGAAATTTCCATTAGTAGTTTGTTTTATTATTCGGTGAAGCGCACGCAAGCATTGGCACGACGCACACGCACGCGCGGTTGCTATGATTCGTCGGATCAGTGCGCGACATTGCGTAGCTGCAATCGGCTCAGTGAGAACATGTCTCGGACGCTGAATTCAGGCCCAATTCAAAACATGACTCGGCAACTTTTGATTTGAAATTGAGATCCTAGAATGCTGTTTTTCTCGGAATATACAGCTGAAGCTGAGCTGAAACTTCATCAGGTTAGTTGTTCAGTACCCTTCTTTAGATTTTGAGCACTTTTGTTGCTTCAAACGAACAAAATGCACAAATTACAAACGATGGACTATATCTTTAACGATAACCACTCCAACTCCATTAAAATCCATCCTGCCATTTTGGTGGATTTGAGGGACTTGGTCCAGAAGGCCTGGCGTGACTAAATATTGATGGCGTATGATGGACTTGGGCCTAATGGCCTGAAGCAGTGCTAGGCGTATCTGATCGATTTTGCCCGGCTTCCTGTACTGCTAATGTGATAAAAGCCATGTGTAGCAAGTCCATGAATGTCAACCAGTGTTTGTTACTTGAAAGTTACGTTGATGTATGATATGCTATGATATGCTATACTTGAACAATATAAGTTATAATCACTTGGGCACGTTGATATGCTATACTTGAACAATATAAGTTATAATCACTTGGGCACGTGTGGTCTAACGGTAGTGCACAGGATTCATGATAGTGAGATTGTGGGTTCGAGCCCTGCCGTTGCCATGCATGTTGTGCCCTTGAGTAAGGCGCTTTACCTTAATTACTTCTCTCAACTCAGGTGTTAAATGGGTACCGGTGTCACATGAAAATCCGACTCCTATGAAAATCGGACCCCTATTTCCCTATTATTGGTTGATCCCTCGCACGTGACAGGTCACTCTCCCAAAACGATCCAAAAAATAGCATAGTATTGTACTCACGCGTGCGCAGTGCTACCAATGAGTCCACATTTCATGGAGTCGGATATTCACGCTACACCGGCATTATTCAATGCTGGGAAGGTAAAAGACTCTCTGTGGAGGAAGTGTGGCGATCCCTCACAGCAACATTCATGGAATCGAGTCTGGCCCAATTGCTTCGAAATAGAAATGGGCACTCCGTTCCTGTGAACAAAGGTTCGTCCCCTTTACCTTTGTACGTTAGTAAAATAACAGTAAGTAATTGGCAATTTTATCCTTTTTTTTTTTCAGTATCAACGGTGTCAGCCCCAGGGTGCGCAAGATCCTCCAACTCCTGCGTCTTCGTCAGATCCACAACGGTTCCTTCATCCGTCTGAACAAGGCCACTATCCAGATGCTGAGACTGGTGGAACCCTACATTGCATGGGGGTGAGTCGGCTGAAGAGACTGGCTGTGGCTGAGAATAACACACACACCTATGGAAGCCACTGGCTAGCGGCTGCGCCTACCCATTGACTTGTATATAATATCCGGCCGTTGCCATGATTCGGTTCTGGCCACACACGACCTCAAAATTTCTAACTTGGATTAATTTAACCCTAACCCCCAACAGGTTTCTCTAGGTACCCTGCCAAATGCAACAAAATGCAACTTGACTTAAATACAACCCTGCTAAATGCAACAAATTGCAACAGTGGATTCTGTTGCATTGTGCAGTGAATCCAGTGCATACCAGCCTTGGCACCAAGCAGTTACCCTGCTAAATGCAACAAATTGCAAAAGTGGATTCTGTTGCATTGTGCAGTGAATCCAATACACTCCAGCCTTGGCACCAAGCAGTCACCCTGCTAAATGCAACAAATTGCAACGGTGGATTATGTTGCATTGCGCAGTGAATCCAGTACACACCCTGCTAAATGCAACAAATTGCAACAGTGGATTCTGTTGCATTGTGCAGTGAATCCAGTGCATACCAGCCTTGGCACCAGGAAGTTACCCTGCTAAATGCAACCAAATGCAACAGTGGATTCTGTTGTGTTGCCTTGGCACTATGAGCAGTTACCCTGCTAAATGCAACAAGATGCAACAAGCACGGAGACTTGAGTTGCCTGCTAAATGCAACAGTATGCAACAACTTTTGACCTTTGTTGCTTTGTGTTGCATTTAGCAGGGTAAGGGTTAAGAGTCGGCAAACACCAAAGCGTGTGTGTTTCTTTGACCACTTCCATTAACCCTAACAGCCCATAACCAATCAAACTCCAACAGTAGGTTAGTGTTTAAATCTGTTGGGATAGGTACAGTTCCCCTAAACAGATGGTCTTTTACACTGGGGTTGGCATACCTCCAGAAACTAAGTCCAACAGTGTGTGTGTACAATTTCCCATGTGGGTGTTGGAATTTGCCTGAATGGGTATGGCTCCTAGTAAATTAGGCTGGGGAGTTAGGGTTAAAGAAACTGTCAAAATTTAAAGCTTTTTTGTACCAGTGATTCTTCTTGAAACCACCCACACTTCCATTTTAAAGTCGCCTCACTAGTATATCTGCAAACTTCTCACAAGATAAAATCTTGGTGGGTTGATTTCTAACTTTTTTCCTCCACGTTTTATCCAGCGGGATATCAATACAGAAAGCCTCAAATAGGTTAGAGCTTGTGCAGTTTTGTCTTCGACTTTTTGTTATGTTTTTGATGCATTACCCAATCTGATTTTTACTCCTGCTTCATTGATGTGGTCATTGATGTATTTTTTCCCCTACAATTTAGTTCTCATTTCTCTTCTGTTTTGTAACTAGTCTCATTTCTCGTAATCCAGTTTGGTATCAAGAGAATAATTAAAATCGCTTCAAAGTAATGCAGTTCCTTGTATAATTGTCGTTTAACAGGTACCCTAACTTGAAGTCGGTGCGGGAGCTTATCTACAAGCGGGGGTTCGGCAAGGTCCAAATAAGACGCGTCCCCATCACCTCCAACGAGATCATTGAGCAGTCGCTAGGTACGGTCTCTTAATTTCAATACCTGTCATCCTTGGGCAAGTTTGCGCAAGAACTATTGTTGACCAATGGTTAACCATACTTCGACTAAAGTTAGCCCGAACTCTGTCTAGTAGACGATGGTTGACTACGCTAGTCGACTATTTGGAACCAGCCGACTGGGTCTGGTTGCATCGCTGGTAACCAATAGCCGCGCGCATTCATAATGTACAGCAGGGAGCCAGGATCCAGAAGTTCTGCGACGACATCGCTATCGTCCGGCGTTTGACTCACTGGTCTGGTTTGACTAGAGACGTTCGCACGTTGCTATTAGTGCACGGGCGTAAGTTACGTCACAAATCAACCACTAGTCGACTAATGGTCCTTGCCCAAACTTGCTCCGAGACTCCCAGCAAATTTGTTTTGCTTAACAATTTTTGTTTGTTTTTTGGGTTTTTTTTTCTTAGTAGCTATCGGAAATTGATTTTGGATAATGGAGGATTTAACCCTCGCCCTGCTAGGCCTTTTTTGCCGGGATGCATCCTCAATCCCGCAAAATCCTCCATTTACCACCATGTAAAAATTGGATACAGCCTCAATCCTCCAAAATCATCCGTTATTTCTTGAATTTGTTCAGTGGAGGGGTGACCACTGCCTCAATCCTTCAAAATCCTCCAACAATCACTGTATTACATTGAGGCAGTGCAGATGATATCCAGGATAATGGCCAGAAAATTAAGCACGACTGAACACAACCAAGGCCTTGACACAATGCCTCCTTCATAAACAACTGACAGTTTTGGCCGACAGCTACAATCCTCCAAAACCCTCCAAAAGCGCCCGGTTGAATTCGGCGGATTGAGGAGGGTTAGGGTTAACACTTGCCCCCTCGTTGTTCCTCAGGACTACCCTGCTAAATCCAACAGAGTCCAACCGGAGTTTCCTACTCAATCCACTGTGCCTTGTTTTCAGTTGTCTGCTGAATCCAACGGAGTCCAACTTGGCGTTATAATGCTGTTCAGTTGCCTGCTGAATCCAACATTTTGCATGAGGAATGTACACAAGGGGTTTACTGCTCAATCCTACAGGCTCCATCGAGTATATGATATAGTCAGATCCTGTTGGATTCAGAAGGGTTAGGGTTAATGCAGGTTGGGTTATTTGTCGTCTTATTTCACGTCTTGTCTTTTTTCTTTCCAGGCAAGTACGGCATCATCTGCATCGAGGATCTGATCCACGAGATCTTCACCGTCGGACCCAACTTCAAGCAGGCCAACAACTTCCTCTGGCCGTTCAAGCTCAGCAGCCCCCGCGGTGGCTACAAGAAGAAGGGCAACCACTTCGTCGAGGGTGGTGACTATGGCAACCGGGAGGACAAGATCAACGAGTTCATCCGTAAAATGAACTAAGCTCCGCCCACTTTCCCAACAATTCCCCACAAAATCCAATAAGACCTTTCATTGTGGAGTAAGTTAAAAACATGGCACACCACTCAGTAATTTTTTTGTCTGTTCTGAATTTGAAGCCTTTTCATTGATGTACACGCTCCTGAATTTGTAAATCGCATTTGATGGCATTTACTTTTTTCAGAGACGCAGTTGTCGAGCCGGAAAACCCTCAGAAATGCAAAAGAAACAATGTGTAAGCCAAATGATTCTGTGTAATCGTTTTCCCTTACCATAAAGATGGGAGAAAATAAAAGTAACACTTCTAATTTAAACAGTGTGTGTGGATTTTTCATTACACCTGTTGTGATATGTGAGGTACAATTGTTAATTTTTCCTACCGGTAACTTCCCCAACTTTACCAACTCCAACTCCAGTACAGTGGAATCCTTGGCTCTCGATTTTTGTGTACAATTCGTACTGAACATTGTTGTTAAAAAATGTCAACAGAAGAGCGACAAGTGGTTATTATTTCCCTAAGGAATAGAACCGGAAAGCCACCCATTGCTGTAGGGAGTAAGCTCAAAAACTCTGCAATTACATAATTCTATAGTCAACACGTGTTTAAAGTCGTCTTTCGGTATTTAGTGTGCTGGGTGAAGTTATGAAGGGCGCTATTTATTGAAAAGTGAGTGTCTGAGCACCGGTAGCTTAAAATCGCTACACCGAACAATCGCTATTACGAACAATTTCTGTGGATCCCGCGATGTTCTTTATAGCGGCGTTCCACTGTAATACCAGCCTTACAACAATCTACAGTCGACTCTCGTTAGTACAAACTCTGTTAATACAAAATTCTGGTTATAACAAACAAAGCCTTGGTCCCGACTGTGCATTTATGTGCACAATGAATGGGACTGATGTTCCTCTTAATACAAAATTCTAAAAACAAAACAAACAATTTGGCCAGGTCCGAATGAGTTTGTATTAACGAGACTCGACTGTACATGCTCTACGTACAACCCAACCACGATTGCTTCACGTGCAGTGTGGTGACCAAATCTTGTTCAGTACAGGGCATTTTGTAGCATAAGCCTTCAAGATGTTGGGGCCCATTTACAACCAGGGTCATGATGTCGGACAAACTAAGGAAAACAACATTTTCAAAAATGATAAGACTTGCCTAGTTCAACACCCAGAAGTGCAAACTGCCAAATTTGAACTTTCAGGGGGAAAAAACTACCGAAAATAAACTTGTAAAGAATTTATCAGCATCCTGGAAGTTGAACTGTGATCAGTCATCCTTGATTTCACTATGACAGGCCACACATGTACAACATCAGTCGGCATTTACTGGCTGCACCTTCGACTTATCACTTCCCTCCATGTCGACCTGCCTCTGAAAGTCCCAGCATATTGATCCACATGGGTTGTTGACACACAACCGATAGACCGACTATTAGCCCCGCCCACTTACAGGATTGTAGCACGTGAGCACGCCTCTCCAAACGCTGCGTGTTCCAGACGCGCGCGTCGAACGCACACTGCACATTAACCATGCTTGTGATTGGTCCAATCATGACGAGGCGGCCTGACGGGGCTTAGACATGGAGACGGGTAACTAGCGCCCGTTTAAAGCCATTGATTGGATCACTCTGCACGCACGTATCATGATTGGTTATTTTCAAATCGCTGTTTAGCTCTTGTGCATGGACGATGATTCAACACACGATTATAAAAAAAACTCACTCTTGTTTTAACCACAAAAAGCACGCAAATCATCAGTAGCTCCATTAAGGTAATTTTTAAGTATTTGAACTGCATAGTATTTAAATAATGAACAGTAATTTCTCTCTCTTTATTAATATTTGCCAGAGACACTTTCAAATTCTGCAAAAATCAGAGCTCATCACTTCTGAAATTGTACATTCGTGACGCGGCTATTGTTTTTTTTTTTTTCAATAGGCTGGTTCAGGCTAACGTTGCCTTTGTGATTTTCAATTCAGGAGGCGGGATTCAGACCTGTTCACGTCATGCATATCATTTGCATAGTGATGTATGCAATATTCACCGCTAGCTACCTGTCCCCATAATTTAAGTCCAAAGGGCAATGGGGACAGGGAACCAGACTAGACGGGGCTTAATCGATGGTCCCTTGCCGACTTGCTCACCTTGAAACAGGTACAGAACAAAATGGCACCCGTCATTGGAAAAATTACAGAGTTGATTATTTTAGACATTTGTGTTACCTTTTGAAGGTTCTTGGGATATTTTTGCACACTGACCTTGTCCCTAGGAAACTCTGTTTATTTCCAATCCATCAGCAGCTATATTTTTTATGGTAAACGTATTTAATCCCTGATGTATTTATTTCCCGAAGTAACCGAATTGCACAAAAATCACAGTTCAGTAGGCAAAGTCACATTTGACATTTGAGGGCGGAATGGTGAACAGTTGATTTTCTGGATACAAGTTTCAAATACCGATTTAAAACTAGGTAAATTCTTCATATTCTCGCTAGAATGTATTCACGGATTTGCACTTTTTTTTATTAAGAAAGAAATATCTACCAACTTCGTTCAAACTTCAACAGGTTTAAGGTTCGTCAATATCCTTCATTAGATTCTGATTTTTATATAGAATTTTTGAAAAGAAAACACTGAAAAGCCAAGGTTATCCATTGCATAGACCCTGCGCTTAGAGCGCCCTCACTGCATACAGGTCTTTTTCCTCTTGCTTTAACTTTCATTTTCACTTAATTTATTTAAAATAACCTACCTTCACTGAGAAATGTCTTTGTAGGGGTCTACATGTATTTTGAAAATGTCTGCTTGGTAATTACTTCACAGAATGGCTGTTAAAGCAATTTTGGTAAAACCATCTACAGTTGACTCGTTATAACAAGGTCGATGGGACTAGCCAAATTACCTCTTTATAACTGGAATGTTGTTATAAAAGGACAGCAAAACAAAGAAACACAAAGAGAACCTGAAATTTGGGACCTCAGAATTTGCTCTTTATAAGCAGAACCTCTTTATAAAAGTGCTCTTTATAATGAGAGTTATACCATAATATACGAGAGTTCCGATTAAGCAATAAAGGCATGTTTGTTTACGTCTCGAGGTCTACGTGACCAGAAAATACCCCCTCGGCCCCACTTAAAAGGGCGTATGGGTAGGGTCATCGGGATTTCAGGGGAAATTGGTGCAGTCATCCCCCCTCCCATCTTACCCCCGGGGTCATGGCTGGCTGACATTTCAAGTTCCCCTGAAATACATCTGATAAGGGATGTGTTCCCCTCCACCCCCCACCCCACCCAACATAATTCAAATTATCTAACGCTGTCCTAAGTCCCTACATCAGAATACACTTCGAGTTTTTTTGTAGTTTTTGTATGGCCTCTAAACGGTAGATACCAACACTTTACTTCAGTCAAACCACATCAACAAACTGGAAAAAGTACAGCGGCAAGCAGCAAGATTCGTAACAGGTGACTACCAAAGAACATCCAGTGTCACAGACATGCAGCAAAATCTTCAATGGTCAACCCTCCAACACCGCAGAAAAGTCAGCAGGCTCACGATGCTTTATCGCTCCATCCATAAAGAAATTGCCGTTGACATCCCTGACTACATCACCCCAGTAGAACGACCAAAGAGAAATAGACACAATCAGTGCTACGCTTCCATGCAATGCCGCACACAAGCGTACCACAAAAGTTTTTTCCCACAGACAATTGAAGACTGGAACGCGCTCCCAAACGAACTTATCCATCAAACATCATCATCCCAATTTAAGACAGCCCTAGGAAAACATCTCTCATCACAACCTTAATTTCACGCTTGCACGGCACCGGCGTGAAGTCAAACTGGATGATGATGCCTAGCGGCGATATCCAGTCAAGTTTCTGAGATTCTGAGATACTTAATGAAACATGAATGCAATGGTGAGTTCAGAAACTGATCTATCAAAAACTGTCAATAAAACATACAACTGATGCGAACACTTCTGATCAAAATTCACTTCACACAGTTTCAAGGAAGACGCAGACCGTTTTATCAGTTTCAGCTCTGACAGGAGCTTCTGCAAGTCACTTTGGTGTAGGTCGGTCGCTAAAAAATTTACCAAAAATATATTTTACAAAAATTGAGCAAATGCAACCACGTTCCCCGTGGGTACGATCTTGCTGCGCCATGTTGTTTCCCATCATGCCTTGCGCGATCTGAACAAGGAACGAGCACGCGCGCCCAGGGAGTCGAGCCTGGAGCAAATGCCATCATGCCGTCTGTAAATCACTCTAAAAATTGTTTGTAAACAGTCCGTGAAGTTGTTTATGAGAATTGTTATAAGTGGATGCAATTAGTGTGCAATATTGTTATAGTCACGTGGTATTTTCTGTAGCGGTTGGACGGTGTCCGAAAGGAGGAGATGAAAATTGACGAAAAGTATGGTGTTCCATAATGTGCCATCGGCGTCGCATTTTTCGCTAGAGCTTATTGTGCACTCGCACTTGTTTTTTGTTTTGTTTTTTTAAACATAGGGTTAAACTTTTGGTTCACGAAATGGCCTGTGGTCGAAAGATCTGCACAAAACATCCTTAAGTCCAGAACTGCCAGATTTCATTACTAAATAAACTTGTCAAAAACAACGTTTTCCGAGGATATCCCATTGGAACCGATCGGGATGTAACTTGTCAGACCTGGTCACTATGTACCCGCCCCTTATCCTTCATCTTATTCACGTGGGAATACGATGTTCATTTTAGGGTAACTTTTCAACTTTGAAAGTACTGCGTCTGAGGTCAAGCATGTTTACTGTTACCTATTTTTGGCCATGTTTTAATCGAAGGGAAGAGAACTGGGTACATTTTAATCAGTAAATTACTTCAGATCCTCTTGATTGAAGTAAATATTTTGACACCCAACATTCTTAAATAGAAATGGTATTTTAGGGATTAAACAACAAGACATGGAAGGAATAATTAAGAGCTGTAATGTATAGCACACGCTTGTGTTTGGAGAATATCTTTCTGCGCAGAACGGGAAAATCGAGACGCATGCTCAGAGAGAGCAATGGTTTTGAAAAACGTCAGATCTGGGCCCCCCAAAACAAGAGTTTTGCTAGCCAATTGACCCTTTGCATATACAGGGCGCCCTCACTGAGGCCTCTAGTTGGTTCCTTTGTCATGCGTATTGAGTAAATACTTTGTACTTCTACTGTCACTGAATTTAAGTAAAACTTGTTCTTCGTACATTAAATGCCACTGAATTGAAATAAAACTTGTTCTCGCGTGAGGGCGCCATAGGGGAACGAAACCCAGGTTCCCTTTGCAAAA